CTCTCCCTCTCTCTCTCCCTCTCTCTCTCCCTCTCTCTCTCTCTCTGTCTGTCTCTGTCTCCCTCTCGGTATGCCGTCGTCCCATCCAAAGTACAAACTACCGCAGCCTTACAGATAAGCTGCTTTCACCCACTACAATACGAAGGATCTTTCTCGTCCTCGCCCTCACCCGCGCAGTTTCGCCAATCCGCACCTAAGTGTACAGAGTACGCTGTACAGTACTATATTACATGTATCCACATCCACCAATTCTGCCAACTACGTACTTGCCTCGAAGCCCGAAGTCCCAAGTCCCAAGTCCCAAGCCCCAACGATACGATCCCAGTTCGGCACCGGAAAAGGGAATTACGGATTACCAAAACTGTCGATCTTCAAAAGGGCAGCGCAACACGGATTGATTGGTGGTGGCTGTGGTTTTGCCTCCGTCTGTTACTTAGCAGTCGTAAGGGCGACGGCAGGTCCTTGGTCTAGCTTGTCCAATGGGGTTCAAAAGCGCCGTCCCAAGATACTAAGGACCCCAGAGGGAGGACATGTCCGTCGACTTCGACTTCGACATTGAGATGGAGAGGTTTACACCATGGCCATTACTATATAATAATATAATGATATATATTGTCTATCATTCATCTCTTTCTTTCCCAGATTAATCGTCCCAGACTTGCTTCTCTCCTTAACCCCCCAGTTAAATATCGTCCAGCGCAGACATAGTTGATCAAGCTGCACATCTCATTACCTATTCTTCGATTTCGGCCCCGACAAATAGAACCATCTAGGACGCTCAGTCATTCGAGATGCCAGATCTTTCGAAAGAGTTGATCGCTTCCATCTCCAAGTCCGTCTCGGACGGCTTCGACGCTCAGATCGCATATACGCAATCACTAATCCGGTTCGGCGGACAACGGGGCGAAGAGAGCGAAGTGCAGGACTTTGTCTTTAATCAGTTCGCCGACCGAGGATATGCCCCGGTGAAATTCGGCATGGACGAAGCAGCTCTGGCGAGCCACGTTGGTGCCGGCAAGTTCAGTGCAACACACTCCAAGGCCCCTATTGTCGTGGGTGTGCATAAACCGCGCTCCCAAGCACCGCAGGGGAAAAGCCTGATCTTGAACGCCCACATTGATGTGGTGCCCACGGGACCTTTGGACCTGTGGACGCATGACCCTTATAGTGCGCATATCGAAGGGGATCGACTCTATGGGCGAGGAGGCGCCGACATGCGAGCGGGCAGCGCAGCCAATTTGCATGCGCTCGATGCGCTGCGTCGGCTCGGGTTCCAGCCCGCGTCCGAGGTCATCTTGGAATCGGTGGTCGAAGAGGAATCCACAGGCAATGGGACCTTGATGACACACTTGAAAGGGTATAAGGCGGACGCTGTGCTGATTCCGGAACCCGAGGAAGAGATGCTGGTGCGCGCCAATGTCGGTGTCTTGTGGTTTCAGGTCGAGGTGCGAGGCACCCCAGTGCATGTGAGGGAGATGGGAACGGGCATGAACGCAATCGACGCGTGCTGGAGAGTGGTCGGGGCTTTAAGGGAGCTGGAATCCGAGTGGAACCTGAGAAAGGTGGGAATGGAGCACTTTGAGAACGAGGAGCATCCTCTAAGTAAGTTGTTGACTTGTTTGGTTTCTGTCAGGGGAGAAGATTATCTTCCTCCGGCTGAGACTGGGGGTTCGATTGTGCTAATCCGTTGCGCGAGACAGATCTCAACGTTGCGATGATCAACGCAGGGGACTGGCCGTCATCAGTTCCGGCATGGTCTCGTGTTGATTGCCGAATATCAATATATCCCGGCGTCAGCGCCAAATCTGCCGCTGATGAGATCGAGAAAAAGGTTGCAGATTTTTCTCGGACCGATCCATTCTTGAGCAAGACTCCTCCCAAGGTTATTTGGAACGGCTTCTTCGCCGAGGGATATGTGCTTCAACCAGGGAGTGAGGCAGAAAATACGCTCCGAAGGGCACACCAGCACGCGACAGGCGAGGACTTGAAGACTTTCATGACGGCTGGCTACCTTGATACCAGAGTGCATGCGCTATATGACAAGATTCCAGCCTTGTGCTATGGACCCATTAGTTCCAATATCCATGGTTTTGATGAATGGGTGAGTATCAAGAGTCTGAAGAGGATCACCACAGCCATCGCATTGTTCATCGCGGAATGGTGTGGGCTTGAAGAGATCCATGGGGAATGATAATTGAAGGGCCACCAAGCCCAGGGACCTAGTTAGGATACTGCACTGGCAAGTCGAGGTCAATAACAATAGGCTTATGGAACTTCTTCCCGGCGTTGTGTGGCCAGTTGGAAGCCATAAACGCAGCATTTACGATGCAGGTTTCGAGTCTGCCCCCGCAATTAGCTATTGCTTCTTGATCTGATAGACCATTAGAGGTAGGGCCCTGGTTCCCGTGGGTTTCCGATTGCCTTAACTCGGTTGGTTCGACGGTAGACGTGATATGCCGCTCCGCCTTTTCGAAGTCGGGAAACGGAGGCCGAGGAAGAGCGGGAATGGCAGGCAAAAGACCTTCATTGTGTTCTGCTTCCGGCGCTATATCTTTGTCAGCAGTGCCGTCGACTTCCGCTCTCTGCGAATTGACAATCTGTGTTGTGGAAACAAGGTTCCCTGTGCTCCCATCGTTTTGCAGGACCACCGACTTGACTCTCGACGAAAGATCGACGGTAAATTGCTTTTTGCTTTCGGGATGAGCGTCATGCCAATATCGGACAGCTTTCTCTTTGAACTTCACATGCGATAAAGAAAGATCCCATGTGACAGCTTCGACACCATACGCTTCGTGGACATGTCCACAGACAAACAATCGGGGACGAACCCTCCACAATGTCTGCCGAAGCCTCTCGCATCCTGCGGCTCCACGTGTGCTGGATTCATCTCGATGGAACTTCGCCGGTGTGTGCGCCACTATGATCTCTGTATCCAGAGGTATCTTGTCCCACAGCTGAGAGGCATGTTCCGGCTCATACCCAAAGGCCCAGAGTCCGTTTGCAGGAGAATATGGGGAGCCAAAGATCTTGAGGACTGAAAGAGAGCCGTCTTCGTGATTGATTCTGACTTGCTTGGATTCGTGATTCAGGTACACGATGGATGGGTCTGATCGGAATAGGGCAATGCAACGCTCGGGATCTTCCATCCTTTTATTGTGGAAGTAAGCGCCATACTGCTGATAGAATGGAATATCACAAGTGATGTCGTGGTTACCGCAGACAACGATCTTGACCCGGAAATCGGTCTGCCTGAGCCAGCTGACGGCCTTCTGCAGTTCCGAGAAAGTGCCCTGGTTAGTAAGGTCACCTGCGTGGATCAGTATGTCGCCAGCGGGCAGTTTGGGCGTTTGATTGTGTGTGTCAGAAATACACACGATCCGCACTCGCCTCGTTGCCATATTGATGACCATAAAGATGCTAGTGATGAGCAATTACAGGTGAGCGCCAGCACGTTATGCTTCAGTGTGTAGTTGTCATAAACTCATTTTTGAGGCTGTGAATAGCTCGACTGTCCTTTACTTCACTTCTGCAACGCTCTTGCCAGGGCCGTGCCTGCTACCGACTCATCTGGCTCGCTAACGCTTCGATAGACAATCCGATATGGCAGGTCAACGGGAAATGATGCAGTGAATGATCGAAGGTTCTTGGTGACGGTCATGGATAACTCCGGTTGAAGAGAAGCTTGGTGTTTGGGACCTTGCATTAGGTTGCTGATTAGCCAGCATATCCGGCGCACAAGGAGACGCTACCAGGCAGGGCTAAGGCCATCATTTGATGGTAGTTGCTGTGTCGATGAACCGGTGGCCTATGCGGGACTGGTTGGAGAGCAGGTCAATGTCGTCGAAACTGTCAATTGATAAGGCTGTTCTAACATGCCCACAGTAAGCGAGGTAATCCAGCTACAATACAGAAGAGTCCGAAAGACACGGTAGGCAACCGCATCCAGGATGTAGCGGTTGTGAGGCGGCGAAGAGTGTGTGCGACAAGCGGCGCAACGCAGGTCTAAGGGGGTTCTGGGGGGTAAGGAGGGCGGCATCCCTTCTGCTGCAGTCCCACCACCAATCTTGTCCTGGCGCGCTTTCCCATAGGTGCCATAGTCTGTAACATAGTGTCCGTTGCAAGAGGCGATTCATGCCTGTAGACCCTTTAGGCGAGTCGAATTGCCAGGCCTCTTCGCCCTAATTAGGCACGGCAGAAGGTGACAGGAGAAGCACCGAGCGATCAGAGCACATATATGGCGAGTGACTGAGGAATCACATTACTCCGTACTCTGCCTGTGCTTAGTTGCTAGGGACGGGGACTAGGGAGGGAAGAAAACGATAGATCACGGACCAGACTCCATCCACGGCAATTACATACATCTCGAAGTCCCAGACATGGCAGCAGCACGATTCCCCTCCTCACAAGCAGTACGAGTAGCTATACAAATGATGAAAAAGCACCAAGCCTGTGTCGGAAGAGTCCATTGTTGGTTTCTGATTAGGTGTCCCTCACCATCAGCAAGCGAGCGGTGCTAGCAAGGGGCCCCAGTGAAGCTGGTGAGCCCAATCCAGCGGCCGCCCAAAACACATGGACTGGGACGACACTTGTACTTCGACTGCTCCTCCAAACCGCGTCCTTACCAACTCTACCTTCGTTGCTCCTCCTAATGCTCTTCCACATGGTCGCGTCTCACCCATCAAGTACCATTATGATCGTCTCACGGATGTGGAGCTCTTACGATCCCTTCACCCGCATTATTATCAAGCCCGCATAGCGAAGCCCCTCGACGTCAACAATGACCTGACAGCGCGTCCGCAACTCCGCAAGAAGCCAAAATTAACATCGAGTAGCTCCGAGTCAAAAACACAAACTCGTCTTGATCCGTTCGATCCTGGCATGAGCACCTCAGCAGAGACTCCGAAATCCTCTTCCCTTCATCCCCCCCTTGAAGACGTCGATCAGAATACCACCGGACCTGATTCCTCTGGCGGTGTTAATCAACAGCCTCCCCCATTGCAACGAACCAACTCGCATCCGCTGCAACGATCACCCTCGCACAAAAGACCTCCCGCCTCGCATAGTAGTTACGGTGTGGAGACAACTTGCGGACCGCCTCCCTCATATAGTACTCAGCGAACACTGTCGCAGGATAGGATCCGAGCTCTCGACCGGAATCCTGGCTCGAGGGCTACGAACGCTGCGCCGCGGGATTTGTCGCCTTCCAAGCTCAATGAGTCTGTGACGGATCTTGAACCTCCCTTGCCACACCCACCTTCCCCACCTCCGAGGCAAGACAATACAACCCCTTCAAGCGCGGTATCTTCGACGGGAGAGGCGAACATACAGGAGGGATCCAGCCCCGAGTCTGCTGATACACAAAGTCTGCTGACGCCGGATTCAACAATGAGCAAAGTCCCGGCGAAAGCAGCTGACGCTTTGGAGGCCGAAGAGAAGGTGGCCCCGGATCTACAGAAACTACAACCGACATCCCCGGATGAGGATGGGAAGGCATCGAGCAGTGACGAGCGGAAAAGTGAAGATTTGTTCTTGAATATTGCAAAGGCAGACGCGTCACGTGGAGGACAGGGACTATCTAGAGCAGAGAAGAGACGGTCTAGAATCTCTCTACCGTTCTATACCAGCACGCGACCGTCCACAGGATACCCATCTTCACCGGGTCCAGAGAGGTTTGACACTGCCAGTGTATCTGGTCGATCAGAGGCTCTGAACTATTATAGCAAACGATCCTCGCTTGGCCAACATATACCAGGGACTCTGTCACGGGCATACGCGCAAGGGAACCCGGTCCAGGAAGAAGATTTGGGAACCCAGCGGCAAATGTACAGCGCCCATGGCGGTGATTTCTCTGGCTCTAAAAGACCTCTATCAAGGCGATATTCAAACGCTAATCCCAATACCAATACCAGTACAGAGGCCAGCCATCAGATTCCACGACCAAGCACCGCCCGTAACAGTCGCCTGGTTTCGGACTCGACATTCGTGGATCGCTCCAGGCTGGTCGACCATAATGCGACCGAGTCGACGATTTCTACGACTGCCCCTTCAACCGTATGGGACGAGCTGGATGATCTCAAATCCAGAATTCGGAAATTGGAGCTGACAGGAAAGCTCCCGCCGTCCTCGGCTGCGGCAATGACCAACACCGATCGACCTAAGACGGCGACGACAGCTGCGACCACCATGTCGTCCTCTCCGAAACAGAAAGTGGCAGTGACCCAGTTGCAATCTGCCATCGAAGGCGTCCCATCGACGATTCATCCCAATCTCCACGAGGCACTTGGAAATGCCAAAGCGGTTGTGAGCAATGATGTTTATCAAAGATTACAGGCAACCGCGCAGGATGCTCTCCACCTATCCATGATGATGAATTCAGAAGGGCTTGCAGGTACTGGTAGCACCATTGGTGTCTCGGCGGTCTCTGAACGACAGATCCGGCGGAGGACCGAGAGCATGTGCCGAAGTCTGACAGAGCTGGCGATTGCGATTTTGGCTGATAGCAAGTCAACGCAGCAGTCAACTGCGAGACCTGGCAGCAGGGATGCGTATCCCTCCTCAGCCACAGGCCTTCGCGGACGTCGGTACAGCAACGAACCCATCGACCGCCCTCCTGTGACTTCGAGAGTCCAGTCTCGACTCGAAAGCCGACGAACCAGCATGCCGTTCGGAGCCACGTCGAACCCCACCACAACCACACCGGAGAGTGTTTTTCAAACGCCGCCTACGGCTTTGCCTCAGGTTTTGACCAGCTCGTCAAGAACCGGCCGCACCTCCTCTCTCATACGCAGCAGGAGAACTGGACATCTTGATGGGTCTACCGACGACGAGGAGAGCAGCCCTTCGGTGCGGCCTGTAAGCCGCGCCATGACAGAGGTGGGCACATACCGGCAGATGGCCAGGGATCGAGCGGCGTATTCCAGAGAGTACACCGCCCAACATCCCATGCCTTCGCCACTCGAGGCCAACAAGGGGACGACTCGGAGTCCGATGCCTGCCCACCTCAGCTCCAACTTTGTATCGAGACGCAAGTACGCTTCTCCCGGAAGCAGTGTTGGGACGCAGGACAAAGTCCCGCTAACCCCAAAAGAGCCCTGGGGTCGGATATCAATCATCCCTGCTGTGGGCTCAAGTCCGGTCGAGGGAACTCCAGATAGTCAGGTCGGTATTCGGACATCCAACTCCAGGAGAAGTCTTGGATTTGCCAGCAGAATCTCTAGCGTCAGTAGTCGGCTCCGAGCAGCTAAGGCAGAGAGAAGTGCTAGTGTTAGAGATCCCAGTGAGGCTCGAGGGACGAAAGACATTGCACCATCGGGCAAGGAATCGAACAATACGACGACATTGTTGTTGGAAAGGCAGAATTCAGGTCAAAGCGTTGGAGAAGTGTGATTACGACAACCTACCCCGGGACTTGTATCATACATTGTTGTCGTTGCAGGGCAGTACGCGCCCTGTTCCGGGAAAGCAGTCTTTCTCGGCATTATCGAGGACCAGAGGGCGGAAGGCCGTGTGTCGCGCCAAAGGTCTGGACTTCTCAGAATAGAAGAATGCTTGCATGTGTGGCATTTTTAAACAGACCTTGCCTGTATTTGTCTGATGTTTACCTGTCCTCCTTTTCCCACGAAAGGCTCGACTCCAAGCGTGTGGTGCTCGGGGTTGATGTGATTGGCGGAAATGGTGACAGGTGTCTGATTGATGAAACGGCTCTCGACGGAATGCTCATTGCTCAGAGCATTGCGAGAGGCCCAATTAATGAATGCTTCTGAGCGGTCAGGGGAAGCGGTTCAGTCCACGTGTAGGTGAAATTTTCACGGGTGCGGCCAATGCAGAGGCGAGGCCTGTGAGGGAGCGACACGACGGCACAATCCATGACTAACGGGATAGCACCATATTGCCCGGATCTTGCACGTTCTGCAGCCCCTCCAGGGGACTCGTTGTGTCGTTGTGCGTTGGGTGTCTCAGTGTCAATGCAAGTCAAGGAAAGTCAAGGAAACCCAAGAAAAGTCAAAGGTGGCCCCGGCTTGCGGGAGCCTTGAACACGCCATCGACGAGGGGGTTTGGGCAATATTGGATAATAATGAGCACCTTAAGGCGTAAGCCGGCTCGAGTCATCGAGGACCTTAACAAAGCCCGCCGCTCTGGCCCTGCCGATGTCGCAATCACCAATAAAGATGGCATGTGAGTCGTGTCAACTCTCCGTGAGGACCACGGTATAAGGAATGCGACATTTCCACCCTCATGCCATGGCACACAGTCAGATCCCTCTTGTTGTATCGTCCGTCTTTTTCCTCGAAACACGTACCGGCATCCACCTCCACGTAAGACACTGAGAAGAGGAGACCGCTGCCTGACGAAACCGAAACACAGTGACATCAAACACCGGGCCTCGTCGTGCCTCACTGTCTCGCTGCGAATCGGTCACGATCATACGATCCTCAGTACTCCAATCCTCAGTACTCCGATCCTCAGTACTCCGTACACTTGATCCCGACCAGGATCCAGCATTCCCATATTCTCTAACCGGAACGTGGTCAGGACAGTCCCCGGCCTACATATCCGAGTCAAGACCTTGCCGATCAGTCCATAACGCAGCCTACTTTGTGTGACGACTGACTACAACACTACCGCTCTCTGCCTGATACATCACATTCGATACTTCTAATAGATATCTTCGTGTCTATCTGTTACACCGGCTATTCTGGTACAACCATCCATCCCTACCCTCTCATGGCTTGGTTCGACAAAAATCACCATCCTCTCACGGCGATCCCCCATAGCCCCGGGTCCATGGATTCCCGCCGATCATCCGAGCGACGAACATCCTCTACCTCTACTTCGTCAGCACACTCCCACTCCTCTATCTCCCCCATCTCTCCAGGCCTCGCACCCAAGGTGCAATTGGTCCCGTACGCACGATCAGCCAGCTTCGAGGTTTCCTTCTCCGACGCCGAGCGGGAGTTGCTGGACAAGGCCAACTTTGACGCATTGGACATGTCATCGCAGGACTTCGATTTCGAAGACATCTTCACCTTCGATAAGCCTCAGAAGAAGTTGACCAAGGTCGTCGAAGTGTCTAGACCCACCAGAGACCATCGGGACTGGTCAAATTTCTCTTTTTCTCATTATTCCGCAGCCATGAGTGCCAGGAATAAGGTCAACAAGCCCAAACCGGGGATTGGAGAGTTATACGTGAAAAACCAATTCGACGCACGTAAGCATTAAGAGCATTGATCTGTTGAGGGCTGGTATGTTCTATGATCATTCAAATCAGGGAGGGGTTATCTGGGTTTACTTTCCAAAAACATCTTGGCTGGGCATCTTTCTGAGCGGACTCCCGACACTCTTCTTCTGCGGGCATGAGCATGTTTTAAAAGGGTACATTGGGAAGGGCGATGCATGGGGTTGACTGCAAACCACAAAAGTTGAGGCGTACTGGCACGATGACATGGCTGCCAATCGGACTTGAGTCCTGGGTTATTTCGGGATACGGAAGGAAGCATTAGGGGTTTGACACACTGAGACACTTCTCTCCGCAAGGACCAAAGAAAGAACGTATGTAGTGGGCAGCAAACAAGGAATCATATGATAATGACTGTTCGCATACAACCCCCCCTTGGATCCTTCGGGCCATCTTCTGTGGAGAGCATGGATGAACGCGGTGGCATAATACTAATCCTTACTGCTGACTTGTTCGGCTGTGTGTTCGATATCCATAATGGTGACCCTCAAACACACACAACAATACACGAAGACGTGGCGAAGGTGGGCGCTTGGATATGGTGCTGACATGATTGCAACTTGTGCACGCAGCTCGGCAGGCGTCCCAGTCACAGAGGATCTCGGAGAAGCTAGGTATGTACAGAGTGCTTCTGGTAGCGACAGAGGTGCAGTTGTTAGTCTGGGGAGATTTCCCTTTTGTAGATTGTAAGATCCGATCTGATGGCGCTACCCTGGCTGGCGCGAAAGGGGTTTCCTGGCACGCTGTAGCAATCTGAAACGCGGTGCAATTTGCAGGGGTTCTTGTGTCTGCGCTCGGCAATGGGAACAAAATGGGGTCACAGACTCCGCGAACCGCAAGAACAATATGAATGTGATATGAATCGAACTCGGTGTGAGGACGGGCGGTGGCCGGGAACAAATAGCAGTCGTAGACGGTAACAGTGGCAAATGGTGCAGTCTTTCTGCAGCAGTCAGCAGCTATTTGAGGGAGCCGGCGAGCTGAATCCTCAGGCAGCTGGATGCGCGCGGCAAATTTGCAGCTGGCACTGCTCCGGGGGCGAGATGGAGCGCCAGTGTGAAGAGCGGGAGGCTCGGTTCTATTCATAGGAGCAATGGTTTGGTTTCAGGTTGGCTGCTGGCCTGCGGTGCGCCAATCGCAGGCTGGAGATGCGGCTAAGGAGGCCCCTCGACTGCGCGACCAATGCCGGACCATGCAGAACGCCCTCCCCTGCTCGCCTCCATCTCGCCTCCAGTGCTCGACAAGACCTTCATCCTCCCTCTGCCCGTGAGTCCTCACCGAGGCGCCGAATTGATTCTGCCTTGCTCTTAGTTGTGTGTTGTCTGTGTGTCTGTTCTGTGTGTGGGTGTATGGAGTACAGTGCTTCAGCCCTCGGGCTTACGACTTCCTCTTCTTGCTGAAATCAGCCCCCATTGTCTGCGTCCACGAAAGCCTGAACACCAGGATCCCACGCCCAACGCCAGCTGTCCACAGTCCACTACTATTACTGTCTCTCCGATTCATCTCCTGGATTGGCTATTGCGCCATTCTGCACCTCTCGACCAACCGTTCATTGCCAGTGGCCCACATCGCGTTCCCACTGGACCGTCCCTCCCTCCTGTCGCAGTCCACACTCAGCTTGCCGCCAGGTTCCTCGATCGCACCGCTTCTCAGCCTGCACGCTCTTTATTTACGACAGTTCGTTCGTCAAGGTCAGCTCGTGCCGTGTGCACGCAGACTCTGAAGAGGAGGGCGGTTCACTGCTTGGGATTCTGATTGACATTGATCCCGATTCTTATGTGGAGCAGGTGAAGAGAGCCAGGGCTCGACTTGCTACGCCGCTTTTTGGATACGCGCCGAATCTGAAACTGCAAGGAAGCCCCCAGGCAGGCATCATCTCGCACTTGTCGCATGCGCTGCAGCAATACACTGCTGGTTTGTTTTGACCGCGGTACGTCGGACCCAATTCCTCTCTTGTCGTCCTGGGGACAAGCAGCGCTCGACACTCTGTCTGCTGCTATGGTCGTTCAGTCCTTCTTCTCCAGCAGGCAGGATGGCGCGAGACTCTACGGGCAGTGCTGACAGTCATCATCGCAAAAGGTCTTTCGATTTGGCCAACAATTATCAACCCTGCACGAGTATACAACAGACCATCCGCCACCATGATCAGGCTCGGGCAGCCCGATCAGTAGGCTGTCGTGGGTCTCAATTCGATCTCCCCTCCAACAAGAGACGACCCTTCCCTTCCAAATATTCGACTATGCCGGTCGAAATTGGCTCTCTACTGTCAACCCCCTTCCCTTCATTCATGTCAGTTGTAGGAAAAACAGAATCCAGCATTGTGGAAGATATGGCAGAATTAGGATCCGACACGATACACAGCGAGAGCCGGATCTTCATCACCGACGCATATACCCATCCCGACTCTACCGGCGTTTCTTCTCAGCCTTTACATCATCGTAACAGCGTCACCTCTATTATGACAGCTTCAACAGAATCCTCACCAACGACAACGAACTCGACATTCGATTCTCCCTTAATAACCGACCCTTCTCCCTCGTCGTCGCCGGAATCCGCGTCGTCCAGCCTGCCCATGTTGCCTTTCAGAAACAGAATGGTCAAGGAACCTCAACTGCAATCGACAGAGTGTCAGGAAACTCGGCCAACTTCGCAGACGGGAACTTTTAATGGCCATGTAGGGAAGGCAGAAGTTGTGGTGGAGGCAACCAAAAATGTCAAAAATCTGTCTCTCAATATGGGAGGCGTAATCCTGCCGCGCCCGGCGACCTCTCATGGTTTCGAATCCTCCCATACTATTTCAGCGCCGTCTTCGCCCTTGAAAGACACACCGAGAACAGGGAGGAGGAAGCCGGCCAATCTTACCATCATGACCCCAGGTTTTCAACAACAGACATTCTCTCGGACCATAGATGTGCCACCAACTCCCAGCTCCAGACCAGCATTGCACCACATACATTCTTCCCCGGCTCTGGCGTCACTGGCTTCCCCCGGCAAACCTCCACCTCAAGGTCTCTTTCTCCCTCTGCCAGCTACTGGCAACGTCTATTCAGGCCCAGGTTCCGAATCCAGTAATTCGAGCCAGTCTGCCGGCGGAGCACTCCCGGACCTGAAAGAGGAGGACGAATTCCACCCGCAAAGATCCCAGGAAACCCAAGAAAGGGGCTACCCCAAAGGACCCGTCCTGGTCTATGACACTGGCCTCTACCTGTATTTAGAGCCGACAGCGGAAGAAGCCAGCAGTTTCGATACCGTGATTAATGTGGCCAAGGAGATCAATTGCCCCCTAGATTTGGAAGCATCAAGCCCGGACATTCCAGAACCACAAACCGCGGTGTCAGAGATGTCTTTTAAATCAGCATGGGAATGGCCCATGCCCCACGATGTGCAGACACCGACCACGCCAAGGCAGACCGCCTTTTCTCCGAGAAAACAACCAGAATACCTCCACATCCCCTGGGATCACAATTCGGAAATCTTGGAGGATCTCTATACATTGTGTCGCTTGATCGACGAAAGAATCCAAGCGGGGAAAAGAGTGCTGGTCCATTGCCAGCTGGGTGTGAGTCGATCAGCCTCGCTAGTAATCGCATACGGCCTGTTCAAAGGGTACCGACCAGATTTTCATTCCATGTACATGACGGTCAAGCAACGAAGCGAGTGGGTTGGGCCGAATATGAGCCTGATTTATCAATTGACAGATTTCCGGTCGAAGGTGGTCAAGGGTGTATATGGAGACCATTCCTACAACCCATCTCCGAATTGGTGGAAGATGCAGCGACCAGATCCTCCTATCATGGACACACCCATCGCAACGCAGGCTCAGTGGAGGGCGATCCCGCATGCCATCGATCTCACCAGAAGACCAGCTGGCCCGAGTAAGGCTGACTGCCCCCCAACAGTAAAGGCTTGGCCGCCATTGCGGACAAACAAGGTTCTTCCTCCTGTACCTTTATTCCCCAAGAACGACGAGAAGGAAACTGTGACACCAGTCAACTCAACCCAGGTTCTGGACAAGATCCCAACACAACCTCCAGACCCAGACGCAACTCTTACAGTGACCACTCCTGCCGAATCAAGCAGTCGTCCGCAGAGCGTCTCACCAAGGCCTCTGCCGTTTCGTGAACGTTTTGACGATGGCATGGAACCCATACAGTTGTCGCCCAGGGCCTCCAAGACACCGAGGCTAGGGATATTAACGAGCTCGCCCCAAATGGACTTAGCCCTACAGGAAGTCCCGGGAAGCCCAGTCTTGTTCTCTCCCAGGGCAGTGGAGTTTATGGCCTCATCTTTTGGGATCACTTCTGCAGGAGATCTAGCTGTCATGGACCCCGTGACCAAATCGGGTCGAGGTCTTTTACATTCACACCAAGCAATGGCTCCCACAGCACTAGCGACAACCGATCAAATACCGACAGCTTTTGACCCGCGAAGTCCGCACCAGCAAGGTGAAAACGCGGAAATTTTTAGAAACATTGACGGGGTCTTGTGACTACGCATGTGGGCAATGAAGCATGGTTTTTGGGTTAATGTCTAAATAGATGGGCATTGTCACTTTTTGAACATAGCGTGGCGTTCGGGTAAGATGAATTACACCTATGGGAATGGTAAGTATGAAAGGCTTGACTGCCCAGGACGATCCTGGATGACGGCTTGACTCTGTACAATTAGTCATGAAGAAATACGCTTGATGGAGCAGTGACAGGCCTGCTCATGCGAAAGAGCACACATGATTATGGATTGGATGATTTCAAAAAGGCCATTATCATGTTGCCATGCTGACCATATTCTATGCAAGACACAGCCTGTCTCGCACAGCCAATAAAGTCTTTGGTCCTTATGCTTTACCGGATAACCCCAACCTTAGGACACAAAAAAGGCATAACTTGCTGGATCGTAGCTGTTCTCCTGGTTACAAAGCCATCCCAGTGGTGGTGGATGTGGATGTGGATATGGATGGGTTAAGGCGACGAGGCTGCGCTAAGCATTTAGTGATACTTATTATATCAGTGTGAGGACCTGCGACCCTCAGACTGACGTACCACTCGCTCTTTACTGTGTAGATTGTCCTGCCTCTGGCCACACAGTACAACCTATTTTATCTTTATCGGCGCGTTCGTTTGTCCTGCCTAGCACCTCCTATGCAGCTTCCTTCCTCTCCCGAACTTGTAGGCTCCCTCCGGATCACGGCCTAAGTCTGGATGGACTGGCTGTCCCGCACTGCCCGTGGCCCAGGACGACGCCGAGATGGCCATGGAACGCACTCGCATCGCGAAAGTTAGTGTCTACACCTATCCAGCACGATGCGCTGTCCGTGATTTAACACTGAACCCAGGTCGATAATGTCACACTGTCCCGCCGTGGCGATCAGGTCAACGGCACTCTTCATCTGACACCTCATCACATCATCTTTGTTCACACGCCTCCCCCCGATGCCGACGGCAATCCTGTACGGCCGCGTGAGTTGTGGATCACATATCCGATCATCCAGACCTGTACGCTGCGGCCGAGTCCTACCGCGTCCCGACAACCTAGTTCAGTCCGGCTGCGGTGTCGTGATTTCACATTTGTCTGCTTTTACTTGAGCGATGACCGGAAAGCAAGAGACGTCTACGACAGTATCAGAGCCTGGACCTGCAAATTGAGCGGGATCGAAAAGCTGTATGCCTTTACATATCAACCTCAAGGACCTGAAAGAGATGTCACGCCTAATGGATGGTCACTGTACGATCCCATGCGTGAATGGAGGAGAATGGGGGTCGGCGATGATAGCAAGAAATTGAACTGGAGGATCTCCGCAATCAACCAGGACTATGGGGTGAGTATCTGATAATCCGGTGCAGCCTGGTCCGCAAGCTGACCTAGCAGCTGTCGGACACGTACCCTGCCCTTTTGGCCGTTCCTGCTTCCATCTCGGACAACACCTTGAACTACGCCAGTCGCTTTCGCTCTCGCGAGAGACTCCCAGTTCTGACATACCTTCACCCCGTCAACAACTGTTCTATCACGCGCTCTTCACAACCGCGAGTGGGAGTCCGAGGAAATCGAAGCATTCAAGACGAAAAGCTTCTTGCAGCGATCTTCGACACAACCCGCGCCGAACGTCCCCTATCTGCTTATACTCCGCCTCCGGAACGAGAAGAGTCGGGATCTAGTCGAGAGACCAACTGTTCGACTGCTCTAGATGGTGACCTCCAACCAACCGACGCAGAGGCCCTCGAAGACGCGGTGATTTCCCAACTCCGAGGAGATGATGCGCTGCCGCCCGAAACCGACGGCAAAGGGCCAGTGGTCTATGGAGCCCAACAGCGCAACATGATAGTGGATGCCCGTCCTACGTTCAATGCACTGGCAATGCAAGCGGTGGGCATGGGGTCTGAGGATATGAGCAATTACAAATTCGCTACCAAGGTGTACCTCGGCATCGACAACATTCATGTCATGCGAGACAGCTTGCAGAAGGTGGTGGAGGCATTCAAAGACTCGGATTTGACTCCTCTAGGACCCAACCGAGACCTGTTGCGGAAAAGCGATTGGTTGAAGCACATCGCCAACGTCTTGGATGGAGCGGGACTGATTGCTCGTCAGGTGGGACTTCAACACAGTCACGTATTGATCCACTGCAGTGACGGCTGGGACCGGACGAGCCAGCTTTCAGCTCTGAGTCAGCTTTGTCTCGATCCATACTACCGAACCTTTGAAGGGTTCATGGTTCTCGTGGAGAAGGACTGGCTGAGTTTCGGCCACATGTTCAAACATCGGTCAGGGTTCCTCAGCTCTGAGAAGTGGTTCCAGATCGAGAACGAGCGCATCACGAGAGGGAACGAAGATGGCGAAGGAAAAGAGCTCGGCGGAGGGGCGATGTCAGGGGCGCAAAAGACGTTTGAAAATGCCTTATTGAGTGCCAGGGGCTTCTTTTCGAACAGCAAACACAACGATTCCAGAGAGTCGATCAATGTCGATTCAGATGCAGAACCCGGGGGGAGCTACGACTCGGAGTCGCAGGCTGGACGACGGATTGTTTCCGGCAGTGCCAAAAAGGACCGGGAGAAGATGGCGACCAAAGTCAAGGAAACATCTCCCGTGTTTCACCAGTTCCTGGACGCGGTATATCAACTGATGTACCAACATCCCACCCGATTTGAATACAACGAACGATTCCTCAGACGCCTCCTCTACCATCTTTATTCGTGTCAATATGGGACATTCCTGCTGGACAACGAGAAGGAACGCAAGCAGGCAAAACTGCATGAGAAGACGAGAAGCGTGTGGGATTATTTCGTCGCACGCAAGAAAGAGTTTCTCAACCCCCGATACGACCCAGTGGTGGATGACAATATCCGCGGCCGAGAACGATTGATCTTCCCGAGAACCGATGAAGTCAGATGGTGGCACGAACTGTTTGGACGGACGGATGAAGAAATGAACAGCAAGCCTGTTCCAGTGAAGGGCCAGGCCAATGGTGCAGGCGACGGCGAAACCGAACTGTGGACATCGGTAGGAAGGCATTCAGGACCTAGTTCCATGCCTACGTCCGGAGCTAGAACTCCTGTTCTCTTAGGCGTGGAGACCAGTGAAGCGAGTGTCGGATTGACTGCGTCTCACAAGCAGCGAGAATCAGCGGGCAGACCAAGGGCTCCAGTCAGCTCGACCAAGCCTGAGATGGACGGCTCTGGTTCGAGCTTCGGTTCCGGTTCCGGTTCAGGTTCTCCCAAGGCCAAAGAGCCGCCGATGTCTAGGGCAGGCGCAACAATTCGTGTGCTGCCAGACGAGCCCGCAATGGAGCCATCGGTCAACATACCTGTCAATCCTGGCGCAGCAGAGACCGATGCAGCTGACAACCAGCCGAGTGTGGTCGATGGCGATCCGACAGTACCGAGATCGTCACACTCGGAGCCGGAGTCCGCGCCAGTCCAACCAGTACAAGAGGCTGATGCTGTGGAAAGCCTGGCGGATGATCTGGATCCGTTGGGGATTGGTGAGGTTAAGGACCATGTACCACAATCCAAGAGAGTTCAGAATGTGATGGAGAGGCGCCGGGAGCAGCTGGAAGAATTGATGAAGTGAAACGAACGATGGAAACAGGAGGGACGGGGCCAGAACGAATGGGAATACAAATGAGACGATGGACGACGGGACGACGGACGGTGATCTCAGGTGCCCCTGGACACCATCGTAGCTGACTGCTGATGCTGAGTGCAGCGGGAACACTGAACTGTCTGCACGAGCGGGATCTACAGTAAATGCAAAAGCTGATGCTGATTGACGCCGTGTGGCTGTTGGTTTGTTGGATGGGGGCGGATTTGTTCTGCCACCGACACTGCAGTGCCACGCGTCCAAGGCTTAGGAGGCCCTTGGCAACGGGGAAACAACACACACCGAGTAGGACAAGTAGGATACTGTACTACTGTACTACCACATATGAAAGGCCTGAGCCCTGCCAACCTCCCACCGACCTGGATTGCAGGTCTTGACAGTCAACGGGCATCTTATTCTCTATTTCTGCGGCGTCTCCCCCGGTCTAACGTCGGTGAGTGGCAGTGAGGCTGGGCTGGAAGTCGAGAGTAGAGAGAGAAAGCCTGGTCTGCTGTCTGGTGTCTGGTCGGGACCATGAGGAAGGCGTTCAAGAAAGCGTTTCAAGAGCTCAAGGATGTGGTGGAAGGAAGGCCAGACGGAGACCAACTTGGAGATCAGACTGTGAGTACGTTATGTGTCTGGCGACGGACGAGTTTCTTTGATCTTGTGCTACACGAATGGCAACCAACATGACTATGGCCATTGTGGTCCTTGTCGACTTTTCGCCTTTTCCGTCCAGGGCGATATGCTTGCCTGAGCAGCAGTTGATTTGCCAAAGGTGCATGGAGATACTAATTTGGTATTGTGTGTTCAAGCACCGCCTCAGCCTCGTCTTCAAACTCCGCAAAGCTCCCTAGGCTTCAACCCGAACCTGCCGACGGACCTGAGCCCGAGCCCTCGGCCACGGCTCCGTCCCACGCCCCAAGTTATCCTCCGCTACCGATATCAACATGGGACCAACCTGGGCGGCATCTTCGTCCTGGAACAATGGTTGTTCGGGAGTATGTATGACCAAGGCGTCTCGTCGAGCAGTGAACTCGATGCGGTTGTGGCGTGAGTTGGATGATGTCCATATCTATATCCATGCCCATATCCATCTCCGTCCCCATCTCCATTACAGTAACTCTTGTTTGCCACTGGCAGTGCCCACTCTGCGTGGACAGAGTTGTCGATTGAATATCCTATCATTGCACACTCTTCGTTCAAGTTGACCTACACCCTTGGGGAATATAGGGAACTCCCAGTCCTCTCACGCCTCGTTTCACACGTATTCACATGTCACTGTCCTGATGTCCTGACCCGTTCCTCCAGGTCAATCAACACTCGCGGCCTGGACGAAACCCGCCGGAAATGGGAGACGCACTGGTCCAGCGCGCTCAGCGACGCCGACCTGCACTGGCTGACGCACAGCGCCCACTGCAATCACATCAGACTGCCCATCGGGTATTTCACGCTCGGGCCGGCGTTCTGCACGCACACGGCATTCGCCACGCCGCACCAGGCCAGTCAAGTCTACGTCAACGCGTGGACGGCGGTCAAAGAGCTGGTGGCGCGCTGTTCGGCCCACGGCATCGGCGTGCTGCTCGACTTGCACGGCGTGCCCGGCGGCGCCAACCACGAAACGCACTCGGGCACAAGCAGCGGCAAGGCCGAGCTCTGGGCCAACGCGGCCAACCTCGACCTGGCGACGCGGTGTGTGCTGTTCATCGCGCACGAGGTGACTCGCGACCCGCGCCTCGCCGCGGTGGTCGGCGTCCAAGTGTGCAACGAAGCCATCATCGATCCGCCGGGCATGTATGAATGGTACAACGACGTGATCCAACGCGTGTCGGCTGTCGATTCCTCGCTGCCGCTCTACATCAGCGACGGCTGGGACTTGGGCCGCGCTCTCCGCTTCACCAGAGCATACAACAACACGGTTGTCTACAGCCACGGCCCAACTACTACGGGTGCCAACTGTCCCGTCTTTGTCGACTGCCACAAGTACTGGACGTTCGACGACAAAGACACGTCGCGCTCGCCCACCGAGATCATCGAGCAGGTCCGGACGGCCGAGCTGCACGAGCTGGACGCCAGTCTGGTCGGCGACGTCTTTGCCCACCAGGCCGCCGTCGCCGTCTATATCGGAGAATACTCGATGGCGCTGGCGCCGCAGACGTGGGCGCGAGCAGGTCCAGACCCACAGCGCAAGGACGAGCTGACGCGCCAGTTCGGCGTCGAGCAGTCGAATGCCTGGCAGCGCAAGGCGGCCGGCTCGGCCTTCTGGACCTGCAAAATGGACTGGATGCCCGGCTGGGAATGGGGGTTCAAGCACGCTTCCGACAACGGCTATGTCGCCGCGCCCAAGAGTTTGGCTTACACCGTCCGACAAGTCCGGCAGATGCTCGCGCGCGCCGATGCCGAGAGGACTCGGCTTCACCGCGACGCCGTCGCAGGCCATACGCATTACTGGGACACCCTAAATTCAAATTCAAATCATGCGCCCGCGCAATTCGAGCATTGGCGCTACGCTGATGGTTGGCTCCAAGGCTGGAGTGATGCCCGCGACTTCTTTGCTGCCCGGGTCGACAGATACGTTCCGTCTATTTTGACCGCAGCCTCAGTGTCAGGTTGGACACCCATGCACTCTCCTCCTGCCGCCACTCTCACTGCTCAGCAAAGTGGTCCCGTCGCTGTTGACGAAGACGAAGACGAAGACGCCCCTGTCGGCGCCGACCTGCTCGGCGGCGCCTTGGATCTCTGGATCCTCCACCGCATGCGTGCTGAAGGCCTCACGAACCATCAAGCCTGTCCGTTCGGCTGGGAGTGGGAACATGGCTTTCGCGCCGGCGTGAGGTCGTTTGGCGACGTGGTTGCCGTTGCGAACTAGATGGTTGAGACAGCACAGCACAGCACAGCACAGCATAGCACAGTATGGAATCATTTGAGTCAATCATTCGATCATTCGATCAGTCGATCAATCGATCAATCAATCAGCCAATCAATCCGAAACCCACCCACTCCCTCACTCTCCTGGGAGACATAGGTACCTTAGGTAGTATGGAGTACGGATACGGATCCGTCTCCTGTGCCACAGTAGAAGTCTCAGACAGAGTCGACACTACCAGGTAGGGTAGGTAGGAACGAATACCCAGTTGTTGGATGGATGCCCTTCTGAATATTCAGTCATCGGCCAATCTCACGTACCTCTCTATGGTAAAGTATGTAGTAAAGTTCTCACGTACCTTGTAAAGTACTGTAGTAAAGAACAAAAGTCTATGCATGAGACGGACTGTAAGCATGCCGCGTGCGGTTTGGTTGTAAAGAGGACTGGGCGGTGAACTCAAAATAAGTGATAAGTGCAAAGTACAGTACATGCATCCATACATAAGGTATATTGGAACGATCCGGTACGACTGATATCTTGATCCTGATTTCTGATTTCTGATCCTTGAGCATGATCCTCGAGGCCAGAGCACAATGTCCATATTACGTCTACCTGTGCATGACCACTGATAGTACACACTGTACCTACGACCCGGCAGCCCTCGTCGATATAGCCCCTTCCCTGGAGATGCGCTCAAGTCTCCCACCATAGTTGCGAGAGCGGTCCAGCAGATCCATGACAGATTACCCCCGTATAGGACCAGATATGTCCGGTGGACAGAGCAGGGAGTCCTAGGAGTACGGCGCCCTACCGTAGAACAAAGCACCCGTCGTTGCTATAAATGAGTAGCTCACGCTTCCTGTCAGATGCCAGAAGAGTGGCTGAGCCTGTCGGAACTCTGCAAGAAGAAATCATCTGCATTAGTATGTCAGAGATAGGAGATGTTGTGTGACGGACTCGGTCTCTACTATTCCCTCAGTAAGGCACCCAGGCAGGTTCTTTGCAGTCTGCATTCGCCTCCGCTCGGGTTTCGATGATGACCTCCATTCGCGGCAAGGACAGGGTTCCTCATACCTGTGATTGAATATACTCGTGAGGATAACCACCGTATTCGACACAGTGGAAAGAAGACAAGTGACAGGCCAGAGCCTGGCCAGGCAACAATGCCCTCATCGGTTTTCCTTTTGTACCCATATCCAGTCGGTGATGCCATCAGATGATTGGACAGACAGTTAATGGTGTGCCACCCGTTCGTGCATTTCCTCTCCGATCGCCACGCCGGCGTGAGCGGGATCATGGAACACAAGAGAGTACAGGGTGCTGTGGTACGCGTATCCAACGCTCAGCCGCATCTGTCTGTCCACGCTGATCAACTGGAGGTCAGTTCGAGGTCTGTCCGATGAGAAGAGCGATTGGGTTCCATTCTTTCTGAGGTACTTTCCTTCAGCCGACTCGACCTGCAGAACAGGCACCAGCCACAATGGTGGCGAATCAAATCAAACCAGGCCAAATCGACAGATCTGGCTCTTGCAGGCCAATCCATCCGGCTTGTTGACTTGCTGATTCAGCAGGATTCAAAGCCTATCTTCTCTTCGCTTGCAGTTAGAAGGCGGTTGCGAAGAAGTGTTCGTGTAGCCGCTGCAATCAGTAGCTTCGGTGGCTTCACCATGTATGCATCGGTGCCTAGGCCTCAATTGTCGGGGTTATGTTGAAGCGAATCAACATCCCCGAATAACCATCTGTTCAACCGAGCCACGCAAGCAGTCTGCTGCCCTAGTTTCCAAATCCACTGAACCAACATATGTTTATGTGCAGGTGTGCCCCAAACTCGTATCTGGAATGCCAGTCCTGTCATCCCATTGGGGTGGACCTCTGTCAGGGTGAGGGGAAATAGAAAGAGAAGACTGGTATATTTGTTTTCCCAAAACTGCCATGCAGCAAAAGGAAACCACAGCCATGTGCGCTGTTTGGAGCACAGGCCGACTGTGGGAGGCACAGACCTTGGAAGAAACTTGGCGTTGATTGGTGGTGGACGCGCCCAGCTACTTTGCCAGACTCACGTTCCAGAAGGTGCCTCAAGGGTCATGTTGAGTGTACGGATCCAATGCAGGTTGTTCAGAGACCTTGTATGGATACACCTTGCACAATGCCTGAATCGTGAGGCGCATCGGGCACCATCGGGCTTGACAAGATTGCTGGGGTTGGTTGCGGGGTTTGCAGGGCTTGACACTTTGTTTCTTGCTGCGAGACTTCATCATGGCCAAAGAGCTTTGTTCTGCAGAGGACTGGTGTAGAATATATGTGCTAGCTCCCAGCTCGGCCTGTTGTTGCTGTTGATGATCTTGAAAACATAGAAACTTGAATCTTCCCAACCCCCCACCATAAGTTAAGGTTCCTCTCGAGGAGACGATGGCTCGGGTCTGGGGGCGGTCCGCCTCGGGTTGGCATGCAGTGGAGCTCAGTTGCGAGCACACCGTATCCGTCCTCCGTACTCGTACCTAGTATCCGTTTGGAGAACGGAAACATAGCCATGGACTCCTGGCACAGTCAGTAGTGTGAGTGTGAATTGTATTGCTCTTGTCCGTGGGATTGGTCACTCGTCGTCTAAGCGCTGGGAATCGAAGTAGGTTCAAGAAGGTACTCGGTATTCCGCCAAAGATCAGATCCGACGGTGGTCATCACCGCATGAATGCTTGAGCTCCCTGCCCGACACCTCCCAACCCAGTGGGCATCTTATTGGTTGCCAATTGTGCCCAGCACAAAGTTGGCTGCGCCTCGCAAGCTAGATCTGGTAGAATGCATACGTGCAGACTTGGCCCAATGCCATGCGTGATATCGTCCAAGTGGGTGGCGGCTGCATGCACGTCGCTCACACGACTGGGCGGACTTTGACTTGTGAGCTAGGCGTGATCCTGTGGCACCATGTTGGCGAGTCAGACTTAGGTCCACAGGGTCGCGTGTCGGTGCGTGGTCTTCGAGAATGCCTTATTCAGTCCTGCATGACCTGGTGGAAGCTATTTCGGAAGATATACACCACTAGACAGTTGTGATTGATGTGAAGCGTGACACGCGATGCAGGACGGTAAGCTCGAAGCCAGTCAGAAGCGGGAGACATTGAAACTCTGGGTCTGCGGTCGTGTGAAGATGCCTGGCAACACGTCTTGTCAGTGACGATCGACAGAATATTGTATGGTGGATGGATTCATGGTGATAGAGCTCATGTTCCCACCGAGCGATCCTGGCAGAGGACCAAACGCCAGATGAGGGGACCTCCAGTCAGCTGGGTGCAACGACGGAAATTTAGTGACTGCTGTGGTGCTATCTTTGTCACGGTAGTGGGACTCGAATCACCATACGAACGTGGGCACGAGGTAGCCCACGTCGGGGATCGGGCTGACATCGCTTCGCAGGAGAAGTATTGTTGGTGGTGGTGGTGATGGTGGTGCTGGGTGCAAACAATGGCGATTGTGGCATTTGTTCCGGTCTTGTGATTGCTGTTTGCACTTGGGTATATCCTCCCTGGAAGAGAGGCATACTGTAGTGGTAGAGGAGAGGACGTGGTGCGACAAATTGATAAACCACGCCACGTTTTCGCTGCCGGAAGACCAAAATCATCAGTTTGTCCTTAGTACGGTGTTTGGCGAGAGTGAGCCTGTGAGGGTGGTAAATGGCCAAGGGGGGCGGCGTTGCGGGAGCGGAAGCAGGGGCTAGAGCATTTGGTTTAGGGGTCGGCTGCCCCCGTGGATGTGGATTGGGGGGCAATTGACCGCCGTACCGTTACGGGCGCCTTACTTCTAAGGTGCCTAGACTCTAGAGGTTCCAGGCACCTACCAGGGGCCGGCAGAACCACTAGGGTTTCAAGCGGTTCCATGAACGGGCCCCAGCGACTGGTCCAGAAATCATGACGACATACCCACCCACCACCAGCACCACCAGCACCTGGTGGCAGGAGGATGGACTGCGCACCTACTGCGTTCTCCGTACCGCCCCCAGCCAGTGTGTAGTATCCAGCACTGCCAGAGTCCAAACGGTCTAAATGCCCCTTCCAGCATAGGTCCGGTTTTGAGTTCTTTTTGCTGTCTCCCATCCACCCATCCCCAGCAGGAGGCAAACAATACGAGGTACAGGGTCAGTTAGGTACCGGCGACAAACCAGGCAGATATGGCACGGAGAGTGGGAGACAGGGAGTCAGGAACGGAGCAAACAGACTGGAATATCAATCACCGCTCATGATGGAGTGATATATGTATTAGTAGTACGGGAGCCACCCCCAGTGCCCACCCCCATCGCTGAGCACTTCCCGCTTCTCCTCCTCTCCATATCTCAGGTACTTTTCAAAAATCTTCCAACAACACCACTACGTACTACTGTACCGTTGGCCTGGAGCCAAGTGCCACACAAGAAGAAAGCAGTGCAACGAGATACGGCCGAGGAAAATTGCCGCAGCGCAGCCCGCCGTCTTTGGAGTTACATAATCACAGTGATCGGAAAATCCTAGCGACCATCGGGGGTGCAGTGTCGGTGACTGACAGACCCCAATTCCTCCCTAGGAGTACTCCGTTCTTTGCCCTCTCACCACAAAGTTACTACTACGCCTCTTCCTCGACTTTTCACTCCTATTCTCGTCTAAACGTCAGCGGCTTCACATTGTGTCCGCAAACCCAGATATCTATCTGCAGATTGTCTAGTTCTTTCATCACCATAATTGCAACTCATCCGCTTTGCAGGATTGTTGTCACCAACCACCTCTAGCCAGCAAACTCCGACCTCCGAGGCCACCACTATGCACGCCACGGCCACCTGTTGACCGCTTGTACAAAACACGACACCGACCCGCCATTCCCTCCACTATACTCCTTCTCCCTTTGTATTAACAGAACCATGGCCTCTCCTCTTCCTCCCGACCCTTATGTGGCGTTAGGGGTTTCCAAAGATGCAGACATCTCAGCTATCCGCACCGCTCACCGAAAACTCGCTCTCAAGCATCATCCTGATCGTATCAAGGACGAAGCACAGCGGGAAAGGGGAAAGGATGAATTTCAGAAGATCCAACAAGCGTATGAGCTGCTCTCTGATCCTGTTCGGAGATCACGCTACGATGACCGAGTCCGCTTGGCCGAGCTTCGAAGAGAAGCCATGATGAGAGACCCGCCACCAACTGCCACGACCGCCACCAGAACATATCCTATGAGACCCGCTCCGGCTCCAGCTCCGACTTCTACTCCTGCTCGCGAGTATCGAGAAGACGGTAATTACTTTGAGGAGATTCGCCAACCCAGAAACCCTGCAGCATACGACTACCGAGATCCTTACGAGGAAACTCCCCCACGCACGACCTCGAGAAAATACCCCGAATATGAGAAGAGAGCGCCTCCGCCATCCAAGCCAGCCGAGAAATCTAAGAAACCATCGACTGTCTGGCCAGGCATGATGGCGGCGGCGGCGGCCGTGAAACTGAAGAGCCAGGCGGAGAAGACAAGAAACAGCAAAACGGAGGAAAAGAACAGAGATCGCGAAAAGAGACGGGATCGGAGCGAAAAACTAGAAACAAGAAGGACAGCATACGTTGATGATTCGGAATCCGAAATTGAGATCAGACCCTCCCTGAAGTCCACCTCCCGCTCCAAAACAACGCCCCATTTTGAGCCCGCGTCGGAAGCTCCACGCAGAAGATCTCCCCGCTCTGAGAAACCCCGTGAGCACGACGAGGCAAACTTCGACTACAAATGGGAGAGACACCATGAAGACAGTAAGGCATACATGGCCAAGGCGAAGAATCGCCCCAGCATGGATCGAGCAGACTCAGACGCCTATCAATATTGGGTCGGAGATTCGAGAAGCAGTGGTCGCAGAAGTGGCAGTGACAACGAAAGACGACCCAGCTCGTCCAAGGGACACCGAGCACCAGTGGAAGATTACTTTCCGCCGACCTTTTCAAAGTCTACTTCGTCTCCGAGCAACCTGCGTCCCCATGTGGAAGAGCGCACTCCCTCGAAGCCTTCGGCCAGTACGCCACGTGACCGAGATTGGGATCGAGAGCGTGACCAGCGTAGAAGAATGCCGCCAACTCTACCTCGCTCCCAGACCGCACCTGTCCCGAAGCTTTCGACCAAAAAGGACACCGCCCCGGCAAAGGGTTCTAATCTGAAGCATGCCGAAACTCAGATGCACGATTCGGGCTACGGAAGTAGTCCCAGTCCACACACTCCAGAGATGAGAGAGGGAAGCCCGCCGCCAAGACCTACCAGGCCTCGACAGACATCTACCAAATACCAAATCGTCGATCCAGATGATCGTGACGATTTCTCGCGAACTCCACGGGTCAACAAGCTTGATGACTATAGTGATCGTTATGCCAGAACCTACCATCGCAGCCCGGAATCAATGATTCGGGAGCCGATGCCACGAGACTCTGATCGTCGCAAAGAGCGACCTGAACACCCGAGAGTTGAAACTAGACCGTCTAAAGCATCCCGCGGCGCCTCGCTTATGGAGGATTTCGTCCAAACCCCTCCTGTCCGACGCACCGAGTCAGCACGCTATGAAGACCGGGCCTCGCCACGTTCGTCACGAGAGTCGCCGCCTGTTTCGCGCAACAACAGTGGCCGTGATAAGCTGTTTGCCGAGATCTCCCCTGATGATTCGAGACATGCTCGACCTTATCCGGTCGACAAGGTCCACATTGCACCTCGTCGAGAACCACAATACGCGACCTATATGCGTGATGCTCCTGACTACCGTGATGGTGAGCCTTCGTCACGTTATCGCGAGCCTCCTCGAATGAGACGTCCTTCGGTTAGTGTGGGAGGATACTGACGAGTGCTGTCGACCTTGGTTTGCTGGTTTATTTGGTATTGGCTGTCTGATCACAATCCTTGATCTTGTTTGATGTTCTTATCCCGTAACGATCTTTCCCACGTACCATTCACGTACATATCCGTGACAATCGATACCACATTCATTTCCGACTCATTCTACCGGTTCAGATTGGGTTCCTCTCATGGGTGTTGCAGGCATCGGTTCAGGTGGCAGTTGGTGGCACGGAGGACTTTCGGAGGTTGACATGGAAAGAAATTCGACTTAATGTGCATTTGAGTAGGGCTCAGAGGAGCATGAATCCCAGGATGACAGGACAATCTCGGTTTCTACACAAGAGGAGAGTATAGTCTGTCTGCTCGGCTTTCGACGGACAGGATGATTTGTACAGCCTATATCTGTCCTCATTCGGACATTGATGAGTAACGAAATGCAACGAACATAAACTGCTCTGCCTGGAGAAATGTTTCGATCGTGTAAGAGATGTCGCCCAGCCAGAGATATGACAGTATGTATGATTTGTGGTAGCATCCTTGACAGGGTTGCGTCTCTATATGCACCCCCCTTACCCTGTATTCTGCCCCAGCGGCTCGTACATCGGCCCCAACCCCCGGCTGTTGATACTAACATGATTGACTTTCCACCGAGACGAGGCGCTCTCATCACTCCTTACTTCCTCTGGGGTCTCAATCTGGGGTCGTGGGCACGGGCCAAGTTCAACTGTTCGGATTACAACCACCTGCGTCCATCTGCAGTGAGAAGCTAATTAGCATGGTTGAGGTCTCTCTGGCCTGGCCTGGCTTGGTATTTGGGAACGGAATTGTCCATAACGAGAGGCAAACAATTCGGCGACAGAAAGGTCGATCGATAGAGGTCGCTCAGCGGCTCGCGGGTTGTGTGCAGTCAGATTTGGGTGGTAGGGGAGGGAGAAATGAGAGAATGCCATTTCTCGAGCCGCTCACTTCCTCCCCAGTCTAATCCTACGGCTTGGTCATGTGTAGAGTAGGAGGAACGATGGTGTATCGGGGCAGAGGAGAGCTGGGTTTGCTTTAGGAGTAGTAGCAGCTGGTAGTAGTCACGGTTACTTGCCAAGCTGGAAACCCTTGTTGTTGACAAGGGATCCTAGTCCAGCGAATCCGCCCCCGACCTCAGGCTCTGCTTGTATCAATGCCAATTTTGTCCTCACAACTCGCCATCATGCCCTTTGTCAGCCTGGTATCTTCTGCTTCTGCGAGCTTGCATTGTTTCCGTACCATAGTATCCTAGCATTTAACCTGGTTCAACACCTACTGTTCGTCCTGCAACCCAAGCGCTCCTCTGCGACCTAGTGACCGCCCTTCTGCAAGCCCCTCGATCCGACTCTCCTCTTACGCATAGTCGTGGATTCTAGCCCGCCAATTTCCCCGTGGGTTCTGCATTCGACCTGTCGGGACCTTCCTCTTTGCAGCTGTCGACACCCCATTGGCGTCTCCGCACAGTTTGCATGGCCAGAGATCTCGTCCAATGTACACGGCGCGTTCACCCTGACTTGAGGGGACGTCCAGTTTGCGCTCATCAGCATCGGTAATCCTGACCATGGCAGGAGTTGTCTCTGCAGCACCGGTGGCGACAGTGGTGAACGGCTCCAGATCGCCGTATGATGTGGTATGTTTAGACCCCGGACGTCGGCTGTGCCGCCGAGCAGCACAGACGGTATGCGCCGTGCGGGCTCAATCGCACGCATGTCCATGTCCATGGTCTAGCACCAGAGTCTGACGTTTGATACCACCACTAGAACACCACTTCGAATAAAAGTCGTCCCTCTGCCCTGCGCCAGCTTTCCCCCTCCTCCACGCGTACACCACTGTCGGGCCTCCCGCCAAATCGAAAAGACAATGCGAACGGTCGACCGGCCCACTTCAGGGTTGAGGAGTTGGGCCAACAGCAGGGCACCTTGACACATAGTGGGAGTGAGGCAGACAGTCTGCTCGATCTATACAGAAGCAACGCAAGCAGTGGTAATGTCAGTCAGCAGCCCAGCTATAGTGACGTCCCAGAAAATATGTATCGGCCTGAGGACGACGATCCCGAAGGATGGATTCATAGGGACAAGTTGGCCAAGATCGAAAATGAAGAGCTACAGGCTGCCGGACTCAATCTGGCGAACGCAAGACGCAACGTGAGTAAGGCCGGAAGAAGAGAAACGAGTCGTGGTCGCCGCGGTGAGGGCCGCAATTCCTCGGAGACCGGGAGGGTCGAGACAGAAGAAGACACCCCACGACTGGGTGCAGCGGAGGAAGATGGACAGGAACGAGCCAATTGGGATCTGCGCACACCAGAGGAGATTGCGGCTGACCAGGCGATGCTGCAGACATCCCGGAACCCAGCCTTGAAGAGGTCCGGGTCAAAGATACCTGTGCTGACTTCAAGCCCTCTGCCCATACCACAAGAAAGGATTGATCGAGATACTCCTCTGGCGAGGAAACGTACTATTAGTAATAGTATGAGCCCGGAGGATGGGATACCAGTCTTGAAATCCAGAAAACGGAAAGGAAGTACCGGCAGCCAGCCTTTGCAGGATGACCTCTTTTCTCACGACACGACGCCGGTCCCGACGAACGGCTCCAAGTCCGCGCCCAAACCCGCATCTCCGATCAAGACGAAGCAGAAGACCGCTCAGTCATCGCCTCCTGGCACATCGTCCGGAAGGAAGGTATCTGGGACGAACAGGAAACCGTCCAACACTGCCAAATTGGGAACACCGCCTTCATTTGGCCAGAGACCCGGAACCAGATCGGGCGAACTAGATCGTCCTCGAACAGCGGTCAACAGGCCCGAAGGCGATCCTCCGTGGCTTGCAACGATGTACAAGCCGGACCCTATGCTACCTCCTGAAGAGCAAATCATTCCAACCCACGCTCGACGACAGCAGCAAGCCGCATGGGAACAGCAGGGAGCTGTCCCAATCACCTATGATCGAAATTTCTCACCCTTGGCCATCCACACCGGCGATGGGTTGGTCAAAGCACCGTCCCCTCACCCACCTTTGTCTCCATCACCGGAAAGAGAGGAAGAGCGTGCCCAGGGCTCCTGGCCCTTGAAGCCGGTACCCAGTGTTAGAAACTCCGGGGGCGGCAGGCCTGGCACTGGTGGTAGTGCTAATGGCGGTTACAGCACGATGCCCAGGGTGACAAGTCCGGCGATTGTACAGAGCCCTAGAATGGGCAATATCTCTACCACACCCACTCAACCGGTCCGGACACAAGTTCAGCGCCTAGAACCCCATGAAATGGACGAAAAGGCCAAGGACAAGAGCTGCGGGTGCTGTATTGTCATGTGAAAGTCCCAACATGGACTATTTCCTCTGTTCACGACAAAGTTGTTGTTCACTTGTGTTTGGGTACGGATTTCTGTGTCTTTCTTTCGATGCAATTCTAGCGGGAGTGGTGCTTGGTTGGCTGAAAGGCGCGACTCAAGGAGTTTTGACCTTATGCTTCATCTTTTCCAGTAGCGACGATGAGTCGAAAGCATTGCTATTCTGTAACCACCGGGCCACTAGTAGGCACGGGAAACAATTCGATAAGATGCCAACAAGGCATGTTCATCCAGCTTGCGACCCGGACAATTAATCATGGTCCTCACCATCCTTTTGGACTCAGTCTGTCTATCCTTACATGTGCTTGTCACAGTACGGCTGACCAAGAGAATGTCTGTCACGTGATGTTCAACGCCACACAGCGACATCAGCCACGATCACATCATCATGCAGCCACAGTACAATAGTGCTTCGGCAGCTTTCGCATAGCATCGTCATCGACCATTTGTCACCAGGGCAGTGTTGGCATACTGCTCCGTACTCCAAAATCACCACGATTAGCAATTCTACGATTCTAGATCGTGCAGCCTCCTCCACTTGCAGCATTCAGTATATATCAACCCGCTCCCCTCCAGCAACACCACCCCTCACTCTTCGCAACAACGATCCCAGTCAACACCGCAACCATAGCTTCCTCAATCTTCGCTCCCTTCCGGAACTTGACCCGTTCGTTCTTCTCCTCGGCACCAACCACGTCCCCCGCAGCCATGTCGGCGGCCAAGCAGAAGGCGCAGCAGATCATCGCGCAGAACCCGGTCGTGGTGTTTTCCAAGTCCTACTGTCCATACTGTCGGGCGACCAAGAGTCTGCTGTCGGAGAAGCACGCAAAGTACTATCTGTTGGAGTTGGACGAAGTCGGTACGTACATGTCCTCCCTTGCGTACAACTTCTGTACACCTTGTTCTGTACACCTGGTTCTGTACACCTGGTTCTGTACACCTGGTTCTGTACACCTTCTTCTGTACACCTGGTTCTGTACACCTTCTTCTTCAACGAGCGTTCTACCTCCCTCAGCCTCACTGCAGTCACTAACATTCTTTTCGTCTAGATGACGGCGCCGCAATCCAAGATGCCCTCGAGGAAATCACCGGCCAGCGCAGCGTGCCCAACATCTTCATCGCGCAGAAACATATCGGCGGCAACTCGGACCTTCAGGCCAAAAAGGGCGAGCTGGACGGTCTGTTGAAGAGTGCCGGTGCCATCTAGGTCCTGCAGGTAGAAGGAGGTTGACATGACGTTGTAACTCGATGGATGAACTCTTGCGCTAGAGAGTCGGTTTCGACGTCAAAACTACTTATTAGGAATATCCAAGTACTCCGTAGACAATCAATTCTTCGGAACTACCGCTGCGATGGTTCGATTCGACTGCCTGCGTTCCCAGATATTGTTTATTGTTTCTCTTTCTCCCTCACTCCGCCGGATACTGACTGTGTTGTCATGGTTCTTGTCTTCCCGATTGCGTTTGCGAGTACGAGCACGCAGCGCGCTCTGGAAGGATTTAATCACAGGCGCCCTCGACGTTACAAGGTGCATGTTTTCGTTTCGAATCCTCCTTTTCAATTGTATCTGCGCCTGTATCATGCCATGGATGCTGACATTACAGTCTAAAGAGAGTCCAAACCTGTATCATGCCATGGATGCTGGTATTGACCATTACACTGTAGAGAGAGTCCAAACCTGTATTATGCCATGCATGCTGACATTGACCATTACAGTCTAGAGAGAGTCCAAACCCAAACTAATCAGGGATCGTGATGGTGGTGGTGGTGGTGTTGTCAGCTAGCGACAGCCAGAATCTTTGCTAAGGAATAGTAATTGAGGACCAGATCCTCACTGGCAGGTCTGGTCGTGGCAAAGGGGTTTGTAGAACAACCCAAAAGCCGGCCAGGATCACCGAGCGATGAGAGTGTGTTTGCAGCCCGTCCACCGCGATCACCGAGCGATGGGAGTGTTTTCAGCCCACCCTCCCACCAGACTCTCTTTGCGCTGTTTGTTGCGTTCGGAAAGTACTGCATATTACATATTGCATATTGCATATTGGCCCGACGTAGTCAGGACATGCGAGAATACGAGAGAGCCCAAACCAAGCGCATGGCCTCCACCCGTAGATTCGATTCTGTAGGCATAACTGAAATCTGGACAAGTCTCGAAAAGCTTGACAACTCCAAGGCGGGCTGGGCAGGGCTGTAGGAGTTAGGAAGAGGTGGTTGGAATATTCATTCTTTCCGAACTCATTTGTTGCTTTTCTCAAAGGCTGGGTGCCGCGCCTGTACTGACCATGTACTAATACAGTGAGTGTGACAGTCAGGGATTATGACTTCCAAGTTCACCGATGATTGTCCTGCCTCGTTACCTCTCGAGTCCATTGCTTCACCATGGCATCTCACCTCTATGCCACTTGAGTGGCCACAGTCCCAACCGGTCGTTCCACAAATGCCACAACCCCATCAATCACACTCTGCCTTGCTGGCTCACTGCTGACAGTCTTCCCTGCGAGATAATTCAACCACAACAGTCTGCCCACCCTCTCGTCGGCGACTTCGCCCATTTTCAAGCGATCTCCCTTCTTATCCTCGTTCCACACTGTCAACTTCCCCTCGGCGTCACGGGCCAAAAGAAGTACTTCACCCTTCGGCAGCTTCCGTCTCGCGCCGCCGCCAAAGGCCTGTTTGAAATCGTTGAGGGCCGACCCGAACGATTCGTCCTGGAATGAAGGGTCCTTCCTATCACTGGCGAAGTGGGCGCTTCGAGCCGTAATCCCTCGCACAAACCCATCCCTTAGATGCATGAAATCCGTATTGCGCGTGGGCACGATCCGGAAAGCCGTCCGGACCTGACCGTCTTTGACAATCTTGTTCCAGATCTCCTCGCCCTGGTCTGGGTCGACCAAAAGATCCCGCAATTTCGACTTCTCATTGGCAACGAGCGTCGTCGCCACAGGATCCGCCACCGAATGAACCAATCGTTCTTGCAGACTTGCGATATCGCTGACGGCAATGTAAAGCCCCACCACGTAGACCTGGATGCTCAGGATGGAGACAGTCCGCACTCCCAGGCCCACAAGTTGATATTCGACGTCCTTTTGCGTCCCTTCGTTGGCAGCGGCAGGAGTTGAGCTGGGTGCATCGGCAGTTACGTGGATGACCTTGGGGAAGAAGGGGATCGTGGAGGTACCGGTAGGGACTTGTTCGACTTCGATGTCTTGGGAAGCGACACCAACCGCCCCTGCGCCTACTAGAGATGGCGGAGCATCTAGTTGTGCAATCTTTGTCTTGTCCAAAGCCTCCTCTTCATGGGTTGCCCTGTTCTTTCGCGGGTATAGCGAAATTGTGCCTACAATGGCCAGTGTGCAAAATGCAATCCCGTATGCGGACCATTTCATCCGCTTCAATGTTCGTGCGCGCTCGACCTTGGTATCTTCGGTTGGTGTAGCAGACTTCTGATAGCGACGCTTCAGCAATTCTGCCGACCCATAAGTTGGGATGGGGGAGGTATAGGATGCATTGGCACGAGTGGTGTGAGACAGGAATCGAGCGAAAGAAGACCGTTGATGTTGTAGGTGTGATGCTCTGCAGCTGCAGACACGGCGAGAGAGCATAGTCAGAAGCGGAGATGCCTTCATCTTGACTGTTCAACCAGAAACAATGTGGTATGAGCGACACAAAAGAAAGGGAGCTTCATAGGATACCTATGGAACTGAACAAGGTTGTATGACGCCAAGTGCGCGAGCTGTGCGGCACTCAGCTAAGACTCGTTCAGCCTCGCCGCCAGACTCTCCAGAGCAGCATTTCAGCCAACATTGTTTTTCTAAGCAGAGTCCTCTGTGTGATTTCTCAATAGAATCGAAATCTCAATTCTGTCGTCGACTTGTAGTAGCAAGAACTATTATCTTCTTGACCTTACTCCTGCAACCAGTGGCCACGATACAGCGGGCCACAAATCCTCGTAGATCTTGTGTCTTCCATGTCATAACCCCAAAAAATCCCCCATCGCAGCTGTGTGTATGCCGAAGTCCTCATCTGGGTTCGCCCCCGACACTTTCTAGCATCAACATAACAAGCTGGTCTGTGATAGTCGTGATAGTCGAGCACTTCGATGCAACAGTTCCACGTCCACCGCGACCATGCCCAACCAACCACAGTTAGACACCATCGGGCACATGTGGTCCATTCGAAGTTGAGTAACTAGGGCCATCGCCCTCGTTTTTCTGTTCAATCTCAAATCCCGCGCTTTCCAGGACTCTATCCACCTGTCTACTCACCCCGGGAATGCCCTCCTTCAGAGCCTTTGCGTAGATTTCACTAAAATCCTTGAAGGCCTGTTGTTTCCCGTTGATCACAGCATTGCCACGCTGAACATTTTCAACAAAGTCCCGCGTGAAGATGTCGGGGTTGCGCCCATCGTCGACGTAATCGACGATTTCAGGGGCAATCTGCACATGCTGGATATAGTTGTTCGGCGATGCAGTAGCAGAGGTCAAATTCTGTAGCCGGGATAAGGATTCGGCCAAGTCGGTCATTTTGTCGACCAAGAGGTCTTGAGTTTCAGGCACATAGCCATGTGTTTGGATTTGTATCTCGGTCAGATCTTGAATAATGTCCTTGATTGTGTTGTGGACGCTGCTGGTATCCTTTACTGGAGCCATCACTTGATGTCTAGGGGCTATTCGATACAACGCCGGATCCAGTGTAGAATCAATCTGGCCAGAGACTCGCCAATCTGGCGTTGTTGCTCGTCTACACTCGGCGGCTGGGATTTGCAGTAGCTTCGCCTGGTCCAGCAGGCCAGAAAATATCGGGTCTTGAATTATCGCACAGTTTGCTAAGACTGCCTGTTGCTCATCATATGTCTGGTACAGCTGAGGTGAAGGCTCGTTCGCGACAGGAGTCGCCTGACCGTAATCACTCTGAACTTCGGAAAACGTTGACGCTGCGCCGGATAGCAAGGAAGGTGGTGAAGAACCTGAGACTTCCGGGGGGCTGGAAGGCTTTCCTACCGCAGATCGTCGACCTCGTCTTGGAACTTTGAGGGTAATGAACGGGCCACTTGATGCAGTGGATTGGAGGACCTGGCGCAGTCTTTCGGATGTGAGTCGTATAGTGATGAAGGTGGATGATGGACGTTCAGTTTGTTCTTGAGCCCCTTCATCTTCAGGTGTTCTTATTATTCTTGTATCGCCAGCTGGCTTCTGAACGGGCCTGCGGACCCCGGATCTGGTTCGCTGACCTCGAGTCTGACCGTTGTTTGGTGGCGCAGGACCAGAATTGTTATTGGTATTTGTCGCCCCACGCCCGCCCTGGCCCATCTTCAGGAGCAGTTTCGGACCCATATTGAACGTCTCTCTCTGGCTTAACCACCAGTGCTTGCGGAGTGGTGTGTAGATGAGTCAAAAGGATTGTGAATCAGTGCTGTGGTGATAGGGAGCGGAGAGATTACTTGGGATGGTACAGTGAAGAGAGACCAAAAGGATTGTCAAGCTACAGACCGCGAAGTCTTCACTCAGCAGGTGCTACTGTCTCTATTCTTTGTTGCCTTGACGTTCTGCCGGCTGGTGACCGCCTTGCTCAAGTAGATGTACTCCAAGAGTCCTACCACACTGAACTACGCTACACTTCCCGGGTCCGCACTGTTGTGGTGGACTTGGGCGCATCGATCGATGTCTCTACCATCTCAAGCCCTGCGAGACTGGGATATTTCTTGCTGAAATTCGCTTCCCAGTCGTCGCCAGCATTGACACTTGCAGTCCCTTCACTTGCTACCACATCCCCATGCCCGCCCATTCCAGTCCGTAGAATCTTCGGCTTGGGGGGTGCGGTAGGTCTCTGAGGCCGTGTTTCTAATCGCGTGAGGCTGACGGCGGAGCCAGGAGCAGACACTGCTTTCGGAAAACCATGTCTTTCACCATCGTGGGTACTTTGAGGTGGAGGAGGTCTGGTCGATTGAGTCGATCTCCGCTCCTCCGATCTCTCCGGCGACTCCGCAGAATCAGTAAAGTGGCCATAGCCAGTCGCCGTCTTCTGTGCAGGCCTGGCATTCTCACCCAACAGAGACCGCACTCTGGCCTGGATGGAAGCTGCCTTGACCGTTCCTACACCATTGATACCAACGCCTCCTCTTGCTGTTACTCGTTCCCTGTACTCTGCAGCAGCATTGGCGACCCGTCGCTCCTCCGCCTCCAATTTCCGCTTCTCCAGCTCACGCCGCATTTCGGGAGATAGGTCTTCAGTCTCGTCCAAAGGTGGTCGGTCATCACTCAGGTCCGTAGCTTCTGACCCTGCGATTGGGGTCAGAACGTTGATCGGATCTAACGAAGGAGAATCCGCCCTTTCTCTTGGATAATCGGAGTCGTTGTTTTCAAATTTCTTGAAAGCATCGCCAAATCTACCGGCCAATAACTTTGTGGTTCCCGTCAGGCCTATGGACGGCACACTAGAGCGTTTCATGTGTCTCGAGCCGCTTCCCAAGCGTATGTGATGATGTTTCCGTTCTTTCCCTTCTTCTTCTCGAGACTTCAGAAAGTCCACGTCTGATGTGATGTTTGTCGCCGATTCGGAAGGAGTTAAAGGCTCCATTTCGGGCTCTGCGCTGGTAAAGGTGGCGTCGTAATCAAGGCCCTTGATGTCCTTGTCTTTAATGTAACCAGGTATGCTTCCTAGGTTGACACTTGCCGGTCGAGGTCTGAAATTTAACGATCTTGATCTACTAACGCCGGAGTTTAGATCCCGCATCAAGGGCCGACCTCCATCAAGAGAAGGTCGCGCCGAAACGAGTGTCCTCGTCTCCACTTCATCGGCAAGCTGGGATCTGACGGCATCCTCCCGTAACAGCTTTGCGAGCCTTGAGCTGTTGTTGCTCGGTTCCGGCGCCCGCGTCTGGCTAGAAGGCTGGCTCACATCTGAAGATCTGGGCGGTTGTTCACTGGGAGGGAGGCGAGTAATTGGCCTGTCTGGAGTCGGTTGAACATCCGGGGGTGGTGAAGGCGTGGTCATAGTGCCAGTAGACACCATTGAGGGTCTTGGTGCAGCGACAGGTGGCGCACTTACGGTATTGCTGACTCGTACCTGGGGTTCCTTGATTTCGAGAGAACCCTTATGCTGCAATACAGGTTGCGGTTTGGTAATTATCGGAGGCTTTTCTAGAGAAGCGTTTGTTCTAGCAGGACTCGGTCCTCTTGCAAATGCCTCATCTGCTAGGGCATTCGTGACTCGCTGCGCCAAAGGAGGGTCGACGGCTTCTGATCTTCTCTCTGTCTGAGGTTCGAATGCAAACTTGCTACCCTTGTCAGTCAATAGGGAGAACTGATCGAGGGTCGGAAAGCGGGAGGAGAGTTCATCTCCGACGGTCATATTGTTTCCATCCAGCGCTGCGAAGGGATCGGGGCTCTCCACCATGCGTAGAGGCGACGGACTGGGCTTGGCTGAGCCGTGATGCGATACAGGTTTCGTTGGACGACCTCGTCGCATAGGTTCTATTTGAGGGATGTTCGGGCGAGCCTCCTGTCTAGGTGGAGACAGTGTTGCGCCGGCTTTGGATTGAGAGCTTGGAGGCTGTGCTGGATGAACTTGTTCTTTCCCACTCTCTGAGAGAGTGCGGCGCGTGTAGATGTCTGGGGTCGTCAACTCTCGACCATCCATTTGGCACGCCTTCTGCAAGACCTGATATATGGTCGGCCGTTCAGAAGGCCGTTCACGAAGCATGGACGCGATTAACAGTTTGAGCTGATCGGAGAATCGGGGGTAGGCCGGAAACTTGAATCTGGCGTTCAGGATGGCCATCTGTCCAGCTTCTTCAAACGGAGTGGTGTAATAGCAGAGTTTGTAGAGAAACACCCCAAGAGCCCAGATATCCGCCTTCTCGTTGATCGGCTGTTTCCTATACACGTCAATCATCTCGGGGCTCCGGTATTGAAGTGTCGTATGGCGATTGATGTCGTGTTCAATTAATCGACCCTCAGCGGCTGTCGTAGCGGCTGGTCTCGCCGGGGCTGCAGAGCCGAAATCGCATAACTTGTATATCCTGGACGTACCAGACGTGGAGATGAGCACGTTCTCAACCTTCAGATCCCTGTGCATCAGAGGTGGTTTCAGATAATGCATGCATGCCACGCCCTCGGCCACGTCCGTGAATATCTTCAAGATCTCAGGCTCCGTCAGTCTATTTTGTAAGCGCGTGTTCATGAAGTCAATGAGTCCGCCCCCCTCGCAGAACTCCATGAGCAGAAACACCTCGTAGCCGCCGCCCTTCAATTGCGAAGCGTGAGAATCAATATATTTGACGATGTGTTTATGACCCCGCAGCCTCTTCATGGTCTCGACCTCTGTTCTCATGCTGGCTAAGTGGTCCTTGTCAGGGACGGCTACCCGTTTGAGGACAGCCTTATGGTTTCCATCTACAGGACGCGGCAGCTGAACGACGTAGACATGGGCGAAACCGCCCTCAGAAAGGTAGCGCTCGATGACCACCCGATGGTGTCCAACGTGAACCTTGGTACCGGGTAAGAATGTACCTGCTGGTGGCGCGGGTGAAGGTAAAGAAGGAGGAGCGCTGTTTGAGAAGGGACCTTTGGCCCCAAGTTGAGAGGCGTATACAGCCATGGTGGCCGGATGTGAGGTAGTTGTCGGACTCGGGGTGGGATTCTGGTTTATCTGTCAATCATAGCTTGGGCAGGCAAGGGAGGCGGTGGTCAACGGCTTTCAGGCGTCTGGAAGCGAAGGGCGAGGACAGCTTGAAGTCGAGTCTCAAGGCAGCCCTGAAGGAGGTCAGTCGTCGGTCGACTTGGGGCTCGTAGGCGGAACCACCTCAGTTCCACCGCAGAAGGGCACACTGTCCAAAAGGCCCTTGGGCGTGGCAGCACTATTTACCTAGTGACCATTTTGGCCCCATCGGCATCGTCGGCCCCATGACGCAGCAACGCGAGTTTTGCCCGCAGATCGATTTTTCGAGCCAGGCTTTATTATTTTGCAAGAACTTTGTCCCGTCTCTTTGTCTGCCGCAAACCACTTCCCGGCACAAATACTTTTCAAGACAAACAGAATGTCTATAAAACGAAAGCGCGACCAGGACGAGTCCGAAGCTCATCTTGTGCAGGCTGAGGCGGCTACTACAACGCAACACAACGGCGCAACCCAGGATTCGGAAGACAAATCGGGGAAAACAAAAGGACGGTCGCGGCAGGAAAGATCAGAACGCAGGTCGAAGAAACTTAAGAAGTCAAAAGAGAACAGATCTCATGCGACCGCTGAAGTAGATACCGTGCCGGTGGACAACAAAGCGGCCCCCCCCTTGGAAGTCGAAGCGACCGCACCCGACCAGAACCAGTCTGCCCTTGATAGCGAATTGAGTCAAAATCTATCCACCAAGACGAAGAAACCGCAGAAGGCAGCTAGCGATGAGAAGAAAAGTGCACAGGCACCGACAAGGTTCATCGTCTTTGTCGGAAACCTCCCCTTCAACGCGACAGCGTCTCAAGTGAGAGATCATTTTTCCAAACTCGCCCCAAGTAGCGTGCGCCTATCTACAGACAAGGCGACTGGGAAAAGCAAAGGCTTTGCCTTCCTCGAGTTTGACGCCTACGACAAAATGAAGACTTGCCTAAAGCTTTACCATCATTCTCTATTCGATCCCGAAGGCAAAGCTAACGTGGGCAAGTCGGGAGAAAAAGCGGCAGGGGGAAAAACAAAGGGCCGAAAAATCAACGTTGAATTGACAGCCGGCGGCGGTGGGAAGAAGAGCCAGGAGCGAATGTCGAAGATCAAAGGCAAAAACGACAAGCTTAACGAGGAGCGGAAAAGAAGGAGCACCAAAGATAAATCCGAACAAAAGAAGGCCGCCGCGCAAGGAAAGAAGCCTCCCGTGACTGGCGCAAACGCCGCAGAGGCGACTGAAGCTGTACAGGACGACCGCGGTGCTATACATCCCAGTCGACTTTCTCGGGTCGGACATTGATGTTGGCGGTTCATGAAATAGCGTTTCCAATTGCAGGCCACGGAAAACATCAGAAGATTTGAACCCCCCCTCTTAGCTGAACGCCCATCCTTCCAAATAGATTGCTCGTTGATTAATCATATGATGGAGATTCTTCACTCCCTAACCCCGACCGAATACGGTCGGGGTTGAAACTGAGCAAAGAAGAAGAGGAAGCAGCGAAGCTGGGAAGAATCTATGTCCACCTTTGTGCAGTGCGTTCCTATAACCACTCGCGTGCCCCAAACCCGGATCTCGCTCCAACAACGCTTCTAGAGAATGGTGCACCTCGATTTCTTCTTGGTGGTCGTTGGTCGAGGGTTGAGGACAGCTCTAGAATTTCCTATCAGTACACTCGTCCAATTTTTCGACCGAGGGTTGTCACCTGATTGCTTCGTCAAATACACTTTTGAGATTTCGCTGTGTCAATGCGGAGCATTCAAGATATTTGACTGCTTTAATTTCTTTGGCCACAGCGAGAGCCTGCTCGTACGACACCGGTTCCATCTTTTTCGCCCTCAGACTGTCGGCTGTGGCTTTGTCTTCTCTCAGATCCAGTTTAGTCCCGACTAGGATGATAGGCACACCGGGGGCGTGATGTTCGATTTCGGGGTACCACTAGGCCGAAACCTGTCAGCTCACAGGATGCTGAACAGCAAGGGAGGAAAGGATGCGCACCTTAGCCTTGACGTTGTCGAAGCTGGGAGGAGATACAATGGAGAAACATATCAGAAAGACGTCCGTCTGCGGGTAAGAGAGCGGGCGCAATCTATCGTAGTCTTCCTGGCCAGCTGTGTCCCACAATCCCAGGGAAACGGGTTTGCCATCTACCATGACACTGGCAGAGTAGTTGTCAAAGACAGTGGGGATATATTCGCCTGGGAAGGCATTCGTGGTGTAGGATATGAGCAAGCAAGTCTTCCCCACGGCACCGTCCCCTGTTACCACACATTTTATTGACTGCGTTGCTTGCGCCATATCTGGGAGATGGATGGATTTCGAGTTTGAGTGCTCGGTCGTTCAGCGAGTGTCGGTGTATATCGGGGAGGACCAAGGGGCGATGATGTCTCGGTCACAGCTGCAAGCCGCGGATGTGTTGATTTGGATGACGCGAACCGTGTCCAGCAGCTGGGGCGCGTCTTCGAGAAGGTTAACAAGCCCACAGGGCCCAGGTGTTGCACAACAGAAGTATGCAGGTCCTGTAGTTTGGGACACGATTCAGAGGGGCGACCAGGAGGCACAAATGGCTAGTTTGACAGCGTTGGATGCAGGTGTACGGAGCAGTGCAGTCGCTGAACTGTACGAAGTGAGTGCAGGTGAGAAAGGTGCGCTACAGTAGTGACTGCGACTGCGACTGCGCGGGAGCATCCGTAGTAGTAGTTGACTTCAAGTTGGGGGGATGCTGCGGTGGCCCCCAGAGCGGCTGCTCTTAGACCCAGGCCCCTAAACCCCCTAAACGAGGGTTAAGAGCTTCAACTTGGAGTTGATAGGCAATGACTCCTGGGACCGAGCCCCTCTGGCTAATGCACTTTCTGAGACGCGGCACTGTTGTGTTGAGCCTGGGGTCTGCGATAAAGTGACCAATATCTGGCAAGAGACTGTCTGTTTTGACATAATACTCGACATGGGCAGAGGAACTCCAGTGTTTTCCAGGCCATGTTTTGAAAGGGACTACCCACGGTGGCAGCACTGGTGGCTGTTCCGAGACACTTACAACCTCAGGTGACAGGGCTTAGGAGGCTAAAGTGACGCCCGTAACGAGCCAGTGATGGTGGTGATTGTTGAGTTGCAGGCATCTTTCCCACGCTGCCGCCGCTGCCGTACCCTGAAACACGACAGCACTCTCTACTCCGTACTGCAGCGTATGTGTGTATTGTCTCGTTCACAGCGGCAGTAGAGGTTGTATTTCTCCCTTAGCAGGGATCATTATCCAGCAAGGCTTGGGAGCCTCCTATGCCCTTCGATGCTAAAACTTCCCACTGGTAGATGATGACTGACACAGATGAGCACACAGTGGACCTTGTTGACCACCAGCGCGTGTACGAAAAGTTCCACTGCTGTTGTCTCGACCATTATTGTCGCCTTTGGCTCTTGCAGCATCTGCCATTGCGCACCCCTTTGCATTACTCCGTCTCGGCGCCTTCAGGGAGGGTAGCGATTCTATTGCCGAAGGGGGGACAGCCGTCGAGTGAGTGGTGGTCGAGGTTTTGAACTCTTATCGGAGCTCAACTTAATGATGATGCTGATGAGAATACATGCCCAAAGAAGCTCAAAGAGCATCAGGCAGGGCTCCGTACTCATGTACGGTGTACCTAACTGCAGTACATACCTAACCTACACCATTCCTTCAGGCCTCCAGAGAGGTGTCAGGTTCCCCGCTTCGCAGCAAACGGCCTGAAAAGGTTAGTGGCATCATCACATGGCTCTTCCCTTCCCTTACCTATTCTCTCATTGCTGTTTCTGAAATATCGTATCGTTTCTAGTGTTAGGGCTGACTTCTGCTCCGCCTCGATTTCGTGCGACCTGTATCCAAACACCATTGCGCCTCTTAGTCATCGCGCTGAACGTCTTCCTCGAGGGGACTTCCGGTAGGCACTCGGGTCATCTAAATATCCCCGAGATACTCTTTCAAGCAGCATGGAACAATTGCAGCGCCGCCTACGACAACATCACAATAACGCCGTCAGACAAGGTTGTGTGCCCTTTGTCTGCTAATGGCGTGCACGTTACGAGGCACTGGCCCAAAAGGAGCCTCCCTACCAATTTAATACTACTACTCGACGTTGCTTCCATGCGGCTCTGCCTTGTCTCTGATAGCTTAGGTTCTGTCCACCCCCGTCGACACTTGCCCTAGAGTAACGGAGATCAACTGCCTCTTATCGACATGTCGAACGCAGTCCCAACCAGACCGCCGAGAAGGTTTCAATTCATCGACAATAGCGATGTAGCTTCCATGAGAACCCATTCGACTCAGGTTCGACGTCATGTCATGCAAGAATACATGAGAGAAAAAAGGTGGGAAGCCCGGTCTAAGGCTGATGAGGGCGCCGAAGGTGCTCTCCAAACCCAAAAAAGACCTGCCAAACCACGGTCACAAACTCCAGCTAGCAAAGCGCGCTCGAGGAGCGGAAACATCGTGAGCCTCAAACCACCCAATTCAGAGAGCGGCAAGTCATCCAGAACGACTTCAGATGAAAAGGATGTAGATCGCGCCAGTGACGTTGAGGAGGTTGTCCGTTATGGGCCTGAGCGTCCTCCAGCTCCAAGGAAATTGATGAGCTCTTTCCGCTTGGGGTCAGCGTCTTTTGCCAGGCTTGCAATGATGACACCTCCTGCACTGTATTCTCCTCCTGCTACCATCTCGTCTGGCAACTCTGCCGCTTCTCCCGACACGTGGACCTGGCCGTATGATGCAACTGCCATGCACAGTCCAGAGCCGCAGTCGATTCTGAGTGCAGCTCGAACCGACCCGTTCGACTGCCTCCCGATGAAACTCAGCGTACAGGATCAGGAGCTCTTCGACTTCTATGCCAACGTCATGCCCTCGTGTTCGTATGGATTTGAGAGGCGGAGCCCACATGCTCACAACTGGTACCTGTCAGTTTTCATCCCGGAGGCAATGAAAGGGGCCGTCTGCTTCCAAAATACAATCCTCGTGCATGCGGCTAACACCCAAGCCTGGGCCAAAGGGCTCGCTGAAACACCACTTGCTATCGAACACCGAGCGAGAGCCTCCCAATTGCTTCTCCATCACTATCAGCAGTATCCCCACGATACTTCGGACGCAACAATCTCTGCCACCCTCTCTGCTGCAGCCTTGGAGGATTTTGACCCTCGTATTGAGCGGCGCAGGTATGCATGGATGCACTGGCAGGCAGCGGTACAAAAGATCCGAGATCGAGGTGGTCCTGCAGCCTTGGTTCAGCACAACAGGCTACAAATGCTGATCAACTGGTCTGACTATATTTTTTCTGGATACAACGCCCATGGCGCCACGTTTTATTTCGACTACCAGTCGTCCCCCTGCCACTTGAATGAACAAGAAGCTGAAGCTATTGCTCGTGCAGAGATTGCACAACAGTGTAATGAATTTATCACGTTCCTCAAATGTGCAGAACATCTCGCGCTTGAGCAGGCCGGTATGATGACCAACCCCATCTTGAGGAACCAGCAACCCCTACGCTACACTGTCTTTCTTCCTGGGCAACCGCTCTACAACCTTCTAGCCAGCCCCAATGGCCCACGCTATACTGAGACCGGACAGTTCAAGCAGATAATTTCCAGATTGGCGGCTCTGATGATGATAAACAAGGCCGTCTGGGAATATCGTCACTCTACGGAGTTCAGTGAAGGGTTCTTGGTGGAACTCGTTGAAAACATATTGCACAATGACCTGGATCAGTACATCTCGGTGGAAGCGCTCATACAAATCTTGTTGAGCGGCTGTAAGGATCCCCTGTTGTCGCATACTGAGCGACCCTGGTTTGTAGGCCGGATGGTGAAAGTGTCCAAACGGTTGACGCGACCAACCTTTGAAAAGCTGAATGAGTTGCTATTGCGTTTTCTGACACTCGGGCCAGAATTGGAGCCGGTCGTGGTAAGCTGGGAAACCGAGCTACGTGCCGAAATCATACAAGCGCCTCTTGTCAGCTACCAGTCAAGGTTTATGCAGGGATCGGCTTGATCGTGTGTTTGTGTTTGTGTCTCTTTGGTGGCAGACTGGTCGAAAGTCCTCGGTGCTATTCCTTTGCTGCAGGGATGATGTGGCGGCATGACGCTCAGTCAGCTGGCAGAATGACAAGTGAGTGGTTTACTAACTTCAGGCGGAGTAGTATGGCGAAACCCCTCGTTTATTGAGATGCCATAACGTTTTGAGGCTGCCTGCTGCAGAGCCGACGAGGACAGACATGCACTTGACATACGAGCTCTTAGGTGCACAAGTTACTGGGAGCCTGACAGAACTGTGCGACATGCTTCAGCTCGAACACGATATGATGGATCAGACTCTCGAGGAGCATGAACCTAATATTAGGCGAGTTCTTTCACCTTGGCCCCGCCACGGCTTCAACCTCACCTCAAGTTCCTTGTCACTCGTCAGCAACTAAAATGTCTTTTGTATCCATCAGCTGAATAGCCTCTTTGCCGCATGCCTCGATCATCAAGATCATGCTATTAGCGGTGCAACGAGCCTTCCGAGCAGAATGCTCTTGGTTAGCTTTTGTTGTGCTTTCGCCTGCCTAGGAGCATTTCTCTTTGGCTACGGTGAGTCGACTATTTTTCGCAATGAATCCCCGTGTCGGAGTATTCCCTGCCGTGCTTGTACGTGGAACAGTCTTCTCGAACGGGCATGACTTCACGTGGACGGCGCCACTGAGAAACCACTGCTGATCGCAAGGACCGTGATACTGTAGACTCAGGCATTATCGCTTCTTCGATAGCACAGTCGGATTTCGTCGATCGCTTCGGCCATGGCACCTTATCAGACAATACTGCGGGTGGAATCGTGTCATCCTTTACTGGAGGAGCCATCATTGGATCCCTGTTCCTCAACCTCTTGTCTGATCGATATGGCCGCCGTGCTGCCATCTGTTTTGGCTCCTCTCTTGCCTGCCTGGGCGGCGCTTTGCAAGGCGGAGCGAACAGCGTTGCTACGGTCATTGTCGGGCGAGTAACTGCCGGCATCGCCGTTGGCTTACTTTCCGCTACTATACCGAACTATTGTTCCGAGGTCGCTCCTCCCAGGATCCGGGGCATGCTGGCTGGATTACAACAATGGAATATCGGCCTCGGTTTTGTCTGCGCCCAGTGGATCGGCTATGGTAGCTCTTTGGTTGAGGGTCCATTCAGTTGGAGGTTTCCTCTCTCGATCCAGGTTCTCCCGTCACTCGTACTCACCATTGGGGTATGGCTCCTGCCCGAAAGTCCGAGATATCTCGCAGAACGTGGACAGACAGATCAGACACTTGCCGTGTTGAGAAGGCTACATGACGACGAAGAGCTCATTGAGACTGAGTACGTGCGAATTGAACAGAACCTCCAAGCTGAGCGACATTCTCGCCTGGGTTGGTTGAACATGCTCCAACATCCTTCACTTCGACGGCGAGTGCTCCTTGCTTGTGGGATTCAACTTTTCACGCAAACATCCGGCATCAACGTTATCAACTACTACGGACCAAGGATCTATGCCCTCTTGAATTTCAGCCCTACTAAGAGTCTTCTTATCATCGGCATTTACGGCGCGCTCGCACAGGTCTACAACACCATCTGTCTGGCTTTCGTGGATCGGGTGGGCCGGCGCAAGCTCCTGATCCCGTCAATGATAGGCATGGGAGCTGCCTTGTGTGTGAATGCCACTCTGGCGCATTTCTACATCGACGGAAATCACCAGAGTGGTGGCCGGATGGAAAATGCGCTGAGAGCCTGTGTGGCCATGAATTTCGTCTTCTCGATCTTCTTCACCAGTCTAGGTTGCATCAGTTGGATCTTGTGCAGCGAGCTGTTCCCAACGGCAATCCGAGCCAAAGGCACATCGTTATCAACATTCACAAACTGGTCGACTAACCTCATCGTCGCACAGTGCTCGCCAATTGCACTTTCGAGGATGGGATACCAATATTTCTATGTATTCACCGCCTTCAACTGGGTTGCGACTGTGGTGGTGTACCTGTTTTACCCAGAGACCCAGGGACACAGTCTAGAAACGATGAATGAACTGTTCGGTGATTTGCAGATGCGCCCTTCTACGGTGTACTCCAGCGAAAATGTCCAGGTTCACACTATATATTCAGTGAAACGCATGATTGGAAAGGGCTCTGGGTCAGGAAATATAGGACCAGGCGCTGCTACAATGCTGCATGGCCCGTCGCCCGTTCATGGGGAGGCAGCTTCTCAATGCCGGCAGATTGAATCAGCTTGATGGATACCGCTCCTGCGAGACGGTCACTTGATGCATCTCCCTGGCCACTGTCCGACACTCTGTATGTAGCACGCAGCTCACTCAGCGGTGCTTTGGCCTGATACTTGTGGATGGCGCAGTGATACCAACGTGGCAGCTCTTGTATCGCACGAGCGGTGGCCCCACGGTACTATTTCTAGAGCTGGCAAAGGGTTGGTGAGAACGGCGACCGTCGGGCGTGGGTAATGAAATTGACGATCAATCCATCGTGAGAACTTTGTGTTCATGCATTGTCGCTCATCATGATCTGCGCGCCGACTGAGTGTCCGTCCTATACCGGAGGACATTAATATATGTATCAGAAACACGGAACATCTTGTCATGGTTCTTGTCCATGTGCCAAAGGGCGCAATGGGGTTTGGGGCGGGAATTACAGTCCTAATTAGTAAGTGGAAGAGCCCAAAGCCACGCGACGAAACCGCTGCCCCTCGAACGCCACCAAGCAGCGACAGGGAGCGAGGAGTTTCCATGGGGTTTGAACTCGCAGTCATTGGGTGAGCCCACGAGTGAATCCAACAGTCGAGGAAGCTTAGAGGTGCTTAAGTCCACAGCCGATGGGGCTCCTTAGGCGTCACGGCGGCAAAGAAACCGCAATTCAGTGTGCACACGCGACGGCCATTCGTCGATAGCAGACAAGAGCAGACCCGGAGCCAGGGTCCCATGCTTTCAGTGGAGGCTTGGGGGTCTGAGGAGCCCAAGGCTGCCTGTAAATGGCCGCAGCCAACCTGCGGAAGCGGGAGCAGGGGAGAGAAGCATCGGCGGATGGCCGCGCACTCGACACCTAGCACCTGGGACCGGGAGGGACCCAGAGGCCAAAGGCTTAGGTAGGCTTAGGCCCAAGACTGACTTGACAGGGGGCTTGGGGGCTTAGGGGCCCTTAGGCTTGATAGTGGACGGCTACACCCCGGCTATGTACCTAGGGATGTACGACTATCACCATCAGGGCCAGAAATGAACCCTAAGCCCGGCGCCCTCTCGCACCAGCGTCCATTTCCAGTCACTAACAGCATCCGGCCTATTGCTACCGTTCCACCCGCCGGCCCAAGCTCCGTGCATCGTTCATTAATTCATCGCCCATGACGGCATCTGGCTGGCAAGTCCTGGTGGTCCCCCGAACAAAAGGTCGAGGGGCCCCTAAGCCATTGATTCGGCTGCTAGTAGTCGAAAGGACCCAAAGACCAGCGCGAGATCGGTGCTCTCGCTATTTCTTGTCGCTGGCTAATCAATCGATTGTACGTACCTTCTTCGCACTACATCCGGACTTGTCACATTGCGACGCTGTCGTACTCTCTCTTTTTCCGCACAACGGTATTTCGACTTTTCACATCATGGCCATCTTCCTAGCCTTCTAAACCCTCGGATCCGCCACCTGAACCGCCCCCGGGCATCTCCTTCGCCGGCATCGAACCCACCTCGATCGTCCCCCAGTCCTCTTGGCCTGGCCGTTCCTTTCCATGCGTCACAAGTCCGGACCAAGTCAACTTCACCCTCAACCGTCGATTTACGAGCGAATGGGTGCACTCCCACCTTGCCACATCTCGCTTGACCGCCTTTCTCTAACCAAAGTAATCCGACTCGATGGGCGACCAAGAGAGGGTGACTCCTCGGTCGCTGCACCGCCCATCCGATGAGGCACTGGGGAAAAGTGAACTCGCTACGCCTGTCCTCGCACCTTCTACTCATCAAAATGACTCGAACGCTTCGGATTCGCGCCCCGAATCGCCTTTGCCCGAGTCGCCTTCAAGCGAGTCCGGCACCAAGCCAACCCCGCCCATGCAAAAAAGGCGGCGGGTAACGAGGGCGTGTGATGAGTGTCGGCGCAAAAAGATCAAGTGTGATGGCAAGCAGCCTTGCACCCACTGTACCGTGTACAGTTATGGTATGTTTACTGTAGCCGCTTTCGGTCTGCGAGAGTATGTCTGGAGTGAGCACGATTGACCTTGTCTCGCAGAATGTACGTACGATCAGCCTTCGAATCGCCGAAGAAACCCAGCTCCGCAATATATTGAAGCCTTGGAGCAGAGATTGCACAAGGCCGAATCCATCCTACGCTCCGTTCTTCCCAACCTGGACCTTGACGACCCCAAGTTTGACGCCCGATCTGTCGAGCAACTGATCGAGACCTCGAGAACGGGATTGCCCACCAATGGTACCGGAGGTCGGCCAGCGCCGGCGGACTCTTGCTCGAAACCAGATGACGATGCTCAACTTCAATCCATGGTCGACCGCACCGGGGCCTTGGATCTGGATGACCATGGCAATTGGGATTTCCACGGCCATTCGTCAGGTTATGTGTTCATGCGGAAATTCCGTCCCCAATTTGGCGATCAGTATCTGTACCAGTATCTACACGCCGGGAAGAACCGCACGATATCTCAGATTTTCGAGTCTCCCAAATCTGCCCATTCCTCCCCATACGACTTTTCCCATGCCGTTGGCGTTGATTTGCCCGCAAAGGAGGCCGCCATCGAACTGTGCCGAAACACCCTCGATGACTGTTGCGCTTTGATGCGCCCCATACATCGACCAACTTTCTTTCGACGGCTTCATGCTATCTATGATACAGATCCCGAGCAATACAACAATGACCATGTTCAGTTTTTGCCTTTGCTCTACGTGGTGATGGCAGTGGGCTGCCTATTTGCCAAGACAGAGAACGACAACGCTATGCTGAACCTCAAGAATTACAAAGAAGCCATTGAACAGGGGTATGTTGGACCTGGCTTGAGAGTCCTTGTCGCTAACTGCGAGCCAGATACCAATATTTCCATACTGCAAAGCAGATGCTCGACATCACCGACTGCAGAGATTTGGTGACCATCCAAATAGTCGTCTTTATGATCATGTTCCTCCAATCCACCGCGAAACTGCCGATTTGTTACGCTTACCTGGGTATCGCTCTTAGAGCATGCTGTCGTTTGGGGCTCCATCGAAACGTCCCTAACAAGTTCAGCCCCATCGAACGGGAGGAACGAAAGCGCATTTTTTGGGTAGTCCGGAAGATGGACTCGTATGTTGGAGCGGTGCTTGGGCTTCCGCAAATGCTGAGCGATGATGACATCGATCAAGAATTTCCCAGCGAGGTGGATGACCAGTACATCACCGAGGACGGCATCCAGCCAATGCCAGCCGGCACGTTCCCACTCCTCAAAGCGACCAACGCTCACACCAGACTCACCAACATTTTAAGGAAAGTGGTTCGATACATTTACCCTATCAAAGGATCCGATGGATCACAATTGGATCCGAGATACAGCATCAGTCATAAACAAATAAGAGAGTTGGAGCGTGATCTGCAGAATTGGATGGACCAATTACCCCCCGAGTTGAGACCTTCGGAAAATGCAGGACGAGAACTGGCGAGGTGAGACCACTCCGACATGTTTCATGCGAAGAAGGGTAATGATTTGCTGACACATGACAGGGTTCAACAGCTCCTTCGAATGTCCTACGCGCACGTGCAGATGATGATCTACCGCCCTTTCATCCATTACGTATCCCAGGTGTATCAGTCGAAAAGCCTGGACAAGCGGAGCTTTGCTTGTGCGGCTGCGTGTATCAGCGTTGCAAGAAACATTGTGCATATTACGAGTGAGATGAAGAGGAGGGGCCTACTGGTGGGATCGTATTGGTTTGTCATGTACACGACTTACTTTGCAATCTTATCACTCGTGTTTTTTGTCATTGAGAATCCCGACAGCCCTGCGGGGAAAGACATTCTCAAGGACGCAATCGAAGGCCGGGATACGCTGGCCGGTCTGGCGAAACGCAGTATGGCTGCAGACAGATGCACGAACAGCTTAAATGTAAGCCGGCCCTGACCTGGTGCAGGATTGCATGCTAACCTATCCTCGGGCAGGGTCTCTTTGAAGTACTGCCAGAAAAACTCAAAGAGCGACGAAGTTCTCTGAACTCGGCTTCCACCACGTCTCGCAAGCGCCCGCCACCGGGAAGTGAGCCAGGCTCGTTGCAAGCGAGGCAAACCGCATCCAACATTACAACACCGGCGAGTCTGAGAGAAGGCTCTGCAACTCCCAGTCGAGCCCGGACGCTCCCGTCCGACTTTCTAGCCAAACTCGCCAAAAGAAACTCCATGCCTGATCCCCATGCCCTCTCAAATCTCTCTGACAATGGCACGTCGGTGCAGACGCCCCAGGTGATGGGTTATCAAAGCCCGACTGTGGCATCCCCCCTCTCCGGGAGCTTCGACTTCACACCACAGATGGGCTACGCGCAAATTCCCGACTTGAAAAACGTCATGTTCCCTAGTGACAATCCTTTTGCCTACCCGAACCAACCCATCAGCACCCTCGAGTCGGCCGACGGATCATATTCGTATCAGGACCATGCCATAACGCCGACTGATGGTAGCATGTTCGGCACACCGAGCAATTCCCATGTCCCACTAGGGCCGATTCCGCCATCACATCTGGGGTTCGAATTTTCGTTTCCGCAAGCACCGAACGAGGCGGCTAATTTAAGCCACGATTTCGGTGGTAATGGCGGACATTTCAGTGCGCCCTTGACCGACATACTTATGCACAACGCTATTGGAGACCACCTCCATCTAGGGGGACTAGGTGATTTCTCCGAGACAGTGAACGTTGCGGACATTCCTGGAGCCAGCCACCATGAAGAATATTGGAGCCAAGTGGATAAAAGGCCGGGGGAATTGGGAAATGGACTCGCGCCTGGAGTACACCCGAATTTAGAGGGATACCTCAACCCGGAGAGTTGGACTCAATGGGGCGATCAACAATATAACCACCAGCAGCAGTAACGCCTTGGTTTGTCATGGCCACACGGGCGTTTTGGTTGAAGGATTGCATCAACTAGGCGGGTCTCGGGTTTTGTGGTCCTGGGAGAAGGGATAGCACGGCATCTTTGATTTGGAGGAACGTTGAACGCGACAACTTGGATAGTACAGCGAGTCTTTTGGGCGCGAAGGGATGGTTTGTGTCATTAGAGCGGCGCCAATTGACTCGAATGGGCCGTTTTGAGGACTCTTCTTTACGCAGAGCCTACCGATGGGAATCAGGCGAATTGTTTGATCGAACGATGGCCTGCTTGTGCCTTGCAACTTAACGTCTATAGGATCATCAGGGCAGTGACATGGTCGCAGGTACCTTCTGACAGAATAAATCTAGACCCATGGTGAGTACATGTAAGTACAAGTAGGTATTGTACATGTAGGCAGAGAACCAAGACAGACATCACAAGCATGACTACATGTAGGTTAGGTAGCTAGCAGGTACTTGCACTCGCGCAATTTCCAAGCTTTTCCGCCGTCCAAGAGATTCCGCCCTGTATTGGCAACGATCCAAGAGAATTGGCAGCATCATTGGCATCGGCATTTAATTACTTAGAACTCCTACCCACCCACTTACTGAAAGGTGCAGCCACCGCCTAGTACCAAGGGATCTTTATAACTACTACATACTGCTCTTCGACAAAGTTGCTGGGTTTGTTGGGCGGCGATTTGCCCGAGTGATATCTTTGACCATCAACGCCGACGTCTTCAACATCCACTTGTTTAAGCCTCGATTCTGTACAGTATAATCCAATCGTCCATTCTTGATGTGCGGATACTGTTCTGTTGAGTAATGAAAAAAGGGTGGCGTCACAGCAGTCGCAGCAGCAGCGCACAATTCTACGAATACATTCTTCTGTGCTGTGGACGGGACGACAGACTGACCATGCCTACTAGGTACTGAAAAGGAATCACTATCACTGCCAATGTACCACAGTAGATTTTGCAATGATACCATACATCAAGACATCAATGGATTACTGGATTACTGGATTACTGCCTACATGCAGGCGTGCAGGTAGTAGTCGACGGCGAGGCATAAAAATTATGCCAGTCGACAGGGACAATTTGTGTGGTATTAATATTTGCCACCTACAACAAATGGCCGCTTGGCACCATTGCCACTAATTACATGTCTTTCCCCTGTATGCCGTAACTCCGTACTCCGTAATTAGTGCTAGGATTATTGGCATTTGGCCATTTCTCTTGTCCCGCTCCCAAGAAGTTCCAAGAAGACCCAAGAGCCCAAGAGTCCAAGACCTTTCCAAGATTTTCCGAGGAGCGCCCAGCGCCCAGCATTATTGCGCGCAGAGGGCTCCTAAGGCTGGTTGTTAAGCTGATGTTGGATGAATGCCCATGTCCTCCGCTGCGACTGCGAAGGTGAAGAACACGCGACGCCACGCCCACGCCCACCACGCCACCATCTCCTCCTCGCACCAGATCCAGAGCATCACTGATGCCTATTTCAGCTCTGCCTTCCCACTTCACCCACCGACAAAAATTCGCTTCCGTTCTCCCAAACACGGACAGGCGCCCCACCTGGAGGCCGCTGACTGGTGACTGGTGACTGGCGACTCGCAACTTGCGCTGCATCCGAGTCTGGCCTGGCACGGTCGCACCTTCCCCCTCCCTTGCTTGGAACTGTACCCCGTAGCGGCTTGGCAGACGAATCATTGCCAAGTCCGCTGACGACTAACCCTCTTGGCGCCGGGCTGGCATCAAACTGAGTTGCTCCCAGTCTGCCGCCGTATTGGCCGCCCCTAACTAGACACTTTGGGCTGCTCCCTGTCCACTCACCCGCAGCCATCTGGGTGCCATCCATCCACCAAAAGGTTCGCTCGAGCCCTCACGCTCTGCTCTTTTGCCTACCTAATTACCTAGTGGCATTATGTGCTGCGAGTACGGAGCACCGAAGAGCATTCCGTACTCTGTCTGATGCACTGCCAGTGCTGTCGCTGTTCGCTCCCCTCCCATCTCCCGCATGTGCCAGATAAAGCCGACCAGGCCCATCCCATCGCCCTCCGACAAAAGTAGTCTCCCTCGCCTGCCTCCCTGCCTCCCTTCTGTCTTCCTGTAGTCGACTCTTCTTCCAAACCCCTGCCACGAACATTCCCTGTCCTTCCGCCTCTCCATCTCATCGTTGTCCCAGGAGAGTGCGCAGCGTCTAAGCAGCGCCATCAGTCGTGCACCCCCCGAACCTGCAGCGCGCCCGCGGAAAGCTCTGCTGCACTACCTTTTCTCGCCTCTCACTGCTTTCTCCTTGCTGAATTTCTTTCACATTCCATCAACCATCATCAACGCCATATTTGACGAGATCTTCTCGAATCGTCGAATCTCCGCTCCGCAGCCTCGTCCTCGTGCTTAAGAGTTGCCAAGGTTGATTCTGCGATCTCTTGGCTCCGCGACCTGAACGCGTGCTTGGCAAGTCACCGCAGTCAACAATGTCTGATCTCGGCGAAACCAGCACCGCTGGCACAACTACAACCGCCGCGGCGCCCAACCCTCCTGTTCCCCAGGATGTGATTCAACAGCAAGGTCAACTCCAGCAAGGCCAGCTTCAGCAAGGCCAGCTCCCGCAACCTCTGATCCAGAATCAGCCGGCGCCCAATGTCAACTCGGCCGGCGAGAATTTGCAGTGCCAGTGGCTAGGATGCGGCGAGCGCTGCAGCTCTCCGGAAGCCCTCTATGTGAGTCTCTCTCCTCCACATCCGTGTGTAGCCTGCATGTTGCAATCCCACTGACCGTCCTCTCATCAGGAACACGTCTGCGAGCGTCACGTCGGCCGCAAATCCACCAACAATCTCAACTTGACCTGCGCCTGGGGGACGTGCAGGACCACCACCGTCAAGCGCGACCATATCACGTCCCATATCCGCGTCCATGTCCCTCTGAAGCCTCACAAATGCGAGTTCTGTGGCAAGGCCTTCAAGCGGCCTCAGGATCTCAAGAAACATGTCAAGACTCACGCTGATGACAGCGTCATCATGCGCTCTCCTAACATGGAATCTAACGGTGGACAGCGTCAATCCCAGAATGGCATGCCTCAAGGTGGGGACTACGCCTCATACTACGGACATGGTCTGACGGGACAAGTCGCCCAAAGCTACTATGCTCCTGCTATGCCAGGGCCGCAAGATTACACCGGTCAACATCATCCTAACCAATACTACCAACCACATCCCTCGGTTCCCGTAAGTGCCATGGTCCAGTCCGAGCGGCTCGATTTGTGTACTTACATGTATCCTCAGACAGGGCAGCACCCCGGTTATGGTCCGGTGACGTACTACCACACTGCCACTAACGGTCCTTATGATTTTGAGGCTCGTAAGCGTGGGTACGATGCTCTCGATCATTTCTTTGGCCAAGTTAGGCGGCGAGAGCTTGACCCGGTCAACTTTCACAACATCAGCCGTCGCCTCTTCGAACTACAAGGTCTGCAGCTGCCCCAAATCATTCCATCCAGCATCCCGGCTCCCGCCTACCAGCCGGTTTCCGTTGGTGGAGCCTATGAAGCGGCCGACCCGATTCAAGCTTACAGCCTGCCGCCAATGGGGAACGCAAAGACAAGGGAAGACTTGACCTCGATTGATCAGATTCTTGAGCAAATGCAAGCCACCATCTATGAAAACGACACTCACCTCGGTGCGGCCGGTGTCGCCCAAGCCGGCTCGAATTATGTTGCCTACCGCACCAGCAACAGCCCCCCGAGCGCAAATCAACTCCCGTCGACTGCGACACACAGCAACCCAGGCGCCATCCTTCAGTCTCAACATCAAGCCAGCATTGCAAGCACCGCCGATGCCAGCACTCCAGGCCTCACCCCTCCCTCGTCTGCACAGAGCTACACGTCTGGCCAGAGTCCTATGCAGGGTCACACCGCACCCACCAGTAATGCCATGTATCCCAGCCTGCCATCAAGTGCCAGTGACATGGCTTATGCTGCAGCCAATGCTGCTACTCTCAGTGGTATCTACGAGAGCGAAGATCGTCGCCGTTACAGTGGTGGCATGCTTCAACGAGCCGCCCCCGCCAAAGGCAGCGGTGAGATGGATGCTGTCAGTGACGGTTCCGTCACCCCGCCTGCCTCCGCCTTGAACGAGCAAGCCAAGGGCAAGAACAAGGCTACTCCTCAAGAAAGCGTGATTGACCCTGCGCTGGCTGCGGAGGCTGCTACTCCCAAGAGCGACCCGAGGGATGCCGATCAAGAACAAGTCTGGGTTCAGAACATGCGTCTCATCGAGTGGATGCGTGAGTTTATCAAGAAGAAGCTCCAAAGCGGGGAATACGAGGATGGCAATGCCAGCCGGCATTCCCCTGAGGAAAGAGGCGAGCTTGACCATGACATGACTGGAACCGGCGACCATGAGAAAGAGAGGTCGGAAGAGGAGCAGCTCTACCCCGTCCTGCGACATGTCGAGGAGAGCGCTTAGGTGGCGTCCCGGATTATCCAAATGATGACATGAAGGCCCCGATCGCCGTGGCTGGGCGCCTTCTCTTCCCTCCCGGCTTCGTCGAGGTGTCTTCGTAAAGCGGAAGCGAATTGGACTGAGATGGGATGTCTCCCAAGAGAATATGGGAATTCGTAAGGCGTTAATCACAGAATGAGCTGGCGGTATGGGATCTCTTTTTCGTTGTGCTTGTGTCCCCCTGCTCACAGGCGCGGGGAAGGTCCTAAGGCTGTCGGACCTCTGCAAGTTGCGAGTTTGCTGGTAACGAGAGGGACTGGGAAAATGGCAAGAATTGCTTGCAACCTGACGGTCACATATGATCGCGACACTCACACGGCCACATCATGATCACCACACCGCATTTGAGCTTTGCCACTGTCTCAAAGACTTGCATGTGTTGCTGGGATCACTGCACCCGGCCTGGTCTCGGTCTGGCTGAGAGCTCAGCGACAAACCAAACACCAGGCCCATGGCATAAACCATCACATCATACGGAGTACACATAGCATTACTTGACATGGAGGGAGAGCCCAAAATCCATTTTCTGTGTCCGACCGGATTTGTATTTCTATTTTTAATCCGATTCAACTATTGTATCTGTTTCCCGTTTGTGTTTGTTTTTCCTCTTCTCATTTCTCCCTTTCCGTGCTTGGTCTTTACAGACCTGTCTCGCCTCCTGTCCACTACAGGACGGGCGGAAATTTGCTCCGTATGGTATGTGGTGTCTGGTGTCTTGTATTGCTACATTGGTTTCGTTTTCGTGCTACCTGCCTTACCTAGGTATAGGTAGGCATTCTATAATACTTGCGAGGTCCTCGAGCCCTTTCGACCCTGCTTTCTTCAGGTTGCTGGATCACTAGGACCCTGGGTATTGGACATAATGTTTACAGTGATACTTTACAGTGATACTTGGTAGCATTCCGTCTTTACTTCCTTCCCCCTCCCCCAAAGAGCTCATGTCTAATCGGCTCGTTGAACTTTTGGTCCCTGCTCCGGCTCATGCCACGCGTACAAGTAAGAAGACTCAAAGCACTTGTTGTCTTCAAGGTGGAGCATGGGATTCGTTGTTGCAATCCTCCAGCCTTGCGTCATTGTTGGGCAGAAGCATATTTTCAGCTCTCGTGCGCCGTTCGTAATAGCAGACATCCGACATCTCGTCCAGTCCGACCCGGTCTTAGTCCAGCGCTTTCTGCCGGGTGGTGGCCAAACAGGCCACAAACACCGAACCCCCATACAGAGAGTGCAGCAGGAAACGTCCGTCGGTCATCAAACTGTTCCGACTCCCTCTCTCATCTCCCAGCCCCTCACCACTGCTCTTTCCTTGATCCGGTTCTCCTGCGCCTCGAATTTGTTCAAGGCCCTTCTCACTAAATCTTGTTCGAACCTCAACTCTGCCAGTTGTCCTTTGGCCCAGTTCCGGTGTCGTGGGCAGCGATTCTTGATGCATACACCGCCCTTCTTTGGCATAGTACCGACTTCGCCACCCTCTTCACCTGTGGTATCCGCAGCGGCGTGGGCTCCATTGACACCGTTTGGCTTCTTGTCGCGAAGATCGTCGTCTTCATCTTCTGGAGGTCCGATCTTTGCCGTAGGGCCAGCGTCGAGAATCTCTTTGCCACCCTTGCCGTTGTACCAGGATAAAAATTCTTCATCAGTCCAGGCCATTCTTGGATCGAATCCGCAGATGTCTTTCATCTTGGGATTTGCCTTTCGAACTTCTTCGGTAATAGTGGCAGATCGTGCCTTGACCAAGCCAAGCAAGGTCTCTCGTGCCGAAAGCATAGCATCGCGTTCATTGAGCTGTTGTTTCTCCTCTTCGATGCGAGCCAGTTTGGCAGTCTCCAGGTCGTCGAACTGGAAATGTGCCGCTTTCGCATCTGGCATGTCCGACTCCCGTGGTGGTGTGTCAGGCCTTCTTCCTAACGATCTCCATTGTTCGACGGTCTTGCACTGTTCAATGAGAGCTTTTATTTCACCCGCCCTTAGTGCACCGCCTCTGTTGGGGAGCTTGTCGTCGTCGACGCTGCTGTCGGTCTCATATTCTGTCTCGTCGGGATCGCTGTACGCAGGTGTCGCAAGTCGACTGTCCATGCTCATCTGATCGCCTTCATCGGCATTGACATGGTTAGCAACCAGTTTTAGAAGCCTGCTTCGCGTTTCAGGCTTCTTCTTTGACTTCTTGCGGACCTTCTTCGGCCTTTCCGGCTCGATGATATACTGTCCGCACTTCGATGCCTGGGCTCGGGGGTCGCTTCTCTGGATCAACTCCACAAAGAACATGCGTCCACAATCGTCAGAACAGTATTTACTAGGAGGATCCCTCGTCACTCTTGCCGGCTTTCTGCAGTCCTTTCGTCTGCACATGCGCTTCCAGGTGGTCTGCAATCCCGGCTTTGTGCAGGATGGGCAGATGTATTTGTCGATGAGCTCGCCGTCTCGTTCTCGGATGTTCACACAATTACCATGAAACCACTCATCACATCCACCGTCGCAAGCAATCATCCAGGTATGGTTGTCCCCTTTACGGCAAATACAGAAGATATCGCCGTCATCGTTTGAGCTGGTCGGGGTGTCGGCAACCGAACTGGAAGCGGAATCTATGTCCAGTGACTCGCCGCGAGAGGAGGCTGGGGTAGGAGATGACCTAACGCTAGCAGCAGAGGTCTGATTCTTGAGTTTAGATGGTATCGGCTTCAGGTGTGTTGAGGCCGGAGTGGCACTGGGGGACCGATAAAGTGACCGTGCCCTGGAGGCACTCTGTTCAGACTCGCCGAGCTTGGATCTCTTATGAGGCGCCGTGGAGCCCTTGAGCTTTGCCGTTCCCTTCTTCTTAGCAGAGGTGGAGGCGCTTCTACTAGAATCTTCCGGTGCTGGTCGCTTTCTGCCTGCCACTGGTTGAGGGGTAGCGAATGACTCGGTTGAGGATGCTCTCGACCTCGCGACAGATGATTCTCTTTTGAGGCTCTTGGCAGCGGACAGGGGCGGTGGTTCCGTGAGGAATGGTGCAGGCACTTTCGGAATGTCATGTTGTTTAGGTTCTTCATCGTGGTTGTCCTGTTCTTGTTCGTCCTCTTGTGGCTCTTGTTCTTCTTGCTCCTCTTGCTCCTCTTGCTCATCCTCCTCGGCTTCACGCTTAGCGGCCTTAGCAGCCTTCTGAGCCTTGGTCATTTTGGGCGGCGGGGGCGGCGGGCCTCTGGCAACGATGTCATCCACAGACTCGATTGGCTCACCAGATATAGGGTCGACGATGACTTCCAAACTTCTCAAAGGCTCCCAGGTCTTTGTATTGTGAATCTTCGAAATGTGATCCCTCACAGAGCGGCGCCGGGTAAATAGCTTATTGCAGAGGTAGCAAAGAAATCTTCGATCCGTGTGTTGTCCTTCATTCTTAGACGAATGTACGTGTGATTTGGGAGGCCCATCAGATCCGTGCTTTCTAGATCGCCCGGGGCCTTTGGAACGACGCTTGGTAGATTCGGGGGAGTCTTGTGTTGAGACATCCTCACCGTGGAGCCCATCAGTTGCCATGTCCTCGATCGACGGCTCGCCGGCCAGCATGGTGCTGTCTAAGGGTGGGTATGCGCTATCGAAGTCCTCCTGCTTGACATGGTGTTCATCGTTTATGGAACCATCAGGATTGAGCGCGCCTGTATGGAACAAGGCGGCTTCTTCTTCCATGGTCATGTCAATATCTTGCGAGATACAGGGAAGCGCATCGTGCAAGAGCGGCGCGTCATCTTGGTCGTGAAAAAGTTCTGGCGCGAAGTAGTTTAAGGGAGGATCGGTCGCGTCCATTCTGAGGGAAGTTTGTTAGAGGCGAGACAAAGGGTATCAGTAAGGCGGCAGACTCACATTTGGGAAGTGCTGGCAGGATATTTGACCTTTGGGTGAGACGGCGCGAGATTCGAGGTCGGGGGTCCAGTAATTGATTCCGAAAGTGAAAAGGGCGACTATGGATGATTAACCGGGGTAGTAGAGGCACCTGAGGCCTAAGGAGCCTAAGGGAGCCCCTTTGGCACCTAGAGGGAACGATGCCTGCGCCTAGTGGAGACTCCCGATTATCGAGTTACTGCCACTACCACTACCACTATGTGTATCAGTACCACCATCACCACCCTCTACTGCAGCCATCTGAGAGCCCAGAGATTTTGCATGTGAGCGGAGAGCAGTGAATTGGTCTGAACAGTCCTTCAATCGGTGGTGAGTAATGTGCAGTCAAATCTGTCAATGGCGGCAGAATGCGGCTGGATCTTGTGTAGGTGCCGAGTCAGTGGTGTCTATGAACGACTTGCTTGCAACCCGTGGACATCTACAGCGGCCGTTGGATGTTAATGTGTCATGTCCCATGTGTATGAATCCTTCTCTTCTGCTCTCTAGTCCCCCACAAGCTACCTCATATTCAGTCTTTTGTGTAGTTGTCGGGTTGTAGTCGTTTTACAGCTCTCCCGTACCGGGTCGTTGTAGAATCGCCATGCCAAACTTGAGTCCAGCGGACATTTCTCTCGAAGTACCACTGCATAAACTGCAGCGAGACTGTACCGCCAGCGAGCGAGCATTGTTATCCAGGAGGTACAGATGGTTGAGGAGAGGATATGCTGGTAGGACGTCCTCAGGCCAGCGACGTCATTTAGCGAATGAGGATCAGGATCAGGATGTGGGATCAGGGATCTGTGGGATTGCGACAGTCGGTGGAAGGGCAATTGACTGCAATTATTAGTTGTTCATTAATAACGGGGCCACCTCGTCAGTTCAGATGCCAATCTCGTAAACCACCTCCTCTTCCTCTTGTGGCTGTTCCGTCAGCAGGCAGCACGTCGCATACGCATACGAGTTTCCTCTTGTACGAACTTCACTTCGATGTGGAGTGCAGTTCGTTCGACTGAGGGGAGCTAAACCAAGCGCATTTCTAGTCGGCTCTAAGGCTGTCTCGACCTCCATGCCGCCCGCAAACTCGCCGTCTGTAAGGCCCCTTCTTCACACACGCACGCAACCTTGGTCAATGATACAGTCGGACGGAGAGGACACTGCTTGCAACTGACAAACGACGGGCTGCTTCAAGAAGGCGTCGATGTCAGAAAAGTGCGGCATCCTCTTCGCAACACTAGCACTTGACCAGGCCATTCATCAATAGTTCCCGCCATCTCACTTCTCTGTTCGGGGGTTTGAGCATCTAACTCACTTGCTATCTCACAGGCTACCCGTCCAACAACCCCTCCCGCCTCTACAGCTACTGGAGTTGTCGGCTCGCTAACCGAGAACCTCTACCTGCGCCAACTTGAAGAAGCCATCTCCAGCCCCGTCCTTGACCTTGCTTCCACCCTGACTCCGATCACCGTGGATACGTCCGATCAGCGCGCAGAGCGAACTCGGACAGATCTCCCAGATAACCCCAGTCCTCGACCCTTCATGGAACTCGGGGCCCCACGGGCTAGTCACCCGGCCACTGTTAGAGAGATCGACCCGGAAGAGCTAAGAATCTTACAAGCCGGCGAAGACGTCCAAGTGCCGAGGAGTCATCTCGCAGGACCTACACTAGAAGCCTGGACAGAGAGGAATCAAAGGAGGGATGTCATGCAGAGCCAGCCATCACGAATACGGACGGGCGCCCCCAGATCAGAAGGAGAAGGAAGACGGCAACGATATGCCACCACCGGCAACGGCCCTGTTAGACAGAGCCTCTACGACTGGGCTGTTACAGCGCCCCCTCCAGGTCGTGATCTGCACGATTTGAATTCGAGTGAGGACAGCGACGAAGACATGGAGGGTATGAGCACCGCTGCTCCCGAAACTGACATGAACGCGAGACGAGATCTTCAACGACTCGAAAGAGCATTGCAAAATTATCGCTCAGCAAGGAGTGCTTTGAGATCGGACTTGGATGCGGTGTCAGCAAGGACTGCTTCAATGAGATCGGACTTGGGTGCGGTGCCAACAGTTAGCGCCCTTCGAGCCTATTGGAATGAAGAAGCTGCCGCCGTCGACAGAGCCGGCAGAACATCCATTCCGTCAGGGGTTTCCAACCAGAACCAACACGAGCGACTAAGGCGGCATGTGGAACACGTGCGATTACATACCGAACGCGATCACCGAGAATTTGAATTTATTTCTCGGTCGACAACGCGAGCGGAATGTAAGAAGTCCGATGCCTTTGCTCGCGTGAGAAACACGATCCGATATCTCTCACAATTACGACATACTGGGGTGGAGGGTGGCTTAGAACTAGCCAAGGAACTCGAACTGGACTCTTTATACGAATCTGAAGAAGCCAATATACCTAGCGATCTCCCTATGCACGTCAACAGCCTCCCTATCCCACAATACAGTTCATGGCTGGAGCCAGGAATGGTTTGGCACGGTCTACAGTCAACCGAAAGAGAACCGGCGCGCAGCACGGCGACATGGGCGTCCAATCTTCGCCGGGAGAGACAGCGAGATTTACTTCGTCGGACTTTCGCGCGAAGACGGGAGGTGGAAACGGGCAGCGGCACTGCTGATCCTGAACGTGTCCCGTCGGGGTTGCTGGTCAGCGCAGAGCGCTACCTCCCTGATCTCTTACAAGACGGCAGTGCACTATGGGGGTCCTCATGGGGGTCCTCCCAACTCTCGACGCTTCCACTAACATCCCACCCTGCTCAGCCTTCCACTCAAGGCCTGGAATCCGACCATTGGCCAGTTCAAGTAACCATTCACTCGGTTGACTGGAATACCATGACGCTTACAGGCACAATGTCGGCTAGCCATATGCCCGAGAAACTCTCATCTTCTCACCAGCCTCTCCCCCAACCGCATACTGCCACCACGAGCATGTCCTCATTCTTCACCGGGGAGATTATTGACTTTCGACAACAACCGCTGGAAACCGAGGGAGAAGGACGCCCGTACCGGGTGGGGGGCTTGGATACAGACGCGCGGTATTGGGCTCGTCTCGGGCCTTTCAGGAAAGAAATTGAAAAGGTGAGACGGCTGCGCGGCAAGAGAAGGGGTGAATATCAACATGACAGTCGTCTCTGGGAAGCATTTCGAAAAGCTGCCGGTGCTGAAGGGGAAAATAAAGATACGCAAGTACTGCCGGGCATTTCCAGTCCAGCGACAGAGCAGACGGAAACCGAAACAACGTCGAACACCGAGGACACCGGGGCAATGGCAATGGAAACGGACGAAAGTAGAGAAGCAGAAGATGACGAAGTCATGGCCCGCAGCTTGGGCAGTGCCAAATGGATTGAAGAGAAACTGGGGCGGGAATGGATTCTGATGCGTTGGAAGGAACGGTGTTTCGTCACACCTGCTGGGACGGCAGGAAGCGCTTCGTCTTCCAATGCTACACCGACTACGAGGATAGTCACTACGATGTCGCCCACAGCCACCAACATCGGCTCGTCCCCTACGGCGAACGGTCACGGCAGCACGTCATGGGGCCTGACCATCTCCGGGTTCTACTACATTGCCTTGAACCGACTCACGGGCGAAATCGACGGGCTATACTACGATCCAGGCTCGCAGCCCTACCAGGCACTCAGGATGGTTCCGGAGGGCACCTCGCTCCGCGGCTTAGTTGATCGAAGTGAATGTCCAGGCGCCGAGGGAGGCAATCCGATCAGTACACCTGGGCCGCGTGGCGGGAGGTTCTGTGTTTGTGGATGCGCCGAGGTCAATTGCAAGGAAAGAGTCGGGCTGAAGAAGTGGTTTCCGTCGGTCGAGCTCCGGTGACGAGACGACAGTCACCTAACAGTGTCTTGGAAAGAGACATTCTTGCATAACACCGGATCTGGAACTTGGAGTTAGGAAGCATTAATAGTACCACGTCGTTGGCGTACGAGAGGGGTTGCCTGCCACGACTCTGTACTCTGTACTTTGTCCTCTACGATTCGGCATGTAGTCTCATCCCCTCTGATGGTTCAGCGATCCTGACATTCATTCGAGCCTAGAGTCTAGAGTCTAGAGTCTAGAACTCTGGCTAAATCACAACCAAACTTGGGATAAATGTTAGATCATGCATGTCCTATGCACACTGCTACATACAGATTCGTGTTCGGTCTCGAAGCAGTCTCGGCACAGAAACACCGACACATCTGACGTCTGGATTGGTGTTCATCGATTCATATTTTCATTTTTACATCTCGCCTCCAACAAGCTAGAATAGACGAGTGGGTCGAGGTACGGAGGAGATAGATATAGATGCTAACGTCTCCCCTCTCCTACGCTTGATGCTAACGTCTCCCCTCTCCCACGCCTAGGCAAAGATGGGAAGTAGATAGTTATAGATGCTAAGGTCTCCCACGCCTAGGCAAAGATGCGCAGCGGCTTGTCGAGATAGAAGCCCGGGTCGTTGAAGCGCAGGCCCTTGTCGAGGGCGCTGATGGCCTTGATCTCGTCGTCGGTCAGGTCGAAGCCGGTGGCCTCGAGGTTCTGCTGGAGCCGGCCGACGTTGTTGGATTTGGGGATGACGGCGATGTTTCGCTGCGTGGCCCAGCGGAGCAGGACCTGGGCGGGGGACTTGCCGGTACGGTCGGCGGCCTTCTTGACCACGTCGACATCGAACAGCAGCGGCACGGTTTCCGGGCGCTTGCGGAACGCGGGAGGAAGCTCGAGGAAGCTCTGGGGCCCGAAGGAAGAATAGGCGGTGATGACGATGTTCTCTTCGTGGGCGAGCTCGACCAGGTCCGGCTGCACCAGGTACGGGTGGTGCTCGACCTGGAGGCTGGAGATGGGGTGGCGTGCGTACGTCTGGATGTCGTAGATGGTCTGGGCCTGCGCGTTGGAGATGCCGATCGACTTGGCGATGCCCGAGTCGACCACTTCTTCCAGCGCTTCCCACGTCTCTTTGATAGGGACGTTGGCCCGTTCAATCTGCGTTTGCTCGGCATCTAGCCACCAACCCTAGAAAAGGCACACGACGATCAGATCGGCTTGAAGTCCCCACCAAGTAAAAATAGGAAAATGATGGACGAGGAGACTTCGGAAGGGGGAACCAGGAAAAATGATGACGAGGCGACTTCGGAAAGGGGAACCAGCGGAAACCAAACAACATACCGGATACCGGAGCTTCTCTGGCTCGATGTATGGCAAGGCGATGGGGAAATGGATCAGATACAGGTCGATATAGCCCAGTCCCCAGGCTTCGTTCTGGGCCTTGGCCATGGCCAACGCATGGTCTTTGCGATGGTAGTTGTTCCAGAGCTTGGTGGTGACGAAGATCTCCTCTCGCTTGACCAAGCCTTCATCAATGGCCCGTTTGATGCCCTTCCCGGCTTCATGCTCGTTCTGGTAATCGTACGCTCCGTCGAACAGACGGTAACCGGCTTTGATGGCCTAGAGGCGGCCACAAGGGTCAGTCAGTACGAGTCCGAGTACGTTGCGCCCAGTATGACCAAACACAAAGCCTTGCGCCAGGGTTGCGAGGGCTCGCTATCGCCCCTCCCCCACACAAGACCAAGGCTCAACTTTTCTTCTTCTTCTTCTTCTGTGGGTTGATAAAAGAATGTCGAGGTGGCCTTTTTCTTTTTGGACTCTTTGAAATTGTTCACGACATTGCCAGACAAACTTACATTGTAGACGGTGTCGGCCGCCTTGTCGGCGGGCACTTTCCACAGCCCGAATCCGACCAATGGCATCTTGTGGCCTGAGGCCAGGGTGACAGTGTTGACAGCAGGTGCCATAGCGGTGGTGGTGGCGGCGGCGGCGGTGGCTGTTGATGTCAGGTGATTGAGGAGTGAGGCGGTCCGGCGCAACGGAGCTGAAGGACTGGACGATGCTCGAGGTCGAGGTGCTCAGGGAGACGTGTTGTCAATGTCGATGTCGATGTCGGATTGCAAAGAATAGGACATGGAATATAAAGGAAATGGGACAGCCGGAAACCCCCAAACTCTGCATTCACCACCGTGGTTCTATAAAACCCATTGGAAAACATGCACCAGGGAATTTAGCCGCATAACCATGTTGAGCGAGTGTCCTGGCTGCGTATTGGCCAGGCGGCCGCCACATGACGCTGGCCACCGGATAAAATCCTTATGGAGCAAACAACGCGTGGAGGCGAAGAGGGTGAAGAGGCGGCACCTCCATTGCCTCCCTGATGGAATCTGGAACCTGGAACCCCGGCTCCTTAGGCCCATGGTGCCCCCAGAGCTGTGAGTGGGCAATGACATGCGGTGGAGGGAGTGGTGGGACGAGCAGAGACATCTCACTCCAGAGTAGTATTTAGTACTCCATAACGATTATTCGGTATACTGTAACATTCCTCTCAGGTTCGCTCATCCTACCTGTTCTCGCCTGTCACCCTAGCTGCCTTAGCCTCCTTAGCCCTATAAGCGCGCGGTGTGGTGCAAGGCTGGCCACATCGCGGGGTCAGGTCTGGGCGACAACCCCGTCACCATCGCTACCACAAACAGCCGCGACGACAAATCCTCCCTCCGGCAAGTGTCGAGGGCATCAGAGCTCCTACGACGTCCCTGTCATCTCCTCTGCACCTACTTGGACCACCCCGAACCACTTCTGCGAACAGTGAGACCCAGAAATGGAATGGGGGTCAACTTCTTCGACACACTTCTGCTTCTGCTTGGAAAGGTTGCGATTTGACCGCTTCATCGGCTTCATGGTAAGCATCGTACCCATACAGCCATGGCTGGAATTCCGGGCAAGTCCTTCCCGAGGCGTCAGTAAAGCTGCACAAAGCTGCAGTGCCTGGAAAGGAAAGGGGGCAACCGTCACGTCACATACCAACGACTGGGGAATTTGACAGAGATCTCTTTGCCCAACTGCGAAGCGAAGAGGCTATCCCTGACTCGCTGAGCCTCGCCATCAGGCATATGGAAAGCGTCTCGCTGGCGAAACGTCTCGCGGGCAATTATCTCGCTGCGGGATTTACGCAAGTCCTCATACAGACGGATCGCCCAGGGAATCTGGTCCTTGGACTTCACGTACGAGAGCAATCTGCCGAGCACTCCACCGTCCTCGACCGATGAGTTGGCGCCTTGTGCGAGATAAGGAAGCATAGGGTGGCACGAGTCCCCGATCAGGAGGAGATCCTTACGCGGGTTGGTCCATGACTCGAGCTCTTCACGGTGCATGAGTTTCCACTTGTCGACCTCGTCGACCTGGTCCAGGAAGCGGGTCAGGATGGGGTCCCAACCGGAGAAGAGGCGTTTCATCTCGCTGACCGATCCCTTCGTCTTGGACAGCCCACTTGGTAGGTCGTCGGGACAGAGCAGGACAATGTTGCACATGGTCCCCGCCCGGAGCGAGTATGCCACCGCATGTGCGTGCGGGCCTATCCAGAAATGGACCTGCGGGTTGGCAACCCATCGCCTCAACTCCGGGTCGGTGATCTTGTCCAGCTCCAGGACAATGCGATAGGCCAGGTCACCCGTCGGTAGAGGCTTGTCGGCCCTGTCCAGCAGACATTCCCTGCACTTGGACCAAAGCCCGTCCGCCCCGACCACCAGGTCTCCGTGTAGTTTTCGACCAGACTCGAGGGTGACTTCCGGTCCCGTCGGACTCCTACCGATCGAAGAAACCCGGCAGTTCAGCTCCACCGTGACGCCCAGCGTTTTGGCCTTGTTGTACATAATCCTCTGCAAGTCGACACGGTGCACGTCGATGAATGGAGATCCGTACTTCCGTCGCATCTTTTCGTTGAACTCCTTCTCCTCAGCCAATATTTTGCCATCGCTGTACCTGTGCACGGCAAGGAGCGTGGGTTCTGCGGCGATCGTCTCAATCTCGTTGCCCAGCCCCCAGTCTCGGAACAGTCTCGAAGCATTGGGCGTGATTTGTAGTCCAGCCCCGATTTCCGCCAGCTCTTTTGCAGCTTCGAGAACACAAACATTGTGATTTCCAAGTGCGCACGAGATAGCGGCTGCTAATCCTGCAAGGCCTGCACCCACAATAACGATATCCAGCTTCTGACCGCCGACCTCCGCCATGGTTGTGGTTGTGGCCGAAGAGCTGGGATTGCAGTGTGCGTTCACCTAATTTCACATGCTCAAATACGTAGTGTGTTGGGACAAGTCTGAAAGGAGGCACTTCGAGGCGGCAGGGCTGCGAAGGACTTGGGCTCGTAGTTCGAGGTTGCTGGCTTCTAGAGGGGGGTGAATGGAGAGGAGACCACAAGCCTCGGGTTTCGTTGACGTCGTGAATTACACAGTAGACTGCCGCATCAACGAGACCTTGGGCAGCTGTGACAGCCCAAGATTCTCATTGTTTTTCCTGGGCCATGGAACTGTGGAATTGAAAAATTATGAACAACGACTCCGACCCAACGTTATTAACAAGCCAGACTCACTTAGAACTTATTGGTGCACAGTATATGCTTGACATGGACGAAATGTTGGGCCAACCGGTTCAATATCCAGCCTTGTCTCGCCAGTGATGGAACTCAATCAGCAATCCTCGACGACTTCTGCACGGCTTTACACTGTGCTACTCCCTTCCCTCGCACAACCCTGGTATCTTCGCCGCCTTGACCCCAACCAAGCCATCTACATAATCCAGGAACACCTGGACAGGAATCAAATCCATGCGGCCGAGACTCGGGTTCGAACTTCGCAGGACTTTGCCGCCCCAGAGTACACGTAGAAAATAGCAGCCTTCGCGCGAGTAGAGTTCGAAGACGACTTCTGACCCCATCCCAGGCCAAACCATAGAATCGACCTGGAGAATACTTAGCAGTCGGGACAGGCTGCCGTCGTGGGCAATGTTATGCCGGTACAGTGCGGGGCTTTTAGTTGTGTTGTCAGCACCCATTGCGCCGCGAAGGTTGCTCGCAAGTTCCGCCATCCATATTCCAAAGGAGGCAGCGCTGGCGGCGAGCGACTGCGGCGAATCGCGGTAAATGAAGCTGTACTCGTACTCACCCCTGCGGAACACGGCGTCGGCGTCGGTTTGTACGACACAGTTGCTCGAGTTACCGGCCTGGCAAGGCAGCGGTTTCTGGTGGCACAGCCGCGCAGATAGATTGTCAAAATAGTGATCGAATGAAATCTTCCAGTCCAAATTGGTGGTATTGACCCCCGAGATCGAGTCAAGTCTCGCAAACAGTGCAGCCGACTCGTTCAGATGTAGTGTCCAGTTAGTTGCGTCGCTGCCCACGCCGTAGCTGGCGAACAAATCGCTGGCAGCGCCACACGTGTATGCAGGCTCGAGGGAGTCGACAGATGCAGGCTGGATCGCCACACTGACAGGCTTGTCGGTGAACGGGCCGGGGTACTGGCCCTTGACGATCTGGCCCGCGACCTGTGATGTTATCACATTGTTGGTTACTCGATACTGGATCTTCTGCGAGTCATACGTGTCCGGCAAAAAACTCAGCAGGTCATGGTACACCCCGAACAGATCCGTCCCGTGTTGGCGGGAGTCGTTCAGCCCCCCAGCGGTGATCTGGGGGAACTGGCAGGTCCCATTGAACCCTTCAGGCGCCAGGGGATTGGCGTCCGACGTGTAGACCTGCCAATTGATTTGCGCGGAGTGGCCGTCTGGTCTTGGGGCGCCGTAGTAGAACAGAGCCTCGTCATCACAGTACCAAGGATAAGTCTCGTGAGGGAAAGTGTTGTGCGCATAGGGTGTACGCTTGTGATGGCGGTGGATCTTGTCTCTGTGGTTAGCCTCAGCTCCAGTCGAGCCCCTATGGCATCAGGGGTACAAGAAAGCACGAGTATTAAATAATACCAATTCCACGTATTCCAGCTTGTACTCTTTGGGAGGAACCACATATTCCTGCTTCCTGACATGGGGCATATTGCACCAATTGTATGTCCCATAACCGGAGGTGACTGGGGTGTCCGACGTGTTGAAAACAAACCCATTGACACCGGTTCCGTTGACGACGTCGCTGAGATTGTTGATGCTGGTCTTGTTAGGAGGATGCCAGCTGAGGTCAACAGGTTTGCTGTTGTTGGCTTGTAAGCACTGAGCCGCGGCGTCGTACGACAACAATCCGACTGCCAAAAAGTTTCCAATCTTGGTGAACATGGTGTGCAGCCAGATCTGTCCGACGGGGCTATGGGGGGCGGTCGAAGGGTCAGTAGAAAAGCCAGCCCCGAAGGCAGTTTGCAGAGCTTTTAAGGTGCCCATGATGGCGGAATGTTGCGGGCCATCTCAATTCGTGGGCAATACTAGTCGAGCAGGTGATGGGACGTTCCTGGGCAACATTGACTTGAACAGTGCTGGTCAATGGATTTCACACGTGGTAGCCGGTTGTAGATCGGACAAGGCGATCCATAAGCTCACAAGGACGCCGGTCTTAACAAAGGTAGAGACGGTAGAGCCACACGCAGCTTGATTGGCGCAGGCAAGGCAAGGCGAAGGCGTGCGCCAACAACGGCCTTCGACAGGCGCGGCAAGGTGCAAAATGGAGATATACCAAGGAACCGAGAAGACGGAGCGGAGGAAGCAACTCCATATCAGTATGAGGGACCGCGAATGATGAATGAAACCTCCCTTGTTTGGGCAAGTTTTTCACACTGGCTACGTAGGCGCAGGCGCAGGCGCCAGCGGGCTACCTACAGTGTAGTGTAGGTTGCTTTGTCGTCCAACAACGAGGTCTGTCCCGCTCATCGACAGCTTCCCGGAAAACCAAATACATCTGACCACCCCCTGCTGAACTGTTGTATAGTACGTCGACTCCTCTTCCGGAGAGGTTTTGCCCATCTATGATAGAGACGCTGGGACAGCATGTGGAGAACACTCGGCCAAACATTTACCAAACACCACAACATCATCATCATTCATCACTGATCCCTATCATCAACACGTCATGCTGCCAGGGGTCGCGGCGGATGTCTCGACAACCTCGAACCCTCTGATTTCCACTCATCTAATAAAAAGATCGAAATAATGTTTGACGGTAAATGAAGCTTCGATCTTGACCAGATTCACTTCCTAGCTATTTGTGATACTGTGCTTGTAGTCCATACCCCCTTCTCCTCCATTCTTCCCTTTGATTGGTAAAAACCTGACTCTCCGAAACATGAGTGACCCAAGAATCCCCAAGTTGCACCACCGGTCCACGCCGCATTGGCAGCAAGAACAGCGTAATTCCTTCTGGCAGCTGAACGAGAACAAGAGTGAGAGAGAAGTCTTTCCAGAGGACACTTCGACACATGTACATGACTGACTCGCTCGACCTCGCCAGATGCACCTTTCAACACCAGGCCGGACAAGCTGGAAGCCCGGGCCGAAGAGTCGCTGTCCATCAACGGGCGGCTGTACGCACAATCCAACGCTGGACAAGGCTGGAGTACGAGGCGAAGAATCTCCCACCTTCGACGGCTTCGGCCCACGGCCCTTCTTTAATGCTGACCTACTTTGCGTTCCAGCTCACCTGGCCAACCGGCAAGCCTTCTACCGCCACCGGCTGATCCCCCAACAACTCGTTGACGTCAACGAACGAGACACGACGACGACACTGTTCGGGCACAAGGTCTCGGCGCCCATTGGCTTTGCTCCCATCGGCATCAACAAGATCTATCACCCGAGAGGCGAACTCGCCGTGGCCAAAGTCGCTGGGGAGCTGCGGCTGCCGTACGGCCTGAGCACAGCGGGTTCCAGCACGATCGAAGACGTCGCCGCGGCCAATGACCAAGGGAGACGGTTCGAGGACGCCGTCCAGGTCGAGGGAGCAGCCAACGACGAGCCTGTCCGCTTCTTCCAGCTGTATCTGCCTCACGACGACGAATTGGCCGTGTCCCTTCTGAAGAGAGCGGCGGCGGCCGGCTTCACAGCTTGCATCCTCACGACGGTAAGAACGCTTCACACAGTTTACGGTTTCAATCTCATATCTTTGCGGTCAGCGCAGTCCTGCTGACCAGCTCTTCCTCGTCAGGATACCTGGCAACTTGGATGGCGCCACGACGACATCGCAACGTCCAACTATGCCTTCTACCGCGGCATTGGCGCCGATTTGGGTCTCTCGGACCCCGTGTTCCAGCAGCGGCTGCGAGAGGCCCGGATCGACCCCAATACCCAGCCTGAACAAGCCGGTGCCATGTGGATCGACAACGTCTGGCACGGCCGAGCGTTCAGCTGGGAAAAGATCCCTTGGCTGATCAAGACGTGGAAAGACCTGAGCGGTGGCAAGCCCTTCTGCATCAAAGGGTGAGTTCCTCTCTCCCGGCGCAGATGCATATATCATCATGTGCCATTACCCATCCCCCACGGGCCTCTCAAATAGTTATTGACTGCTGCTCTTGCTTTCGGGTTCGCCAGCATCCAATCGACCGCAGACGCCCAGCACTGCGTCGACCTAGGCTGCGATGGCATCGTGGTCTCCAATCACGCAGGCCGTCAGGTCGACGGGGCAATTGCCAGCCTCGACGCCCTGGAAAACATCATCAACGCCGGAATCGGCGAGAACATCACCGTCATGTACGACTCGGGCATCCGTGGGGCCTCGGATGTGTTCAAGGCTCTGTGTTTGGGCGCCAAGTTCGTCTGGGTAGGTAGGATGTGGATATATGGACTGAGGTGAGTGTGTGATCAAGATCAAGATCAAGATCGAAATCATTCCCAGCGTAAAGGTCAACGTCTCGAAGCAACAGCTGGCTAATCGATGCATTCTTACCCGGTGTTCTAGCATTATGGGCGAAGAAGGCGTTCGGCATGTCATGAAGAGCTTGCTCGCCGAATTCGACATTTCCATGCTCACTGCTGGCTTCAAAAACATAGGCGAGATGAAGAAAGAGAGGTTGGAAAGCTATCCCAGGAACTACAGCCTGATTGCAGACAAGGCCAAAATTTAAAAGCAGCCAACTACAGTCCCATGACTTCTACCCCAGTTGACCTGGGCAGTGGGCATTGATACTGAGTGTCCGGGATCCGGCCATAACCGGCGACGGCCAGCGAAGAATACAAGTCTCAAAGAAACCGACAAAATAAATCATGATATGCGTGTCCTCGTAAATTAATATCGACTCTCCATCCACTCCAAACGGGGCATTTCAGTCCGTGTCAACCTTAGCGCTGTGCCATTAGTACCGGCGTTCCTGGTATGTGAGGCAATACGCCCCGCGGATATGTATGTTCATTAAGATATCCTCTTCCACTGAAACACCACCGCCCTTCCATTGGAAACCCCTTCGTAACTCCCTCCACACCAATCGGGCCTTCAGCACTTCAGGTATAGAGAGAGAGTGTGTATGTGTGTGAGGGAGGGACATGGCGATGGCCATCTCAAAACCGGAGAATCCACTCAGAGCTTCATTCCTGTCATTTCTGAGAATGTTCGGTATGGTATTGTTGGCTTGTCTGCTGAAGTGTCACTGCTAGTCGATCGTCGGAACACAGCCATGGGCCTCGCGGCGGGTGATCGTTTGACGCGTATTAGGTAGAGGACCATCTCTCCACGGTCAATCAAGTCGCTCGTACCGCTTTGTTGATGGCACTGCACTGTGGATCAAGAAGCCACTTTCATCTCGGTGGCGTCCTGTTTATCAATGGCACTGGCCATTTTCACACATCATTCCTCAATCCTTCCAGTCCCAGACCTGCTTGAGGAAGGTCGACATGCTGACCTTCTTTACTTTCATCTCCACCATCCAGGGATGATCTAGCATCCTCCACGGCGAGGCTCTCCGGGTAGGCTCTTTTTCCAGACAGCTTTCAATAAAATACTTGAACGTGTCGCTCCACTTGATGCCGGTGTCTGGTTCGTCCTTCAACTTGGGAATCGGCTGCGCGACGATATATGTCAAAAGGTCGATGAGGCCAGCGCGAGGCTGCATTTCTGTGCCATCTGCTGGGAAAGGAAACCTGTGCTGAGCCACTTCAAGCAGTGTTACCCCGAGAGACCATACGTCCGAGGTGATGGTGTATGTTTGTCCCTGTATCCGTTCAGGAGCCATGTAATATGAGGTGCCGATGAATGTGTTAGCATCGCCTTTAGTGCCGAATTCACCACTGACGCCAAAGTCGCAGAGCTTGACCTGGCCATTGCGGCAGAGCAAGATATTCGAGGGTTTGATGTCTGTACTTGTTAGAACACGCAAAGTTCCCACCTAGGGCGGTTTGCTTACCTCTGTGTATGATTTTGCGGGTGTTGAGATAGGTCAGACCATGCAGGACGCCTTCGGCGATCTTTCCTAGAACCTTTTCGCCAGTCCGGCCCCCCAGTTTCTTTACTTCGCGATAGACACTGTCCAAACTGCCACCTTCGCAAAACTCCATTGCTATTGATATTGTACTGGACGACTTGTCCATAAATGCACCGTAGTACTGGCAGATGTATTCAGACGTGCAGTTCTTGTTGAACTTCAACTCTCGTAGGATCTGCTTCTTGACATCTGGGTCGGGGCTGGTTGTGATAATCTATACAGTTGTCAGTGAGCAGGAACGAACGGTCGACGCGTAACGGCACAAACCTTGAGTGCAAAGATCGTCTTGCCGCCTTGTAGCATACACCTGGTCACGGCGCCACCAGCGCCCTCGCCCAATGAACCAAGTTCAATGATTTTCTTCTGTTCACTCGCCGCTCCCCACCCTTCATCATCCAGATCTTCCACATCCAGTGGCCTTCCTTTCTCGATGCTGAGCTTATCAAAATCAATGGACAGCCCACCCACGGAAGACTCTCTCTCCATCGACGCTCCGCCCATGCTTGCCTCCGAGTAGATTGAGCTGATTGCTGACGAGGGATCAGGGGTACCTCCTTGTCTTGCGTGCATAGCGAAGGAGAGTGCAGAATACGTGGAAGAAGACGCAGAGCCGGGCACGCTGCCATTATGGAAGCTGTCAGCTCTCGGTCTGCTTGCGTTGTCATTTCCCGTGACTGCGGATATGTTCAATGGCTGTATTTGTGGTCTCAAACTTGTTCCTCCTTCTTGTATGGCACCTTGACTTCCCATAGGTGTGGCTAGGGATAATTTTGGCGGGCCCTTTGCGGCCAGACTGAATCGTGGGATCTCTGCGGCTGGGTCTGCTTCTCCAGTCACTGGGCGAGCATTGGGCGAAGGAGGAATGCCGAGTGTGAGACGGGGAGTGCGGCTCCCGCTTTGGCTTCGGCCACCTGGCACAGGCGGTCGAAGTAGCGGTACCGGGGACGACATTTTTGCGTATTTGATCTTACGTGCTCGCAGGCGTGGCTGTAAGAAACAGGACCGAGCTGTGAAGAGGGGGTACTTGAGGTGATAGAGGAAGCACCTTTGGAAGGAGAGGTCGTGCTCTAGTCAAGGTCTTGTTTCCGTCGTGGCGGATATCTGTGGCGGGGAAGGCTGAGTGAGCTGCGCACTTGGGTGCAATCGATTTCAGGAGGCAGCTCTGTCTTACTGCCAGCCAGCCCGCCTTGTTGGACAATCTGGAATTTTTGCCCGTGTCTCGCGGTCGAGGTTGCAAAAGGGTTGTGTTGATGGTACGTCTGGAAGGGTTTTGAGATGCCGGCTGGCTGGCCACGAGGGCGACGTCAAGTGTTGTACCAAGAACGGGGCTGATCTGCAACAGGCGGCTAACTGAAACGCAGCCAGCAACAGCACTCAAGCGGCAGACACTCAAACACCACTTTTGGCTGGAATTAACTGCGTCAAGTCAGAAGGCTTGTGCAGGATTGGAATGCAGGAGTGAGAGACCTCGGGGACAAGCTGGCTCTTGATGGTTCCAGCTGTGCCAGCCATTATTACGGTACATTACCACTACGACTTCTCAAGTGCAGGTGTCCATCTCACCAATCTGACATTATTGGGTCTGTCGGGGAACTCGGAATTCACAGTTTAGGCATGTCAAAGCTGCAACGCAGCTGCCGCGTTGCCTGCCTTGTACCAGTGATCCCGGGTGGACCACGTCCCCGCGCAGCCCTATAAACGAACAGGCCGATCAAGCTGTCACTAGATTGGCCCCTAAGCCTATGAGTCTCAAGGCCGGGAGGAAGGCAGGGGTGTCAGACAGGCCAAACAAGCCAGAGCCAGAGGCTTAGGAGGCCAGAGTTGGGCACCAGCAACACAGTACGCCATACGAAGGTCCAGTGGCCCAGAAGGGCTCCAAGGGTGTTCTCAGGCTGATCGGCGGGGGCAAGTGTGACAGCACAAGGGTTGTCTGTACTTTTCCGCCCCCATGTGCTTCACATACCGCTCATTTGACGCTGAGCCTTCCACACTCCACCTTTCACAGGTCACCAACATACGGTGACTAACCCACATACACTACTACACAAAGTCCAAGCTTGCATTAGGGCTTCAAACGCACATGCAGCCGGATGTGCCCTTTTTGGCAGGCTCTGCAGGGCCAAGTTTTACAGAGTGTGGAGTCCACGGGCTGGGCTAGGTTGCATACGAGAACCTGTATGTCGCATATGATTTCATCAGACGAGTTGAATGAGTTTGATTTGACTAGGTAAGAGAGGTCCGCTTGTCCTCTGGTCTGAGGCCCCCTTTCAATGGCCAGTTGCTACATCTTGCATGTCTGCCGATGCTGTGGTGAACGGCGTATCGCACAGAAGCTATGGCAGTCATGAGTCTCCCAGCCATGCTACCTGGGCCAGCTCCCATTTGCTAATGTTAAGGCTCAATCAGGATGTGTGAGGGTTTCATTTGTAGCTGTGTCATGGCCGCTGGCCAGGAATTTGAGAGACCGGTCCGGATTTGTGTGTATGTGTTCGGGGTGTGCATTAGGAAAGGATCGAGGTCGTTTGCATACAAGCTCGTGTCATCATTCGTCAACTCGCGTGCCAGGCGAGAAGTAAAAGGTATCATAGCTTCGTCAAGTCGCTTTGCGCAAGACACCGGTCTATTGGACGCCAAAGAGAAAAACAATGCCAGATGCTTTTCACGGGTGTGTCACTGAGGTCGGGTAAAGAAACGTGGTGGTTCGAAGGAGTGTGATGTAGAGTAGTCGGGTGAAGCTGGATTTGGTAGACAGAACTTGAGGCATATGAGTGTGGAAGATGTCTGCCTCATTCGGAGGAAACCTGTTGCCGACGTCCCTTCTCCGCTTCCAGATTTTCGTATAGGAGATATAGGGCTCTCTCGTTCGCGCTGGCGCTTCCCATGATGGTGAACATTCTCTCACCAGTGTCGTCATGGGGAGCCTTTGCAATTGAGATTCGCGCCCCTGAGGTCTTGCGGATTTCGCTGATTTTGGAGCCTCCTCGTCCGATGATGCAGCCGACCATATCGGCAGGTATACTGATGTTTTGAGTTTGCACTTCTTCCCCATCTTCGGTGACCATGGGTACACCACCACGTGGAACATCGTTGCCACGAGAATAGCCGCGGGATTCGCTAAAGTCGGCCCCGTTGCCGGTGCGGTTGTATGGACGGCCGCCGCCACCACCATATGTGTTGCTTGTCAATCCGCCGCCACCCACAGCAGGAGGAAGCGGACCTGAACCGACCTGGACACGAACAGCCGGGTTGTACAACACAGTACCGGTGCCACGCTGCCAGTCATCCACCAAGCACTTTCCAATTTCCCATACAGCCTTGTCAATGCCTTCTGGTGTACCTTGCACTTCAACAATCCGCTCAGTGGATTGTGGCAACATTTCTTTCTGCGCCACCATGCGAACGCCAGAGACGTCTTGGATGTGCTTGATTTTCAGACCTTGGCGGCCGATGATAGTGCCCATTTGATTGTGAGATATCAAGAGACGAATAGCTAAAATGCAATTAGCCAAGATTAAATCAAGCAAGGATCAAGGTTCTTACGATGTGTGCCATTGTTCTGGACTACTCCTCCCATACCCAACTGCGGGGCGCCCTCTAGTAGGCCCTTGGCCACAAGAGAGTAAGCCTTTGCAATCCCAGAGAGCGGGCCAGTGACCGTCAAGACTCGATCGTGGACACCTTGGACGACCTTGCTGACACCAGCCTTGACCCCGGTTTCTTCTCTGAGATCAGCGACATTTTTCCCGGCTTTGCCAATGATGACGCCAGCTTCCTTGGTGGAAACAATAGCCCTGAGTGTGAGCTGTGACTGCGCATAGTCTTCCTCAGTCTTGGGTGGCTCGTTTTCTCTGTCACCAACATTGAGTTGGTTCAAGGACTCGGCCAAGCCATTGTCATCTAGGTGGTTTGCATTGATAGGGGATTCTGCAGAAGCCATTGTGCGGGATATGGCGTTGGATGAGGGTTGGTGAGTACGTCGACGGTAGGATCGAGTGGTATTCTAGGGAAGATCAAGGCCTTGACAGAGTCGCGAAGGGGATGTCCCAACGATGTGCGGGACGCGGAATGATCGACCAAGTCGGGGAAGTGGTGAATGGAGGTGATGAGCCAGTTCCGGGAGGCCTACGGAGCTCACGGTTGAGCAAGATTGGGGAGAGAAGAGGAGAGTAGAGGATGGTCAGGCTGGGTGAAGAGGGATGTGGCAGAGCTAGGGGGTAGAAGGCGGCGGGATGAGGTGGTGTTGAGGATGGAGGATTTTGACGTCGTTGGAAAAACAAACGAAATGAAATGCTGAGTGACTTTTTAGTGAAGATTTTACAGTGCTAAGGAAGCAATTAGAGCCTATGGAGCCACAGGTCTCAAGGGCGCATAGAGGCTCGGGAATTGGCAGGGAGGGGAGGTTTAGCTCAAGGCAGGGAAAAGTGGGAGACGGTGCGCCGAGGTGGAGTCGAGCTTCAGAGCACTGGCAGTCTGGCACTGCCAGTGTGTGGTTGTAAGGAGGATAGTGTACTCCGTAGTAACGGTGGCAGGTACCGACCTTTAGGTAGGCACGAAGGTGTAATATCAGGTGGGAGGCACTGATGGTTCCCTTCACACCCAGCTGCTCTGGTGCTGCTCTCGGTGCTAATAGATACTAAGACTGTGTGTCTTTAGATGTAGAATAAACTCGTAGGAAAGGTAACTGTATCTACCTACATGACCTCCTCGCACCGAGCACAGGAGTGCGCCGCAGTACGCCGGAATATGGCCAGACCTTTGTCCAGTGGGTAGCCCCGATACCATACCTACCAGGTATCCATCTCGTTTCTTCATGAAGTGCTGATGGTGGTGCGAGTGGTGAGTTTGGCCTTGACGCTAGCCACCGACTCCTAGGCGGATACAGCATAGGTATTGATGCTAATAAGAATAAGATACCTTAGGTGACACTTTCCCAAACCTGTCCAGAGGGAGCAACTTTGGGTCAAAGTCGGTCGAAGGCTGGGACCGCGCGTCTGTCCATCAGCACGTAGGCAGCGAAAGAGGCTTAGGGGCTCAACGAGCGCCAGAAATACACGGTCTGACGTGCAAGGATTTGTCTAGTGGACGTTGTGGTACGCGCAATTTGCGGTTGGGTTTCTGCCAGACACCGGCCAATTTTCTGTCCTGTCCCCAGCCACTCCGTGCGGGCTAGGCTGTCCAAACTCTGTCCTCACATCTACCGAGTAGGGGATACTCCGTAAGTATCGACCGACTGACGATTGCAGCCAATGCAGCTTGGATCTTGAACAATATCCTGCCACGGAACCACATGCTGAAGCCCTCGCCGCAAGCGAGAGAGCTCTACCGCACCCTCAGACGAGCCATTGCCCAGACACCTTACCTGACCAATCTGGCTGAAAAGGGCCATTTACATGGACCCCTCTCCTGACACTGGCCTGTATTGAGATGAATACACCGAGTTGGTCGTCAAGGGCAGGTACGTCAGCCTAGTATCGTTTTCGTTGTCCTTCGTACGGCATTCTCTATGAGCTCTATGTACCCAGTCTTCTCAACCGTTCATTTGCCTGCTTCAAAGACAACCTTCTGCACTTTCATTTTGTTGAACTCATCATACCATTTAACGGCATCTGACAATGGCTTGATGTTCTCGGTCATGAAGCTGCGAACTAGTAAGTATACGACGGCACTTCAGGTCGAGCTCACTTACTCAAGCTGGTGCTGCTTCCTTACCAACACCTCCAAAGCCGACTCGAAAAGACCTGATAACATGTCAGCTGAATTCAGCCATCAGAAACTGGGCAGTGGCATACTCCGAACTGGACATCTGCCCATCTGGACTCTCAGGTTCTTGTTATATGCTTGGCTACCGCTCCAGGGAATCTCGCCGTTGTGGACACCGATGCTAGAGATATTACCCCAGGGTCTCAACAGGTCGAAGCCCATGCCCAGCGCGTCACTGTGTCCGACGAGTTCGATGACGGTATCGGCTCCTCTCCCATCAGTGAGCTCTAAAACCCGCTTCTTGAGCCCCTCCATATCTTTCTGGTAGTTCCAGGGTTCCGCGCCCAGGGCTTTCGCCTGTTCTAACCGAGCCTCCACGCCGTCGATGGCCAGCAGTGCCTTCGGTTTGTATTCGAGGGCGTTGACCACCGCACACAGTCCAACCGGCCCGCAGCCGATTAGCAACACGACGCTCTGGGATATGTCTTCCTTATCGATCCCGCGGAACGCGTTTGAGGCGGCAAACCAGGCTGTCGGGAAAATATCTGCCATGAGAACGAGCTTGTTCTCGTCAATGTTTTGCGGGGCCTTGATGACCGTGGTGTCTGCAAGTGGGATTCGGCAATACTCTGCTTGGCCGCCATCGAGAGTCGGCGAGCCAAACAATTTGGACTGTGAGCAGCGGGAGGAAAATCCTTTTTTGCAATAAAAGCACTCTCCGCAGTTGATGGTGAATGGCGCGACGATCTTGTCGCCCTTTTTCAGCGTCTTGACCTCCGAGCCCAATTCCACGACCTCACCTGTGAACTCATGGCCCATAATGAAACCAGTCTCGGACGGTTGGTGGCCACGGTACACATGGAGTTCACTGTGCGAGAATTTAGACAACAGGCAAATGGGGATGGGGAGGGTGGGAGATAGTCACGAACCTTCCACAAAGGGCAGCATATCTTACTTTTATGATAATGTCCTTGGGGTCCTGGATCGTGGGGATAGGCCTCTGCTCGACCACGACCTGGAACTTGCCCTTGAAAACAACAGCCTGCATCGTGTCCTTGGTGGTCATATTGCTCGGTGGTCCTTTGGTATACTGGTCGGTGCAACGCTATAAAATTAATTGATGCAATACACCCAAGGAAACGTCGCTGTCGGCAGAGCCAGAAGAGCGCTCTTATATAGGAAGGTACTTAGATACTTAGGTTCGTGATAGCCATTGCGATACTAACGAATAATAATGTTCTACCGGAGATCCGAGCCCGCAGTCCTGGGTGCTGGGCCTTGGGAATAGTTACTAGTAATGGAATTGACAAAGTCATGGAGCGGCGCCGAACATTGTGGAGAGACCGCACGGGTTTTAACGGCTTTCTCCTCTCTTGTGGAGGGACTCCCGCCTCGTGCCGTAATTTGATCTGATTATCAGCTCTACAGAATAGAGAGAGGCTTGATTTGGTCTCAAGATCAATAAATAAATAATGCCCGCCGGACATTCTGGTCGTGGGGCAATGTGGGCATGAAAAAGCGTCGCTGGCCAAGGGAAGGGGACATTGGTGGCCTCAACTTGAAGTCGTGTTGCCCGCGATTGATGGAGAAATGTCCTTAGGCCCTTAGCCCCCATATAGAGCTTGAGACTTTGGCCCAGAGCACTTCTTTCTACCCAGGTAGTGAGTGCTCGGAGTTCCTCATGGGAAACGACTGCCCCTGGAAAAGCATATATATAGAGGCGCCAGAAGGCTGCCATGGGATTAAGGGTGACATCTTCTCAGTGAGGCAATCCCAAAGTCGAGAGGCAACACACGGTTCCTCTCATTGTCTATCGTATGATCTGATGTAAGTCAAGCGCTCGCGAATGCCACCGGCAGTCCAAACCATGATTCCACCTCCTAGAATGAAACCCAGAGCAAAAGGCCAAAAGCAACGCCTCGTCCAATGAACCCCCACTTCCTCTACGCCAGCATGCATACCATGTCGACTTTATGTCACTGTACACAGCAGTTCCCACTCCAAGATGAATTTGCCCTCCTTGTACTTCTCACTGGCCTCGTATGCCTTGTCGTACTTCCAGCCCACGGTCTCATCGCACTGTCTGCACTTGATATCCCTCACAACATGTTTTCCCGTGGTCATGTTCCGCTCCATCGCTTCGGCTTGCTTGACATTGACGACGTTGGCGAACAGGAACGCTTTGCCATGTTGACCTCGGAAGTTCCGGGATATGATGTCGTCAAAATCGGCCAGATGGGTTTTACAGTTCTAGAAGATTGTCGGTCAACAAGATCAACGCAGCCAACATGAGGCTGGCTCGGAGCAATGTGGTCAGTCATAGTACCTTACAACCAAAGATTTTGGACGAGTTCAGGTAGACGTTGTATGCAAGACCCATCCTGCCAGTCAGTAGTCCTCTCGCTACAGGCGGCGAGAGAACAGTGACTGAATCCCACCTCGCGTCGACGATGTTGGTCGCCGTATAGTATAAGTGTGTGTGTTGTTCGGTACCCCGCAATGTAGTGTGAACCTGGTGCCTTGCTCTTGATAATGATTTTGGATCTGCGCTTCTTCGGTGGGGATTGTTCAGAAGAGGAGAAGGTTCAAATTCCAATTGCAGAAGGACTCGAGGGTAAGGCGGATCTGTCGGGTTGGAGATGGTCAACTGATGTCGATGAAGAACGTGAGGGATCCTCGTGACGATACTCTAGGCGGAAGCCGGACGTGACCCGATACTAGCAGACTAGGAGTCGCAGATACAGATACAGATGATGTCAACGAATCTCTTGTTTCCAACTCGAAGACCTTGTCTCGCGCGACTGGAGCCTGATTGACGACGTTGTGGTTGATCGATGCACAGGGAACGCAGTCAAAAGGAGCCGCCACCTACTACGGACTACGGAGTTACTTGTACGTACTCCGTACTATGGAAGGTTGCGGCCGAAAGCCCCGGACAAAGCAGCGGGACAGTGGAGTTGTCACTGACCCACACTTGACGGCCGCGTATCCCTGTCGACTTCGCGTTCGCTCACCCTGTGAGACCTATCCGATTATCTACCTGTCTAGGCGGTAGCCCTTCGCAGTCTTTCCAATCTCTACAAGCGATCACCTTTAGAATTGTTGTCGAATGACAAAATTCCTCAGTAGCTGCTAGATGCAACGTCGGGACCAGAGCATGGGCACCTCAGATGTCAGCGGTTGGAAAGTCATCCGGTATCGATAACTCTCCTCGTATATTCTGTCAGTAGTGCCTCATCCTCCGGTCAGACACGAGGGGGCCGAAGACGGCTTTAGGCAAAACGTTCTCAACTAGAAATGTATTGTATATGCGCTAAAAATTCGCTTCAACGGTGTCTTAGCAAATCCTTGTGTGTATACCAAAAGTCGTAGCAGTCCTTATGGCCCCAATGCTCGGTCCAGAATTCGCCAAAGATATCGTCAGCATCCGTGTCGACTTCCGCCAACCTTTCCGTTCTCCTCAACCCGCAAAGAGCACATTGTTTGGACGAGTCCCCGGTGCTTGAACATCTCAAAGTCTGAATTGAGGGAGAGGCAGAAATTCTCAACCGATGTGGCTGAAAACGCGCTTGCGCAAGGATGCTCTTGAACTCATGAACATATTTTGACCAGTCATGGATCATCTCCTCCGCATCTCTCTGCTCTTTAGTGCTCTCGTTCTTATTGAGCGATGCTAACTTCATCCCACCGCTCTTCCCTGCTTGTCCAACCCTTACACTTTGGGCCAGTATTGTGTCTCGCTTCCATCGCAGTGATTTTCCGGCGACAATTCGACATGCCGTCCGGAATGTAACCATGAGTTGAGAGGCCAACTCTGTTTTGGGCTTCAACTTGGACTGATCGGTGGTATCTTTGTGGAGGACCTCGAACGCGGTCGACAGTAGCTGCAGAAGAGAAGAAGGCGGTGGGATATTTGTCGGTCTTTCGAAAGCAGGTGACGTACGCGGAATTTGCGACGGCACTCCCTGGGCTGAACCTGGAGAGGTGGCAATGGCATGGGAGTCAACAGAGGTCTGCTTCTGATCAGATGTACTATCCTCGAACGGTTCCCAGTCGTCTTCCGAGATCTCGATAATCGACTTTTGTGTGGAACGGGGTTTGGGATGGCCTTGGTCTGTCCGCTGCTCTGACATTCTCTGCTTTCCAGCCCCAACTTGCTCGAAGTCTCCCCAGTCCTCGTCCCAAGATGACGGGGATGTTCCTTTACCCTGTTGCTCAACTTGGACTGCGTGATTATCTTCTGTGCGGACCATTCTTGGCCTTATAACGGAAGCTTGCGGGACAAAGTCTTCGTCGGCCAGAAGATCTGGCACGAGGGGTTGGAGATCACTCTGGCTGATCACATCCACTGCGGAATCGCCTGCCTTTGCATCGCTTACCGTCTCGAACGCTCCGAAATCATCGTCGGCTTCGGGTTCCTCGGCATCGAAGAGGACATCAGTTCCTTTACCATCCTTTCTCCAGAGCGGCGCGGGTTCCTTCTTCGGGATCCCTACTTGCGATAACTCACAGACCTGACTCGATGGCTGAAGGTTCTGCTGGGTAACTAGAGGTATCGTGCTTGTTGACTTGACATCGATTGTTGCATCGGACCCCTTAAACGCCTCACTTTCATTGGCTCCATCTGCTAGGAAGGCAGCGAAAAGATCTGCAGACATGATTTGACCAGAGCATGAGCCTTCCGCAGTGCAAGGGTCAGCTGGGCCTGAGTATAGATATTGAGACTGGCATGGGCGAGAGGGCTTGGAGTAACACTGGCATGGCATGTAGAACTGCAGTGGAAGTTGTTGATGCCTGCCAAGATGCGGGCGGGCACCTGTTATGGGATGAAGATGACGCCGCCTTATGCTTTCCTCTTGCATGCCTGCCACACTCCTCTGTAGAACCTGTGCGAAAATCATACCTAGCTGCAGGGCAGATACCTCCGGAGATGTCTACTGTATATGCCTAATATACAGCTATACAGAGAACTTCCACTGGACTGACCTCTATCTAATTAGTAGGTACATGAAATAGTATGACAGGACGGGTTAGAACTGTTTCAACATGGCAACAGAATAGGCCCAAAGGGCTTAGGAGGCTTAGGGGCTAAGATCGCAATAATCACAGATTCCTCCAGGCTCCAGCATTCAGCCTCTCCCTTCTCCCACTGTCCGCATCCTGTTTTACCTACGAGTTGGCCTCCAAATCAATCCGTATGAGTCTGGTAGGGATTGGTCGCTTGACAAAGGCCGCCTCAGTCGTCAAGCTCCCTTAGTTCGGCTCACAGATCACTGGCCTCCTCTTCTACAGGCGTTTGAGCGAGGCCAAGGACGTTCCACATGAGCAACCCCAGGCCACTACAACGTGCCGGTCACGATAAGTCCCGAAATGGTTGCTTGACCTGCAAGTATGATCACCTTTTCTACCGTCTTGCATTAAGCTTAACTGTCCTAGGATTCGAAGAGTAAAATGTGATGAAACGAGACCACATTGTCGGAGGTGCACACAGTCTGGCCGCAAATGTGAAGGTCCAGGACACCAATTCCGGTTCGTTCATGGTCAATCCTTGTGGCGGTCGGCCACTCCAAAGCTGCAGCTCGAACCATCTCTTCTCGCACCACAACATAGTGAGGATGAACGTCGTTCATTCCATTACTTCACGCATTGCGCAGCACCCTTATTTGCAGGGGCTGTCGATGCTGCCTTTTGGCAAGACTTGGTCCCTCGACTCGCTCAGACATATGACTTCGTTTGGGATACTGTTGTGTCCATCAGTTCTCTGATGGAGCACGTCCCCTACATGTCGGGCAAGACTACATACGACTCGACAGGTCTAAATATACCCACCAGCCAAGTGCATCGACATGCACTGAGACTTTATGACAGAGCTATTGCCAGCGTTCGACAGTTGACTAAGAGTCATCAGATGGATGACTCGTTCGTGGTCTTGAGCTATATCCTCTTTGCATCAGTGGAATTCCAGCAACGAAACGTTAAGACTGGGAACGATCTCGTGAAAAGATGCTGCCAAACTTTGATCAAAAATCTTACGTCGCTTGACACCAGACAGAACTGGACCGCCGGCCAAGTCGTTCTGCAAGTGCTTCCGTCATTCGTGTTGAAGAAGGGCATTCTCATCTCAACTTTTGGAAACGCTCTACCACCCAAGTGGGCTGCCAACGAAGAAGTCGATAATATGTTCAAAGCGGTACTATCCAGATCCCCTACTCTGAACGAAGCTAGAGTTCAATTTCGAACTCTGGTGTATGACTCTTACGAACTGCTCAGATTAGCGGACTTTTTCCCTCTCTTCAAAGATGATCACCCGGAGAGGGTCGCGTTCTCGTCACAACGCCAATCATTATTGACCAAATTGATGAAATGGAAAGTGTCCATGACTGCCGTGAGGAGTGGGACGTCCGACGTGGAGTCCGACTGGATACGTTCGTACCTTTTGTTGTATTGGGCAGTCTGCTACACATCTCTGGCAGCATGCATCAGCACTCAACAGACCATCTTCGACGACTATATGGACCACTTTGCTGATATGGTCGAGCACGCCACGGTTTATGTGAGGCATAGCGCCCAATCGACGAATATTCAACTACTGTCCGGTTTTGATCCCGGAGTCGTCCCACTATTGTACTTCTGTGCGACTAAATGCCGAGACCCGACACTAAGGCGAGAGGCGCTACGTTTGATGCGTCTGGCTCTACAGCAAGAAGAACCTTGGGCATTTGTCGCGCCTGACCGCGTGGCTGCGAAACTCATCGCGGTCGAGGAGGGCGAAGATGATCTCTGTTACTCAAAGCACCCCCCAGGATCGCAATATGCTGGCCTGCCACCAGAAGAGCGCCGGTTCGCTTATGTCAGTGTGGTGAGCCGCCAGGCGCCCAGCAGCAGACCGCGCCTGGCTCTCGAAATGAGTAGATTTGAATTTGCAACTGATGGTTCGAGAAGGACAATCACCGACTATGCCTGGCTGGACGAGGGGGTCGAGGTGCGGCCTGGAGCCTATTTTGAGAGCCGGGGCATGGCCACACGATATGGAGATGTACCTTCCTCGGTACTCGACCCAGTCTTACCAACTAGGGGAGGTACATAGACTCCTTGGAGTACAGCTTCTGCCCATTTCTGGCAGGCTTACTGTTGACGAGAATCATTGTGTAACGTGCCAAAGAGAGGGCCAATACTACGACGACAATGTTCTTTCGATTTCGCTCTCAGCCAGCCAGCTGGATCTGTAAACCGGCCAAGAGGGCGCCGAAGGAAATGGACGCAGTTACCGTCCACCGTGGCTGCAGGGTTCAATCGCGATCCCTCTTTGTCTCGAAGACGTATTCCTCTCCACTACGGACTTTGCCAACTTTAGTTTGTGCTCTTCTCTCGTACCATTTACCTCAAGCCGAGTCCACGGTCCGCTAATCGTCATAATTCGCCAGTCCATAGTTGTGGGTGGGGGAGTTCGGCTCTCGACGATTGTAGAAGCACAGTGGCAGCGGTAGGATGGCTGTCGGCTATAGTCGGTGAAGGCCCAGAGAGAATCAATCTCGCAGCCGGCGGTTAGGACACAGATCGGCGCCATCCAATAGTACGTAGGATTCGGAAGGTAAGTGTCGTCTCATGTCCGCAGGAAAGGTGGTAAAGCCCACGGCACCGGAATAAATCAGAGACTGGTCCACAGGGGTGTTGTTAGGAAGTACAAGACCTGCTCCGAGCGGAGAAGGAAAGTGCTGAAGAACATTGCTAGATCAAACGGAAGGGTGATGTGAGTGAGGAGGTGAAGTCGCGGCATATGACAGATTACAGCGGTACGGCTGAGTAAGCGGGTCTGCCAAGTATCAAATATCCCGAAACTGAACGCGGTCAGAGGGCATCACCGCCTACTACTACCTTAGTACTATTAGTAGTCAGTTGCCTGTGACAACTCTCGCCCGATGCTGGCAGGCCTCGACTGACCCCTAGAGACTACATCTCTCGCGCTTCTAGAAGACGACTTATGATGCGTACATTCCAAGACATACAGTAAGATATTCGAGTTGGTAAAATTCGACAGACTCACCAAAATAGGCAACGTTGGACATCACTCTTTAGTACTTCGATCGGGGTTGATTTGCGACAAGCCTTGAGGGATGGCGAAGGATTCGACCCATGTGAGGAGGGTTTACGCTCAGTTTGCTGGAAGGTTTGCTTTCGATACAGTATATCGGCCACGGCAATTACCAACCTTCCTAGGCTTTCCTTCTTTACGGCCCTTTGAGTCAGGCGTCATGGTCGAAACCGTTAGCCGAGTCCCGTTCGGCATATGTCTCTCTCCGAGACCACTTTTTGCGCTTCATAGAGCACCCAAATGACCTTCATTCCTCAGCAGATCCTTTGGCAGATGATGAGAATGTACGCGATTCCTTGTTTCAAGTTTATTTCGAAGTCTGACCTCTGACGAAGTAAAGTCTCCTTGGTCAACTCTACGGCAGGACGAGATCAGTCGTGAGGAGATTTTCCAGGACGTTACGCGGTGCATGCAAGACAATTACTTCTTCAGAGAGCCGGATACGCAGAAGAAATTGTTGGATATCCTTTTCATCTATGCGAAGCTGAACCCCGATATAGGGTATCGACAGGGAATGCACGAGTTACTGGCACCCGCCCTGTGGGTAATCCAACAGGATGCAGTCGATTCAAAGACCGTTCCCAGCACGAGCAAACAGGATGAGGGTATAACCTTCATGTTGGAAGTCCTAGACGCAAAGTTCGTTGAGCATGACGCTTTCAGTCTCTTCTGCGCGTTGATGCAAACTGCAAAGGCATCTTACGAGATCGGCGATAACAAAGAGTCGTCGCCTATTGTCGCACGAAGCAAGAGAATCCACGACGAAATCCTCGCATCTGTTGACCCAGAGCTCGCGCTTCACCTGAATGTCATTGGGATCCTGCCGCAAATATATTCTATGTCAGTATAGCCGGGCTTGGCCACCGGTGAGAACTACTATTGACGATTTCTAGCCGCTGGATCCGACTTCTTTTCGGGCGAGAGTTTGAGTTTAAGGACGTTCTCAGAGTATGGGATTTGCTCTTTGCCGAGAATCTGAGACCAGATATCGTCGATGTCACTTGCGTTGCAATGCTTCTGAGATCTCGCTGGTCACTAGTCGACGCGGACTACACTACGGCAATCACAGCCTTGACTCACTACTCCTTGCCCGACTACGACGGAGACCCTCGCTCTTTGGTCAGAGATGCCATTTTCTTGGACAAAAGTCGGAGTAGCGAGGCCGGAGCAACCCTCATACATCACTATACCGGCAGACGCCCGAAGGAAACCGAAACATCAAACAGTCGTAGCAAATCCGCAATCCGAGCCACTAGACAGCCTCAACACCGGGAGTCTCCAAATACATCTCCAGGCAGGTTTGCTTCGCCTCAAAGGCAGCTGGAAGGTTTATTTCAAGAAGTCACTGGTGGTTTGCAGAGACGCACTGAGGGCTGGAACGTATCCAAGGCTGTTCGAAGTGCAGTAGGTGAAGTTCGGCGTAATATGAACCACTATCAAGCGCCACATTCAAGGACTTCAAGTTCCGACGTGACCAGATTCGAAAGGCCGGATCCGCAGCGCAGACTGCAGGAACTGCAGGACCGAAATCTAGGATTGGCAAAAATGCTCCAAGGAGCCATTCAATCCCTCAGATCCATCAAGCTGACAAACTCGGACAATACTGAAGCGGAGCATAGCTTGAATGTCTCCTTGGCCAGGATCCAGTTTGTTTCCATGTATTTGTCCCACCCGGAGATTCCAATTCCAAGAGACGAATTGGATCAGGAGTCACAGGGACCGATCCCAGTAAGACAAACAGCGACGGAAAACAGTGCATTGCCCATACCACGTGAACCACGTGGTGAAGCCAGTGCTGAACAGCCCTCGATTCGCATTGCTGAGAGGCCTGCCGAAGCTCACAAACCCCAGGTGGGAGCTTCGGATGGCAAACAAACCACAAAGCCTGCACTCCGACCCTCTCTAATGGATTCATCCTTTTCATTCATGCTCGGGGAGGGCAGGCATCGGTCTAGCTTTGTCAGCTCGGTGGCAACACTACCTGAGCAAAGAAGAGATAGCGAGTCCAGAAGCAGGTCCAGACAACTAACAGCGGAAACGAAAATACCGCAACAACGCAGTGATTCTGAGAACGAAGATGACGGGTTCACCTTGGCTAACATGAAAGGTGGCGCATAAGGCAGAAATGAAGATGGCAATGGGGGGTTCATTGGACATTTGTCAGAAGGGCTTGGTTCCCGGCCGTCGCAGCAGTCCAAGGTGGTTGCTTCTTATACCTGGAGGAAGCAATTGCATGATACATTTCCCCGGGAGCCAGTGTTTTGTTATTGAATGTGGCATATGCTGGGGTTTGAATGCAAGCGGGTTGGTAGATTTGGGGATATGCCAGACGAAGAGCGCCATATGAGCAAAGAATTCTCCTGCGAGGAACTTTAGATGCTGCCCAATGTTCTCCTTCTGCTCTCGACATCGGTACCAGTCTGACGAATGTCGGGAGCATGTAGGCGGATCCGCCAGGGTGAATGCGGTGAATGCGGTGAATATCGGCTGCAATCAAAGGTTGAGTTGGGAGTCAGTGCTAGGTTCGGCGAGTCTTAACCTCCGTCGTCAGAAGATGACTGTGGTAATGATTGAGGTATGCCATAGTTCCGGCACATACAACGTACAATGCCGTGGTTGACATCGACAAGGTCGTGTGCAGTGCGAGATTTGCCGGCTCGGCTTGGAGAGTACGGAGTACGGAGAACATCTGCGGATTGATTTTTAGGCGAACAGCTCTGATTAGCTCTCTGACACTGCCTCACCCTCCACTCGGTGAACCACATGCAAACACTGCACTGGCCACAAGGTTGAGACCTTGCAGAATACGAGGGTACACCGGGTGGGCGAGCCACCTGCACACCGACCGGCTGACTGGTGATCGACATTCTCTCTTACTGAAAACAACTTCGCCACGACTCGTCCCAATCACCCACACAGCCGAACCGATTCCCCTTCATCCTTTGGCCGTCGATTTGCCTGGCCCTGAAGGAAGCCCTGGCAATCGACCGTGTATTACGACATCGAGGACACGAAGTCGAAGACCCTTGTTCTCCTGCTTACCGTTACTCGCGTACCCCTCCCATACGATAACGTATCAGCTTGAGGATGTATATTCCATTATAACATCGTGAGGAGGTCTACATTGAACGGCTGGCCAGACGGCGACACGGAACACCGCTCAGCTAGACATCCAGCATGACACGCGATGGACGGGAGAGTAACGGTATGCGATATCCTTCCGACAACCCTATTCGGCGAGGCTACTGCCTCAAGTCAAATGGCTTAATCACACGGGGTTCTTTCTGGACATACTGACCTGCTTGCACAGAAGACAAGTCACCACCGCTGTCACCGCTCCTTTCTGTCCCTGGAACAGGAAGGCCAACAGATCAGCCACTGCGTCTCCCGAAGAACAAGAGCACCTCGAGCCTGTTCCCTGCCCACCACGATGACTTCCCTTATTCTCAGAGAACACGGTTCTCATTCGATGCTGGGACCGCCCAGGAAATGAACAATTTGAAGAGGTGCGCTATACATATTCGTTTCAAAGATACAATCTGACCCGGACTAGGGCTTCACGCGGCGAACACGACCATGGATTGGGCCGGTCAGGACTTCGAAGAATCAGGCGCCAGGGACCTCTCCTCCGGACGCCGACTCTCGTCCTGGAAGACTCTGAGTTTGTCCCTCGTAGCCTCCAATATTCCAAGACTGCACCGATATCTAGCTCATCTTCCAGATCAGTATCGACCAGCCATTTGATGAGCGGCCCCTCATCCCCTTTGTTGGAGGATGTCCATCGGTTTCCCTCTGAGTCACTGCATTCCTTTTCGTTTGCTAAGCAATCGGAGGAATTGCTACACAGCAGACAGAACATTTTACAAAAGTCCGTTGATTTTGTGCGGGATCGTTCTGCCTGGGCTGCTAACCCAGCACTTGCAGATGCGCAAGCACGAGTCAGTGGAAATGCTGAGTTACAGGGGATGATGGACCTCCTTAAGAAGGCAAACATAATCTCGCTCGATACAGCCATTAGCAATTCCAGGAGTGTTGGGTCTGGACCTCTCACGGGTCCGGCCCACTATGACGGGCGTAACGTCTTCGAAAAGAGCTTCAGCCAGGAGATAGAACAAGCAGAGGAGGCTGCGGCGAGGACTCATACTGAAGATATGAATTCAGGGCGAAAGTTTTCACTGGAAGAGGATGATCCTTTCCAAGAACCAGGTCTTGAAATGCGGATACCGCCATCCAGAGCAGATTCTATGGACGGCCCACGCCGCACCGGCTTGAGGAGGACCTATACGGATGTGAATTCCATCTCCTTGCAACAGAAACTGATTGAGGCCCTCGCGCAGCCGTATACAGACGAAAATTCTCTTGCACATTCCACTGTCAGTACTTCTTTGCAGAACGTTGGCAACAACCTGGCCGGCGCGAAATCGTCTGCAGTCCACGGTCATGGTAATAAATGGGAACCCGCGCATCAGGCTGTCTTTCGCACCGACCCGGATGCTCCATGGACAATCCTAGCGGCCAACGATCTTGCTTGTCTGATTTTCGGCGTCACCCGAGCAGAAGTGAGGTCACTGAGTATACTTGCCATCATCCAAGAAGAAAGGAGACATTGGCTCGAAAGAAGACTCGCGAGACCGGACGACGTTGTGGAGGAGAAGCCTCACACACAACCCTTGAGCGGCACTAGTAGCACAACATCAAGCAGTGGCGTGTCGTTCGTTGGGTCAAGAAGTGGTATTACAGCAAGGCTGCTTAGCAAACCACCCAGTAGGGCTAACAATTCATCAGAAAGAGCAAAGACGAATCGCGGCTCTGGAGTTCCAACCCGGCCGAAACCAAAGAACCACCCGGCACATAAATCCAGGGGCGTCCTACTTTGTGGGGATATTGTGCCTATACAAAAGCGGGACGGCACCAAAGGAGCGGCGAGCTTCTGGGTGATGGAGAAGCGCGGTGGTTTAATATGGGTGATCGAAGAGATCACCGAGGACGTTGCATATCTCGATTTTGACGAAGCGGGCATTGTGAAAAGTGCGCACGGCGAATTTGGTGCCATTTGGGGTCGAACTGTCCTTGATGGTCTCCCTCTCACGACTCTTCTTCCAAAATTCCCTCCCGATGCGCTCCACTTCCATCAACTAGGATACTTCACAGCCCAAACGGCGGAGTATGTCAGCGTTCCGACCACGGTGGAAAAGTCTCCTACCGAGAATCAGCTCCGAGTCTCGAGTCTACCTCACATTGCTGGAGTCATGATGTTGGAACCCAACACGCTGAAGATCAGCAGTGCCAACAGCATCTTTGCTGCCTCACTCTTCGGATATGAGAAGGCTGATGGCCTACCAATTTCCGACTTGATACCCAGTTTTGGGGACATGCTAAAGATTTTGACTCGTGAGGATGGAGTTGAACTGGTGGACGGGATCGTTGTGCCCGAGCATAGCTTTCGCCGTGCACGTGCTCTGCTTGCACTCCGTGAAGGCAACGAGAGTGCCTCCAGCATCTTTCTACGACCGTGCGGTCTTCCAGCCAGGCATAGAGATGGTTCGGATATCATGGTGGATGTCCAGATGAGGGTGGTCCGCAGCGAGACCGTATATCCCATGTCAGATGAGGCCGTCATCGAAGAGAAGGACGAAACGAATTGCGAGTCAAGTGTTGCCGTGACTGAACTCGTGTATGCAGTCTGGATTATCTATTCCCGCAACATTCACTCGAGTGGTTTTCTTACCACTGCGGATCTGGAAGATCAGGCACCTTCACGTTCTCTTTCACCGCCGTCTCAACCTGATCCGCCACCGGTGTTACCCTCACCACCCCCATCCTCAGATGTTTCCAGGAGATCTGCTGAAAGCTCAGAACTATCGCTCCAGACCGACTTCGCCGAGGACATTGGCTCTATTGCCATGGAAGAACCAATAGATCATCCGCCTCCCCACACGCCCTACCTACCCCATGAAAAGAAGACCATTAGCGACTTCACGGTTCTCGAAGAGATGGGGTCTGGTGCGTACGGTCAGGTCAAGTTAGTCCGGTACAAGAAAGCTCCGGCGCACAAAATGGTAGTGAAATATGTGACGAAGAAGCGAATCCTTGTCGACACTTGGACGCGGGACCGCCGGCTGGGGACAGTGCCACTGGAGATACATGTACTCGACTACCTTCGCCGAGATGGGCTCCGTCACCCCAATATTGTGGAGATGATCGACTTCTTCGAGGACGATGTGAACTACTACATCGAGATGCTTCCACACGGGATTCCGGGCATGGACCTGTTTGACTATATCGAGCTAAGGACACACATGACCGAAGCGGAAAGTCGCAACATCTTCCGTCAGGTCGCCGACGCCATTCACCATCTCCACACCAAAGCACTCGTAGTTCATCGGGATATCAAAGACGAAAATGTCGTATTAGATGGAGAAGGGCGAATCAAACTGATCGACTTTGGCAGTGCAGCATACATCAAGAATGGACCATTCGAAGTGTTTGTAGGCACAATAGGTGAGTCGTCCAGGCCATGGAAAGATCAGCATGCTGACTCGTGCTTCTGCAGACTATGCGGCCCCTGAGGTCCTGCAAGGTAAGCCTTACGGCGGGAAGGAGCAAGACGTATGGGCGTTGGGTATTCTGTTGTACACGATTGCGTACAAAGAAAGTGAGTAGCACCTGGTCCATTTATCATCCTGACTGGCTCGTTTGCTAACAAGATCGGCCAGATCCATTTTATGATTTAGGTATGACTGACATGAGCTGCCGGCATCATGGGCTCCAGATTAACCTCTTGCAGATGAGATTCTCGACCACGCCTTGCGGGTTCCCTTTTTACCTTACTCGGAAGAGTGCCTAGAGCTCATTCGCAAGATGCTAGACCGAGACGTGGAAAGGCGGATCACCATCGAAGAAGTGCGAGACCATGCTTGGCTTCAAGAGGACTTTTGAGGTTCCATACGACAGCGACAGTGATTTATTCTTATGACCTAACACCAGATGAAGACGAAATGTTACGATATGGCAACTTCTGAGGGCGTCTATCTATCAATGCAACTACTTGGACGAAATAGCTGAACAGATGGGTGGTACGGAGCAAACAAAATGTGTACATACTCTCCACCTGTGAGGCTACCTGTGAACAGCGAACCGAAGAGGCCCAAGAACTAGACAACGGTCGCTGCACAGGATTGTCTCGCGTGGAGAAAGAATCCGATTCCTATCGATACTGAAGCAATGTTAGTGAGAAGATGAGGCTTCGAAAGACGGAATTGGACAGGAAGTCGGACAGCTTCGAACCATCACGCATCAGAGTCATGTAGGAACTCGGAAGCCCATCATCAAAAGTCCGATGCTTGAATCGACAGTGCGGCTGCAGACTCGCTGTTCCATTTCCCTGTAGCTCCCGAATCTAGAGAAAATGGCTGGGCGACTGCGAGGATTGAGATGTTCCGTTCCAAGGTGCTTCTAGCTTCGTATGCCGCGGACAAGCGGCAGTTGCTCGTTATTGTGAGCCTTAGGGCCCGCTACGTATCCTGCTGACGGCGTCAGGGACAGGGCGAACGCAGCCAGTAGAAGTGAATAGGCACTTGTCGTGCTTTGGCTCCCGCAGTTGGGTTACGGAATAAGTATCCAAGCAGTGGCAACAGTAGGAGGAACCCTGTCCTCCTTGTAGGGTACGGAGTACGTAGTAGACTTCGTGTCAACTTGGCTACTTCTCCGGGCCAAGATCCACCAATGCGGTCGATCAGTCCGTTAACAGGAGTACTGTAGTCGCAGTCCATCATTGTACCACTCTGTGTATGTAGGGTAGCTCGAATTCAAGGATCTTGCTTGATCTTGTCATGCAGGGCGAGTGCATCGACAAGTCCGAACCCTGGAGACTCTGCAGGTGCTCTTCGCACCATCGGTCACTTGGCATCCATAGCGTAGCGTCGCTGCATACGCTATCACTTTCCGCGACAAGTCGGTCCTGGAGGCTGGACTTCACTGAGCCTGGTGGCCACGAGGGCGGCTCATCAGTCAAGGGAAGGATCCGCTCCGGTGTCGACGACTCGCGTTTGCCGCTTGGCGCAGCCTCTTTTCCAACACTTAGACCTCGGTCAGCGTATCTTGTTGTGGGGAGGGCGAGTTACGGATCCTCCATATATGTACGCTCGAGGACCATTGTTGGAGACCACTCGGCTCAGTCCGTGTCGCGATAGGGGAGCGACGGCAATTGGAGGAGCAGAGGAACCGAAGAAGAACCAGCCACCGGGTGGCGAAGACAGAGGAGACCTCCAAGATATGGGACCGGGCAGTAGCAGCACGAGTGATCCGAGCACGCGATGCCGATTGATCATGATGTGTCGGACGGGCACGCTGGCGTACGACGGTGAAATGGTCAGGTAGACATCCTTCTTGTTTGTCCTTGTGCGTCTCCTATCTCTTTTCATATGCTTCCTCAAGCCTCTGCCCTTCATAGAGGATGGTCGTTTGATCGAACCTGCTGACTTTATCACAACGGCATTAACGGTCAGTCGGAGATGGCCAAGTCTGGGTGGAGGTGCGGTGGGCTAAGGCAGTTGACCTGGTCGTGTGGTCTGCAAGTGGCTGGATAAGACAAAGCCAGGGTTTTGCCCCGTCAGCTACTGTAGGCTAAGATACAGTTATCGATACCGCCCCTACCAAAAGTCTACGGAGTACCTGGTAGGGTTGGACTAATCGATAAGGGAGGGGGAGAAAGAGGGGTCTGGAGGGGCTTAGGGGCCTGAGATCGCGGCGTCCACCACTGCATCGGCCCAACGCAGGCTGCATTCTCCCTCCAATGACTTCTATACCAGCTACCTTTAGGTAGGTATGAGTAGTAGCTGAGGCGGTTGCTGGCTTGACAGCCCAGCCGAAGGAGTCGACTACGGAGTACTGCTGCTGAACCTAACAACACCCTGCCTTCGGCCCCCTGTCAACCATCCTCCTCTCGGCGCCCAGTTATTGCCCACCATCAACTGCGTGTCTCGGCCTTTTGCTGGACGGGCTCGTTCATTTTAGACCTTGTTCCCATCCTTCTCCGTCGCCTGACCGTTGTTGCTGCTGGATTTCAGCTCACGGTCTCCCTCTGTCTTTCGTCCTGACCTACAGCCATCACTGCGGGAAACACAGCATTCAACCTGACTTTATAACGTGCAATCCCCCTCGAGAAGCGCGCCGAGGCCGAGCGCAGTCCTCTCTCGCTTGCCTGGACAACTCCATCTGCGCTTGGGTAGAGACAGGTGCACACCCGCAGTTGCCTTACATCATGCAGTCAATTTCTACTACCATGGCCGCCACTACAGCTTCGTCTCCTTCTCAGCCACGGCCGCTCGACTCTTTTAGACCAATGACTCCTCCAAGTCCAGTGATCGAAGCCACGACAGCGTTTGACCAGCCTGTCAAGCTCAAGGGCCGTCACAGGCTACTTCAAGGTCTTCAACGCATGTCTTCATCCCCATCACTAGCAAAGCTTGGTCGCACCCGCTCCAGCGAGAAGGTCTACAAGTCGGGACAAAAAGCCTCCATCTCCTGCGTGTCTCTCGGCTCTCCCTCGTCCAGCTACCCGCTATCTCCCCCAAACTCGTATACGTCTCACCTTTCCAATGGCTTCTCCACCGCTCCAACCACTCCGGGCTCGCCTGGTAGCCAGCAGTCGTACTTCGAGAGCAACTCCCGTCTGCGACCTTTAGGTCCAAGCGAGATCGCCACTGTGCCTGTGCCGATCGACATTCGAACCTCCAAACCCATCTCCACCCCACTACCCGAGATCTCGGAGAAGCCCTTTCCAAGACGGCCGGATTTCAATTTCTGGAAAGATTTACCACATGAGGTTCGGATACATGTTCTGGCGTTTCTGTCCCCGAAGGAGATCATCAGAGTGTCTGCCGTGTCGAAAGAATGGCATGACATGTGCTTTGACGGACAACTGTGGACCAGCCTCGATTGCCAGAGCTACTACCAACAGATCACGTCGGATGCACTCATCAAGATCATGCTGAATGCTGGGGCATTTGTCAAGAATCTCAACCTGAGAGGATGTGTCCAGCTTCGAGATCAATGGTTGAGTCTTGGAACCAGAATGACCAATCAAGAGTGCAGGAACCTCGAATCTTTCAGTATCGAGGGTTGCAAGATCGAACGGTCGTCCATCCATTTCTTCTTGCTCAGAAACCCAAGGCTCATACACATTAACATGCCCAGTATGCAAAACATCAACAATGCCACGATGAAGATCATTGCTAGTCACTGCCCGCAGCTCGAGTTGCTCAACATCGATTGGTGCTCTCAAATCGATACCCGGGGCCTCAAGAAGGTCATCCAGTCTTGCCCCAACCTGAGGGACCTTCGAGCATCCGAGGTTAAAGGGCTAGACGACAATGAGTTCATGCTCGAGTTATTCCAACGCAACACCCTGGAACGTTTGATCCTTCAACACTGTGACAGTTTGACCGATGAAGCCCTGCAGACCATGGTTCACGGCGTGGACCCTGACCGAGACATTTTGACTGACCGTCCCTTGGTTCCACCCCGACGTTTGCGACATCTTGATATCTCCAGGTGCCGAGGCCTGACGGACACGGGCGTGCAATCGCTCACACACAACGTGCCATACCTAGAAGGTTTCCGCCTCTGCCAGAATACTGCTTTGACTGATGATGCTTTGGATAGTCTCCTACAGACCACGAATCGACTGACTCATTTGGAGGTTGAAGAGGTTGAGCTTCTCTCTAATGCGGCCTTGATGAATCTGTCCAGGTCGCCAGCAGCCGCGACTCTAGAGCATCTGAGCATTTCTTACTGCGAACGAATTGGAGACGTTGGCGTCTTGCCTCTCCTCCAGGCGTGTCCGAACATCAAATCTCTGTGTCTGGACAACACCAGAATATCTGACCTTGTCCTCATGGAAGCCTCCGAACAGGTTCGCAAGAGAGGCAGTACTACCAAGAAATCCCAATTGCCCAAGAAGGGTCTCGAGCTCGTCGCTTTCGATTGTGCCAATGTCACTTGGGCAGGAGTCAGAGAGATCCTTCAAGGTAACGGGCGTGTCATGCAAGGTCGGAAGAAGTCGGTCGTTCAGAAGACCAATTTCGTCGGTGAGGATGGCGAGAGGGAAGAGGTCAGAAAAGTTGTCGAGATCCAAACACTGCTCTACCCTACACAGGTTATTCACCTCAAGGCCTTCTACGGATGGCAGCAAACAGTGGAAGAGCATTATAAGCGGTGCATAAGCGGTCGCTGGGGCGCGGCAGCTAGGTTGGAAGCCAAGTGGGCAGAATGGATGGTGGCGAGTGAAGAAGTCGGCGTTGCGGCGCAAGGCTGGAACTCAAGGAGGCGGAGAAGGCGAGCTCGCGACGCCGAGAACAGGGTCAGAGATGACGAGGACGGTGCCGCTCAAGATACTGCAACCGGGGACGAAGATGGTAGCGGTCTGGAATTTGCGACCGGTCATACGCCGAGAGGAGGACGTCGGAGAGCTAGAAGCGGTGGTTGCATGGTGATGTGACAGCGGCCGCTTTCTGCTCGTTGCGACTGAAGGTTTCAGCCCCCGATCAAGATGAGGTCAATGAACATGTTCTGGTGAATGAAGAGTCCGGTTCTTCTAGCGAGCATATGGCAGGGAACGAGCATACATTCTTTCCGGAGCCTTGGATCATTTCCAAGGTTGTTGATGGGTGAATGGCGAGTCTGGCTTTCAAGTCTAGCAGCATTTTGCGACTTAACGGAGTAATGCAGGCATGTCTGGTTTTTTGGCAGCGATTTGAAAGGCAGATTGGGGGAGTTGGGTTGGGGGGAAGGTATATCTCATCAGAGATGGGTTATCTAGGACGGTTTACGTTGCTCATTTGATGGACAGCTTTTTGACGATGAGAAGATAGTGTATCTTATACTTCCTCGCACTCTTAAGAACCCAAGCTACTCTTTTGTTTTGTTCTGGTTTCAAGTATCGCAAAAGCTACACGAGTCAGGTCGGTGTGTTGCGTCGGCCAGCCTGTGAAGATGAAGATGAAGCGTGATGAAGATGCGATGGTGCTTCTGCTGGTGTGTCAAATGGAGTGTTATTTCCGCTTTTATTCGGTTTTCTGGCAAGTATTTGATGTTTTATGTTTCATGTTGTATGTTCCCAGCCTTAGCCTCCTAAAGCCCGCCTCAGTCAACCTCAACCTCAGCCATGATCTGGTCGACCACATATATATATATATATATATATATAATAGTAGGGCGGCTGAAGAGATCAGAATCCCGGTTCCGGTTTGCCCCTAGAGCCATACTTTGGCTGCCGTGTTTGAAAGGTTCCTCGATCGTTTTCGTTTGTCGGGCCTGACGAGAAAGACATCTCGCCCATCTCGCCCATCTCCTCCTCCTCTGTCCTTCGTCCTCTGTCCTTGGTCCTCTGTCCTTCGTCCTCTGTCCTTGGTCCTCTGTCCTCTGTCCTCTGTCCTTCGTCCTCTGTCCACAAGACCACGCGAATCGGCTTCTTTCACCCCCACAACTCATCGTCTGAAGGGACCAGCTCGGGACCTCCATAGATTACCGGAACGTTCTCCTTGTCCTTCTTGTTGACAGTCGTGCTGACGACGTTGATGTCTGTAGAGGGAGGGAGGTCACTTCCGCCGACCAGGGCCGCTTCGACATCCCGTGCAATGGCCTTGTAGTCCTGTACGACGTCGCCGTAGAAGCCTTTGCTCTCTGCACCCTTCATGCCCGCGGGCCCGTTCCAACCCTTGCGAGATTCGAAATATGTTTCATCCGTTTCCGCTTCCGCTGCCGCCTCCGTCTCAATGTCTGTGCTTTCGTCAGGAGAGGTAGACCCGTCGGTGTCAAGGGATGAATCTGAGTTCGAGACGGAGGTCGGACTGGTCCGCGTTGAAGGGGCTGACCGGTAATGAATGACAACGTCGTCGCTTGAACCGCCATGCCAGCGGCCGGGGTCCACCGACGCCGCACGAGGGATTACTGGGCCGAGAGATGGGCTTCCCCGGCGGCCAAGCGAGCTGGGAGGACTGGGAGGACTGGCACGATGACTCCGGTGTGGCTCGCACGATTGTGCTCGACGCGAAGTCCCCGCCGTATCGGGCGAGAAAGGACGATGGACTGCTGGTTCTCGAGAATGACCGCCCCGACTAGCTGGCATGACCTTTGCTTCAGGAGGAACTGCACGGGGTGTGCGCTGGCCAGATGAATCGACAGATGCGGCCCTTGAATAGAAAGGGCCGGCATGGTTTTCTGGCCGCAGAGCCGGCTCTCGAGATCTATTGTGGGAGCTGCGTCGACTGGTGGCCTCACGTGAGACAGCTCGTCGTCTGAATGAATCTGGCGAGACATTGCGCGAGCGGGAGGGAGAACGCGGCGTCCTCCTTCCTACACTATCACGCGAAACAGTTCTTCGTCGTGTGGGTCCGACCGACTCAGCGCGAACAGTGGCTTCACGGGACGCAGACCTGCCTCCTGCACCAGCTCCGCCTCGGGACTCGCTACGTCTTTGATCTCGCTCTCGAGACGTACTTCGCATGTGTGCAACTTCCCCGATCCCAGGACCGCAAGATGGCGGACGCGAGGAGACCACGGCCGTACTTTGGGTGTTTGATGTTTCAAAGTCCGATTCAGACAGCTCGACTGGATTGGCGATCAAAGAAGACGGAAGAGAATTAGGTGACTGGGAAAGATAAATGTCCAGTCGTGAAGTTAGGTTCCGAGCAGTGATGCCTTCGACGCGGTTGGCAGGAGGAACTCCGTCGGTAGCAGCCTCCGCAATGGGCGTTGTTCCCATGGGAGTGGCATTGTTGCTTTCCGACAGACCATTGAATGACTCGGCCACGGGGCTGAGGACGGAAATGGCTGAGGCGGGCTGGCTTCTGGCCGGTGGCACACCTGTTTGTAATTGAGGAAGACGCCCAGGTCCAGGGCCCTTCTCGGGGTGTGCACCTGGCGCGCTTGAACGCAAGGGGTCCACAAGGGGCCACGAGTCTGCCTCCGCCGGCCGGTCGTCAAGCCTTTTGTCAATCTGGGGGGCGACATGTTCGACCGGTTGAGCATCTCGGGCTTGCAGATGGCCCACAGACAATGACCGCCGTTGCGTCTTGCGGGACCATGGTAAAGGGATGGTGATGACAATGGCACTCCGCTCCCGCTGAACCATAGATGGAGGTGAGTGGGTAGTTGGTTCGACCGTCGCCGCCTTGTCCGGGTCGTAGGTGAGATCAGGCGACTGGTTGACCAGAGTCTTTTGAGAATCAGGACTGCCATGGGCTTGACCGGCCGGGTGGTTGAGCTGGGCTTCCGGGTGCTGTTGACTCCAACCAGCATTGGGAGCTGTGATGGTAGCATCGCCCCATCGGGAATGAAGCCGCTTCTCTGATTCTGACCGCGACCTTGAGCCTCGACGGCGAGAACTCATCAACCCTTCCAACACAGAGGCCATGGTGGCGAAAGAGACTGTATCAAAATGAGAAATGAAGCTGCGTTAAGACAAAGGGACCGAGAGAAAAGCAGTGGTTGTGAATGCCTCTGCTGAGTACACATGTACCTGCGCCAGGCAGAAATGGCAGCCTGGAGGTCGCACCGCGGGGCCAGCTGGTTCTCGAAGGAGAAGAGAAGAGGACGAGAAACAGAAACCAGCTGATATAGGATGCTCTCTTGCACGGCGGATGGGGGAAGGCATAGAGACCGAAATAGACACACGAGGATGGCGCATCCAGGACATGCGTACGGTGCATACGGATAGTACTCTGTACTGGAAACCCACCTGCCTACCTACGTACCGACCTACCTGCGTACCGACCTACCTACCTACCTACACCTACCTACCCACCTACCCTACCAACCAGATCGGTCTACCAGGTCCTGTCGCTGTGGAGTGTGTACCACGTAGGGATGCACAGCAATAGAAAACAATCCTGGGGCCGTTGCGGGTGGCTAGACCGCCCTGGCGATCCCAACGGGGAAGATGCAATGGCAGCAGGCCAATTGGCCCATCGCCATCCATCAGCCCATCAGCCATCAGCCGCGGCGTTTCGCTGCCACCGCGCATTGGCCCGCCACATCCAGCATGAGACGCATGACATGCAGGGGAAGCGAGCCACTATACAGAGTTGGTGTAAGCGCCCGCACGCCGCAGAGACTCGAGAGGTTCCTGTCCAGAGTCCGGTCCAGAGCAGAGTCCAGAGTCCAGAGGTGGTACAGCAGGGATGCCAGGCCGGATATTGGACTGCTCGCCTACATAAGGCGTCCGCTGCAGCGCTTCCAGGCACGGATGCTTCCGTACAGCATGTTATTTTTATGTACACCCCTCCCGTCCATGCGGCCGCCTTCAGACCCCGAACGCAGCGCCACGAATGGAATACGGATACCCTCCTCCGACACCCAAAAAGAACACGGCCCGCGCAGGCTGTCGTCGTGTTACAATAAGAATGAACCCCTCCTCCAGGGCGTTTCTGCAAGCTCCGGTGCAGTGGCCTGATGCAGATGCAGATGCAGGTTGGCGGTGGTCAGGAGGGATACGTGTCAAAGGAAAAAGCCAGCCACTACAGTCAACGGCGCAAAGAGACCCAAACATCCCGTTTCCAGTGAGCTGGGGAAAAGCGGTCTGCACTTTTGACTGGGTACTCTATGTAATCTCGTGGAGGATCCAGGCCCTTCCCTGACGGTCCTGCAGCCTCGTTCATGACCACCATTGCTCGATTCGCTTGCTTGCTGTCGCCGTCATCTCACCATTGTGTTCTGGTCTTTTGTTCCTCTGGTATAATCTAGGAACAGCGCATCAGTATAGTCCGCCATCTCTGGCCCGCGGTAGTCCTTACCTTGGAACGATGGGTGCCGCCGGCAGCAGAATTTTGCAACTTGTGCAACAAAGTGCCCTCCTGTTCGTCATCACTCAGGTCCGCGTAGCCACTAGGCGCCAGGCTTCGTGGTATGATGGTCAATGAGCGTCCTGGTGGATCATGTCAGCACTTGTCAGAGATCCCTCTCGGTACTCTCGACGTGGTATACCGGTAATGCTTCTGTCCGACAGGATCCTCATCACAGCAGTTGCGGCGTCTTCGACGGTGGCGAATTCGGTGTGTGCCGTCTTCAGGTGCTCAAGTACAGCGGCGCCCAATATACCGGTCTCGACAAACCTGTCACGGGTGTCAATCAAGGATCCTTGGCCAAGGTCATTTGCATCTTGACCAACCAAGGCGCGATATAGGCAACTCGGATGTTATGCTCCCATTCGGTCCTGCGCAAAGACTTCATGATTCCACGAAGACCGTACTTTGAGGCCGCATATTGAAGGGCTCCTGGGAGATCGATATAGCCAGCCAGACTCCCCTGCAAGATGAGTACCTGGTCGAGAGGTTCCCCTTTGTTCAAGGCATTCTGCCGGCGGAAGTAATGGAGCGCGAGTTTGGTGGTGTATAAGACGCCGGTCAGATTGACGTTGAGCACGTTCAGCTTGGGCTCTTCGGGCTCTTCAGCCTCGACTGGAAGAGCGTCGTTAGTGTCATTCGAGCACGGGACGGTCACAACATACCGTCGTTCCAGAACACGGAGTCTGCTCCACTAATACCAGCATTGGCAATGACTATGTCGACCCTTCCAGAAGGAGAAGAGGACAATGCTGTCTTGAACACGGCAAGCTGATCGGCCCAGATGATCACATTACACTTGACGAATTTCACCGAACTACCAATGTTGGTCAGGATCCGCGGCCGGACATCGCATTGTCACAGTGAGTGTCTTGCCTGCCCAGTTCTTTCTCGAGTCTGGTCCCCTCCTCCTCATCTAAATCTGCGATGACAACAAATGCACTGGAGGCGGATCAGTACATCGTTCTCAATGTCTAGCAAGATCCCATACCCAGCTTTGGTCAAAGCACGCACGTATGCCTCACCTATTCCATTGGCTCCTGGAGAAGTAGATTAGTAGGTGTGTGGAAAGAGGTGTGAAGTACGCCATCATACCGCCAGTGACTATGGCCGTCTTGCCCTTGACGCCGCCTGTGTCGAAATCCACGTCGGCGCTGACAGGCCCTTGGTTAGTATAGGGCGGCATCTCCTCAGATTTGGAGAACAGTCCTCGGTATATCACTGCGATCCGACTTCTCGATTGATGACTGACTCGAGATCCATTGATTTATGTACCCCTCCTCTTGTCTAGCCGGCCCAAGTCAGCTTGGTAGAGATGGAGAGTTACCTCGGTCGGGTTCCCTTCTAGGCCACCGGCATATACGAAGGACTGCATGTGAACGTTGAACACCGCGAACGAGGAGGTCACACGTGGTCCACCAGGTCGCGGGGGTCAAGATGAATGGAGATGCCTGGAGGCGGGGAAGCATCCGGGAGGTCTGTCTACCTTGTTTGCTTGGCTCGTTCCATACACGTTGTGCCAGCAGAGTTACGTAACAAGGGGGGTGTAGGTGACCGAAATAGAAAGACTGGCGGTTGGAGACCAGAGCCATCCGATTGATTGCCCAGTGACCTGGAGGCATACAAGATCGGAATCCCCAGGCCGCGCGGCGAGACAATCGAATGATGGGTGGAAGGTGAGGTGCGAAGATGCCTTAGGAGCCTAATAAGAGCCATCCTATGATGTAAGAAGGCAGCTTATCCGACCGCCTGCGCCCCTTCATGAACCTGGAGAGTTGCTGCTCCTCATCCCTTCCATCATGCATCATGCTTAGCTTTGCTTGCGTCTCCCCTCCTCCAAATCATACCGTTGGCCATGCGGCGTACTCTGAATTCTGTTCCCATCTAGGCCAGCCTCTCGGGTCCTTCCTGGTCGAATCGGCTTAGAACGAAGAAGGATGGATGTGGAACAAGTGGAAAGGAGGCGGGCTCACAGCCTATTATTACAAACAAACCGGATGTGGGCAGTAACTCATCCTGCTTCCCTGACAGATGATTTGGCATGCTGTACGGATACTCCGTCCATGTCCATACGGAAAGACAGACAACTAAGGCTGCCTGATCCCGCCCCTCCTCCAGCTACAGTAGCATACAAATACTTATTCGCACACGAAAGCTCGCAGCCTGCCTCTGCTTCCGTCCTCAATCCTCCAGCCTGGCATCGACAAGGTCCCACAGCTCGTACCGATGGCGTTTGAAAAACTCCTTGTCGCCAATTGCTTGGTGCACGCGCGTGATTCCCGAGATCAGCACTTGCCGCAGCAACAGCCACTCTGCGTACAGCGCCTGCATTGCCTTGTCGTTCTCCTCTCGTTCGCTCTCTGTCAATGCGCTCATCGACTTCCTCAGAATTGGTGCTGCCAGTTTCGCGGTATCAAGTCTCTTTAGAGCAGTCTCGGAGATCCCAATCTCTAGAATGAGCACAGCACGCCAATGCTGCAACGCTTCCACCACCTGAAGTGTGAATGTACAATCAAGCATCCGTACACCAATATCAGGTTGCCCTTCTTGTCTCCTGAATTCCTCATAGTGCATGTATTGGGTATTGAAATGCTTCCAACACCAACTGTCAATTTCACGGAGCACCTCGATGTTGACAAGCACTGCATGTCTGAAGACGTTGTTCGCATCGGGGTCGGCTTGCAATTTAAAGATTGTTTTGCCCAGGTCAACAAGCTCTATTGCACTGGTTGGCCGTCGTGGGCGATGGAAGCGGTAGGCTACGAGCTGCAGTCAGCATGGTTCTGAATATCTGATATGCAGTCCAGGCATGAGAGCAGCTACCTAGGTATTCTCCAAGGGTTGTTGGACTTACTCAAACACCCATAAATCTTCGCCAATTCACCACGCGCTGCTCGGGCCATATTATTGATCATTTTTCCCACCTCTCTGTCCGCCCATGGGTTCTCCTGTGGAACAAGTTCTGTTGCTCAATTTAGCCCATGACTGTGGCAGGAAACATCAAACTACAGACCGTTCATAAGAAACCATGGCTGCCAGTTCATATCCAGCGGCAACTGAACCGAGATCTGGTCTTCCGCAAGCCAAAGGCCACGTTGATTCGGGGCCAGCCAGCCTGCATTCAAGAACCTGAGGTGTTGGATGTGACTTTCTCGCAGTGGAGGCTTGATAATAGGGTCGCGGACCCCACGAAAAACAAGGGAAAAGAATCCTTCACCTGGCTTGAGTGGAAGGCCACGAAGTCTCGGCAACATCTGCCAACCAACCGTGGGAGGAGGTCCGAGAAGGGACGGTCGCGTATGGTAGGCCATCATCGTGAGTGTCGCAAGACAATGCAACGCAAATTCTATCCTTCTGTCTGTCAAATTGTCCACGAAGTCTGCTGTGTTTGCTGCCTGTAGAGCTTTGGGGCGCGCAGCCTTATGGTCTGGCAGATACTGATCTGGAAAGCGCAGTTGTTATGAATCACGGCGGTGACATTCACTTCCTGGCCAGACGCGTTTCACCAAACTGCCGCACCCTCTCACGTCTGACGTCTGCCTCTATGGGCTTAGACAGGAGGACTAAGGGACAAACAACCAGACTGGAAGATTGAACAAAAAAGGATTTGGGATGTCGAAATATTGGTCCGATATACACAGGTATTGACTTCAATTGCATATAGGAGTCTATCAGAAGCACCTATGCCAGTCCAACAGTCTCTCGCAAAGGTCTACATCTTTGCACTCATCCGGGGCCTCGCATAACAAGGACCTGACTTGGGTCTCGAAGACTCCTTCCAGCGTTGCCCGGCCTCTCTCCGACCGTATGAACCGAATCAGCATCTCTCTGTCTAGATCACGTTTACACGCGGCGACATGAGCCCTGACGATATTTGCGCCGGCATCAGCAAGTTTCTGGAGCCGCGGGATCGGGTCGACGCTGGCAAAGTCAATCAGCCACTGATCACAATCATTGCTCATGCTGATGAATTTCTCCCGAGTGGTGGCGAGCAGTTTGCTCCGTTGTCTGATTTCATCGGTGGTGGCAGCGTCAATGTGCTCGGCAATCTGCGACATGGTGTACTTGAACTGATCAACGTGCGAGCGTGTATCGATCAAAGCCTCAATGACTAGATGGATCCAGAGCACTTCATCCTGTGCGGCATCCAGGTCGTCGATCCCGCCGTTGCGGAAATACAGTGGTCGACCTCCGTCGGCCAGGAAAAAGGGGTCTTGAAGCCTGCTGACCAATCTCGACATTTGTCCACTGTTGTACAAATTCTGCCTTGTTTTGTACCTGGCCCGACGTTTCATTCCAGCAATTTGGACTAGAGTTGCGAAGAACAGGGACCGTCTTTATTTCATTCCATTTCGATCTGGCATCATTATCAAAGATCATGCACCACCCTGGCAATCGACCAGGCAGTCAGAACGGCAATCGCCAAATCGCCCTCTGACTGCCCTTCGTCGTATCTGTTTGGGCGAACGATCAAGCCCCCCGGGAGGCTTCTGCTCGATCAGTTTTCTTTCAGGCTGCCATTGATGCAGCGCCAGTTTGGTCTAGTGCAGTGTTCGGCTAGTGTTTTCCCCTTCGTGTTCGTTCGCGTGCATCTCCGACGATCAACGGGTGAGCAGCCGTGTAAAACGAGAACGAGAGCTGGTCCAAACTTCAACCCACCCGATTATCCCATGTGACTGCCTCAGAAGTATACAAGGCTCGGTTGCCTCGATACAGTGCCATGCCGGTTTGAGGCCGCGTTATCGCTGTCGTTGTCTTTGTCGTTGTCGTTGTCGTTGTCTTTGTCGTTGTCGTTGTCGTTGTCTTTGTCGTTGTCGTTGTCGTAGTGGTCTTCTCGTACTGAAGTCTGACGTGGTTCGTAACTCGTTCATCTGCCTGATAACCAGACTACGAGAGAGGAGAAGGAGCCGAGAAGCCCGAGTGGAAAGATCTTACTCCAAACTGCCGACTGCCAACTGCCGTCGGGTTGACTGTACCTACCTACCCTACTGTATACTGCACTTTCAATACTCTCAGGGGATAATTACAGTACTAAACAGTAGTCAAGGCGGGAGGAAAAGGGGCTTAGGCTTAGGAGGCGAGCCATAGCCTTATGTAAGCCCCTTAGCCGCAGCCTCGTCGGCGCCTTTAGCCACCAAAACTGTCGGTAGGCCTAAGCCTCAGGCTTAGGGTACGAGGCCCCAAATACTTACTATACAGGTTCGTACGGATAGGTGCTACTTTCTTCCCCTGAACTTTGGTACTGTACAATACTCGTACAATCATGGTCACAGCAGATCTGAAAGACGCCTGTGGACAGTGGACAGTGGACAGTGGACAGTTGGTAGTTGGCATCAAAAGCCTACAAGTACTCTGTAGAGCCCATCCGACCTTGAGGAATTGTCCATACAGTGTACGGAGTACACTCTGATCCATACGAAGTCTAATAGTCTATTTAATTGTTCTATCAGGGTGTGGTATGGTAAGTCTAGCTCTCCATTGTTCTATCAGGGTATGTATGGTATGTCTAGCTCTCCATGTGTCGCTGTCTAACTTGAACTTGCAGCCAGAAATCCAGCAAAGGAAAGGGTCTTACAGAACAACAGAGTCTAAGTAAGTCTAGTCTAGTCTGCGGTGTCTAATGGGAAATGGAATGGGGGAAATTCCCTGATCCAATCTCCTCCTCCTCCTGCCACGTGCGTAGTCGAAAGGATGTTTTAATACAACCTGGCATATTTAAGAGAAGCGCCATCGCAGAATGCAAAACGAGTGCGGTGCGAGATAACACAACTCAAGAAATGAGTGGCGAAGAGAGCTCACCGCGCATCCTGTCCCTTCTGCGCATAGCCTGTCTGATATGCCTGGTGGGGTTCGTTGCTGTCAAGGACGACATTTACTGCGAGACAGTGGGCTTGAAAGTGATTCTGTCTTCGGCCTTGCTCTGGAACGGCACACCGAGTTCGAACAGCTTGGTGACGGCGGCGGAGAAGTCCTTGAAGAAGGCGTCGTTGTCCTTTGCGTATTTCTCGACGTATTTCTTGAAAGTCGCGTCTTTGATCAGGGCCATGTCGGTCGGGAGCATCATCAGGGAGTGTGTCTTCACATCTTCATACTGCTTGGGGCCGTTCCACTTGCGCCAGGACCATTTCTCGTCGAGCAAAAGTCGGTAGTAGTCGTTGGTCAGAACAGTCGGCGAGAAGGTCCAGGGGCCATCGAAGCCAGAGCGGTCAACGTGGCATCGTCCTGTGAGGTGTCAGCTAAAGAACCCCAGCGCTTCGAGAGTCGGTGAGACATACCCAGGGCGTGTGCACCAGAAAGAGCAACCATTTCCTGGTCGTTGAAGCCCATCCGGCCGAAGATGGCCCGGATGTGATTCTGGTCCTTGGTGGCGTCGGGCAAACGCCCGTCTGGAGTGCAGAAGGCAACGTCCCTGTCTTGTCGACCCGGTCGGAACGGGATGGTTGGGCCTTGCATCTCCTGCACAGCGCAAACACCGGCCAAGATCCACAGGTCGGAGTACGAGATCCAGGGGAATTGTTCTGCGAGGCAATCAGTATCGCGCCTCAAACGAGTATTTTCCAGTTTCGAGACATACGCTTGATGGGCTCCAAAAAGTCGCGGGCAGCTTTCAAGCCAGCGTTGGCACCATGGTCGGATTCGGGAGCAAACCGCATGGTGGCACCATTGCTTCCACCGGTTCCTGTGGCAGCATCGTAGGTGCCAGAAGCGTGCCACGCCAGTCGGAGCAGGACAGGACCGTATGATCCATCATCGTAATCGTCTTTCTCCCAGAGAGCCTTGGCAACCGCATCGTACACCTTTTGGTAGTCTTGGGCGGTGGGGTTGAGCAGGCCAGCAGACTGTCCTGCGCTCCCGGACTTGAGGTGCAGTTCACCTTGGGAATAGTAGTAGAAACCACCTGCCAGCAGAGCAGCCGCCGCGGCTCCTCCGAGGATGGCGCCGGAGCTCGACTTCTTGGCCGGCTCTGGACCAGAGGAGTAGTGCCGGCGGGAAGATTGCCGGAAGAAATGCTTTGCGGCAGTGTCGCGCGAGGGACGAGCGGCGAGGCGGACGGAGGAGGTGGCGGAAGAAGCGCTTCGGGGGAAGGCTTTCGTGAGAGCACGAGCAGCAGCAGCCGTAGCCATGGCGAGAGAGAGACTGTGTTGGTTCGGAACCGGGTTCGGGTGTGTGACGAGAAGGTGAGAGAAGAAAAGAACTGGCCGGCGTAGTGTCACTTATAAGGAGAGGTCCGAGGGTGATGCGCCGTCGGGTCTAGACAGTGCAAGGCACAGGCACCGACCACATGGACCGAAGGGCGCAGAAGAGCGCTGAATAATGAGCAATTGAAAAGGCCACGACTGGTCACAGCAGAGGGAGTGAAAGGGCCCACGCCGAGAAAAGTCTCACCAGCATGAGCTTGGGCTTGCCGCTTGAGCTGGAGAAAGGCGGCGATGGTGTTGAAACGGAGTTGAAGGTGGACCAAGCAGTACAAGCAGTAAATGTCAGTTAGCCTGTATCAGGCAATTCTCTGCCCGTTCACGTTATCGGCGTAAGTGGTGTTAGAGCAAGATAAGCGAATCATGTCTCGTACCGGTTTATCAGTTCGGCAACTATCGCGCACCATTACGGGATAGGATTAGTTATCTGGCAGAAGTCCCCTCCGAGGCCTCGTAATTGGCCCTCAGCTCTCTGTAACACCCTGAGTTATCGAAACCCGAGGCTAGATTCCGCACTTATCCGCTCCTCCGCCTTGACCGGAAACCCCCGGCCCCCACCAGCGAGCTCCTCATCTCGCTGCTACTTGCCAGATGGGGGTTAGCGACAATCTCCCACAGGATTGAAGTCTAGTCGACTAAACCATTTATGGTATATATGTAATTTACCTCGAAGTTACCCTAGTACTCCCCTACGTATACTAATGCAAAATCCCCCTAATTCAACGCCAGTCTGATCTCTGCAAATCATTCATTCAGACATCAAACCATCCTCTTCACTCAGACATATCCCTGCCTTGTGATAATGTTATAGCCTGGATCTTCAATCTGAATGTCTGTCTTGGACAGAAACTCCAACGGCATCTCGACAAGCATGCCTCTAACCTTGGCAAGCTCCTCCTTGACCGCCGTGACCCCTTCATCGCCGGCGGGAAAGTTGTCCTTGGCCACGTGTCCCCATTGTGCCATGTGGAAGCCGTCGGGGCCTGAGAAGCGCTTCCAGAACAAGGCCTGGTACTGCAGCCACGTCTGGGCCGTGTCGTCGGGCATGGGGGCGAACACCTTGCGAAACGCCAGCGTGTTCTGCAACGCCACGCCGTTCCAGTGTTCGAGGAACTGGTCACTCAGGGGGTCGGCGACGATGGCATCCTCTGGGGATCCAAAGTCGTAGCCATTGTCGCCGGGCGCAGGCGTGAAGTGAGCGTCTGGCCGACGCATGTCCTGTGGCGCCAACAGACCCAGGTGTTTGCGGAAGAGATATCGGCGCATGCCCGCGGCGAACCGGCTCGCCTGGAAGGGCTGCCCGTTCATGGTGGTCGCGAGAGGGGTGGGATCCTCGATCACCAGCGCTATCTCCGAGTCTCGACTGCCCTTGAGCGAGCGGTCGTTAAGGTTGGCCGATCCGCAGAGCACGACCCGGTCGTCGGCGATCAGCACCTTGGAATGTACGTACAGCTCCTCGGTCACGAAGGCGTCGATCTCCTTCATGCTGCCGCCTCCCACCCAGGGCACCTTGCGGATGTCGGTGCCACCGAGCATGTAGCACGTGCTCACCGTGTCCCAGGAGCTGTGGCCGTGGTCGGTGGCGGTCTGGTACTTGCGGTAGGCCTCGTGGTTCTTCGGGATCTGGTCGCCTTCGAACTCACCCATCTCCTTTTGAGCCCGCAGCCCGAACGGGTCAACAATGTCGTCGTGGTCCTGACTGGCGAGCGTGTAGTCGACGCCACTGGCCTTCTCGGTCTTCTGCATGGTTCCGCTTTCGTTGATGCGGTCGTAGTTGCGCAGATTGTAGAAGCGGATGTATTCCTTCGGATCAACCCCCGCGCGTCGGAGCTTGTCCATGATGCTGAACCCTCCTCGCGAGATGGATTTGTACTGCAACTTCATGATGGCCCGAGGCGGGTGCCCGACAATCAAAGACTGCAGGTCGCCGGGGAAGGCCGGTACGGAAGGCATGATGACAGTCACCTTGTACCTTTTGCCTTCTTGTGCGGCGCGTAGAATGCGTTTGACCAACGCTTCGCCCACGCGGTTCCACACCGTCCCTAGCCATTCTCCGGTCGATGTGATGAAGAATTGTTGCTCCATGTACACAAAGTGCTCACTCTTCTCGATGATGTCCACGTATGCATCGTACACGCTGTGCTCGAGAGGGCTGCCACTGCTCCAGCGCGTCACACTGCGCACGAGTTGGCACTTCATCCCGCCCGACGACGCGGCGGTCGCTGGCGATGGCTGGTCGCTGGTGGGGGTGGGGGTGATGCGTGCATATCGTGAGTCTATGGGGAGGCCAGTGTTGTATTTCATGCCGTATATGAAGTTCCAGCGCTCAACGAAATGGTCACAGATATCGGCCACGGCCGGTCCAGTCGCGCTGATCGAGATGTCCTGCCAACCCATTCTCGACGTGGTCAGACGGCTTAGTCTGTTGTGCTCCCAATTGTCTAGATTCTTGAAATCCATCACCCGGGCATTGTTGTAGTCTTGACCGGGGAACACAATGTCGTCTAGATTTCCCGGATGAGCGTCGGCGATTGGGTGCTGGATCGTATCCCATCTGCCGTACGAGAGATCTATGCCGCCCATGAAGACGGTCCCTCGGTCGACGATGACGAGCTTCTCGTGATGCGCCCACAACAACGTCGGCCCTCCTGCCACGGCGATCATGGTCTGCAACGTCTCATCTGAGACCTTGCCTAGATTTGCCCTGTTTCCGGATACGATGCCTTGCAGCATACTCTTGGTGGCTGACATGGCTCCCTTGGCTCCAGAATAATGCTCTGGATATCGGAAGACGGCAATGTTGGGGTGAAGAGCCTCGAGAGCGTGCTTGGAGTGGTACGAAGATACTAGATACCATCGCTATTCAGCACAAGGGGATTCTTGACGTGACACAAGACCACCTACAGTACATGACTTGAGGAACCTCCTTGAAGACAATCACATTGACTTTGACACCGCGTTCGGCCGCCGCCAGAAGCATGCGATCAAGTCGATATTGCTCATTCTCCGACGGCGGGCGTCTGAGATAGACTTCTGGGGAGATCCACCCTATCACGCACAGCCCAGTCAGTATTGGAATTGTACGGTGCAAGCCAATATAAGGGCGTTTGCCAAAGCAAGAACCACTTACAACCAAGAATCCAGATTGACTCCTTGGCTTTCTCCAATGCTTCCGAGACGGCCCAGAAATATGCGCATCCATCGACGTGGAACTTGACACTGTTCCCCTCGGAAATGGGGTGGGAACTGGAATAACGGTGCTTGAGACTCTCATCTTGTGTGCCTGAGACTATGCTGGTCACCGTGCTGGTCACGCTCGCCAGTCCGAACTTGCTTGTGACATTGTCAATGGCTGCATTGCTGCTGACTGAGTTCTGAACATTCTTCGCTGCTGCCGCGGCCTTGTTGAAAAGAGAGGTCATTTTTCTGATGGAGGTCGGAGAGGAGCCGCTCGAGAACGTTCGAGAGAGTCTGACCGGGAGAATCCAACAGAGGGTCTCAAGACTATATGGTATATGGAAACCCACCTACCTCCCTGATTCAGTTGAAGATCTTCATTCATCTCCATCGGTCAAAGCGGCCGAAGGGCCTATACCCAATCATCCCCGGTCTGAATGTCTTTAGCTTGCCATCACCTACCTGTGGAGTGTCTCTTGCTTCCTATCTTTGACAAGACATACCAAACCATTCTATCCGAACGCTGATCTGCCCGACCATTCGGGTTTGCCCGAGGAAGCTAGAGCTATCGTGTCTCCCGTTTGAGACAACTGCCACCGGGGCTGCCGACCCATTCTCCGCATAGCCACAGCCTAACGGGCTCTTCTACCAGTCAGACGCTTGCACCTTGGTCTGGCTGGGCATCTAGCATGAAATATGACCCTGCATATTTGACATACCTACCTGCACGCATGCAAACTGCTTCTGTCGTCTAGGTCTCGCCGACATGGTGCTGACGTCCACCTACCTTGTGACTTCTGACTCCTATTGGTACCTGCCACAGGGAAGATAGGAAACATGTCCCAATGCGCACAGCTGTTGACGTGAAAACATGTCCAAGCGTGGATCCATTACGAGTTGCGCCAGACTGTACGTAAATGGTTGCATATGTCAGGACAAATAAGATGCACTTGTCCTGCTCACAGATCAACAGGCCTCGCTCAGCCTGGTGGACCAAGGACGGTTTGGTGCAGCCCCAGTGAAGCAGACGACCAATAGGCGCTCTGACATATTGCTAGAACAAGGTGGACGAGCTGCTGTTGGCTGGTGAGGGATTTGGCCCCATACGTATATGCACGACCGGCCTCATGCGAGCCTTTCCTTTTTACGTAGATTGTGCGGAGTAGGCGCCTTCGCGTACCATTTGACATAGCGATGAAACTCGACTCTGCTGGTAGAGCTGAGCAATGGCCTGCGTTTGAAGCTTGGTGATTGGGAGACGTCTTGTTAGCTGAGCTTGGTCGGACTGACCTGAGGGACTTTGATCAGTAGTGTGTTGTCGATCTCTTGCACGGTCAGAGGATGGTGCTTTACAAAGGCGATGGGTGAGGCGGCGGGGCATGTCTGCTATGAATGCGGTCGGAAGATTGTCGATTGTCAACCCTCGACTTGTTTCTGAGACACCAGTTGAGTCAGTGGGTAGCTTTTATACCCTCTTGACCGACTTCTCTCCGGTGGGAGCTTCCTCTGCACGAATAGACAACTTCTCAGACTGAGGTGTTTGGTGTTTGCATTGAATCTCACCAGCCAAACTTTGACAGCTTCGTGTTCTTCAACATGAAGTTCAGCCTCGGTGGAAGTGGGATCGACATCAACAGTTATCAGAATGAGAATCCTGATCTGGGAGTCGCAATCTATCCGAGTCGATCCCCTGACGACGCACCCTACTCGATACAAGAAACCCCCTTGCGTTCTGCCATCTTCATTCCTGCCAGTTTCAAGTATGGTGAAGATGGGAAAACGCCAGTCATCCTGGTCCCTGGCACAGGGAGCTATGGGGGCGAAGCGTTTGAGAGCAATTTCGCCAAACTCCTCAAGGCCAGTTCCTTCGGCGACCCGGTCTGGTTGAACATTCCCGGTCGGATGTGCGACGAATCTCCCAAGAATGCAGAACACGTGGCATACGCCATCAACTACATCTCAACGAGATGTCAAAAGAAGGTCGCGGTCGTGGCATGGTCCCAGGGAAACCTAGCCACCCAATGGTCATTGAAATATTGGCCCAGCACTCGCGAACAAGTCAGCAACTTCATATGTCTGTCGGCCGATTTCCGCGGGACAGTCAACGCCTGGGGCCTCACCCCCTTCAAGGGAACCCAGCCTGGCACTCCGGCAGTGTGGCATCAGACTCGCAATTCCAACTACATCGCCACGCTGCGTTCCAATGGAGGTGATTCTGCCTATGTGCCCACCACGTCGATCTATTCTGCGACAGATGAAGTCGTTCAACCACAATTTGGAGCAGCGGCCTCGGCACTAATGAAAGATGATCGTAATGTTGGAGTGACTAACTGTGAAGTGCAAGTCGCCGCCTTCCTGAAGCCCGCTGGGCTCGCATATTCGCATGAGGGCATCATGTACCATCCTCTCGCGTGGGCTTTGGCCGAGGACGCCATCGTGAATGGTGGACCTGGAAAGATGGAGCGCATCAAGATGAGTGCTGTCTGTATGCACCGAAAGGCTCCAGGACTTAGTCTTCTCGACGCTACCAAGACACAGGCCTTGAGTGCGTGGTGTTTGAAAAGTATCTTGATGTTCACTCCAAAACCGTGGGACGAGCCAGGTCTGCCACTTTACGCTGCAAATGAAAAGAAAACCTATGTTCCTGATGATGTTGTCGTACAAACCAAACAGACTGTCGCCATTGTGGAAAACGAGGTCATCGCTGCGGAAACAGAGGTCACTGTTGCTCCGACTGCTCCGACTGCTTAGAGTCATGATCGAATTGGGGGATCGCAATCACCTTCGTTGGACGGTTGGGTTTCTGTTGGCGTGCTTGAAGTCGCGACCATGTTTTGGGCTTTGGCTTCGTTCAATGACGGGATTCCCTTATATCAAAGGTACTTAAGGCATATCCAGTTAATGTGAGACATTGACATTGGCCACTGCGTTGAATCTCGACCCGTCGGGACATTTGACATATCACGGATATGCCTTCTGCCCATCATCATTGGGTGGATTATAAGTAAGGTGCAGTCTGAATCTGATGGGCGCAACTCCAGACTTGGCCCTGTGATGAGAGGAGAATGATATAGGAACTTGAATGACAACGTGAGTCTTGACTTCATCTCGGCAAAGTTTCTTTGTTGGACGGATGTACATATTCACTCATACTTCTCCGTATTCTCATCATGGTCCATGACCTGACCAGCTTCGGTCGCGTTTTGTAGTTTTTACTATATTGTAAGCGCGAACGTAAGCGTAAGCTGGGTTTCTGAATCATTGGCTACACCACTGCTTCGTCCATTGACCCAAGAAGCCTTAATTTAGGCCCGCGGCCAACGTTGATGCAATCTGTCGCAATACGGTGGACTACGTCTGCCTCGGTCACAATTTCTTCTTCTGGAAACGCCTCTCCCCTGAATAGATTTCCGCCAGCATCCCATCGCACGCTCTTGCTTATTATCTACGTGCACACAGACTGGACGGCGCAACTAAACGCTGCTTCGTAAGGATTGAAATGCGAGTTTGTAAACCATGAACTCCAGTATGCAGCTTAACTCAGGTGATGCTTTGGCCCGACTCCCATGCCATAGCCCTACGTCAATATTGTATGCTCCTTTCCTGTCTATGTTCTTGTGCCGATCATGGCATCCCGTTCGCAATCATAATATCATCCTGTCGGCATGTTCTTCAATCTTCCCATCATAGTCCCCTGAAGGACTGGCTTTACTGCCTTTGTCGCCTGAGAGTACGTCGGTCTCTTGGGGAAAGAGCTCCTCCAATACTTCGCTGCCTGATCGTGTCTGCAGCACCACGCTGGTCTTTAATTTTGGTCGCTTCCTGACATTCGTGGGAAGCTCAGCCGCTCTGGCTTTGGCAAGTTCCTTTTCCTGCTGTAGACTCTGGTCGGACTCTGCAATCTGCGCCATCACTTCGCTGTCGGATGGCAGGCACATGAGGCCTTGGCCCCAGTTAGCCTCTCCACCCTGGTGCTTCTCCTTCCAGTGAATCACAAGCGCTTCAACTGGGACCCTGTATTTGACGTGTTTCGCGCTTTGGATAATGTCTTCATCCCCAACACACACTCCGCATCGGAATCGGAGGTCGATCGCCGGATTGGCTTGCCGCACTCCCTCGACACCGTCCCTGAACATGGAAAGTGGCGCCTCCGTCGCTGAAGTGGCAGCGTAACGATCCATGGCATATTTCAAAGCAATCTTCATCTGGCAAGAACCATCGACCCGTACACCCCTCAGAGTACTCGCCGCGAAGATCAGGTTCCCAGCAAAGTCAGTGTCTGGGATATCGTTCTGCCGGGGCCGGCGCCCAGCAAAGGCAGACACCGTTGTGCGGATCTCCAAAGGACGGTATGGTTCGGCGGAGTCTGGATGCCAGGGCTCCAGTTCCCGCGTATCTTGGTGAACCGGAGCCAGGGGTAGACACTTAGGCCAAGGCACCCGGTACCAAGGGAAGCGATATGGTTCATCTTCGTTATCAGGTGGTTTCCACGTGCCGTATGGAATAGCAAACCGCCAGAACTCCAAGCCTTCGCCGACTTGTTGAGCGTGCGCAGTCAACATGTGTTCGAATGCTCCGGAGAAATTCCACGTCTTGACAAAATCGCTGCGACGGCAGCCTCGGCATCTGAGACTTCGGAAGACCGTCTCTCCTCGCTGAGATCGTGGAGAGATCTCTTCCATCAAGACGTCCTTCACGATCATGCGAGCATCATCCAGGGTCAAAACGTACGGGCCTGTCGAGCCATCATAGTTGAGTCCTACTGGACATCCTCCTGTTTCTTTGCGCTGTTCGTAAGCATCGTACACCCGCTTCAGACATAGTAAAAGAAGGTCTGCGTCTGCCACTTTATCCTGGACACAACGGGCGAATTGTTCGCGGCCTAGTCGAAGGACGAATGCTTGTTCGCTTTGCAGGCTGCGGCAGGATTTGTTTCGCCCAGACCGGTGGTCGTGCAATCTTTGGAACAATTTGATATTGGGACAGATCTGTGGGAAGCTGTCACGGGCCATGGCAGCTTTGAAAATTTCTACTTGCGCCGCTTGTGCCTGGTAGGGCAAGATCTTTGCTTTCAACGTGTTCCAAGATCTTTCTGACGGTGCCTGTGGAACCCTCACCACTCGCCGGAAAGCTGCCATGTTCCACAGCATCTGGCTTTGCAGGGGGGGGGATAATTGCGCGGCCCGCGCTTCAAAGAAGTCAATTCTCACCTGCTGCAGGTCCTTATCTGGCGTACTCTGCGACTTGAACCAGGTCTCCGTATTCTTGACCTGCGCCATAAATGCCATCGTTTGTTTGTGAATACCATCTACCCACTCTTTAACTGCTCCACCACCGGTAGGTGAGTGAGAGAGAAGGTCAATGTACTCAGCTTCCAACGTCGCATAGGAAGATTTGAGGAAAGTGAAATGACTTGAATTGGACTCGGCTCTCCAGCCGTTGGCGGTTTCATCGACCGAACGAGGTCGCATGTAACGTCGTCTGGAGACACCCAACATTAACAAGAGTAGGCATCTGGGAGGCCATTGGACTCACCCATCACTCCATGCCATTGGAAGCAGTTCCCAAAGCTCCATCGCAGCTTTTACAGAGTCTTCCTCTTTCCATAGCGGGATGCTATGCCTCCGCTGCAAAGGGAGCTCGTCGGCCTGGGAAAGTCAGCATCAAGCCCTGGGCGGCCAAGGCTAAAAAGTCTCATACCCTCACGGTCCTTTCCTTAAAACATCTCGCGCAAAGCCGGACTTGAAACGTCCAGAACACCCTCGCGGTGTTCTCGTTTGGACAAGTACTGCTCTGGCATCCACGACCTGCCAGTAGGTCAACATACTGCTGCTCTGTCAAGCCCGGAGGGCAATCAGGCATATCGGGCCCGAAGTGATTCTGCCTGCTTGCTTTCCAGATAGCGGACCGATCAGATAGCAGGCGATTGAAGGCTGAATTAAGGGTTTTGACCTCCAGAAGAAGTTTCGGTTCACAATAACCAAGGATGGTCTGCCATACATCGCTGTTCACCTGATCTGAGTTCGCAATTGGCCGACTCGGTTTCAACGTGGGTCTCTGATCTGGCTGTGTCAAATTACTCAGTCGTCGCCGTTTCTCCGCAGGCCCACGGTCTCTCAAAGACAGTGATGATTGATGATCGCTTCGCCCTAGGCTCGAACGCTGACCAAACTTGAAATCATCGGATGTACTGATGACGAAGGTAAACCCATTAGCAGGAGCTTCCGCTCTTGATCGACTCACTGTGGAGACCGGGGACCGCGTGCAATCTCTGGCCGTGTTATCAACAGACTGACCAGTCAGCAATACGGATGACTGAGAGACGACTTTGCCATGGTCGGAGGATTTGGAGCCGGTTGCCTCGTACGAGGAACTGTCCGAGTTGATGAAGGATGAGCCGACCCTCATGAAGGGCTCGTGTTCATATTTCCGTTTGCCCTTGGCCCTTGGGCGTGCAGGAGGGGCGAATGCATCCATGGGTGATAGGGGCAGAGCCAGACTTTCAAGAGATTGTCTGGCGCCAGCGTTGGCACCGAGTCCGAATGTGGTGGATGTAGAGACAAGAGGACCAGCCGCTGGAGGAGCAACCCAAAGCTACGACGGGCCTCGGCAATAGTGGTCGTCGTGTGCTGAAGCGCAGATCGCAGCTGAGAGGAAGGTGAGTGTGGTCTAGAGGGTTCACACGGTCAGCTGAGTAGAGGGAGAGTTGTACCGTGTGTTGAGGAGTGTGAGGTAAGTATGAATCTGAATCGAGGGGAGGCGCAGGAACAGATGACAGACATGCCTCGCGGTGAATGCTTTTTGGCTTGACGGCGTATGATCCTGACTCTTCCTTCGTGGTGGATCTACCGAAACGGTGTATCCATGGCTAGCAGCGATCTGACAGAGGCCGAGGGACCGTGATAGGCGAGATTGAAGCTGGGGTTACCGGGTGCGATGGTGGGTGGCGGCAGTCAGTGGCTTGAATCTGGGAAGTTGACGGGCGGACAGCAGCTCGCCGAGACCAGCTAGACCGAAAGGGGCGAGTGAAAGGCTTTGGGACAGTCTGGAGGCAGAGCATGAATACCTACATACATGTATGTAGGTACCTACTGATGAATGATTGCCGCCGGCATTCGAACTCGCCAGCTTCATCGGTCAGGCACGAAGCTGGCACATGTTAGGTGCTATGTATCACTCCTGCAGATGTACATACATGGTATGATACCTTGGCTGCCCCAAGATTGCCCACCACCACCCACATCATCAGTGTCACCCTCGCTCCACGCGCTACCACTATAGCCGGCATAAGCAACCAGGGTCATCCATACCTATATGCACAGTACGGAAACAGAGTACAGAGTACGGAGTACACCGTACTGTAGGTACATGTATCTTATGGAGTATACCTGGTCAAGCCTGATATTCGAGAGCAGGCACGTGTTAACACAGACCTTGTCAGCTCGGCCTCTCTGCTTCCGAACCGTCGCAGTCATTTGCCGATGCCACCTACCTGGGCCTACCTGGTACCTACCTACCTCCTACCTACCAGGTTCCTATTACCTACCTACCTAGGTACCTCTAAAAGATGGTCTGTACATACCTTAACTTCAAAGAACTCCGTACTCTGTACATACATCCATCCGGAGCAACGGAAGCGAATTATGCCACAGAAAAACTCGGTGAAATCACGAGGGACTGAGGCGGCCCGCCCGACGTCCGCAGACGCTTTAAAGGCTTAGGCTTGAATCAAGCCTGTGGCTTGGAATAGAGAGTTGCCTAACTGGCTCTGGCGGCACCCAAGCATCAGCCTATTTCTTGTCTTTGCGGGGGGCCGCCACCACCCAAGCTTGTTGCAGTCTAGGCGCGGATGGCTTCTTCCAGCCTCTGCACGGATAGGCTCCTGGGCCTCCTTAGGCTCTCGTGATCCCGGAAGCCGCCAATGCCGCTCTCGCTCCAGCCTATCACACCAGGTGACACGCTCTATGATTGACCCTCAAGCCCTCCACTCTCGCCTCAATTCTGCCACCCTATTCTTACGTCTGATCCAGCGACTACAGATCTCTTCTCCATCTGGAAAAACCACAAGCCAAGGCAAGGTAGTATTGCCAGCGACGCCGGCAACGGTGTTGTTGCCACTCGCCTCCGCAACAGTCCACCAGTCCACTCCCTCCACCGGCCTCATGGCCCGAGTCCGTGTGCCGTGTGCGCGTGCGTGTGCGCATTGCCCATCGATTCCTCGACTACCTACGGAGTCCTACAAAGGAGTCCCGCTTCCCGCCAGTCGCACCCGCACTTTTTCCTTTCCTTGCAAAAACATAAACCCTGTCAGGCGGTTCCTCCAGAACCCCGGGCTTTGTGCGTAGCAGTCACTGCAAGCCTCCTGCCTGCGATCGTGTCATCGATTGTTCCGCAAACATGCGCTTTTCCCTCGACGGGTCTAGTAAGCCAGAATTTGCTTATTCAACCGCCGCTGGACGAGGACTGATCTTGGTGCAGACGAGAAAAGCCGGGCGGCGTACAATGACGCGAATGGCCTGGGCGAGCAGAACCTGAACTATGATCCAGATCTGGCGCACCCAGCAGCGGGATATAGAACCGCCGAACCCGTCGCCTTGCCGGCTGGCATTTCTGAGAGGAGATTGATCACCAAGATCGACCTGAGGGTGATTCCCGTGCTGTCGGTGCTTTATTTACTGGCCTTCCTCGACCGAACCAATGTCGCCAATGCGGCCATCTTCGGCCTCACGAAGGATCTCGGTTTGACAGCAACCCAATATTCCACCGCCTTGACCATCTTCTTTGTATGTGGGGATCGTGAAGTATGGTCGTCCAGGTGCTGACCGCAGTCTCTCAGGTCCCATATGTCGTCTTTGAGATCCCCTCGAATATCATCTTGAAGCGTCTCAAGCCCCACGTCTGGCTCTCGATTTGTATGTTTGGGTTCGGCCTCGTCACAGTTTGCCAAGGTCTTGTCCAGGGCTATGGCGGCATCATCACCACCCGATTCTTTCTCGGACTGTTCGAGGCAGGCATGTTTCCGGGTATGTGGGATTCCAAACTGGGTGCAGACCAGTGCAGTTACTGATACCCTTCCCCCCTTAGGATGCTTCTATCTGATCGGGATGTGGTACACGCGACATGAAGCACAAAAGCGGTATACTTTCTTTTTCGCCAGTACCACTCTTGCCGGTGCGTTCGGCGGTCTCCTGGCCTCGGCCATTGGTAAGATGAACGGCATGCGCGGCTATCTCGGCTGGAGATGGGTTTTCATCCTGGAGGGCTGTCTCACCTGCGTGGTCTCTCTTGTCTGTTTCTTCATCATCCCGGACTTTGTGGAAGATGCCAAATGGCTCACTGAGCCGGAGCGAGAGTACATCAAGCAGCGACTTCGGAATGACCAGGGCAAATCAGCCATCGAGCGACGTATCACGTTCAAGGACGTCCTGAACTGCTTCAAGGACTACAAGATCTTCTTGGCAGGATTCATGTACTTTGGTCTTATTGTGCCAGGTGAGTCGTGATGCCATGGTCCCCTCACAAGGCCGTGACTAAGACTGGTTCCGAAACAGCTTATAGTTACGCCTACTTTGCACCTACTATCATCAAATCCTATGGGTACGGCAACATCGGAACCCAATTGCACTCAGTCCCACCGTGGGCCGCAGCCTTTGGTTTCTCCATGTTGGTGGCCGCCTTCTCCGATCGGTTGCGCCATCGATTCCTCTTTGCCATCATCCCGATCTGCGTGGCCATCGCAGGTTTTGCGATCCTCATGACCGTACACCACGACCACAATACCGAATATGGAGCCCTTTTCCTAGTCACGTCCGGATGTTACTCCGCAATGCCTATTATTGTCTGCTGGTACAGCATGAACTTGGGTAAGTGTCTCTGGCAGAGTGTCCTGATTCCAATCAAATCTCGGAGGCCACTGCTAACATCAACAAATAGGTGGGCATCATCGACGATCGGTAGGCACCGCCTGGCAAGTAGGGTTTGGAAACATTGGCGGGTGAGGCCCCCCCGACTCCATCTACCTCAGGTAGTTTTTCATTTTACCGAGTTGTACTGACGTGCGCCTCAGTATCATTGCCAGTTACAGTTTCGAGGCCGGCGATGCCAAGACGTTTTTCCACAAAGGATACAGCATTTGCCTGGGATTCATTTGCCTAAGCGCCGTCAGCTGCATCCTGTACTTTTTCGCTTGCATCAGTCAGAACAGGAGCAGGGCCAAGACTCCTGATATTGGCATGACCGAGTATGAGAAGGTGGAGTTGGGGGACATGAACCCAGACTACCGTTACATGCTGTAAGATCGATGTCTGTCGAACGAAGCCTGCCTTGTTTATCTACCAAGTCAAGTCGAGATTCCTGGCATCCAACCCGGCCACCGAGGTTACACGCGGGAATGACCTGTCAAGTTCTATGCGAGTGGCTTGGCCCAAGCCCTCCATATGCTACGTACAGTGCCTAAGACACCGAAGCTGGCGGTAGAACGGAGCCGGAGGAGCAAGGGACAATACCCCAGCTTGAACTCACGTATAGTCAAGACGTTTGGTGTCAACAAAATAAGTATCCGTACTTGCTCAATGATCCAAAATAGTCGCTCCTAAGTCTTGACCATCCCATCCGTCTAACGACGTCGTTTCTAGCATACAGTACGCTCATAGTTTCACCCAGAAAATGATTCCATATCAATCACTAAATCTAAATAGGTAATAGCAGCAGTAAAGGTAGCTGGCAGTCAGTGTACTCGTACGGATACAGTACGGAGTACATACATAAGAGTAGAAGAGAGGCCTCTTAGCCTAAGGCAGGTACAGTAGGTACCTGGTACCTGGTACCAAGGTAGCCTAAGCCTCCTAAGCCGCGATAGTAGTACGGATACTGTACATAGCCGGACCTAGCGGGCCTCAGCCTCAGCCTCGCGAATTAAGGCTTATGCCTTAGCCTTATTGTCTCCACTTGCCCTTGCTGCTGAGTAGCCTCGCCCAACATTGTGATGATAGGGCAGGGCAAAGCTGTTGTCAATTGCATGCCCTGCATGCCCTGCCTGCAGTGAATCAATCCGATTTTTCAAGGAAATTAATTGCACGGTGGACAGGGGTGGCTCCCGACTCAATCGACATGGCTCAACAAGACAGTATAGAGTCAAATATCGTAATATTTTCTGGATATATTGTTAGTGTTATACACTGTACAGGTCCTTCCGTTTGCCATCCAGAGCTTTTATCTACCCATCATCCTGTCGTTCTGGGCTTTGCGTAGAATTCATACACACATCTTGAACAAGATAAAAAGTTGGTGCCTGCCTCCAAGTGGCTCATCACTGCGGGATCAGGACCAAGATCAAGGCAGTTTCTCAAAAACATTCTTGACGAGGCTCTTCTTATTGACCTTGCCCATGGCGTTGCGCGGGATTGACTCGACGACCTTGAGTTCCTGCGGGATCTTGTAGTTGGCCAGTCTGTCCTTCAGCGCTCTCCGCATGTCCATGGCGCCCCAGGGCTTTCCACCGCGGCCGCCGGTCAAGCCCTTGGGGGTGAGGACAATGACGGCCGCGACCTTCTGGCCCCATTGCTCCGAGGAGATTCCTACCACAGCGGCCTCGGAAACTTCAGGAAGGGAAAGGAGCTCTCGCTCGACTTCGAGCGCCGACACCTTTTCGCCACCGGTTTTGATGATATCGACGCTCTTCCGGCCGCGGATGAAATACATGGGACCTTTCGCCCAGGCCTGGTCACTTTGGCCCGTTCCCGGAACGTGCTGGCGGATCGCCACGTCACCGGTTTTGAACCATTTGCTGCCGCCATCATCTGCTGCGACAAACTCTTCTGCCGTCGCTTTCGCGTTGCGAAAGTATCCACTGAATATGGTGGGCCCACGCAATTGGATCTCGCCTTCGCGAGGCGTGCCGTTGGCGTCCAATTCTTCTCCTGGTTCAATGACCTTGCCGGTCTCGGACTCGACCAGTCGCACTTCTACCAGTGGCAAAGGCCAGCCCACACTTCCATCGACGCGGTCTTCGAACGCCAGTCCGCATGAAAGCGCCATCCCAACCTCAGTCATACCGTACCGCTCGAGCAGCACATTGCCGCCACTAAGTTCGGTCCAGGCTTGTTTCGTCGGCGTCGGTAACGCGGCGGACCCGGAGATGTTCAAACGCATGTACCGCGGCGTGATAGCCGAGCGGGTCGCTTGCTTCATCTCCGGATCTAGGGAGGGGTATGAGGCAAGGAGCCGGTTGTAGATAGTAGGTACTACGGTCAGGAACGTTATTGGTCGTTTCGTGGGTGGCGAATTGCGAAGGAATGGCGCTCCGAGTCGCTTCCATACTGTATCCGCGCTGAACGGGTATGCAAACTCAACGGCTGCACCGGCCATCAGAGGTGTGAAAAGCGCATTGATGGTGCCGTGGATGTGGTGAAGTGGCAGGACGTGAAGCAGCAAGTCAGAAGGCCCGTACTTCCATGCTTCTATCAACGACCGTGCTTGCGCTGTAATTGTCGGTACCGACAAGACCACTCCCTTAGGCCTGTTTGTCGTTCCGGATGTGTAGAGCATGAAGCCTCCGTTTTTGACATCGTCGGTGCTGAACTTGACATTCTCGGCTGACACTGCTCCAGTCTCGATCTTGGAAAGAATCTGCAATTGCGGAATATGATTCAGGCCTTCCCTGACCACCTCTTGAGCCTTGTCTTGGAATTTCTCGGTTGACAGAAACAAGGCGGCTTCACTGTTCTCGATAATGTATCGCAATTCCGAGTTCGGATGGGTATGGGCGAGAGGTAGAGCAATGGCATCCTGGGCAAGGATTGAGAGCAAGGTCACTGTAGATCATGTCAACGTGCCTCGTCAGCCAGGTGGTGGATGTGCACGCGCACCTACATAGTCGTAGCCGTTTTCAGCTAAGAAAGCAATTCTTTCGCCAGCGAGAGATTTTCCATCGACCATAGCAGTCAGATTGTCTTTTGCGGCGGCCACATCGTGCAGCAAGCTGCCGTGACAAAAGGTGCGGTCGGAGGCGCCGTGGATGATGGCCGGGCTTTTAGGGTCATGTTTGGCAATGGCCTCGAAGATGGGCGTGGAGGGCAAAGTAGACGCCATTCGAAATTGAAATCTCTTACTGATGGAAGGGGAGAAGGGCCGTCGAGCAGCGGTCGCTATGAAACCAGCTCCGGAGTAAGATACAGCGGCGTGGAATCGAGAGGCCAAAGTCAAGGGGCGCATCCCGTCAACATTGTTGAGCACGCCCAACAGAGTTCCAGTCCTAGCCCTAGCTGGACTTCTGGTCTCTCACATCCACTTGGACGAAGTGTTTGGGAAATGGCACCACCTGTTGAGATATTTTACAGGTACCTGACTTTCCATGGCCTGGGGATTCGACATTCCCACAGCTTGGCGATGGGGCACTCCAGCATTGCTCGGGAAGTCACATGCGCCCTGCCGCTTTAAACCCCCCAGGTTTACGGAGTACGGAGTACGGATACGTGGTACGGATACAGCCAGCGGGTTGCGCAACTTATCCTCCTCGTCACGGCTGCTCACGACTCCATGCTCCCTTCCTTTATCCTCCCTGCGGATCTGTTTACATGTCTACTCTCTCTACCACTCTATCTCTCTCACATTCACAATCTGAATGAATGGCGGAACCCTTCCCCCTAGGCGGCAGCTATGCAGCATTCAGCTCCAACTCAACTCAGGTGCTCCCACCTGTCCCGTGTGGGAGGCCAAGCCGTCCGGCGTCGACTACTTCCCCTTCTGCTCCAGCGCAATTACACCTCTACTAATAGAGGTATGATGGCTGTTCTTTATCTCTGCACTTGTCACGCCTTTCCTGGCATTATCGCGGAATTGGTGCAGCTAGCTAGTATCGCCAGGACATGTCAACATCAAGCTATCATATTCGGTCAGATCTTCAGTCAATCACGCCATGGAGAAGCGAAGAGCTAGAGTGCGCCCTGCATAGCGACATACGTTGATGAGGAATGGAACCGATCTATAAAACCTGCGAAAACTTCATCCCTGCTGGTCTTTCGGCAATCCACTCATCCTCAGGCATAAATTCCATCCAAACGGTACGCCCAAGTCATCGGGCGCAGGATAGCCGAGGTCAACCGTGTGAATACCTTTGACGCCACGATGGGGGCAGAACAGACCGTCGTCTCCCTAAGGGGCACCAGCTCGACGTCTAGCGACGAGCACGTCGCTCCCTCCACCATCCTAAAAGGGCCTGTCGCAACGGTCGATACAGAAGCAGGATTGAGACGTAACCTGAGGGATGATGATGATAGCAGGGCAGCATTTTTATCAGAGTTCTCTGCGACTGAATCCAAAGCCATCATGTCCAAGGTTGACAGAAGATTCTTCATACTGATTGGATTGATGTTTATGATCAAGAATGTACGTGGTATCTTCTTGTTGCCTCCGTATCGTGATCACTGACTTGGGTTTTCGAGTCAACAGCTCGACAATTCCAATGCGAGCTTGATCAAAGTTCTCCAAGTTGGTCAACCGTCCAATATTCTGAAGGAACTGAAAATGTCGGCAAACGAGTACAATTGGGTGGCGTCGACCTACGGAGTACGTGATTAAATCAGCAAAGCAGCATTTGATATCACGGCGGGATTAACAATTGATAGATTGCATACATCACCTTCGAGTTTCCAAGCACGTTGGTACTGAAAAAATTTACGCCGCACGTTTGGCAGTCACGAATCTTCATCTGCTGGGGCATAGCCACCGCATGCAGCGGTGCTGTCCATACAAAGGCCCAATTGCTTGCCTGCCGATTTCTTGTTGGGTAAGTTAGAGCTTCAGATAGATTTCCGAATTGTGCTAACAGCACCCAGACTCTTTGAGGCTGGGATGTTCCCCAGCGTTATCACGCAATTGACCTTCTGGTACCGCACGGATGAGTTCAGTCGGCCAATGGTCTGGTTCTTTGCTCTCTCGAACCTTTCTGGCTTGGTCGGGTCTTTGCTTTGCTACGGGATCAGCTATATGGACGGCGTTCGCGGCCTCAGTTCTTGGCGTTGGGTATTCATCATCGAGGGAGTTACGACAGTTATCTTCGGCGGCTTACTCTTCTGGCTATTGCCCGACTTTCCCAAATCGCGACGGAGCAGTTCCTGGCTTAGTTCGAGGGAGCAAGAATTCATCGAAGCACGTCTACCACGGAATGCACCTACCACTGGAGACAAAAACTTTGACAAGAAAGATGCGTGGCACGCGTTCCGAAGCCCCCTTGTCTGGAGCTTCACAGGCTGCCAGGGCTTTATGAATCTGGCTTCCAACGCCTTCAGCTGGTATCTACCTACCATCATCACCAGCCTTGGCTTCGCAGGACTTCCCAGAAACCAGCTACTCAACATTCCACCAGTCGTCGCAGCGGTCCTAGGTATAATATTCAGTTCGTGGTTCATTGGGCGAGCATTTGTTTCAAGACCGTTGTACATCAGGTGAGTTTAGAGTGCCCTCGGATGCTGGAATACTGACCACTGACAAGAAACCTAGTTTTATGGTATTGGGCTCGTTGGTGTCCCTGATCATTCTCATGACTGCGGGGAGAGACGGGAAATTTGCCGCATGCATTCTTGGCTCGATCTTCATCAATTCCTTCTACCCTCCATACTGGTCGTGGCGTGCTGGCTACGTACAGCACGCGACAGGAGCTGCATTCGCTCTCGGTCTTCAGAGTACTTTCAGCAACATCTCATCTGTGGTATCGCCGCACTTCTACCAGTCGAAGTGGGCCAAGGACGGATATCGACAGAGCTTCGGGATTTCCCTGGGCATGGCGTTCGGTGCTGGTCTGTCAGTCTTGTACTCGTGGTGGCTCACACGAAAGGTCGAAGCTCAAGTGGTCCGGGTGCGTCGTGAAGTTCTCAAAGCACAGAGCGAGGGTCGCGAGTACGATGGTCACGATGACATTGATGTACTTGGAGATGAAACTCTGAAGAACCGTCGACTCTGGTAAAGTGCCTAGGCTGAAAGCTGATGCGATGCGTGGACAAGCTGCACGCTTGGTCAAACAAACACGCCGCGCTAAGGCTTGGACGGGACCTTGAACTGCCTGGAACCTACAAGCTCTTATCGACCAGGCGCATGCAATGGGAGCTATGAGATTGGTCGCGAGTTCATCAACGATGGTAGGCGGAAGCCATCCATACCTAGTCACAAGGCTCATCTCATAGATCTGCCGGATTTAAACCAGCGGACATGGTTCTAAACAGACAGAACTGACCGAGTGGTCCTTGCTGAATGCCGCGTGCCGTCTTACGCAGCTCGTCAATCTGTGAAGTTCTCCAGCATGTATGTATCCGTACTCTGCACTCTGTCGGCCCTAGACCCTAGAGCCTTTTCGGCTTCGTTTAGCAGAGGGCCAGACAATTCTTCGCGCCCAAGCCCGCCAGATGCAGCTAACAGCATCGTGGGAAACAACGGAGACTTGCGTCTTCACCTGGAACCATGGCGCCATCGACATGACCGACTTCGAGGCAGAGGCAGGTCATGTGCCAAGCGAGGAGAAATGTTTTCTTCAGCTTCAGAACTGTACATACAAGAGGTTCTTGTTCTTTCTCGTTACTACTGCGGCTGAGCCAGATTTGCCCGAGTGCGTGGTTGTGGTTGCTTCACCATGGGGGAAACCAAGAAACAGAAACAGCTCCATCTTGCGGGCTTCATCTTCTCGGGTCGGGCGACACAAGCATGGCGACATCCCGAGATCGACGCTCACCAGAGCCTCGACGTGGACTATTACATCGAGTATGCCCAACTGGCGGAAAAAGCCAAGTTTGACACACTCTTCCTCGCGGACGGCGCGTCCTTACACCTCGAGGATGTGGAGAAGCACTACTGGAGCATCAGCACGTTTGAACCCGTCACACTGTTCTCGGCCATTGCGGCGCGAACGAAACACATCGGGCTCGTATACACGGCCAGCGTGACGGACAACGAGCCGACCCACGTGGCGCGGCAACTGGCGTCTTTGGACCACATCAGTCATGGGAGAGCAGGGTGGAACGTGGTCACGACGCCCGGCCCAGGCACGGACAACCTGGGCATCTCCAAGCAGGAGACGTTCGACAGTGCGGCCAAGTATAAACGGGCCCGGTCGTTTCTGAACATTGTGAGAGCCTTGTGTGATAGCTTCGAGGAGGACGCGCTGGTGCGCGACAAGAAAACCGGCATTTACGCCGACCTGTCGAAAATCCACCCTCTCCACGTCGACGACGGGCTGTATAAGATCGACTCGCCTCTGCGCATCGAGCGTCCTCCTCAGGGCCATCCGGTCATCGCGCAGGCAGGCACGTCGCCCGAAGGCGTGGCTTTTGGAGGCTCGTCGGCCGACTTGATCTACTGCGCCAATTACTCCATCAAGGACGGCCAGGAGACGTTCCGGAAGCTCAAGGCCGCCGCGGTGGCAGCAGGCCGAAAGCCCGAGCATTTGGTCATCTTGACCGGCGTCGCCGTCATCTGGGGCCCGACGCAAGAAGTGGCCGAACGGCGCTTGAAAGAACTCACCGAGCTCTGGCCCATTGAAGCCGCAGTGCAGAATCTCGGGATCGATTTCGGAGCCGCGAACCTCGACGACCCTTTCCCTGACCACTATGACATAGGCGGGATCCGGTCCAGTGGCAGAGCAGCGGCCATTGCATCGTTCGCTCGAGACAACAAATTGACCATCCGCCAAACTGCCGAGCGCTGTTCCATCGGTCTCGGCCACCGTCCTTTGGTGGGCACGACTCAGAGCATAGCTGATGATTTGCAAGCCTGGCTGGAGGCCGAGGCTACAGACGGCTTTGCAGTGATTCAGCCACGACTGATCGATGGACTGCGCGATTTCACTGAGCATATTGTGCCGGAGCTGGTCCGCCGCGGTTTGTTTCGCACGGAATACGAAGGCAAGACCCTTCGAGAGAACCTGGGGATTCCCAAGCCAGAGAACATTTATTCCAGGAAGAAAGTGGCCAGTTAGTGGCAAAAGGTTCCATGTTCTCTATCAAAGGGTCGCAGGGAGAGCGCATGCTATTTAGTATGGCATGCCTAAACCAGCCTTCTGGTTAAAGGGCAAGGCTGGGAATACCTAAGTTTGACAGACTGATCGAGTCTGCTCAGTCAAGATACGAACAGGAGGGTTGATGCATTCACGCACCATCAACGACGTTGTCTCGGAGAATGAAACACTCTATCCGTACCGAGGGAGTATTGCAGTATGTAAGCCTCCTCCTCCTTACTGTAGCCCACTCGGTAGGCTTCCACTGCGCCTGGTAGGTGGCGCCTACTGGCAGAATCAAGGGGAAGTTCCATTGATTCCAATCGTACCTATACAAGGTCTCCATCCCTCCATCCCACGTAAACAGAAGTCAATTCACCTCAACAGAAGTCAATTGATGCACAGATCCCACCTATAGAAGTCAATTGATGCAGAGATTCCACCTAAACACAAGTCAATTGATGCACAGTCGTGGCTTGGAGATCATCGTGCCGTGTTTGCCGCAAGAACGTAGCTCTGAATGGCCAAGGAGGTCACAGTCATGTCTCTGCATAAGCACGCAACTGGCAACTAGGCTTCCAAGACCATATCACCGTCCTTACGATTACAAGTTACGAGTTCCAATTCCAGCCCTAGCACGTCAGAGCGAATCCCCTTGTCGTTGTTTCCCCCTCCCCTCGCTCTCTCTGATTGTCAGCACCCTATTGCGTGCTCGGGTCGACACATGGCAAGATGGACGAAACATAGGTAGGTATAAAGAGAGGGGCTCGCGAGTCCCATCCCTGTTACAACAGCCCAGACCTTTCTATAAATCCTAAATCCATCTGATCTTGAGCCTGGGTTATTTAATTGAATTGTACAGGTTTCTCTCACTGACTAAAAGAAAATAATGGCACCGTCGGCTGTTGAAACGGTTACCCAGGAAGCAGAGAAGCTTCTCGGGAAGACTGACAAGACTGAGAAGACCGACGGCCCAGCCCAGACCGAGCAACAGATCCCCAAGGAGGTTTATAAGAGCCACCGAGAGCCTCTCAAATTGAGCGGAGCGCTCGACAGGTTTCGACAGTTCGACGTCACGCCAGTCATCGGGCGTGAATTCGTCGATGTAGACCTGGCCGAGTGGCTACGTGCTCCCAACTCGGATGAGCTGCTTAGAGATTTGGCCATTACTGGTGCGTATTGTGTATCCGAGGTGCCCTCTGAGGTGTCCTCTGAGGTGCCATCCAGCGGCTGACATTGATCCAAGTCTCTCGACGTGGTGTGGTTTTCTTCCGCAAGCAGGACAACATCAGTGACGACCTTCAGAAGGAGCTGGTTCAACGACTCGGCGAGCTGTCGGGCAAGCCAGAGACATCGAAGCTCCATATCCACCCCCTCAACAACTCGGGCCGAGAGGACGGCTCGAAGGACGACGAGATCAGCGTCATTTCTTCGGTGCAGGCAAAGAAGCTCTTCAGCAAGAGCCTCGGGTTCAGCACCACTCAGAGTCTGAAAGGTCAATGGCACTCGGACATCACCTTCGAGCCGATTCCCAGCGACTATGCCTTGCTGCGCTTGACCCAGCTCCCGAAGACGGGCGGAGGCAAGTAGACCTGAAGCACCTGCAGGTTTGATGTTTGATAGAGCTTTGCTAACGTCCGACTCCGACGATAGACACGCTGTGGGCTTCGGGCTATGAATTATATGATCGCATCTCTCCGCCTCTACGAGGCTTCTTGGAGACGCTCGTGGCACATTTCGCCCAGCCTGGCTTCCAGAAATCGGCCGAGAAGAACAACTTCAAATTGCACCCGGGGCCACGGGGCGCCCCCGAAAACGTGGGTGAAATCCTCGAGGCTTTCCAACCCGTGATTCGCACCAACCCAGTCACGGGCTGGAAGAGCGTCTATGCCGTCGGTCACCATGTAGCCAGCATCGTGGGCCTTTCGGAAGCAGAATCGAAGCACTTTCTCGATTGGTTCCTCCAGATCCTGACCGAGAGCCACGACATTCAAGTTCGGCTTCGCTGGCAAAATGTCAACGATGTGGCCATTTGGGACAACCGGAGTGTGTACCACGCAGCCACTCCAGATTACATTGATGACGAGGATTTGGGCGAAAGGAAAGGATCGCGGTCCGTGAGCCTGGGAGAGAGGCCCTATCTCGACCCTCAAAGTGTTAGTCGCAGGGAAGGACTTGCTGCCGAGAAGGCCGCGGCTAGCAATGGAAAGGCATGAGAAAGAGAGTAGAGTTTGGAGGCAGGACAGATTGTACCCAAACCAATGAATGAATGGACGATGCCGCTGTCAAGATCCTTAGTACCATACCGCTGCTGGATAGGGAGCAGGCCTAAGTCAAACCCCTACACATCTTCCACCTCGAATCTCACCAGTAACGAACATGTCGTCTCCCTGCCTCTCAAATCCAGCATGCGGATGAAACTCCATCCGGCGGCAACATACAAGATCCTGACCGCGGCAACAGCGAACACGGGGTTTCTACTATAGCTATCGTCGCTTTTGATGAGCATGCGTAGAAAGACCAGCTCATTGTCCTCGTACTCCCATTCGAGGGTCTCTTCCCAGACCGGATCCGTTGCCGCTGGGTTTTCGCCGTCATGGAGGAATCCAAGTTTGTGATGTTTGTAGAGTGCGGTCTTGCGTTTGGCTGGGTTCTGGCCTTGGTCATCCGGACGAATCAAGGTACAAGACAGATATGGCTTGATGTCGGACGCTTGGCGGCCTTCTGGCAACGGGACGTCCGAAGCTCCCGCCACATGAAGTCGGAGTCTTTTCTTGGGCCCGGTGGTGAGCTTTCCGCTTCCCCCAGCGCGGAGAGCTGCAGGCTTGAGGACATATCCTTCCGTTCCTCCGAATAGAGCCTCGTTCAGCTGCAGACCGGCGCCAAAGGTTTGCCAATTCAGGGCGCAGATCTGGGCTCCGAGGCCCCAGAAAATCACCGGGTTGAGATTGTTGGACGAGATTCGAGTGCCTTTGGGATAGACGCGCATCAAATGATGGGCGTTGTGCTGGGCGATCTTGCCGATCTCTGCGGGCATGTGCGCCCTCAATGCCGTCTCTGAGATGTTGATGAGGTGGTGGTGTGGGCGATTCTTGAGTCCGACCTCGCCGAACCAAGAGTTGTCTGCGGGCTTCACCGATTGTGCGTAGACCCCTAATTCGGCCAGTTCTGGAATGATGGTAGTTGCAGGGACGGCCTTCTTCTTTTCCTTGTAGGCCTTTCGCGCTTGCCTTGCCTCGTCGTCCTCGTCGACCTCGTCGTCAGTGCTGGAGCTGTGATCATCCGCCTCCACTTCAGTTGGGAAGTGGTATTCGACGATGACGACGATTTTGGAACCCAACTCTTCAAGCAGCACATGGTCGCCGGAGCCGTTCTGCTCTCGGTGCCCTTTGCCTCTGACAGCTTTGCTCAGGAGACGGTCATCCCACACTTCCTTCATAATCTCGACGAGGCGGCGCTGGCCGTGGTTGCCACAGTGGTTTTCAAGAGAAACCAGGACCGGTGAGGTCCGATAGCCGGATCCACTGGCCGAAAGGGCGGCTTCTCTATCGACGGCGTCACGGATGGTCTCGCAAACGGAGCGAAACGAGATACGTGATACGAGAGTGTAGCCGTGCGTGACCTTTGGCTCGTCTTCAGCGTCTTCGTCGTCCCAAGCGTCGATCTCCACACATCGAGATCCGGTGTTGAGAGCTATCTCGTAAGCTTTGGCTGACGAGGTTCCGTAGAGCTGGTGCGCCATCAGGTAGGTGTTATGGCTAGAGCTGATGAAGTACTCGGGTAACGGATGGGACCTGTCAGTAAGGTCGGATGGGACATGGATATGGGGCTTGCCGAGCAGTGCGCGTAGCGGGTCGGTCAAGTGGCCTAGGTCATGCAAGCCAGCGTCGTTCTTGGAGAGGACATTCTCATGGACAAGGAATGACCTTAAGGCGTGGCTGACTCTAAGCTGATCCCTGGTGATTGCAGATCGACGGGAGCCGTGCCCACCGCCAGCGACGGTGCTGGAGTCGATCTTTTCCCCCAGGTCATCGCCGTCAGTCTTGCTTTTTGGCCTAGAGAAAGGGTTCAGGCTGGCCAGACGTGACGAGAGCACGGACGGGCCTGACTCTGCCATGATGGATGTGACGCGAGAGGATATTTTGAATTGAAGCGTCGGTCAATGCTGTACCAGACCCCGGAAACTGTAAGCTGGTTGAGTCAAGCTTTGGTCCCCTCGGCATACTAGTAGATGTAGAAGACTAGTACTTGATCAAAGTGGCATGGAGTTGGCACGCGTAATAGGAATCAATAATGTTCTGGCAGTGGCACGTAGGGAGTTGTAACGGACTTCTTAGCTAATCATATCAATGTCTAACGCGCCTTCCGGAAACCGATGGAGACTGGAACCTGAAACACCAGCATATTTAACGCGACCAGAACAGAGAGTCCTGACACAATCCGACATTCGATTACAATTGGGATCAGCAGGCAAATCTCAACTCGAAGACAACAGACATTCAAGGCACACACACCGTTTGTGCCTCTGCCATACCCCTCAGTCAGAGCAAATGACGTATGTAAATCCCGAGTAGGCAGTACCTAGGTAATCGGTAGGCAGCTACAAACTCCCTTCTAAAGGTTCCAAGGTCGCTGGCCCGGGGATCAACAGCTCAGCTCACAGCACCATACGCATAGCTTCGCAATGCCCTCGCATTGGCCCCCCGAGACAGAGACCAGCAATTTGAGCGTGGCTCCCGAGAAGTACCCCCCTGCTGTGATAACCACAGACCAGACTGCCGAGGAAGAGGTCTGATCTGAATCCATGACCTTTTCGAGCGTGCCCAAGAAGCTGACCATCTTCACCGGACAGCGCAATATCGCCATATGCAAAGAATACATGGCCATCGCATACTCGCCGACCGAGAACCAAGGGCGTGACTCAGTGCGCCATCTCTGCCGCGACGACAGCTGGTTCTGGGCTCCTGCGACATTCCCGGGCTGTGAGACCCCAATGGACTATGCGGCCTCCCATGCCGTCGTCATGGAGAGCGTGGCCGACCTCCACATAATCCGGTTCGACCAGGTCTTTGCAAAGAACGGCCACGTCCTGCTCAGATATACCGCCCAAGGCAGTCATTGCGGGAAGCCGTACAAGGGCATACCGGCGTCCGGGAAGCATGCCCAGTGGAGTGCAGCGGCCATATTCGAGGTGGAGGACGGGAGGATCAAGAGTTTCACCAAGGACTGGGACCAAAAGACAATGCAGGTACAGTACTCCATACTCTGTAACCAGTTCATCAACCACCCACTCGCTCACTCCCTTACTCTCCTCCTTCCCGAGGTCGTATTGACAAGTGCAGATTCAACTGGGATGGGCGCCGGTCCAGGAGAGCACAGATCCAAGATGGAACGCCGATGCATTGGCGAATCCAGAGCAGTCCAGAATGCAGGAGGGATAAAAGTGACAAACTGCGCATGTACCTAGGCAGCTCTAATAAAGTGCGCGGGGGAGCTGTCAGGTACCTAGGTGCCTAGTAGTTGTAATTAATCCATCCGTGCTAGTACTTCCGTACAGTACAGTACAGTACAGTATCACCTGCACCTTGGACCGAAATGGTAACGAGATATTTGCAAGAGCCTCCATCCTCCTCCCGCAAACCACTTCCCATGTTCCAATGCGACGCTTTCTAAGCCTGCGCAGCTCGATCGGGCATCCGACCCTTCTAACCAGAATGGCGACGAGTACAAGCACGTCGAGCACGCCGATGGAGGACACGATCCGGCGAAAAGTAAGTCTGACTATGTGCACCATAGCATGATACGCACAGCACACACCCACCCTCCCAGCCTCACCGTCCTGTGCTGTGCTGCCTGTACTTTTATGTGCCTCTTCTATCTCGACCTTCCTTTGCATCCTGCCGAAGAAGCACTAGAACTGCCACCCACGCGCAACGTCACCGCCACACAAAACCATCCTTCTGTCCTTTTGCACAACTCCCGCCTTTTTCACTCTCTCCTGCTACCTCGCCGGGCGGCGTTCGAGCACAAACACAAACACAAACACCATTTGCCTGAAGGGGAACTAACTAATCCCACGAACGCAGGTCACGGAAGCCCTGAGTCCAACGGAGCTGAAGATCCGAAACGATTCACATAAACATGCGCACCACCAGGCCATGGCGGGCGCGACGTCCAAGGAGACGCATTTCTAGTACGTGCATCAGTTGCGCTTTCACCGTTTTCGCCGTCGAATTTGCCCCCATGATCAATCCCGCTCATTTTCAATTTCAACTTCGAGCTAGCCCAGCCCGCCTTTCCTTGATGGTGGTCCCGCCCCCCTGGTAGGGGCACATTCATGAGAACACCGCTACAACTAAGCTGAGCATACATGGATTCCGTATCCTGTCTCACCTCGCCTCACCTCACCTCACACTTACCTCCGTCTTCGTCGAGCAGACACCTCACTGACGCCCCTTGTCTATTCTGTACAGCCTCGATGTCATTTCGCAGTCTTTTGCTTCAAAGACCCAACCCGCCCGCCATCGGATGATCTACTCCCTTCTCAAGGAAGAACTGGAACAGCCCGGCGGCATCCATGCGCTGCAGCTGCGCACCAAGACTCCCGAGGAGGAGGAGAAGCTCAAGTCCAAGGCGGCTGGAGATGCGTGAGCAGGAACGACGACTGGGCCTCTGGGTGACTCCTACAGGGAGAAAGGGCGTCGAGAGAGCTTGAACTTGGCATTTACGCACCCGCTGTGGGTGATGGACGTTACGGTTCGAGGCGATCACCCCATCACCGGCGTCCACGTGGCGGGAACTTCGAGTCCAGTACGGAGTACAGCACAGTGCGTCACTAGAGAAAACATGATTCTCGTCAATGGACACGAGTGTTCAACTGCCTTGAGCTGGAATCAGAATCGTCATCGACGGAAGTAGGAAATAGAACGCAGGCCGAGGAAGGAAAAAAGCCCCCAGATGAGAACATTGCCCGCTAAAAGACCACACCGGGTGATGAGGTTTATATTGCACTCCCGTCACTCCGAACCCTGAATTCATCCATGCCTTCCACTCGCATTGATTTGCGGGTCCCAACCGTGCATGTATTAGAATAGGTACTTTGTCTAGTTGCAAAGCGTACAACCAGGAACCAAAAAGAAAACGCGCGCCGCGCCGGCTTTTCTGAACATATGAGATTGCACGGTGCCTCCTCCTCCTCGGCTGTCCCTTATCGGTTATGCCCCTTGCTGATCGCGTGCTTGCATCACGCCAAACTGAGAGCCTTCGAAGGCTCTTGATACAGAAGAAGGCTTGACACCGGAAAACTGGTCGGTTATGCCACTGGTGCACTCGCCCGCTGTTTGCGGACACCATTGGCGGGAAGATGGCGGCCAGTCCAATGCAATAAAAAGACTAATTCTAGCGGCTGGCCTAGTCGAACTCGGGTGAAGCTCAATCTGGGCTGTCAGCGTCCGACGGCTAGTGCTTCGTGACCTCCACGACAACCACGACCACCACAATGATGATGATGATGATGAGTGCTAGAGGGAGTTAGCAGAAGCTTGTTCCTAGGTGAATTAGAGTACTGACCGACAATGCCCAAGCACATCCACTTCTTCCTCCGGGCGGCTCTGGCCTTGAGAACAGCTCCTTCAAGTTCGTTGTTGGCTTTAGCGACATGTTCTGTGACTTCCTCCCCTCGTTGTTCAATTTGTGTGACTGCAGGTTCTTGTTGCACCACCAGGGCCTCGAGATCCTGGAAAAGTTGGGCAAGCTCAATCATCTGTCGTTCAATCTTCTGGATATCCTCGTGACGCTGCGACACGTTTCTAGCGACAGTCTGTGCCTCGCCGCGGCGATCGCTCTGAATCAGAGCGGAGCTAAAGATTTGCTGATTGTTGGGATCCTCGACCGCTTCCCGAACTTCGGCATCGGAGGCATCTGGACGAACGATCCGGTATTGTCTGGCCATCTGCTCCTGCGACGACTTTCGGAACTCCCGTTCAACCTGTTGGTATTGGTTGATGGCAGTCTTCAGTCTTCGGTCGACTTTGCCGACTTGCGGAGCATTACGGGGATTCCCCGACTCAGGCTGTTGTTTGATGTTTTTGACACGGCTCACAAGGCCACGGTATTTGGTCATGATGTTCTCTCCAGTTCGGTCGACTTCAATGCGCAGCGGGGATTGAGCGGAGGTGTTCGTGTCAGCCAGATATCGAGATTGAAGGCCTCTCAGTCGCTGCAGGTCGGCTTCAATCTCGTCAATGGCTTGGTCGACAGCTCTGCACTCATTGAGGATCCTGTTTGGGTCGGCACCATTCATATTTCTCATTTCTGGCGTCGCGGATTAGCCGGGAATCAAAGTATACAAGAGGACCAAAGGAGTGATCCGTACCATATCCACCGGGACCTCCAGTACCACCAGTACGATGTTCCTCATCAGCGTAATAGCTACCTCCTTGCTCTTGCGCTTGTGGTCTGTCGCCGCCGTATGCAGGCTGATCATTGTAGCCCTGGCCACCTTCGTAGCCCCCTTGAGAGTAAGGATTGCCGGCTTGTCCGTAAGGGTTGTACGCGCCATATCCTTGACCGCCTTGCTGGCCATTGTAGCCTTGATTGTACTGAGATCGCGGTCAGTAAGAGAACGCCTGGGATGAAGTGGGATTGGGCTGCCATGCGAAGTCCACGTTTCAGAGCTCGACGACAACCACAGGCAGCTTAAAGTCAGCATGGATGGAAGGTTGGGGACATACACTCATGATGAAAGAATTGCACAGTTATGTACCAGGACTAGAGCCGAAAGGTATCGTTTGATCGAGGTTCTACAAGAAAATGCTGTAGGTTGGAAGAGGAATTTAAAAAAAAAAAGTATGGGCCTTTCACGCGCAAGGACGCGAGACCGTTGAGAAGATGCGATGGGAAGGGATGCAAGAGATGAGGGACTGATGGAGGAATGAAAGCGCGGTAGACGTAGCAGTTGAAGGAATGATGTAGAGGGCGGCGAGCTGAGTGATCACTCTGCATGTTCAGCTCAGACTCGGGGCGAGAAGTCGCAGGCTGACTGGCGTGAAGGGGAAGCTCAGTCTGGGCGGGAGCCCGTGAACTGGGGCTGTAAAGGAGAGCCGGACCCTCCTCTACTCGTAGCATCTATTCTATCTGCCTAGCAGGCGCCTAGGCCCTTGAGGCTGTGCACCGCACCCGGCCACCGCACTGCACGTCACTCGTCAACCGCTGGCTAACACTCCTTAGAAGGAAGAGCTCAGGCCTTAGGCCCCTAGCCGTTGACTTTTTTATCGCCCTTCAAGTTCGGGGTCTGGCAGAAGGGCAGAAGGGGTGGCAGTCAGCGCTTTACCCTTTCCGCCCGTTGTTCCCGACATCGCCGGTGAGACTGTTGCACATCCTCCTCGTTCCAGTAGTAGTAGTGGGCTGCGAGGTCCCTAAAGCACACACTGCCTCGCTAACTACCTGATTGCTGCTTACAGCCAATCAAGCCCTGATTAATCTCATTTAGCAGGGCAAAGGTGGTCGCCTAGGGAGGCCCTTCAATAGCATGCTTCATCAGGCTCCATCATTATGGACCTCTCATTGTCGCACTAAGCATGGTTTCACGCATCCCATCTCCTCATGCTCTGGCCACTGTCTGTAGTGGTCTACACGACGATGGTTGAGGCTACTTATCTGGCGTGAAGGTTACCGAACCTCCGCAACCAATGTGCTGGAGCACAGCCAGTGAGAGACTAAATCTGACCTCAACCACATAATCAACCATGGCTCTGCCTACAGAGTCAGTCTAGGGAGGGATCCATCTCTCAAACGCGCACCTGTATTTTGATATCTGCCTGGAAGTCTCGAAGCTTCAGGGCTCCAATGACTTGAGAAACAAGTCCTCTGCGACACCCCACAAGTGACAGAGCCTCGATCCGTCGACCCACTACGCACTCAGGGGCTACAAGGCTGCGACGTATGGTCATGCACACTTGTGGCGGCTAAGAGTGCCCCCGGTGCTCGGCTTGGTTATCTCTTCACCATCTTCTCACTTCATCGCCCTCAGTCCATTGCTTTTCTGTGTAACCCAGCCGTCGTTTGACATCCCGAACAGTATCAGAATCACCGGTGTTTTTGCCAATGTTATCCGAGATCTTGATTGCTGGTCTCCCCCCTGCTTTGGACAATTTGATGACGATATTGAGCGGCTGCGATTTGGTCTGTCTGTCGGATCGGCGCTTGAAGTCGTTCGTGAAATGGGTCCCCACTCCGAAAGAGGGCTTGAACCCGTATGACTCGGCCAATTCCTTGTATTCGAGGCATTTGTTGACGTCGAGTGCGTCTGAGAACACAATAATCTTTCCTCCCAAACCTAAAGACTTGTAGAAGTCGCTGGCAAGCTTGAGGTATTCCTTCGGATCTCCAGAATCTTGCCTGATGCCTGCAAAAACTTCAGCGTACGAGGCTGGGCGGTGTGACTGGCTCGCCTCCTCAGAATCATCCGCGGTTCCATCATCTGAAGCTGATGCTCTAGACGCCACGGCACATTTGAATGCCCTGAAGAAATCGGGGGTCCCGAATGTGTCGGTCAGAGCAATGCTCAACACCCCTCTACCGAAACAGTCCAGCCAGTAGCGAAGTCCGAGCTCGTTGGCATGCTCATAGTCATTGGTGAGTGCAGCAATTCCCATGTACCACTCATGGGCCACGGTTCCGACTGGAGGAATGCTGTGCTTCATGGAGAAGTAGACATTGCTCGTCCCAGCCAGTTTTCCAGGCAGGCTCTGTTCCGTTGATGCTGTCACCAAGCCCTTGACAACAAGGTCTTGAGTATGAAACGACCGTCTTCTTCGGGTACCGAACTCAGAAACCACACAGCCTGCTTCAAACAGCCGCTGTGCCTTCTGATAAGCATTCTCTTCCTGTCCTTCGTAATCCCAATCTATATCGACGAACTTGAAGTATGCCTCGCTCGTCAGGGCAAGGAGTGGGATCTCGTAAGACATGGTTTCCACCCAGAGACCGGTTATGGTGATGTCTAAATCACCGAACGTCTCGTCGACCGGGATGAACTTCATGGTGACCTGATCTGCAGGCCGCAGCTGGAAAGATTGTAGATAGCTCAAGTATTCGGAGCTGAAGTATGGGCAGTGTCTTCTCAAGTATTCTAATTCGTCTTGTGCCAGTGTAATGTTGGCCAGTTTGGCAGTCTGCTCTTGCAACCAGGTGAAAGCCTCCTTGTTCAAGCGCATGTGCGGCGTCCGATTCGTGAACTTGTATTCGACATCGACCGAGGGGAAATATTTCAACACCGCGCACTGCATTGTCAGCTTGTACAGGTCAGTATCCAGGAGCGAGAAGACGCCCTCGGGAATCTGAGATTGTGCCATCCTTGAGCGGAGGTGGATGGATGCGTTCGGCGGAAAATGCTGTTGCAGGGTGAGATATCAATCATATCCGTGCAGACAGGACTTGTGGCATGCAGCGAACCGTAATGGCGGCTGCGCCTTTCTATTGTTGCATGATGGAGGCCTTATCACCATCCACCAGACGCGCATGTTGTTCTGGGGGGTGACACAATAATAATTAGCGTTGGGCAGTGTTCAATCTTTCCACGAGCTATTCTTACACCCACCGGGCACAGTCATGTGACTTCACGGCTGCTTCGATGGCCGTACAAACACGACGGTACTCTCGCTCCATTTTCCGATTCTAACCTCCCAGAAAATGAAGATTCGGCGACGGGGAAATAAGGTACGGATAGAGGACCGAAACGGGTGGATTTGAATCAATGGCGGCGACCGTGGGCATTGCCAGTGGATTAGCTCGGTACCAAAGCAATACAAAAGTCACTAACGGTGGTGAGAATACGATGATAAGTTACACTGGTTGATGATTCATGAATGAATTCGACCGAGCTTTGCTGTATACCCAAAGAGCTAGTTCAGTAATATCAAGTGATTTGAAGCTGCCGCTCTCGACTGAATCTCATGGTCAATATTCAGAACCTTCTTGGATAGCTACAACATCTGGACGCCGCGGTCTTTACGAACCGTCGGTTGAGCCAACGCGAGGCTCACAAGGTGACAACCAGCTTCTTGGCGGACACTCCAGGCCGCAGCGCATCGATCGCAGGTTGTATATATTCAAGCCCGTGGCCCACTACCTCGGCTTTGGGCGCCGGCTTGATCTGTCCGCTCTCAAGCGCGGCCGGAAGGAAATCACGGTAAATGGCCTCGCCGACTTCCTTGTCCTGCAACAGGATTGCCAACGCAAAGACTATTAGATAGTTAGCTGAGACTCGTAGTGAACATGGGTAAGACAAAGCCGTACCAGCCTTTGCATTGACCGTCGCCGGGATATCCGCGATTGGTGGAATCACAACTGCCAGAGTGCCACCTCCCAGTTGAACCAGAACCTGGGCGGAGTTGAGCTGTGAGTCTCGACTTCCAATGGCTGACAAGAGATTAGCCGTCATCTATTTCTCTGCTTCGATGGTCTTACCGTCATAAGCGCCAGCGAGGGTGTACTTTTGCAGGGCCGCCGTCAGATCTCCAACAACGCTGGGACTGGCATGATCAAAAACTTCACTAGCTCCAAGCTCTTTGACAAGTTCAAAATTCTTCTTCGAGGCTGTGGCGAATACTTTGAGGCCGGCGGCCACGGCGAGTTGGATGGCGGCGGTACCAACACTGGAACTTCCGCCCCAAATCAGTATGGCCTTGCCAGAGTTCTCCTCCTTGTGGCCGGGTGTTGCCAGGCCGAGTTTATCTTTGTGGAACAAGCCGTCTGCAGCCGTAGATATAGCCAGGGGAAGAACGGATGCTTCCTCGTAGCTTAGCTTGTCAGGGATAGGACTGACTGCAATGGCCGGGACAACAGTGAAGTTCTGAAAGGCGCCCTGTTCCGGTCTCCCTGTGACCAGTCCGATTGCATGACCCAAAACCCGCTGACCTTTGGAGAAGCCGGATACATTTTCGCCGACCTCAACAATCTCTCCGGCAACATCATTACCCAAGACACGAGGTAGGCCGGTTAATGGAAACGCTCCATCTTGAATTTTCCAATCAACGGGAGCGATGGCGACGGCATGGTTCTTGATCAGGATCTCTCCTGCTCCAGGCTTGCCGACTTCTGCCGGGCCGATCTGTAGTTTCTCATTTGTCTTGTGGAACCACGCTGCTTGGTTGTTCAAAGCCATTGTACTGAGACTGGGATGATAGAACTGGTGATAAAGCTTCAAGTGTATAGGTGAAAATGAAGACACAGTACGAAAGGGACGATGACCGCAAGCAAGTAGAGGTGGAATCTGAAGACTGGTTTATAAGCAGGTCGGTGGGATGTGGTGAATCTTGGAGAAAGTTGACATCATGCGGGTTACAGTACTCCGTACTATTAGGTACTCGTACATACTCGTTCCCTAGCACGCAATCGACGGAAAGAGCCGGCCTGATGGCTTTTTCATGTGATGAGATGAACCATGCATAACCAGACATAGCCTGACCCTATTCCCGCAACGAGGAATGGTCGACCAACCTAAGACGGCGATCCTTACTGACATGCAAGAGGTGATAATGCACATAGCGACGAGACGCCCTGAGGCTACTACCGTATAGTGTATCGCTGTATACGGAGTACGGATAGTCGGTACGCTATACGGAGCACGAGCACCTAACTCTATAGACACCGAATAGAGTATGGATACTCAAGAGGCTGAAATGTCGGAATCGAGGCTCCCGAAAACCAATGGGGTGCCGCAGGGCGATCGACTCATGCCATCACAACTTACTCATCAGGGGGTTGAACAGCACCAAACAGGAGGTGGGAGGCTTATGTAGGGAGGCTTAGGAGGCTTAGGGGCGGGAGGCGGGAGGCGGGAGGCGGGAGGCGGGAGGTGCGGGGGGCACCTACAGGCACCTACAAGCACCTACAGAGTTGAGGTGTAAGGTTAGAGGAAGCTGCAAGTACCACTGCCAGCCTACAAGGGAGCCCATTGGCCGGGCGCGTGCCTTGGCGGAGCCCCTTACCGAGATCAAACACCGACTCTCCGGCCTCCCTGCGCGTTTCATCTCCCGGCGCCCCTTGCAAGGTCGATGGGTGATGGGAGATATGGGAGGTATCACCACCTCAGCTTCCTCGGTCGACCTCTCTTCCCGTCGAGCACACCGTTTGTGTCGCCCGTAGCCGCTCTTTCCCTCTACCAAGCCAGTCTCTCCTTTCGGCCTCGACGTCGCGCTGGGCTGCGACGCGTAACCACACTCATTTTTCTGCTTTCGCTGGGTACAGTGACAAACAACTAGAACGACAGTCCAAGCGTCGCCAATTTCCCTCCACGCACGGTCATCGCGGGCAAGACCTGGAGTCAGCCACCGCAATATCTCAATATTTGGACAAAGCGAGCTGTCTCACGCTCAGCTTCAAGCAGAAACAGAAATCTGTCTGTCGTTGGCGCTGGAGAAACAGAAACATCGCCAGAAACATCGCCAGAAACATCGCCAGAAACATCGCCAGAAACATCGCCAGAAACATCGCCAGAAACATCGCCAGAAACATCGCTACCAACAACCATGCATCGCTCATTCGAGACTCTCGCCCTTGTCCTTCTCACCCTCCTGACCACCTCTCTTGCGCAAACCTTCTCATCATGTAATCCCATGAATCGGACAGACTGCCCGGCAGACACCGCATTAGGGGTGGCTAATTATACCATCGATTTTACAAAAAGCATCATGTCAGACAAGGTATGGAATGTTACAACAGGGAAGATCGACTACGAGGACCAGGGTGCGGAATTCACAATCAATCAACGAGGCGATTCACCCACCGTTCAAACCAACTTCTATATCTTCTTTGGACAGGTAGAAGTTATCATGAAACCTGCCAAGGGGCAAGGCATAGTGTCTTCCATTGTGCTGGAGTCGGACGATTTGGACGAGGTGGATTGGGAGTGGATCGGCGGAAACAATTCATATGTGCAGACCAACTATTTCGGCAAGGGCAACACCACCAGCTATGACCGCGCCGTGTGGCACCCAGTCAGCACTCCGCAAGACCAATGGCACAACTACACCGTCGACTGGACACATGAGAAACTGGAGTGGTTCATTGACGGACAATCAATCCGCGTTCTGAAGGCTGAGGATGCCAACGGAGGTAGCAACTTCCCACAGACCCCTTGCCATGTGTTGCTCGGCATCTGGGCCGGCGGTGACCCGACGAAAAATGCCGAAGGCACTGTCGAATGGGCCGGTGGTAAGACAAACTATGACGACGGCCCCTTCACCATGGCCGTCCAATCGGTGCGTGTCACGGACTCGAGCAGAGGTACACAGTATGTGTACGGCGATAAGACTGGCAGTTGGCAGAGCATCAAGGTTCTTAAGTGAGTAGCCTCAGGGCTTGGGATAAAGCTTGACTGACGCAAACTGTAGCGAAACCGCCGCACTCAAACTGGACGGTGACAATGGCGAGTCGACAACCCAGACCATGAAACAAAAGTGGAATGGTCTCACACCTACCACCAAGTACATCATTATTGGTGTCGTAGGCGGTGTCATTCTCCTCGCTCTTGCAATCTTCGCGTTCTGCTGCATTCGCCAACGCCGCGCCGGCAAACACGAGAAATTGGTTGAGGACGCCAAGTACGAGCAGAATGCGGCCGAGGTGCTTGCCTATCGTGCCGACATGTCTCGTCTGCGTGGTGAGAAAATGGCGACTGCCCAAGTCCATGTCTCCCCGGTCATGGGCAACGCCGGCGGCATGTATCAAAACTACGGCCAGACGCAACCCATGATGCGCTCCATGAGTCCAAATCCAGGAAATAGCTACGCCAACAGCAACTATGCGCAGAGCGTAAGGACGTTCGGCTCCGGGCGGGGCTATCAGAGGTATTGAATGACCCAAAGGCTGGGACTGGTCGCCGACCAACTCCCCACTCTTCCGGTGGTCGTTTCTCTGATATGAATGGAGTGCTTCTGGCTTCCGACGAACCACGATTGCTCTTATCGACTCAGATGCACTAATTCACTTGGATTTTCCCACTGGACAGTACCATACAGTTACAGCAAGGCGGAGGACGACACTTGCGCATATTGATGGCTAGCATGGCGTTCATTTTCGTGTTGGAAGTTTTTTTTTTTTTCATTAGCATCTTCTGACTCTGGTGTGAAGACTCTCTGTAGTGCAATGACAGCGGCACCACCATGACTAATTATGATTCGTCTCGTCTCATCTCGTCTAGTCTCGTAAAGCTCTCTAGGACCAAGCTCAACCGCAGGCCCCATTGCACATCTCATCATTCACAAATTGCAAACCGTTCAGCCCGTGAATGTCATGTTCCTATTCTCGAAGACTCATACTTGACATGCTCTGCTCAAGTGGCTGGACCTCCTGAGCGGCTTCCTTGTCCTTTCACTTGGACGCCCATTTCGGCATCATCTGGCTTAGTTTGCCCTTTAATCCGCTGGAACCAGCACTTCCATGCGCACTTCCGCTGGCACTCGCACTCGTGCTCGCATTGTCGCTTTCAGCCTTTTCCGTGGCCGCCTTTGGTCGCTTGATGTCGATGAGCTTGACCTCGCCCGGTCTGACCCACCTGGCAGGTGGTGGAGGCTTTGGTGAGTTGACTCGGACCGGCAGTTTCATCTCTCGAGGCAAGGAAAAGCCGGCATCGATGCAATCGCCAAGGAAGGTGATCTCTTTGAGTTTCTTAGGATCGAACCAGCGGAAAAACGGGCCACCGTCGACGACAAAGTTCATCAGTGTAAGATGAGTGATTGGCAGATAGCGCATGTTCTCGACAGGTAGGGCTTGCACCATGTCCATCTGGCCTGCCTTCATGGCTTGTTGATCAAGATATTCGCCCTCTCCAAATTCTTCATGCAACGTGCCGTTGCCGTGAGAGCCGAGATATTCGCATTCGACTGGGGTGTCGGACAGGCGGTCGTAAATCCAGTTTGGGTCGATTTTGCGGTATTTGTGCATGATGTCTTCGCAGATGACCGGCTCTAGGGCCATTTCGAGGCGGACTTTAGTGAGATTTGGGTTAACCCAACACGTAGCCCATATCAGCGGTTGGTAGGATCTCATCATGCCATTGAGTTGGAGGTAATGTAGATTGCGGAACTCTTTGAGAGGCTTAAGGTCTTTGAATGGGAAGACGCCCTTTGGGTCACCATCGCCGTTGTCGTCCTTCTCTTCATCTTCATCGTCGTCACTTTCCTCATCAAGCTTGATGGGCCAGAACAGGTCAAGGTTAAGGATCTCGCGGTCGCGTTCAAGAAGGCGCCATAAATGAGGACGAAAGTTGGAAATCGGCTTTTGAAGGCCACCCAGATCAATGCTGACCTGTTGTGAGCCCATGATGGAGAACTTAGAGAAAACCGCCATACCTGCGATCGCTCACACTGGATCCAGCTGTGCTCTTGAGACTGATTTTGGACAGTCTTCTGTTGTGCTGTAACTCACAATACCCATCAGTACTAGCGCCGTTCGCTGTGTTGGCTGTGTTGTGTTCTGCCGGTTTGTCTTGCACATAACTGTTGGTTGCTATGTCAAACAGTCTTTTGCTCGGTGAAGCTTGCTTTGCCTGCACTGCCTGTGGCATGTTTGCCAGAGAGGCTGAATTTGGCATTTCTCTCAAACCATGACGTGTCCTTGAATCTCTGACCGGAGAAGCCAGAGCGCCGATGGTCATGGGAGATGGAAGCGGTCTCGAGAAATTGGGGGTTGTTGAAGAAGGTGCCATGATGGGAGCCCAGAGGAAGATGACAGAGGGGGTCACAAAGAAGAGAAGAACTCACACAATACATGGCTGAGGAAGAGCGATTTCACAGGAGTTCAAGGACGGGAAGATCTATTGAGGAGCGCAGGCTGCTTGCGTGCCACCGAGCGCTGGGGAGCGTTTGACCAGTCCACGCACTGGAAGCCATGGTCCTGTTGTCTACTCCATATTCACAGGATAGAGCCTCAACCTCGTCCTTCAGACTTGTCCGTTTGGACATTCAACAGTCCCTCAACATCTTTCTGCTGTCTTCATGCAATGCATGTCTCTCACCGGCGACCAACAGTATGGCTTATGAAGGAGTCAACCATTGTTCAGCAGGACACCATAGGCTCCTCCAACACTCAAAGGAGTAGGAATCTTCATCTGTCCCCGTGGAAGCTGTTACAGAAGTCTTCGACCTTCTGCACAAGCTCATTGTTCGGATCGAAAAGGAGAGAGGTTCAAGCTTCTTTGGTGCTGCTCAGATGGTGAGTCTTATCTTATCAGCACGTGGTCAGGCTGCGATGACGCGCTTTTGAGAGCCGCCGCCGGCCGCACCTTCTTTCTTTAGCAAGTATCACCGACTTCTTTGCGAAGTCTGCACAGTGCACACTCGTCCGTGCCTGCAGACTTGATGGCACCAATTCGACGCTACTTGCGAATCAGTAAGCATTCTGTTCTCGAATGTCGCATCTTCCTTGAGAATCCCGCGGACGAACCGAGGTGGCTCCTCAATGAACAGAATCCGGCTCTCCCACGCGTGTTCGAAGCGATCAAGCCATACGTTCTGCCCAAGCTCAGAGAGGAAAATGAACGAGCCAAGGGGAAGGGCAAGAAGAAGAAAAGTGTGAAGGATGTAGTCAAACAAGGTAGGATCGGCTGGAACCCGCCTGAGGCAATGGATACTTACAAACATGTCCAGATGACTTCGAGGTCTCCATCTTCCTCACGGAGATCAGGACACGACACTCCCTTTTGGTCAAGAACAAGACTTTTCAGAAAAGGTCACCAGTAAGCACCAATAATGGAGGCAAGCTTCTCGGCGTCGACCGAGATGCCGTCATGATACAAGATGAAAGCGACGATGAACATGTCAATCTTGGGCAGATCCCACAAGCAGAAGATTCAGAGCATGGCGGCGCCAGCACTCTTGAGTTGGGGGCTGATGATGACAAGAAGAAACTTGGTTTCAGGACAGATTACGAAGGCTTCAGCATTTGGGGCTGGGTGCTCTGCCTCTTCATTGAACGCAAAGGCGGCCCGGAAAAAAAGAAGTCTGAAGTCCAGGGGAATGCTCAGGCCTTGATGCAAGACTGGATTGCATCGACGCAGGAGCAGAAGGACGATGACCTCTGATTTCTGTCTTTTCATCACACTCCATGCCAAAAAGGGAGATGGAAGCCTGGATACTGTCTGCAACAGTACTAGGCCACCAAGCCTAGTACTGAATGCTTCCCGGCGCTGTCGAGTGGATCAATTGATCGGCTCACCTGAGGCCCGGTTATCAATGCCGGCGTCCACGACGAGGATGAGTTCACAACAAGCACGGTGAGCCAATACTTGATGAAGTCGACATGTCCCAGGCACGCATAGCAGGGCTCTATCAACAGCTCGGCCGGTGGTGTGATTGAGATACTCATGGCGAAGGTGAGGAGCGAGGCATTTAATCAGCTGTGGAGTGCCGTCGTCGTCTCGCCTGCGAAATGACTGACTAGGATATCGTCAGATCAGGAGGTGTGTCGATAGGAGTGCATTTGTGCGTTTGGTGGCGCTTATTCACGCAATATCTCACGTGGCATCGCTTGCACCCCTGCTGCTGAAACGCGTAAGCTGAAGCCACCCTGAGACTCACGGCCAGACCCGTCCCAGATTCGCTACGGGTCGCCTATAGTCGCAGTTAATAGTCGGAGATGGCTTTTATTATTGAGCTGAGACAAGGAGTGACAATGTAGCATATGTTCTGGGTGCCTTTGCGCAACTAATCAGTCTCAGTTGAGTGGTGCAACGAACTACACATTTCGCTGGGCCGTGCAGCAGCATGAGACATGAGGTCGCTTGCTGGGTCAAATACCATCCAGCATCTGCCAAGTTGCTACAATTAATGCCGGCATGTGATTTCTTACAGCTAAATTTACCTTGTCGCGCTCTCGAATCTTCTTGATCATATCTAACATGGATTTGGCCAGCGCTGGGGCGGTGCTGTCCCAAAATTGAGGAGTCCAATTTCGGGACCCTGACTTGCCCATGCTTTAAGGGAGGGGCTAGGAACGAAACGGCAAAGGAGCAGAAGTTGAGCGAGCTTCGAGAAGCATTATTCTGTACTCCGTAAACGCAGTCCCGACGAGAATTTGTCTAGGCCCAAGCCACCATCGCCGTTCGCGTCATTCGTCCAATCTGAGAAAGACGGTGCATTATTGTGCACCCTGCAGCGTGCATGCATCAGTCAGTCTCGGAATCTCGACACAGTATGGAGCCCTACGACTGGAAGGGCCTATGATTCTACCTAGTACCTCCTACAGAGTACTCCGTACTGCGCGGAGTCTGTACCCCGTGCGTCAGCCGAGGCACTTCGTCGTTAGTTCTAGCAGAAACCGCAGAGGACACAAGATAGCCCCGTCTCTGAAAGGGAGTCATATGATGACGCAGACCTTGTTGACGCTGGGGGCACAAATTGGAGAGCTGGCCCATTGAATTGATGGGGAGCAACATCCAGGGGTCAATCCGAAACAAGCCAAGGCGAGACTGTGCAGATTGAACAGGCGACCGTCGAGGGGGTGGCGAGAAAGTATGGAGTTACGGAGTACAGTAAAAAATATTGATGGTGGAATTGCATAATTATGGGGGCTTGCGACAGGATCTTCAGGAACCGGACTTGGCCATCCCACCACCACGCCCGTTGGGCGGGGTCTCTCTTCAAGTTTGTTTGATCAAATGCACTTCTCGGCCTAAGGAGCCGCTGATGAACCACACAGTCTGTGCGTTAGGTGTGCTTGATGAAACAGCCGTTGGCGAAAGATCTGCCGAACCTTGCATCATTGACATGATTGACACCTGGGTTGCGAATGGGCGTGCTCGCTACAAAATCCTGCTTTCCAAGGTCGGTGCAGCTGAAGATAACAGATGAGCGGAAGCTTCACCAGGTGTCAGGAACAGGCAGACGAGGTTATCTGCGATTGGGCCCTGGGTCACGCGGTACCTCGTCGTTGTTCTGTCACCGCCGGCGTTGTCAGATGGGTGGCCAATCCAACCGCGCGGTTCTGCTGTTTGTGAACCAAGGGTGCTGCGTGACACCTGCTAGCCTGCTAGCGAGAGGGACGGCAAAAGGACGATCTCCGATTTCCAGCTGCCAAAGTCCAAGTCGACGAATCGGCATCTTTAGCATCCCATGGAGCGAAAACCAATGGAAAGGTGATGCACAACCATGAGCAGTTTTCCCCTGGTCTCTGTGCCCCAGCACCAGTCCCGGCCAGTGCCGGGTTTAGCATCTTCGGATGTGGGAATGGGTGTTCGGCTGACATGAGATCAAAAAAATGCAAACTAAGGTTCAGCTGGAAGTTCGTGTAGAATCATGGATGGCAACCGGACAGGGATGACATGATCACGAGTTCACAATGCTGACCAACAGGCACATCTCCGTACTCCGTACTAGCGGAGACGTGTGTGTACTCCGTACTACCCGACTAACCGTCCAGGGCCGGGTTGTCTAGGTGCATATCCAACTCGGAGCTGAAGCCTGGTGGGAGGATGATGACAAGAATCATGCGCAAATGAAAACCAGAAAGGTGTCAGAGAACCAATAATACTCGTAGCGACTCGCCGTGAGAAGATGCTCAACCATCCGGACCTGACACACCGCTGGTTTTGTCGCATCGCAGAGTGGAAACTTGTTACAGGATGCGGACGGAGTACACGTGGATGATCTTTTGATTCCGCTGTCGAAACCAGCAACTCCGCATCCCACTAACACATCCACGAGAAGGGGCAAGAGGCAAGAGGCCAGATTGAAAGGCTCCGGCAAACGACAGCTGAGTCCTGACAACAATCTCCTCCTTTTCCTGTGCACGGATCAGCTGCGAACTAGTACGTAGTACGCACGATAATAGTAATTATTTTCTTCGAACCCCAGGCAGACCCGGTCAGCTGGAACCTCGTTAGCCTAAGGAGCATTTTTATACGCCGCAGCGTCCTAGCGGCCCAGCCGAAGAAACAGCCTAGAGAGCGCAGGCAGCCTCCTTAGCCTAGGGCCGACCATCCCGGATCAGGCGAGCGCAAGCCAGGATGCCAGCAGCCATGGAGCATGGAGGTTGCGGCTGCTGTTCTCCTGAACCAGCGGATCAGCTGAATCTTGCCTGTCACCTACAACCCTGAACCCTCACCCTCACGGCCATGTCACACCGCAAACCTCAGGCGGGCTCCACCACCTTAGCTACCACCCACCGGTCAGGCAAGCGCAACACGCGTGCTAAAATCATAATATCGGTCAGGATGAGTGGGAGCCCTCCAGGGCCCACGGATGGAGTGGCCTGCGTCATCCACTTCTGGAACAACTTTCGGGTCTGCCGGGCGCCCTGAGGCTGTCTGGGGTGGGAAAATAAATATTTGACTCGATCCCCCTTGCACCAAGTGAAACCACTTTCCCAGCATTCCACCAGCATTCCAGCACCTGGCTCGCCCGACCCTTCAATGATTCACAGTTCAAAGTCCAGCGGACCACTCCATCTTACGAGGACACTTCTACTATCCTTCGAACACTTCATCCCGCCAACTCGCACGGCCCAGCAGCTCACACCTCATCTCTTCTCGCCTTGTGGTTGACACTTCAACACCAGCCTCGCAATGCCAGCCGGATCCAAGTATCCTCCCTGCCCGGGACCACCTCCCAACCGACCTCTTCCGGCCATTCCCAAGAAACATGCCGCTTAATGCGGGCGACTTCACAATGCCTACCATCAACGGAGGCCGACTCGTGTCAATGGGCGGGCTGCTACCCTCGGGATCGTCACCTCTGCACCAACCGTGCTTTCCAGATGTTCACATGACATGCTTGTTTGAACTAGATGCACTTTTAAAGCCTATACTTCAACCACGAGACTCATGAGTTGGCAAATATCCGCACCAAGTCTCCTGGCTTTAACGGTGCAGGGGCGAAAAGTCGTCTTGGCACGGGAGTATACAGGGATGAGGATGAGGTTATCTACCTGTATCTAATACTGCATGAAGCGATGCGCTGGCAGCTCCACAGTCATAAGCACGACACTCTTGCAGCAAGCAAGCTAATCACCATGTTTCAACACTTCGCTTTCCGGTTCTCTACAGCATTTCCAACACGAAGAAGTCCGCCCTTTCCCGGGCACAGCATCATCCCTTCGCCATTCAGCAACCTAATCAACACCCCGGTCCCTTTATTCGTCAGGTCGCGTCAAATTATCACGCTTTGCTGTTAGGAGCGAAATAGCTCGACCATCTTCGAGACCAGCTTGGGCATCCCCCCTCCCTGTACGCATCTACGCCTACACGGAGTGACCTATGAATTGTTTCCCCCGAATACACATGTACCAACATTACAAATACTGAACACCTGTACCATCAGTCAGTGCCCAGAGGATTGCACCATTTATTTGCGGAGGAATATCGGTCTCTACCTCTGCTTTGTGGTGGCCCTACGGGGGCCTTCACTTCCGTGTATACTACTACTTCTACTTGAGAACCCAACGAGGCTCTTTAGACGACGAGCCTTGAAGGCCAGGGTTGGATGCCAATTCTTGCAGGGGACAATACCCTATCTGCGACCCTTTGCATCCTTATGCATAATATTTCTTCCCCGATTCCCGACTCGTGTTCCGTGAGACCCGAACACCGGTGTCTGAAACGCATTGGCAGCCGGATCTTCCCCCCAAATGTAATACGTACTGGTCAGGTTGCTGCCTACTAGGGTCGTTAACCGGCAAGAACGGACTAATCTAGCCCCGCAGAGAGGTGTATTACACGTCGTGAGACCACCATCCCGAGTATCTCTGCACTCTAATCCTGGGATGTAGCGTTAGTATGGCACTGCAGTGTTCCCTAGGTGTCCATTGGCTCCCGCCGCGGATATGGGATTAGGGTGGTTGCCATAATCCATGGCGGTTCACCCGACAAGGAAATCTCTAGCTCTACCGGGGAAATATCCTCCTATGGTATTAGATATCCTCTCCCGAGAGTTGATATCTGCTCTTATTACCTATATCTAGAGATCGGGTTGTTTAGTTACCTTACTGAATGAATGGGGGAACCGCCTTGTAATCTGCCATCTATTTTGAACACCCAATCCCTAGCTGCCACGGACATGGGATTCCGAGGGCCAATACCGATTACGGAGGACATGGCATAGTGCCTCGTTGGGAACAAGGTTGGTGATGGCAGCCGTGTGTTCGTCCAACAACATGTCGGCTGGCAAGTCCATCGATCCGCCAGCTGGTCAGATCAATAAGGCAATTTGTATGGTTTGTACTCCCGTAGGCTGATATGCGTAAAGGTGTCTAAGACACCGAAGACTGTATCTGGCTATCTCTGACCCCGTAAGGTAGATAGGGATTCATCATCGTACCCTCACTGCCCCATCCCACCACCTGAGAGCTCCACCAACCACCAAGCCACCCGACCTGCGTAACTACGTACTCTGTATAAAGGACAAGATCGGTGGAGAGAACCATGAACCCATCTAGCCCCGTCCCTGTGTACTGTAGTAAGGTATGGAGCAACCGTACAATAATAACAACATGATGATGGAGCAGGGCAAGAGCGTTGGACTCTCCGTGGTTGGCAGGAACCAGTCTGGGCTCCTCCCACACCGGAGCACAGTGGCACACTATGCCCACCATTCCCACTTATCGCCCAGTTTCTCCTCAACCATGACGACATGACCGCACTAAGGCAACAACGGCCCCGATATCCCGTCCTCGATCAACATGCCATCTGCGTTCTCATAGCGATTGGGCAATTCCCCGACCGCCATGAGGTAGCCTTCAGGTCAGCCTGCGCTACTACTCCGTACGCCCAAGTCCCCCTGTTCTCTTGCTTGTTGTTCAAAGTTTTTGGTCGTTTGTTCACTCTGCTCCTTTGCACCGCTCCTGTTTGGTTTTGGTTGTTGGAGGTGTGTGGTTGTCGGTGTGTTGGCCGAGCTGCTGCCATTGTCTATATCGTTACTAGATCTATCGTTCAACGTCTCGGAAGAAGCCATGTCCTTTCGTTATCTGCCACTCGTTGGGGCTTCCTCTCTCGTCCTCGCAGCTGCCCAGAATACCGTGCCTCTTGCTATCACCGCTCAGCCCAGCTCAGGTGCATCAGGCATCATCAGTCCCTCCTTCGCCGGCTTTGGCATTGAACCCTCGAACCTTTTCTCCTTCACCGGCGGCAGTAGCGAGAACCAACTGACCAAAAACCTATTGGAGAATCTGGCAAACTATACCGGCACTCCGCCGCATCTACGCATCGGAGGAAACACTCAGGATTACTTTGTTTGGGACGAGTCTCAGACTGACTATGCTTGCGAGCCCAACTCTCACAGTGTTGGCCAGGGGGTCTACGCCTCGGACTCCATGATTGTCGGACCGCGATACTTCGAGGTCATCGATCGATTTCCGGGCAATACGCCAATCACTTTTGGATTGAATCTGGCCTACGATGAAACGGATTACATTGATCAGATCACAGCCATGGCAACCCAGGCCGTGGAGCGATTAACCAATGTTAACCTGGTGTCCTTGGAGATCGGCAATGAACCGGACTTGTATTTGGAAAACGGATTTCGAACAGGTTCATGGGGCGGTCAGGTCTACGCTCAACAGTGGTTGGATCGCGCAGGCGCTGTATGGGAGCAGGTGCTTAAGCCCAAAGGTCTCCCAAGCAATTTCTTCGAACCAGGCGCCACTGCCTCCACTATCGGCACAACGTTCCAGATCGATGATTTGGATAGCTTCGGGATCACGGCTCACGCCAATGGCTCAACCAAGCCCTACGTAGCCAGCTGGAATCAGCATGACTACTACTACTACATTGGAGTGTCGACATACCCCCTTACTCAGTATAAGTTCATGACGTTGTCCACGACGAATGACCAATTTGCTGCCTGGGAGGAACAGATCACCCAGGCTATGAATACGGGCTATCCGTATGCTCTACGTGAGATGGGTGTGGTCGGTCCTATCGGGATGGAGGATATAACGGACGTTTTCGGTGCTTCTTTATGGACCCTCAACTTCCTTTTTTATGCGGCATCCCTCAACATCTCTTCGGTCCAGATGCACATGACGGATAACAGCAATGCAAGTGCCTGGCAGCCGATTGAACACTACGGCAACCAGCCGTTTGTCCGACCCAACTACTATGCGTTCGCCGCCTTCGACCAGACGATAGGCCCAACATGTCAGGCTCAAGTCAGTGGCTATACCCTTCGCGATATGAGCGACCCTTATGGTGGCCGGTGTGCTGCGTACTCTGTGTATCAAGATGACACTCTAGCCTCAGTGGTTCTAATCAACTCAAACCCGGCAAACGTTTCGGAACCCAACAAACCGAGCCTGACTTTTGAGTTGACATTGCCGACCCAGTTTGCGGGACAGGACCTGTACCTGGCTTATCTCACCAATGATGGTGCCGATGCGAAGCATGGGACAACCTGGAACGGTATCAGCTACGAAAAGAGTGGCGATGGGACGCCTACTGCAGTGAACGATACCGTCCAGACGGTCACCATCGGCCATGGAGGGCTGGTCAATGTCACCGTGCGAGACAGTCAAGCCGTTATTGCCAACATCGGTTCTCCAGTAGGTCAACTAGCCCCCAACCACAGCGCTTGCCAGGCGCTGGCTGCGAGTACGCCCGATGCCAAACCGGTTTCGACTCCCATCGGCACCAGCACTGCGAATAGTGCATCGTCAACTCATACCAACGCTGCCTCGAGAACTGTCAGCAGTGCACGGTCAAGCAGCACGAATGGCGTGTCAGCTCTCTCTGCAATGTTTTTGGGAACCCTCTCGTCGGCATTCCTGACCGGGGTCTATTTACTCTGGGTATAAGTTGGTGCCATCATTTTATGAACATACATGATAGACAGCGTTGATGGGACTCGGAGAATGACGCCGGGAGTTCTCCTCTATGCGGAGCCCAGTCAGTGATTGTGGGTATGACGGGTTGCTTTGGGTGTTTTCGGTGTGCAAATTGGTCGCATATGCACATACAGAGACTACAAGGCAAAGGACATTCCTTGATTGGGACATTTTGGAAGCGGATACCAGGCTATGGCTAGACCTTAAGATCCCTAATGAATAATAATATACCTCCACTGGTCGTCGATGCCTTGGGGTCGACACACACATATATACTCAGACTTGTTCATTCATTCATGGACGGGCGGCGGAGCAGATCATACTACGGAGTACGATTCTCCGATAGTGGATAGTGGTGGCACTAAGCCACTAGTAGCTCCTTCTAACCACCAAAACTGATCACCCCCCAGATTTTTGTAACTTGATTCTCCACCGAGTTCATGCTGATGACTGCAGTAGCTCAGAAGCCTGCAACACCTCACCCTTCACCTCTGGAGAATCATCGCGCAACAAGTCCCGCCCAGACAGCTTTGACTGACATCAGCGAGAGGTGACAGCATGCTCTAGACTGCTTGCTGGCAAGCCATAATCCCACAGGCTGGTTCGACAGCCGGCGTGATGGATCTGTCAACCACTCCCCAACGATCGCCGTATCGACATGGCGGGCTCTCCTCCTTCATTCCGCTCAACGAAGAGATCTCAGCCGTGTCGACTAGAGGCCAACGGCTCCCAGGTCTGATCCAAAGTCGATCGAGCACGTCGCTATTTACCCTGCCGAAGCGGCCGCAGACACGACGAGACTCTTTTAACAGCCATCATTCGGCTGAAGACGAGGAGCAGGGTCCTCGAGATGAGATGGAGCCTTTACACAGACGCCGCACCGTAACCATGGAGGTCGATGCGAGACGAATGAGTCTGGGTCCAGAGATTCTCATGACCCCTCAAATGCGCAGCATGCGCCTGATCGGAAACAGCAACCCTCGGTATCGCTGGCACCAGTACTACAAGACGGAGGAAGAGCTGAACAAGATGAAGAAGCCTATACGAAAATACTATGAGCGTAATAACTTCCTGATTGCCCAGTACATGTACATTGACAGGCTTCTGGACTCGTCACTCCCTCACAATCTTATTCAAGAGTACAACCAATTCTCAAATGGGTCCACCCTCAATACCAATATGAAGACCATCAACGAAGAGCCTTCCGGAGCAGCCGCCAACGCGACTACACCGACGGGTACTCAATCCAGCAACGCTACAACGGCAGCAGAGTTGAAGTTGAAGCGCACACCAAAAAATCTATACAAGCTCCCCAGTGAGACCACGCCTCTGTTGCCCGATAGCGACGAACCTCCCAATGTGTCCCATCCGGACATCAATCTGGAGGATATGGACGATAATGTCGACTCGGATGATCCGATCGTAACGGTGGCCATCTACCTCAACCTTGTGGCCAACATTATTCTGCTTGCCGGAAAACTTGTCGTTATAGTGCTGACGTCCTCACTTTCCGTCCTCGCGTCTCTCGTTGATGCGGCGCTGGATTTCCTGTCGACCGCCATAGTCTGGACTACCACGAAGCTCATTTCCCAGCAAGACCAGTACGCGTACCCTATCGGGAGACGGCGTCTCGAGCCTGTCGGAGTTCTGGCCTTCAGCATTGTCATGATCACCTCGTTCTTCCAAGTCAGTCTGCAGTGCCTGAACCGCCTGCTTTCACCGGACCACACTGTTGTGCAGCTGGGAATTCCTGCGATTGTCATCATGCTGAGCACCATAGGCATCAAAGGCTTTTGTTGGTTTTGGTGTCGGCTGGTGAAGAATAGCTCCGTGCAAGCGCTGGCTCAGGATGCCGCAACCGACGTCGTTTTCAACCTGTTCTCGATTGTGTTCCCCTTGGTTGGCTACTATGCCCAAATCTGGTGGCTGGACGCTCTGGGCGGTCTGCTATTGTCACTGTACGTCATTTTCAATTGGTCCAAGACTAGCAGTGAGCATGTTCGAAACTTATGCGGAGCTGCGGCCACCGCTGATCAGCGCAATGTACTTCTCTACCTCACTATGCGCTTTGCAAAGACAATTCGGTATATCCAGGGGCTCCAGGCCTACCACGCCGGCGACAAGTTGAATGTCGAAGTCGACATCGTCCTCGACGAGAACATGAGTCTACGGGACAGCCACGACCTTGGGGAGAGCTTGCAGTACGTGCTGGAAAGTGTGCCGTTTGTGGACAGGGCGTTTGTGCATGCGGATTACGCTGATTGGAATCTGCCGAGTCATATGAATCAACAAGGGTGACAGGATTCGGTCTGGTTATGGGTTGCAGAGCTGTTCAGCTACTACGTGTGTTGGCTGACTGGGTTGAGATCTAAGCTCAAGTCGCTGAGATTGTTGTATTTGTAGACGTTAGCCGGGCTAGAGATTTTGTCATCGAAATGGTATAATTAGGTGAAGTTGAAAGGGGCTGATTCAGGACTAGATTGGACACATCGACCATGCGGCCTCGTTCGGGTCGATGCCATCCCTGGTCATCAACCAAGACTTGCAGGAATTCAAAGAGCCACCTACTGTCCTGGCACGCTTTGACTGCTGCAAGGACCTCTTCATTCAGATTTGGCGATTATAGTAATGCCCAATTCTGTGTACTCGGTATGGTGAAGTGGTATGCCAAGACAAGATACTACACCATGTTATGTGTAGGAGCAGTCCGTCCCAGAATCGCCACTACTAGTGTCGCTCTCGAACAGAGCCTCTGGTAATCATATCTCCTCGGTGCAATGGGATTCGCTGCGTCCTTTCCAGTTCTTCGCTGCATGCCCGAGACTTGAGCTGACCGCCTGGGCCGCCTCACCACCATGGACGGCCTTGTCCGCCGGAGGAACGCTCAAGAGCACGGTCGAGTCGACCTGTTTCCCTGTTGTGGCGTCCTCAGCCAGCGTCTTACCTCCCTCTCGGGCCACCTGATCGGTCAGTATGGCCTACGACAATACCATTAGTTAGGGCCGACTGATCCGGCTTGCTAGCATAGCCTTCAGAGATCTTGCCCCGCGCTTATCTGTGACGACCAGCAAGTTGGGCAAGATAAGCGCGGGATTGTCATCTCAGGGCGGGTCTAAGTTTGAGCTGGCGAAGGAGCCTGGAACGAACCTCCAGCCGGCAAAGAGTCCACCGACAATGTATATAACAATGGCTGATGAAGACCGATCATGGCGGTGGGTTTCCGCCAGCATTCTACACGAGCTGGAATCTCCTCGCAGCAACTCTTTCCTCGCGACCGAGCTCTGCCCTCTATCAAACAACCATGGCTGGCACGGCCGACGAAAAGCTGATGCCGATGAATGTGGACGATATCGAACTGGAGGCTTCAGGCTACAAACGAGCCATGCCACGGCGCTTCTCCACCTGGACGTTGTTGGCCTTTGCATACTCGCTCACCGCGACGTGGAACAGTTTCGGCAGCGCACTGGGGACCAGTCTGACCCAGGCTTCTTCGGGCGGCGCCATCTGGACACTGACGATTGCGGGCGTCATGACGGCCGTCGTGTCCCTGGGCATGGCTGAGCTGTCGTCGGCATATCCGGTGGCGGGAGCGCAGTACTACTGGTCCTTTGTCGTTTCTTCTCCGGAATGGGCACCGTTTGCCTCCTATTAGTAGGGCCATATCCCTCCGCGGTCCGCTCGTCCAGCTCGCTCACGTTTCCACCCCTCACAGTTCGGCGACCATCAGCACGCTCGGTTGGTGGCTCGGGTTGGGAAGTGCGGCCAATTTCGTCGCGGCCATGATTCTGGCCATCGTGTCCTTGTGCCAGGAGGGTTATACACCTCAGCATTGGCACACATGGCTGGTGTACGTGGCCATCATCTGGAGTGTGATTGGGATCAATGTGTTTTTCGCGCGCTGGATACCCAAATTCAATGCCTTCGTCAGTAAGTCGGGGCTCTGCACCACATCCAAATCTGCATCGCAGTGCTGATCCAATGCCGAAAGTGTACTTTTCTCTGACCACCTATGTTGTCACCATCGTCACGATCCTGGCCTGCGCCGCGCCGAACTTTCGATCGGGGACCTGGGTTTTCTCGGACACGACGAATTCGACGGGTTGGGATAACAACGGATTGGCATTCATCTTCTGCACCATGAATGCGCTATATGGCTACCTGGGCCTAGATGCCGGTGCCCATCTCTGCGAAGAGATCCCCAACCCAACCGTCAATGTTCCCAAAGTGATCGTAAGTTTTACCCCAAGGTCATGTACACCGGGTCATCCTGACACACCTGAAGATCTACCCGGTCTTGCTAGGTTTTGTGACGAGTGAGTCGACCTCTCCCATCTTTCCAACAGCAATCATCTAACGTGATCACTCAGCCTTTACCTACGCCATCGCTTGTATGTATGTGATCACCGACCTGGACGCCGTGTTGAATACCCCAACCGGGCTTCCTTTGATTGAAGTCTACTACCAAGCGACGGGGAGCAAGGCCGGCAGCACGGTGTTGATGGTGGCCTTTGCTTTGTGTTTCTTTGCGAGTTGCTCGGGCAACGTCACCAGTACGAGTCGTCAACTGTGGTCGGCCTCACGCGACGACTGCTTTCCATTCTCGAGGTATTGGAAACAGGTCTCGCCACGGTTTAACATGCCCCTCAACGCCGCACTGCTGGAAGGGGTCGTTGTTTCGGTGCGTACACACTCACCCATCTCTCTCCATGGGCCGCCGCCGTCTTTTGCTAATCGAGGGTTCCATCAAGCTATACGGCCTGATCTTCTTGGGCTCGTCATCGGCCTTTTCGTCCATGGCCGGGGCCTGTATCGTCTTTATGACCACATCGTATGTCATTCCCCAAGGGATCGCCGCATGGCGAGGCCGCCAGAAGGTCCTACCCGAACGGACCTTTGACCTGGGTCGGTTCGGATATCCGCTCAACGTGCTGTCCTGTGTCTGGGTTTTGTTCATCGATATCATCTACTGCTTCCCGACCATGATGCCGGTCACGAAGACCAATATGAACTGGATCAGGTACGTCGTGTCGTCCTCGTCCTGTCCTAACCCATCCCATTTTCTTTTTGAGAGCCTCCTTTTCTTTTTTGTTAGTCTGTCAACAACGGCTGCTGACTACTCACCGCGGCTGGCATAGTGTAATGGTGGTGGGCTTGTCCATCTATGCTCTGTCCGCGTGGTATCTCTCGCAGAGGCACGTCTTCAAAGGACCCCAGGTCAACGTCAGCTTGTTCAAGGAAGCGCGCAACGAGACGCTCCACCATCATGGGCAAGCAACGTTGATTCACAACGGGCATCTGGAGGTGATTGAAAGTGTGGCCGTCATCGGCGACGATCTGGCGGCCGACCGGGACGAGAAGACCGCCGTCGTCCCGAAAGAGGATTGCATTGCCGCGTAGGGGGATTGATGCAGTACGCTTGTTGCACTGCCAGTTATGATTATCATACGGCCATGAGAGAGAAAATGCGAAATGCGGATTGCACAAGATAGAGAAACAGATTCAACTTTGTTCATTCTCTTCCCGCAATTGCCTCCCTCCCCCCTACGTCTGGCATTGTGCTGGCTACAACCACGGTCCAGATTTGACTACCATGTCGCGTGCGAAGAGGAGGGCTCACACAGAGATTCTGTGTTTTGGTGCCCTCCAACTTATGCTTGGAATGGCCACGTGGCCAGGATTTATTTGGGGCTGTGTGTATTGGTATATCAGTTCTGTTCCAAGATACATTACACGACGCCCCCATACCCGTGAACAACATAGAAATATGTAGGGAGAGACCGTGAACAATATATAAATATGTAAAAAGAGACCGCGTCGCTGCGAGGCGAGGGGAAAAAGTCGCTGCAAATGTTCAGGGTGGTTTTTTCATACAAAAACTATGGTCCTGTTCTGGGTCCAAATGGCGTGTTGGATATCGATCGGGCTCATGAACATGTTGGAGCCTGAGGAGCCTGAGGAGGAGGAGGAGGCTTCTCGATCGCTCTGGTCCCTCTGGTCCCACAGGGTGTGGAGAAAGTTCCTCGTCTCGAGCAGGTTGCCGAAGTGGAAGCGGGCGTACATGTCGTCCAGGCGGCGGGTGACGAAAGCTCGATCCGGCGCCGTGGTCACGCAGGATCCGAGAATGGCGAGCGGCCAGCAGATGGTGGTGTTGACGGTCGAGTGCGCGGGGATGTAGTGCTCGAACAGGGCGATGATGTGGTCGACGTGGGCCTGGACCATCGTCGACAATTCGGCCCGTCGTCGACCGCGGCGGTATTGGTAAAACGTGATCTGGAGACAGAGCAGCATGGCTTCCTGGTAGATCCGGCCGAAGGCTATCGATGCCGGGTCGGTGATGTGTCGAGGTACCGTCCAGTTCGAGATTTGTCGGTGGAGCGAATGGTAGAAACGGGTGGTGAGCGGCGTGTACGCCTCTTCTTCTTCTTCTTCTTCTTCTTCTTCTTCTTCTTCTTCTTCTTCTTCTTCTTCTTCTTCTTCATCTCCTCCTCCTCCTCCTCCTCCTCCTTCTGTGTGCAAGACGTCGAGAAAAGACCGATTCTTTCGCTCCCACGCCAAATTGCTGGCCAGGGTGGTGATGGACGGGATCAAGGCGAAGAGGGAGGCGGCACATCCGCAATGCATCCCGGGCAGCCGAGTCGAATACAGGATGGTGGAATCTTCACACCGCCACTCTTCCGCGTAGATGGTCATGGAAAAGTCGGCGATGACGGCAATGTAGGCGTACGCTTCCACCAGGAAGCCGTAGACCGAGTCATCCAGCGGCTGCTTCGTCTTCTGGACGCGGGTGAGGAACGTTTGGATGGCTTTCAGATGATGAAAAGACTCAACCGCGGCGTTTCCATTCGTGATCTAAAGGGGGCACCACACTAAATTGAGCCTCCAACCCCCGAGTCCTTTGTTGAGGGTATAGGGGGCACGAACCTCGGTGCTGAGTAAGAAATATGCCGTCAACAGCAAAGCCACCACGTCGTCCGTGTCGTTGCCGCCGCCTCCGCCGCCCGAGTCCATGGCCGTGAGCCCGTATTTCAGCCCGCGGACGGCCTGAGCGTAGTGCGTCAACGTCGTCTCGCGAGTCGACGGGGACTGGTTGGGATGGTGTGTCCCGCTGAAATAGAGGACGCCTTGCATCACCAGGTCGTTGGACATGGCCATGAGCAATACTTTGGTCAAGAATGGATTGTCTTCGTCGGGAATCGCAGCGCAGTTCCTGGCAAGTTCATGGACGTAATGGTCAAACAACATGTGGGAAATTGGATCTCGCAAGACGCCCGTCGAGCGGTTTGGATGATAGATGTGGTCAATTGTGAGCATGGGCGTGGCTGTGTGCCCTGGAAGATCTATCGTCGGCACAGTCTCACTTAATGAAATGGGCCTTTGGTCGGCTGGTTACTGAACAGTTGACTTACCTGACACGGAACCGTGCCACGAGGATCGAGATGGTGATGTCGCCGGGCCTGCGACATCACCATCACCACCACCGCCGCCGACGTGGCTCAAGTCCAACGGCGTCCCCTTCTGCCTTTGCCTGGCTTGCTCTGCCCGCTCAGTCACCGGGCCCGGGCCCGGGGTCGGTGAGTTGTCTGCCAGGTCGGGCCATTTGCAGATGAGGATGTTGCGCTCGCAGGCCTCACAGACGGGCTTCCGCTCATCGCACCTCTTCTTTCGAAATTTGCAGGAAATACACCCGGCGCGAGAATACTTCGCGCGTCTTCGTCCACGAGCGATCATCACAGACGCCGTCGGTCTGCGAGGGATTTCATTGGACGCGGAGTGTGTTGAGGGTGCGGTTCCTCCGTTGGGTCGCGTACCGCGGTTGCCTGATGATGCCATGGACGACAAATACCCGCAGACCGCCGAGCTCTGAGCAGGCCCGCAGCTGATGGGAAGAGACGATGATGTGCAAACTTCAAAGTCACCAGAAAGCGTTCAATATCCGGGACTGATGATAAATGGCAAGCCTCGCCCGCGCTTATCAGGGCTTAAGGCTTATCAGGGGCTCCTAAGGCTTTGCCAGCCTCGCGCCGACCCCTTATCAGTGTTTGCAGGGACAAGTATGTCACCGAGCGCTAGATCCGTTCTAGGGTTGACCTACGCTCGATGAGGCCGGCTGACATGTTACTTATCTCTACTCCGTACCTGCTTCCAATCAGCTTGAAGAGCCCCCCGTCCGGACCTTGCGATAAGCGCGGAATTCATATGAATCATGCCTGTCGTCCGCAACAGCGAAAAGGTGCCGGCGCCAGGGGACAACTCCTCTGCAGTGGGGGATAAACATTCACTCTCGGGTCGCATCCTGCTCATCGAAAGGGAAAGGGAGTCATCGTCTCGGGCGGTCTTTCTGGCAGAGGAACACCGGACGGCGGACGTGCGGAACGCCCGCGGCCATCGCAATTCGGCCATGGTGAACAGCCCACTCAATACCAAACATTGGATCGTGAGGCTGATAAGCGCGGGACCATGGTTCTTGTCCCGCAAAGCGCCCTCGACGCCCGCATGTCCAAGTTGACTACGCCGCCGGGGGTGACGGGTCGTATAAAGTGTCCGTCAGTCTACATTGCCAGGCGTGCGAAGGAATCGTCCAAGGCTCATCCTCCACCGATCTGACCAGTCGATTCAGCAGCCTCGTGGTCAAATCAGTCATGGCTCCCTCGGCGCTGGACCCGGTTCCCATTCCCAGAAAAGCCAAAGGTCTTCCGAAAGTCCCAGACTTGGACAGCCGCACAGTCACGACCGACGAGGTTGTACAAGCCTTGATCGTTGCGGGCGGTTGCATACTGCGACATGCGGCCACGCCGGACCAGTTGGCCGCGATCGAGGCCGACACTCGTCCGTGGATCGAGGAGGATCTCCCGTGGAAAGGAGAAGGCTTTCCCGAGCAGACGCGCCGTGTCTGTGGCCTGGCCGGCAAATCCAAGGCGTTCACCGAGACGGTCATCTGCAACCGGCTGCTGCAGGACGTCTCCGCCGTCCTCCTGAGCAGTACCTTTACCATGTGGAACGGAGACAAAAAGGTCACGTCAGTCGCGAGACCGCAGTTGAACAACACCGTGGTCTTTTCCATCGGGCCGGGAGCGGGCGACCAGGGTCTTCATCGCGACGACATCATTCATCACAATCACCTCCCCCCCATCACGGCTAGCGAGTACAAGATCGGCCGGGACGTCGGCATTGGATATTTTATCGCCGGCAAGCAAACGACCAAAGCCAACGGGGCCACGAGATTCATTCCCGGCTCGCATCTTTGGGGTCCGCTGGAACCGCAACCCGACGAGAGTCTATGTGTTTATGCCGAGCTGGAGCCCGGTGACGCCTTCATCATGTTGTCGTCGGCCTATCACGGCGGCTCGGCCAACACCACGGTGGATGAGGAACGACTGGTGTATAGTTGTTTTATGGCCAAAGGTCTTCTGAAACAGGTAAAATTCCCGTTCCACCCATCGCCGCTCGCACATCGTGCCATTCTAACGCCCCCAAAATAGGAAGAGAACCAATACCTGGCCAATGATACGCAGAAAATAGTCGACATGTACGATATCGACACGCTCAAGATTCTGGGATACGATATGGTCAAGCCGGGGCTCGGCTGGGTCAACTTCGACACGCCTTTGAGGGTCCTGCTTGGTGACAAAGCCGTACATATCGATTCTCTTTATTGAGCGGAACCGGTGAGAGGCCTAGGGGCCCTCGTGGGATAGGTAGATGGGGTCAATGGGAAACCGTCTCTAAGCTTCAATGGTTGCTATGTCTTGTTCACTATAGGTATAGGTTGTACAGCGACTCGACGACTTGAAGAACATGTCGAGTACGAGTATTATGCGGGGGTCCGCCTCTTCCAAGTCCAGCCGAGTCGTCAACAAGGCACACTCATGTTGGATGTTCACAGTATGGGTGGCCTTGTCTGCGAAGACGCAAATGCTTCATTTGAGGATCGTCCCTGACTGCGCCCATCATCATCATCATCATCATCATCTATCATCTTGGCTCTCCTACTGTCCAAGGACCAAGGACAGTCCCAAAGGCTCATCTGAAATCCGCCCTGTCCGGTACTAAGGCGATCGCATTCTTTGGACCACCACGTGCTGGGACCCGGTCATTAGCAGAGTGGGCAGGAATACGGGGTACTTGCTTCCCGCATTCAGATGGCCTGGAGGCGGAGGGTCAATCGAGAACTTCAGCCCACCCTGGAAACAGACTCGCAACCCTTGGCACGTATCCCGGAAGGCGAAATGAATATAGGTAGTGTGCTAGAGTTGGAATACTTCACACTCTTCGTTGGCAGTGTCGGGGTTCATATCGGTGGCGCGGTCAGGTGACACGCTCAGCCTTGAGAAAGCACGGCAGAATCGTCGTAAAGTGGAAGGCGGTTAAGTACTCCGTACGTCGCGATCACGCCCGGAGAATTGATGAGTCCAGTGACGCCGCTTTTTAAGGTGCGCGGCACACTTTACGGAGTACTTCGTAGAATGACTGGACTCATCGTGTGAAGTTGCCAACAGGGCCCGCGGCCATCGGACAGGGAGCGCGCAAGGCCGGCGTCGCACCCTCGGCGCCAAGGTGCCCGGCCAAGGAGGCCATTTGGCCCCCACGACGGGTGAGCCGGGGGTGAGCATGTCAAATGAAGGCTGAAATGTTCCATGTTCTCTATCAACGGGTCGCAGGGAGAGCGCAGGCTATATAGTGTAGAGTATAGCCTAAACCAGCCTTCTGGTTAAAGGACAAGGCTGGGAATGCCGCCTAAGTTTGACAGAACACAGGGCGGCCGCACCCTCGTCCCGATCGGGTGAGCTTGGCCTCAGGCATCGATCGGCCGCACGCCGCACAGCCTGCGCCACTCCGCTACTTCTCATACGAGTATCCGTACTCCGTAGTACTAGTTGAGTGGTCCCTTAGCCGGGGCAACCAGATGAACCAACAAGTTGAGAGGCTTATACTCCGTACATCGAGTCCGAGAGCATTCTATACAGCTATTCCAACCACAGTTTCCCTCCTATAGCACTGTTATCAAAGGTGTAGCCGCAGCGCGCATGCCCGACCCATCCAGCAGCTCCTTGTCTGTATATGCTCCTCGCCTCGATTCGTCCGTCGCCTTGCTAGAGAATCAGCAGTCGACCGTCCGTTAAGTCTCCCACGTCTGTGCAACCATACCCTCCCCGGCCGACCGACCACCACATCTGCCTTAATAAATAAGCTGCGTCGCCAGCATAGTCCTGGCTGTGATTACCGCTGCGATATCGTCCAACATGGGGTCGTGAAAACATGGTCACCTAGCGACTGCGACTTCCTGCCTTGCTTTGATCCTCGACCCCACGGCCGACACTCCTCTCGTCGAACGGTGCCAACATTCCAAACCCGACCGCCGCCGGTCGTCTGTCTGCCTGCTTTGCTCTTGTTGAGGCCTCGCCTCGCGGTCTCGCGAAAGCCAGCCCGTCATGGAAAAGCTTGTGAAAGGTGCTACAAAAATAAAAGTGAGATTCGGAGCAAACAGGTTCCTCATCGAGGCTGACCGTGGTTGACAGTTGGCTGCGCCCAAGTCCAAATACATCGAGCCTATTTTATCGGCAACAAATGGCGGCGAGTCCGGCGTTGCCGAAGTGTTCCGCACTCTACAGCTTCGTTTGAGAGATTCGACATGGACAATCGTTTTCAAGTCTCTGATCGTTGTTCATTTAATGATCAGAGAAGGACGACCTGAAGTGACGCTCAGGTACATTGCAGAATCGCCCAAAAGACTAGCGATCAGTAGCTTCACCGAAGGCATGTACAATGATCAGGGTTAGAGGAAACCGGAAATCGGAGTTGGCTTCTAACGGCGTATAGTTCAAACTCAGGGTGTTAACATACGACGGTATTACGAGTATTTGCTGGAAAGAGTGCGGGCCTTTCGCGACACCAAGACAGACTATGTCAGATCGGGAGCGGGCAACATGCGACAGTTGACTGTCGATAAAGGGTTGTTGAGACAGACCGAGATAGTGCAGGATCAAATCCAAGCATTGGTGCGGTGTGATGTGAGCTTCAAGAACCACCACTGGCTCCTATGTCCCGCTGACCTTTGCAGCTTCTTGGGAACCAAGATCCCGACAACGAGATCACACTAACTGCTTTTCGCCTTCTGATTTTGGATCTACTGGAACTATACAAGGCGATGAATGAGGGCACTATCAATGTTCTAGGTAGGTGAAATGTTGATGCTTAGATACTGGGCTGACGAAGTGACAGAACATTATTTCGAGATGTCTCGGCCCGATGCGGAACGGGCATTGCAGATTTACAAGACGTTTGGGAGACAGACCGAGCAGGTGGTCCAGTACTTGAGTCTCGCCAGACAATACGAGATGTCTACGCGGCTGGAAGTTCCAAAGCTGAAGCATGCGCCGACCACTTTGACTGCCTCGTTAGAGGAGTATCTAAACGACCCGGACTTCGACATCAACCGAAGGCAGTACCTTGCGCAACAGGAGGCAAAGAGGAACGGGAAGCGAGTACGTTCAGGCTCTTCCTCAGCTCCATTATCCAAATCGCCGGCCAAAACAACAGCGACACAATCTAGACCACAAGTTGCGCAATCTCCACCCAAGGGACCAGCTCCCGACCTCATCGACTTCTTCGGATCCATTGAACAAAACCAGCAGTCCATGGCCCAACCCAATAATAATGCACAAGCGCCATATCAGCCGGGAATGCCACAGGCCCAGCCGTACCAACAGGTGCAAATGCCTCAGCAGACTGGATACAATCCCTTCTTCCAGCAGCAAATGGCTTTTCCGAGTCAGAACCCGCCGCAGCACCCGACCCTGCAGACCGACTTTACAGGTGCAGGTTTTGGAGGGTATGGTCCGCAACCTCAGCAACAGCCACTTTCGCAGGGCTTTCAGTTCCATTCCACTCTGTCTCCAATCCCGCAGAATGGTGTGGCCAACTTCCAATCACAGGCTCTTGCGCCGGCTCAGCAAATGGCAATACAGCCACAGCCGACCTCCACCAATCCGTTCCGACAATCAATGATATCGACAGGAACATCACAACTCTCTCCAGTGAGTCCTGAGGCTCAACGGCAATCTACCAACCCGTTTGCAAAACACATTACTGGAGCTATGCCAAACAATGGGCCAACGGGGCTTGATCAGACGTTCCCCCATACTCAGATCTCACCGCAGCCGACCTTTCCCTCTGACCCTTCGTTTCTCAACTCACCTCCAGCTCTCCAGCCGCAACGCACTGGAACCAACCCCTTCGCAAAACAGCGGCCCACCACTGCTGCAGGTGCTGTGACAACCAATGTCACAGGCAGCACGAATCCATTCCGGCAAAGTGCTTTTGTGAACCAACAAACAGGACAAGGTTGGCAGCATAGTACCCAGGGTACGCTTGCTGGATTTGATGTGAATCATGTGGACACGGTGCCGGTCTTCCCTAGGCCGGGACACAGCTGAGACTACAGCATGATAGTATAATGTTTGTTGCGGATTCGGATTCGGTGCGGGTGAGACAAGCCTAAGTAAACGTAATTGCCCCTCGCAACTCTATGTGTAATGTTCTTCCAGCCGTGTGCGTTGAGGTCTGATGTCTTGCGAAAGACGAGCATGATATAGCGCCAGACAGTAATGTTAGCAGTTGGTAGCAGTTGGTAGTACACCACAGCGAACGTGAAAGTGCCACCACCGCCACCGCCACCGCTTGGCGAGGAACTCGATTGTGGCACTTGCATGAAATAGTAGGAAACAGCCAGTTCCGCATCCAGCGTTTGTTTCTTCCATACTATGCTGCCAATCATAGAGAACGGCTTCCTGGACACAACATGCGCGTGCTGAGTATCCGTTGGATTGATGGGAATGCCCCGCAGGGGTGATGGTTGTTGCCGGACCTATTCAATTCCATTCACTTTGCCGCAATTTGCCTCGCCGGTTATTTGCTAACCGACAACCTGAACCTCGACCGGCAGAAGCTGCTGTGATTCTCCCCGTTCTTCGTGAAAGACCTCCTGAGGTCGGATAGACAGGCTCAGTCTCGGGTCTCAGTTCTGCTGCTTGTCATCCTTCTAACCGGAGCGATCCTTTCCAACGATGGAAGACGAGGGTGCAGGCGACAGCCCGAATCTCTCCATCATACCCTACGACACGAATCGGGACGTCGTGCTGTAAGTCAAACATGGCAGGAGTTCTCTCACCATAGGATCACTACTGAACGTGCGAGGCCAGTCGCCATGCAGATACCATTGTCTACAGAGACCCACGAACAAACCAGCTGGTGCCTTTCCACCGCAACCAGGCGGTGGAAAGACGGTCGACCGACTGTCCCACATGTGGTCGACCCTGGCATTCTCATGGCTCTGCAACCCAGGACTCTGGGTCCAGTCCTATTGAAGAACAGCCCAGTTTCATCACCCATGACTACTTTGAGATGCTAGCCCGGAGCCTTCCCGGCTCAAGTGAGACCTCGGCGCCGCCGTCCCCAAGGCGTCGTATCGCACAGCCAGTGCGCTCACGTCTACGCCCTCGTCCAACCTCCGCTACCCCAAGCCCGCCACCGGATGCCGAGTTTGTGGCGAGTATACCGGCACCGCCAAACCGGGCCCATGGCATCTCAGAAACCGCATTTTCTCCCAATTACTTTGAGAAATTCTTTGTCGAAGAGAGAGAACTCGGCAGAGGTGGAAGGGGCGTCGTCCTCCTGGTTAAGCATGTCCTGGATGGTGTCACGCTCGGGCATTTCGCATGCAAGCGTGTACCTATCGGAGATGATCACGCATGGTTGGAAAAGGTGCTCATTGAAGTGCAACTGTTACAAGGCCTGTCACATCAGAACCTGGTCTCCTACCGGCACGTGTGGCTCGAGGACTACCAAATCAGCACATTTGGACCCAGCGTCCCATGTGCTTTCATCCTGCAACAGTACTGCAACGGAGGTGACATGCATAATTATGTCCTTGGGTCAGCACAGACGACAACCACCACTCAGGAACTCAAGGAACGCATTCGTCGGCGATCCAAAGGAGAAACAGAGCTTCCTCGACGCCCAAACGAGCCGAAGAGATTGCACTTCGACGAAATCTACAGCTTCTTTCGAGATATCACTTCCGGGCTGAGATTCCTGCACCACAACAATTTCATTCACCGGGATTTGAAACCGAGCAATTGTCTCCTACATACCAGTGGCGGCGAGACAAGAGTTCTAGTTAGCGACTTTGGTGAAGTCCAGTACGAATATACAACGCGCAAATCCACTGGTGCAACTGGTACAATCTCATACTGTGCCCCAGAAGTTCTCAGACGCATCTCTCCTGGTGGCCCATTTCAGAACTTCACATCGAAATCGGACATCTTTTCGCTAGGAATGATCCTCCATTTCTTGTGCTTTGCCACTCTTCCTTACCGCCAGGCCAACGTCTTACACGAGGAGCGTGAAGATATCGATGAGTTAAGAGCCGAGATTATGGGGTGGGAAGGGTTTGACGACCAGCGCAAGATTCGCCCCGAACTCCCGGCTGCTTTATACGCCTTCCTCAAACGACTCCTTTCCCTCAACCCTGAGGAGCGGCCAAGCGCAGATGACGTTCTCCAGGTCGTCTCTTCTGGTAGGCTTGACGACATCCCATCGGCGAGAAGACGGAACTCGATGGAGCCCGAAGAACTCACTCCCGGTCGACGAGTGCAAAAGCTGGACAGTCCCGAAAAGGCCACGTCTCCTCACAGCGGCCTGGGACGGGACTTTGGCATTAGTACTAGGTCCAGACGCCTACGACAAACCAGGTCTGAATCTCGAGGGGATGCTAAGGCCGAAGATGTTCACACGGAAACCGGCTACTCGAGTGACAGTGAGGCGGATCGTGCGCTTTCCCCACTGATCGATTCTCGGTCCGGCAACCAGAGACGCTCCTCTCTGAGGGCCAACAACACCATCGTCCTCCGCTCCATACCTGTTTCGGCATCTGCAGCCTCCCCGATATCTAAGCAGTCTCCTCGTGAGGGCTCGCCGGTACGACAGCAGCTACTTCTCGAGGCCGCACAGCAGGACAATGCAGCTACCTCGGTCCGATCAATTAATATTCTCCTCGCTTTCTTGTATCAACCCATGACCTCGCCGACTTTGAAACTTGTCATCCTCGGCCTCAAACTGCTGAGCACCTTGCAGCCTTGTTTGGCCGTTGGTATGAACGCCGTTGTTGTCTATCCCCTCATCTGTACTGCGCTCCTGGAGTTCTCCATGGCAGATGTGCGACTGTGGAAGGCCGGCGTGGCCATGTTGTTGCATGTTGCTGTGCTCTTGTTGGCGCTGAGGACAGACAGACTGTGCCGAGCTTCACCGGGCCTCATGACTTGGGATGCTGAGTGAGATGACTGGTGCCAAACAACTGGTTCTCAAGCCACTTCCAATCAAAACAGGCGATATTGCAGCAGCGTGAGCGGGCATTGGAGGGACGCAAGCCATTTTCTTCCGCTTCTGCTTCTACTTAGGTCCTCGTTTCGGCATCTAGCAGATCTCAAAAAGGACTCACAGCTAAGCCATTGTGCCAGTCCGAACAGCTTCAGGGCCATGTACCAGCATAACGGCACTGGAAACCAAGGGAGAGTAGGAACAGCCGCTCCAGGACCTGGTACAGAGATATCCCGATTAGGATAACAACTACTCATACTATTCTCCCCTACGGTGCGGCCGCCCTCCACTTGCATACCAACACCTGCGCTGGCGTTGAATTTGTCGAGACGCCTAACGCAAGGATTGTGATTGTCAGAGATTCGATCGGACTTCTATAGAAAGGCAAATTCTAGATGCCAATGGCACTGCCACTGCCACTGCCACTGCCACTATGATCGATGAGATCACGGTTTCAGCTCAGCGGGTCCGCCAAACTGCCTACGGAGTGAGGATCTCGTCATCAGTGTTCAGTGTTCACTGTTCACTGTTCAGTGTTCACTGTTCACTGTTCAGTGTTCAGTGTTCAGTGTTCAGTGTGAATTCAGTTAGTTCGAGACGGATACGGAGCACAACAACTAAAGAGCGCATTAGGGATGGAACGAACCTACTGCGCACCTGGCCATGAGTAGCCTTCCTTTAGGAGCATCCACTTCGAGGGGAATCACATCTCGTGTGTGTGTGTGTGTGTGTGTGTGTGTGTGAGAGTATACATTTGTTCTATAGTGGCGAGGAGCCGGTTGCATTTACCAAAGGTGGACCAAGGAAAAAAAGGAAAAACGAAGGTATAGGTAGGAATAGTATGTACGGATACATTCAACAGTGTTCATTTCATCTCATCGTTTCGTTTCCTTTCGTTTTATCGCCTTTCCATTTCCTCAAACCTGAGCTGCTGTAACGTCAAGCATACGTGGCATTCCCCCTGCTACATGCTGCATGGATCCATCCGATCCCTGACAATGTTCGGCTTGAAACAAAAATACCTTGAACGATTGTGAAGCAGCAATTCCTGCGTATGGCCTCTGCCCTCTCTTCGCCCGCTGCTTGTTCATCTGACAGTGCAACCGGGTCGGAACAGATCTTGCCAATCCTCCCTTTTTCTGTCGTCAAAGACGCGGATTCTCGGTACAAGAAGAAACAACGATGCAAAGCGCCGTCCCGACCATCCTCAGCAACCCGCTAGAAACAGCGATCCACTTATACATGATATGAATAGGATATACAATTCAACCCGAGAAGTCCTTGACCATCTCAAAACAGGGAGAAAAGTTGCCGGTTGTCCCCGGTGTCATCAGTCCATCATGAAATCGCCACGCAGCATTCTTTCTCCTAGATGATCCGGCTTCTTCAGTCTCTGTGGAGTTGTCTCGACGGGTTTGACGATTTCCTTTGGTGGTTCAGTGTGGGAAATGCTTGCTGCACGAGGTCGTGACGGGCCATGTGCGAAGGGATTACCCGAAGAAAAGGATGGGGAGCGTCTCGATCTATCGCGGATGGCCTCGGACCAGTTGAAACCTTCTCCTGAATCCGTCAGTTTGATGTGACACAGCTATTGAGGATCGGACATGGTACAAGCCACAGAAGATGAGAAACTTGATGGGAAAGATGACAAGGACAGGCCTCGACTCTTACCTGCAGTCTTGGCCGTCCCCGACGTAGCTCGACGTGATGGAGTGGCATTCACAGGGTTCTCTTCCAGAGGGAACAGGGAAGGGGGTCGCCTACCACCGACAGAAGTGCTCGGGCTTCCTGCTAGTCTGGAGGACTCTCGTAGCGCTTGTGCCCCGAAACTAACCTGTCTTGCAGAAGAAGGTGAACCCGGAGGATGTATGGTAGCTCTAGCCGGGTCGTCCTCTTCAATGACCGCTGGTTCATCTCCAAAGCTGTTCTTGAACTCGGGAGAGCTCGCGGCCGAGGAAGTTGCAATGCTTGCCCGTCTTTGGTTCTGGAAGGCAGCAAAGGGAGATGGCTGGTTGCCCGTGCTTGTGCTGATGCCGAGAGCAGTGATTGAAGTGCCTCTTCGATGTTGCGGAACGCCAGGAGTGGTCGGGACCGTTGCGGAAGGGGGAGAAGACGAAACGTGGGTGGTTGGATGGATTCGAGGAGTGAACATGTCAATGAAGGAGGACCGTCGGCGGTGTTGAAGAGGCGGGGATGGAGGAGGGTCACGGCTGGACATATCGAGGAGCAAGTTCTGATTGTTTTAATTTGAGTATTCTGGTTTCGAAAGGATAAGGGAGGTAGGTCTTGTAACTCGGTACAGAAAGTAAAGGGAATGGAGTGGACGCGGGTTATTTTGTTGTTTGAGGACCGGACAAAGGAGGTTCAGGGTTCAGGGTCACGTCATGGTGGGTGGTGCGAGCGCAGGCGGGCTTGGTGTATGTACAGAGGAGTCGATTGGGTGAGATGTGGACTGACAACGGAGATACGTAGATGTTGAAAGTGCGTTTGGGCGGCCAGACGATCAAAGCCCACTGCAGGTCCACTCGCGGAAGGCTCTGAAACGCAGAAAAGGAGGGAGGAAGACGAGATAGTCAGCTGTTGGGAGTCGAATTGAAAAGAAGAAAGTAAGGGGAGAGGTGGTGACCAGTAGTAACAGGGCTACCCAGGACGAATAGACAATACGGAGTCCGTACTCCGTACACATAGGTGACACGGTCTGTAAAGGGCGCGGGCGAGGGCGCGGGCGCAGGCTGGGTGGGATACGTATCAAGTCAAGCTGCAGGGAATCATGCATTAGGCGCCAGTCAGCGTGAAGTCCCCAGGTCCAGCTCTTCCTTGAGGTCCGCTTTTCCCATGAACATCAGGTACTATCCATGCCCTATCCATGCCCCTTGGCCGCCCGTTGGCCAGGGCTCTGCCAGGCCCTTGTAACACAAACCTACATGATCGGATGCAGATAGAGGGGTCGGAAGGAATCATTGAGATAGGATAGAACCCCGCTCGTGCCTCGAAAGCTATGACTCTCGTCCACACCCTTCTCTGATCCAGCTTCATCGTGTCCAAGGTCAGCGATGCTCGTCGATACAGGAGGTTCCTGCGACTGATCTTTTAGGACGGACTGTCCAGGTGGAAACATGCGGCAAGGTTGATGTACGATCCTCCCTTGGTGCAGTGTGGGGTAAGTCAAGCCTAACCCCGAAAAGCCTAGAGCCTAGAGACGCGCGCTCGACCCTGGAGAGACGCCTAACTGCAACCAGTACCCGCTACCCACCTGCCCAGCACGCCGCCCACCGCCCACCGCCCGTATTGTTTTCACGAACAGTCCACCTCCCACCTCCGCATGCGACCTACCTCTTTGCGTCTCCGAGTTGCCATGCTACACTCGACTCACAGGTGTCTTCATTCGCCCAGTGGCTGCCTACCGACACGGGGCACCTCCTCCTTGACCACCGTGACACGCTGATCTCTGCTCCGACTCCCTCGTCCGCACCTTCCGTAACCTCAACGGTTGCATGAAGCGAAACTTGACCCCAATGCATATCACGCGTACAGACTGACTTTACGAAATACGGTCGGTATTGACTCGGATGACGGCGGAGATAAGCATCGTACACGACAGGCTGTCGAATGACCTCTTCTCAAATGTCGGCTGCAAATCCTTTGTTTACGCACAGCACCACAAGAGGAGGCATAACAGTGTCGAGAGTCAGAACCGGCTTCTGGCGGAACACAAGCTTCGTGTGTATGCATTTCAGTGCCGCCTGAAAATTGTACGAGAAGAATCCATTGCGCACCTCTTCCCGAAGTCACGGAGATCCTGTCCATTGGTCCCTGCGGAAGGCCTAAGTAACCTTCGAGAGCATCTCCTTCAACTGGAATGTCACACAAAGGGACTCCCTATTCCGCGCTAGCCTGAAGCAGGCAATGAAGGTGAATGCGTCTAAACGACCCAATGTGCTCTTTATCAATGTCTGAATGCGGTTGTTGGATCTTCTTGATGCGCCCGTCACTCCAAAGCAATGTGTGTGCCGGTCTTTGTTGCGCCCAGTTCGTGGTAAGCTTTATTTATTTCCTTCTTGTTCAGTCTCGCGGTTCTCTTTTGCCCCTTTCTTCATTCCTGAAGCACTCCGCAAAATGGCGCCCAGAAGGCAAATCAAGAAGTTGAATCTACGACCCTCTAAACGCCTGGAAACTGTCTCGCCCAGAGTAGAAAAGAAGAACAACCCTGCATTCTCACGCCCGATAGCAAGGACGAGCACTATCATATACCGTGATGGCATATCGGAAATTCACACTTACCAGACAAATGGAGCCAGCGACACCACGGCTTCTATACGCCTCTCAGCCGAGACGCCTCAAGATGGTATTTTGGAAAGGTTGAGCCACGATGCCCCGAGCGATGTCTCCGATCAACGTACTCTGACAGGTCCGGAGTGGATTCTAAACTTGCCTCCAGTCAGAGAGCACAGCACTCCTGAGGATGCCTGTGATTTCCTCGACGCCGTGATCGACTATTTCAGACAATGGTTATCTCATGACCGACTTGTCGGCCCAGCCAGCTTTTTCGAAGATCTGAGTGTGATCATTGATCGGATGGAGAATTTTTCATGCTTGCCGCTGCATGTCAGATCATCTAACATCGTCTCTCGGCGTCTCGTCACGTGCGAGAACATGTACGATCGTTTTACCTCCGTGTGGGCTAAAGCTGCTCGTCGAGAATTGTCTAATAAGCTCTCGACATTGAACACTTCGGTCAGTGGTTCAATTGACCTTCTCAAAGAGTCAAGTTTCACGACACTCTTGTCAGATATCCGAGCCATTTCGGAACGGCCTGCTTTCGGACCGCGGGCAGAATCTGGGGGAAACATGCCGGCCCTGTTATCTCGAGACGATGCCAGAGACGCGACATTACTCTGTGAGGAGTTACACCATCGCTTCCAGAACATCACTTACACAACCGAGCCCAAGCTTTTGTGGTTGCTTGTTTGGAAGAGCCTCAAAACAGCGTACATGGCCTACCACGAAAAGGGATCTAGGGCATTTCCGCCCAACTCGTTTGTGGACCTCTCATTCTTCAAGGACACCAGGGTGGAGGATAGGTTTCGACGTTTGATAAATACACCCGATGCAGCCAACCCGAGGAAAATTGAGGACATGGTGGGACGATATTGTCGCTACATTGCCGATTGCCGTGCGAAGCCGGACAACGAGACTTCACATTTGCGTCAGCTACGCGATTATCCACTGAAAATTCATGTCCTGGCTTCTCTCAAGAAATTCATCGAGACGGGAGGAGTCGAGACCAGTACTCTCTCGAAACTGCATTTCGCAGTAATTCGGCTGAATGCTATAACCGCCGGTCCCAAAATCTTGAGAAGATGGAATGAAGATGCGCCTAGCCAAGGTTGGGAAGCCTGTGCTTTTCAGTCTGAGTCTCCGCCTGTAGGAACCTCGTCTACCCGGTCAGGACTTCGTTTCCTCGAGCAGCCGGCTCCGGTCTCAAGCAACAGATCTGAAAAAAGGCTAGAGAAGGCAAGTCAAGCATTGAATCTTTCCGGGCAAGAATCTCGGGGTTCATTTCCACACCCCGAAGGCATCAATAGGAAGAGTGCTTTCGACCATGTTTGGTATCCGTTTCCAGAGACGCGAGCCCATGAAGTGGCTCAGAATGAGCAGATCACCAGAGAAATGGCAGAACCAGGGGTCCATTCAGATGGGCCACGAGCGGCATTTCTGGTCAATCGGCCACCACGACACGCCCGAAATCCAGCAGATATTACAAGGTTCACGTCAAAGCGGAGAATCGGCCTCCTCGGCTGGATAGGGCTAATCCTTCAAAAACATGCTTCCCAGCGTCGCCGCCAAAAAGTTGCGAACACAGGGGCACTTGGCCTTCCGATGTCAGAGGATCAACAAAAACCATCATCTCCAAAGGCAAAGCCCGCTATTATGGACTCGAATGCAAGAATTCATAAAGGCGCAACACCGGCATCAGCTCCCAAACTCCGAGGCGGTGGCGGTATGGCCCGGGATCCCTTCCGGAAGCCTCTGCAACCGAGAGCTGTACCGTCTGGTCGTACACGCATGGACCGAGAGCAGTTCCGAAGAGAACATATTGAGCGCTTTAAAGATACGTTATGCGACCAAGGCGACAATCGAGATGAGGTAGACGATCTTGAAGATGAGGACATTCTACACTTTCTGGAACAAGTCGCGTATGATCTTGACCTTGCTGTAGAGTTATACAGACAACAAAGGGTTGATCATGCTGGTATGCATGGCCCCTCTCAATCAGACAGACAGAACAGCAATGCGGCAGCAACTTCTCGGCCTCAGCGGCAACCACTCGGTGAACTTCGAGGAATGCTTGAAGCTTCTGAAGGGAGCCAAAGCAACGAAAGCATTGAGAACGAGACCAGGGGCGCTGGGTCGAACCAGGAGAACCGTGCACCGACGCCGGCGGGTTCTTCGGCGAGTCACGTCGTCGATGGGCCTTGCCATCCATGCCCGCAGTATCCAGGTGAATACCACCACAATTGTCGATGTCGGTTCGATATCACGGGATCAGACCACGCAGAGGACCATGCTGAACAGGAAGAAGCTCAGGACAAGGATGGTCGCAGACCGCATCGCCGCAGACCACACCAGAGACGAGAGCAGCCCCATCCAGATGATGCGAGGTTGATGCGCAGCTTGTTTCCCCCGGGAAATGAGCTCTACCATGAGCTAACTGAAGCTGGAAAGATAATCAAGCAGCTTGAAGTTCTCTTTAACAATGAGAATCTATCGCTATGGGTAACGGAAGAAGATGCAAGATTCGACGTCAAAAACTTGCTTTCAAAACTTCGAAACCAGACGAGCAGCATTAGAGAGTCATACATAGCTGGTCTTAACAAAAGAGTGCCAGTGTTTGTGGAAGAAGTCCCCCCGACCGAGAAGTTGCGACGCAATCCAGACTTGCCATCAACGCCGAACCTTTGTCGAAGAAGTTTCTTCGAGTTAAAACTTCAGCAGAAACGCCTTGACGACATGATGGATGTGGGCCGATACTATGCAAACCTAGGATTCCGTCACGTTTTATGCCGTTACATTCGTTCCCTTCGAGAGTTGTCACAGCTCTTTGGTGAATACCATCGAAGTTTCTACGAGCATGACGTGTCGGCCGAGTACACCACAGACAGTGAGTCGACTCTCTCCGATGACGAAAGGCAAAGACTGGCCGAGTACCGCCCACCTAGCCCCCGAACTTTGCCCACGCGGGAAGAGTACGAAATGATGTTTAAAGACGAACTGGAGCGAGAGTTGCGTGACGTACGGGGCTTCAGGGACTTGCCCAAACGCTATGGAAAGAGCTACCTCATTGATCGGCTGATGGAGCTCGATCAGCGAGGAAAGTACGGTGCTGGGGCACGCAACGGTTACAGAAACCTTGAAAATAATAGAGCAGCCAAAGCAAGACCGAGAGGATACGACCTCGAAGCCGCCATCGCGGCGGTGGAGAGGAAGATACGGGACAAGAAGGAGAATGATCGGAATCAAAACAAGGCTGCAAGGTGGGAGAAGCGAAGGAAGCAGGGCCTGATCTCTTCGTCAGATAGTAGGCGTCCTTCTGTGCAATTTAGTCGATATTCCGAAGAGTCAAGTGACGAGTCTAGACGGGACTCGGAGGAAACGTCGACGACTTCGGAAGGAACGCCATGATGCTCACCCGGGGACTAGATGATCTAGTGGGCCTGAAGGAAGTTGTCGTGAAGGCGGAGGAGGGAGGAGAGGAAGCAATGCTGAAAATAGGCTCTTGGGGGTTGCGGCCTTTACATTTGGGTTCAAGATATGAAATCGCATTTACTATGTGCACTGTTTCCCTCGATACGAGTTTCAGATGTTCATGACACTATGGAGTATTAGCCGTATACGCTTTCATTATTGCTTTAAACGGAGTTATAGTGCTTCAGGGGCGAGGAGGAAGACACAGAACAGGCACCAACCATTCCGTCAGCATGTGCCACATGGTTGTAATACTCCACCGTCGCATCACCGGGCGGAGCGCCGCATACTCCTCCGTATTATTGGATGGCTTAGGGGCTTAGGAGGCTTAGCAAAACCTAATTTCATCCTTCGCCCCTTGAGTGGGCACATCAAACACAGCCTCACCTTAATTACGGGGAGACTCCGTCTGACTCTCCAGTAGTGCAACGCTCGAGAAGGAATTCGACACCAGGATTCCACGAATCCACATCTGTTCTGCTTGACTGGGCAGTGGGCAGTCACTGGGGGCCTTAGCCTAAGCCCTGTTGTTGTTTCTGATCGGGCCAGAAACCCACTCCCTCTCGCTCGTGTCCCCGTTGGGCAATGGAGTCTGGACTCTGGACATGGCCCAGCTTGAAACCTGGCGTCTCCATCTATACGGATACTAAGGAGTATTGCAGAAGCATCACATCGCTGACGTTGCAATCTGGTCGAGCAGGATGAAATGATTCAAGACTTGATTAATTAGGTGTTTTCTGACTCGGTGTTGTCTTAATTACAGTACGGAGTACTTCGTACGGATATTAATTACTGACCACCCCCTTCGTCACTACACCGTTCCTCACTGTCACTTCTTTGCGTCTCTACCTACGTACTTTTGTGCTTGCTCGTGTCACTCCTTGCCTCCAGCCCAAATACACAAAACAGTCAAGCAGTCAGCTCTACTCTACTCTACTCGAAACTCTCGTGTTCCCTCCCCTTCCCCTTTTCCCTCTCAGACCAGGACCAGGATCAAGACCAAGATCAAGACCAAGATCAAAATCAAACAAAGCCCAATCATGCGCTTCATCCATCTCATCTCTGCCATCGTGGCCACCGTCACCGCCGTATCTGCACAGGACCTCTCCTCCCTGCTCTCCGAAGCCTCGTCCCTCGCCGGCACCGACAGCGCATACCAATCCATTCTCTCGAGCGCCGCGTCGGCCCTGGCCAGCGCCACGAGCCAGCTGACCGGCTCCGATCTGGCCGCGTACTCGTCCTACCTGTCAGAATTGGACTCCGACCTCGCCGCCGCCACCAGCGCTGTAGGGAGTTTGACCAGCGAACCCTCCTCGGCTGCCGCTACGACGGGTGCGTTGGGTACTACTGCCAGCAACGCCGCCACCGCTGCCGCCACCACTGCCGCTACCGCTTCCGCCACAGCAACCGCCGCTGCCACCAGTGCCACCAACACCGACAGTGGCGTCGATCGTGTCGTTTTGCCCGCCATGGGTGCCGTCGGGGCCGTGATGCTAGGACTGGCTGCTATACTGTAAAGCAGAGGTGGCTTAGGCCCGCATCTTGAACCAAGATCTCGACAAGATCTCTCCTGGCAGTGGGAAAGAAAGTCCGGACGCTAGGAACGACACAGGGCAGGGGCGGATCATATCTGGGCATCGAAATCGAAATCGAAATCGAAATCCCACTGCATCATGTTCAAGGATCAAGGATCAGGGCCCTGCAAGGTCTGTCTCTGATATCGGGTACAAAACTGAAAATGCCGGGAAATGCTTGGATCACTGCCCATCAAAAACCGGTGAATTCGTGACCTTTCTAAACCGACTCTCACGAGCGGGCTTTTTGGAAGTCTTCTACAGAAGAAGAAAGCTTCCCACTAGGGAGATTTGTGTAGGAACACAAGCTCCAGAATCCGAGGATTCCAAAAAAAAATACATTTCTTTTTGCATGTCCTGTCTACAATATCTTCTTGTCCGTCGTTTTAACATGACTTCTCACTTCTACACGTAGACGAGTCATGCGAAATTAGATCTTTAGAGGCAATGGCAACTGCCATTATTGCATTATCCTAGCCTCTACTCTTGACTTTTAAGTATGATTCTCCTTTGACATGGGCATCTGATGCTTCCCACCGGGTGAAACCCCAACAAAGGAGTCACTATAGCATTGGCCACTTAAGCCTCATAAACGCCAATGCACGAAGCAAGGCAGACTGTATCCCATGGCTATGCAAGGCCAAGGCCCCAATGTGTAAGATAGATCCGTCTCCTCAACCCAAGGCAATCCACATCAAGCTGAGGGTAGGTGTGACCAGTGTCTGAGTATTCTTCGGCAAGTCATCAGTCCCATTAGCGAAGGGATAAGCATGGGACGGTGGCTTGCGCGGCTGGTTGGGCCAAGTCGAGTTGCAATCAGGATGCACAGGAGATAGGGCTTAGGAGGCCATTGCCTCAACATTCCAAGCTTGGACATGGGAGAGGCCGTTGCAGAGTCCAGAGAGTGCTATGTATTCGGGATGGCGTGGAAGATCAGAGATTTCCAAGCAGACCACAAGCTTTGGCGACTGGTCCAGCCTCATGCGGCGGCATTGCAACTGTTGATTGGGGGCTCGTTGAGATATGTGCTGATCTGCGCATCTCCCATGCATCGGCTTTGTCTCAGGAATGTGTGCCGTGCGCAGCTGGTGTGCGAGCAGCTGTATGTTTCGACGGCCGCAGAGTCGAGATGGCATGGCCCGGCCCACAGGCAATTCAATGCTCGGAATGCACCATATTTTCCACCAGTCCAGCACAGCGCGGGCCAAAGGGAAGGGCCATAACAAACAAATGTGGCCTCACCTGCCTGGCCTGCCACCTTCATTTACGCGCGCTTCGCTGCTCGAGTCCGACCATCTCTGAGATTTCTTTTCTTTACCGTCCCTCCTCACTTCAAGTCATTCCTTTAGTCTGGTGCCCCTTGTCTGAACGTCTTGTTTCCTCTCTCCTTAAGCAAAGAATCATTCGACAGCCTGAACAGTGTTGTTGACTATATTCAAGGAAGATTCCACATCATGCGTTCTCTCTCTATTCTCGCCATCGGCATCTCTGCCTACCGGGCCATGGCTCAAACCGCTACATTTGACGGCATGACCTGGGATCCCGTCACTGTAGGACAAGTCTGGCCGATTCATTGGACTGTTGGGGATGGTAGCCCTGTCGATCTGATCCTTGGAAATACGAGCTGGAATAGTGCCGTCTTCAGTGAGTACTCAGGACAGGCCCTTTTTTCAGAGAGTGCTGCTGCTGACGATTTTATAGCAGCCCAACCTGCAAATCCGCCCGAGTTCAACTGGACCGTGACTGTCCCCGATGGATTCGTCGCCGGAAACTATGGCTTGGTCCTGATCCAAAGCGATGGCATGGATTATTCGCCCTTGTTCAGCATTGCCTTTTCAGCTGCCGCTTCGTCAACCACGCCCTCAGCAATGCCATCGACCACACCGGCACCTACACCAATGCCGAATGCAACTCTTGTCTCGGCAAGTGCAGAGCCCACTGTGACCGTCACGTACTGGGACCACGAATGCGGATGCACCAAGACTTCTGCGGTCTCTGCAGCGACCGCCACCAACCTGCCCGGCACTCAGTATACCTGGTGGGACGATTCTTGCGGATGCACCAAGACCGCCATGGCACCAGTTCCAACAGTAGCTCCCGGCTGCAATGGGAGCGGGTCTGGCTGCTCCAACTATACAGCTCCGGCCGCTGGAACAAACGTGCCACCTGCTCCCCCGTCCTCTATGGCACCCGCAGCCTCAACTACCACGTCAACGCCGTATACAGGGCAGGCGAGCAGGCAGATGAGTTCTGGCGTTGCAATTGTGGGACTGTTTGTGGTTGCGGCGGCACTGCTTGCGTAACTCATTTGATGCTGTTCCGTTCCGTGGATTGGTGGTGCCGTCTTGAGGACCGGTTGTGGGGGCAGGTCGAAGAGCGAGGGTGGATGGGCCTTGGTTAGGATGTGTTGATTGCTGACTGTTGGATATACAAGGTGTTGCCTGTATGATCCGGGTGGATCTCGAATGAATGGGCAAATGTATGCATTTCTCGAATAGCTTTCTGGTCTCGTTCACAATTCATAACAAGTCGTAAACCGGATCTGTTTCCCCGTGGTTCGACTCCAATTTCAAGTAGGAAACGGTATCGCACACATAGAAACGCGTTTCATCTTTCGCCCTTGATCTTTGCAAAGGCGCCGACTTCTGAACTCGGTACGGAGAACGGGCTCTTGGGGCCGTCCGGTGATCGAGGGCTCAGAGCAACGGCGAAAAGGTCATCTTGAGGTGGATCCTTGGGTCTTTGAGTGAGAAAATCGAGGGACTGTGCTAGCGAGTCCCCTTGTTGTTTTTTAATATGCTCGGGTGGACCTTGAGCCACCACCTTCTTCACCAAGGCTGGCATAGGGTCGTTACGGAAAGCACTGAATGAGGAGTACGCCATGTCAGAAGTCTCCGGTGAAAGTGGATGGACCTCCTGGGTGGGCGTGTTAAGTCCACGGCCGGCCAGATCCTTCTCGCTGGTGCCGATGCTAAGGCCTTTCAACTTCTCACTGAGCCTTGTGCCAGAAGGAGACTTGGGACTTTGTATGCCAGGACTGATGGGGCCTGATTGTGACTTGGGAATGTTCCTCAGATCAAGAGGTGGGGGTTTGGACATCACACCCAAGTTGCTCTCAATCCAATGGCGTTCCGAGAGCGCCATTTCCAAAGCTACACCTTCTGGGTTATGTTTCTCTTCATGCTTGATCTCTTCCTCTAGAACTTGAAGCCTCTTCTTTGCCCATAACGTGTGGAGAACTCCCTTCTTGCCGCTGGCTTTTGCAGTCGCACCTAGCTCGGGAGTGAAGATAGCAGGGAGTGGATTGACGGTCATTCTCAGCGGAGTGGGCACTGTCCCTGGCGAATCGACAGGAGGATGATAGGCCAGAGTAATATGTGGAGGAACCATAGCACCGGGGGGGAGGAGGAAATATACTCGACGAATGTTGTCTGAGGGAGCGTCGTCTGCCGAAAAGACAGTGCGTTTGCCGGACCACGAGACCTGCCAGTTTCCGGATTTTCGGCGGGTGTGATCGTCGTCTTGCCACTCTACCATCATAACTTTCGTTCCTTCATTGCCTTTGCCGGGTTCAAACTCGAACCGAGCGAGAGCGGTGACTGACGAGAGGGTGTCAGGGAAGACGGGGGACTTGGGAGTCGCGAGGGATTCAGTTTCGGACATGACGAGGTGGAGATAGCAAGTCAACAAGTCAACACAGGCTTTCAAGAAATCGAATACGAGGACGTTCTAAGTAAGACAGACAGGCCTGCTGGGAAAGACAACAACAAGAGCGCAAATGGTATCAAAGGTCAGACATGAATGAATATCGCTGAGAACAAGGTGGGAAGAGACGAGTGTACAGATACGGCAGATTGCAGGACGTCCGGTCGGAGGACGGAGATAAATCTGAGCAAACCACAAGTCCGCCGTCAAGCATCAAGCGAGCGACGACTATTACTGCAATCCTCTGCAACCTGGCACTACAGCGTAAAAGTGGTCAAGTGATCAAGTGGTCAACGTTTCTTGATCAGCTGTTCAATCATGAGCAGGAGAGCCTGGTCAGCAATAGCAGGAACAAACCAAGTGTTCCCAACCCGCAAACAAGTACAATTCAGATCCTGCTCGCACTCCAGATTACCTTACGCTTTCTAGCCTTTCATTCGTATCCGTAAAATACTCGTCGTTGCAATTTTGGTCGTCACCCATTATGTCGCCCGTCGTGAGCATGAACTTCAGAAGCCAAAGGCGCCTAATGTGTCGATACCCAATCCCACCTCCTTGCCCACCACCGCGGCTAGTCCCCCAAATCCTTCCCTTTTCAGCCTTTCAATCAGTAAGAGGCTCTTCTCCCTTTTCTTCGCCTTGATCTGGCTCTCCAACTCTGCCACTTGGGACGCAAGCATCTTCCTGCTGTCATCGAGGTCCAATGCGATGAATTCTTCTTCATATTTCTTCAAGCTCCGCACTCGAGCTTCGAGTTCTGTGATTGACGCGTCAAGGGCGGCCGCGGGAGCCTTCGTATCACTCGGATCTCCAGACTTGGAGGAAGACGCAAGTGAAGCGGATCCTGGAGTGCTCAGACTGCCACTAGAACTAGGCTGCGGCAGAAATATACCGTTCGGTACGGTATGTCCGAGCATCGGCGGTAGCGTGTTGTTCTCGCTGTAATGGGCATTGGTGGAAAAGCGCCCTTGCGACGCCACTGTGGGTGCAAGCGTGGCCCTCCCAGGAGACCTGCTCACCCTGGAATGCCTCTCATCGACAGGGCTCACAATAAGGTCAGGCCCTTCAGTGAACCTTTTCAGACTGGGAAGCAGTGTCGGCAAATTTCCATGGATTCCCGCAAAGGGTGATTCTATCATGAGCTCCGAGCTATCTCTAGAGATGCCCAGTTTTCCATTGACCGAGAGGTCGGGCTCTGGAGTGGGCAACTCGATCTTCCTCATTGGGGTGGCAGGTGTAGGCTCAGCGGAGGAGGAGATGGCTCGTTTCTTGCCAGTGATTTGCGCCACTCCGTGTAAAGACGTCGTGCTTGTGGTGCCATTGGGATGGCTCTCACGGCGTCCTCTTTTTTGGTCAAATACGTTATCGGCAAAGCCCATCAACTTGCCCCTGGGATCGCACGCTTTGACCCTGCGTTTGCTGGCAGGCTTCTCGCTTCTCACGTATGCCGCGGCAAAGTGGCAGCAGCGACAGTTGCATGTTTCTTCGCACTTGGGGCAGACCCAGATGCCTTTTTGTCGTAGAACATCCGGTGGGTACTGGTCGAAATGCCGAAACAAGCCTCGATAACAGAAGAAGGCGGCGCACTTGTCGCATCGACGGCCCTTCCACTCCTGATGGTCGATGCGACACAGATGACACAGCCTGGTAATGGATGAGGTTTTAGACCGCATAAGTTCGTTAACTGCCGTGCCGAGAGTCTTGCGGCGGTCCAGTGCGCGTGGCTCTTCAGGCTGGAATCCGAGGATTTCTCGAGCACGATTGAGGACTCTGGTGCACTGCTCTGCTGGTACAAGCTCGGCCCAGGCATAAGACTGGAAATGCTCACAAGATCGGCCGTTCAGGTAGCAGAGCAAACAAAGGTCGAAATCTACGCATTGGGTGCATCGCACGTGTCGGTTCCATATGGCGGTGCTGCAGAAGTTACACGTTGCAATGGTACCAGGTTGGATCGGTACCAGGCTTATCGCGGTAGCCGGTTGCGGCTCGATAGACTCGTCGTGAACCATCTGTCGGAACAGCCGAGAGAGCAGGGGAAGATCTGGAGGTAGTGGCAGAGACGAATTTGTCACATTTTGATTGTCTTGCAGTAGGGACAGCATGGCGCAAGCAAGAGATAGATTGGTTCGGGCGACGTCAGGATGGCACAACCGGTTGAATGGGGCCTGCACATATTCAAACCCCACCTCAAGAGACAGCGGGTGAAGGATGTTCCAGACAAGCTTGGCCGACAGAGTCGACGGATTCCAGACTTGATGGGCGGTCGCGGGAGGGAAGACAACAAGATCGCCAAGTCGCTGGTCGTAGGCATAGAGGGGGAAGTCTGCCTTGAGGAGCTCTTCCGTCCCCAGGTTGAGCCAGTCCAGGTGAGGCGAGACACCCCGGGCGGACATAAAGGAATCGTACTTCTTCTGCGACGCGAAGTCTGTACCGATGCAGACGACCGGACGATCATCCGAGTCGATCAGGAGGTTCAGTGCAACTGTACTAGAGAAGCATCGATGGAATCCCGAGCTGCTGCCTTCGCTCCCGACATAGGCCATCATGACCTCGCTCCTCGCACACTGTGGTAGCCATTGAAACAGGTCCAAGCGGCCGCCCCATTGCACCTCGGTGGGCAGTAGTTTGCGACACTGTTCCAGCCATTCCTGGGGACACTGCAGGTCCCGGGCGTATAGATTCTGGAATTCTGGAAAGGACTGCCTTGCGCTGTCTGCAAACTTCTTGAGTGTAAATGAGAGATCTCGCCCCGTGCTGCAATTCCGAATGGGTATATTTTTCTTTGTGCTCAGCTCGATCAACCTCTCGATCCCGAAGCCGGGTTGACTCCCATCGCGAGGATCTGTGCTAGGCCAGGTGTCGAGTTTGTCGAAATCGGCAATGACAAAGGGTTGGCCGAGTTGTAGACGTTTAGTCAACCACTCGGAAAAGGTGAGGGGCTGGCCGTCGGGGTCCTTCTCTTCCTGCAGCGTGAGGATGCTGAATCTTGGAAACTCGACAAACGGTTTGCCTAGGCGAAGGAGCTGTTGAGCTGAACTGTCGGGCGGGACAGTCAAAGAAGGAGTCTGGGGGATCATGGCGCCGCTGATAGTAGCACAGCGCACATTGCGAGTGCCGTCAAGTCGAGTAAAAGGAGGGGACGACCGGAGAGAGGGTGGGACGCGAAACGAGAGGGAGAGGAGCACAGTAGGAGTCTTCGTCGAGATCTGCGGCTTGGAATCTGGGGAACGTGAGAAGGATGGGGACGGTGGCTTAGGGTTCCTCGGGTCTCTCTCCCAGCCTAAGCCGGCCTGGCGCGCGCTCAGGTGGAACCTGGGAGCGGCCTAAGGAGTGTAAGGGCCTTTGAGGGGGTGAAGAGAAAGACAGCAGATCAGAGGCTTGAGATACAGTATGGGGAAAAGCCACCTGCAGCAAATTCACTACGTACCTTGTAACGCTGCCGCTGGCTATTACTACTAACAAAGCCGAGCCTTAGGCCTCTCACAGGTAGTCCTGTTTACAGTATCTCAGCTTAGGGGCTCCTAAGCCTCAGCCTTAGGAGCCTTACTCCCCGCTCTTTAGGCCTAAGGAGCCTAAGGGCCCCTTAGCCTTTGAAAACTCACATGCTGAGGCGGGGGGTGCCTGACTTTCTAATGGCTCAGTTATCGTTTTTATGTACATACATACTGCTGTACTCCGTACAATAGATGCCTCTCGTTTTTAAATCCAACAGATCCCGGCAGAAGAGCAGCCGCTCCAGTCTGATGCCTAGCTGTTCCAGCATTTAGCTACATTCGGGCCCAGTTCGTTGAAGCCTACCCTCCACGGAGGTGTTGTCAAACCCGCCTCTGATGTCCTCATGACCAGTCGGTTACCGTCCCCTTCACACAAGTCGTGCCATCGTTGCTGACCACTGTCACTTCCGCTTCCACTGCGTCGACGGCATCCGCGTTCATCATGACTCGATATGGTTCTCTTGCGTATACCGGACTAGTAGCTCGGTAGGTGATCTTCTGAGGGTACACAACATCATCCCGAGCTGTACCGACTCCCTGGTTGACAGTCTCATCGCGCCACAGGTCCAGCATGGCAAGCAGATTCATTGGTCCGTGGACAACCACACCCCGATGTCCTTCCACTTCGGTCGCCCACGGCTTGTCGTAGTGAATTCGATGGGCGTTGAACGTCAGGGCTGAGAAGCGGAATAGCGTCGCCTCGCTGCGACTGTATTCCCGTACGATCTTGCCTTTGGCTGCTTCCTCAAGTTCCGCCTGAGACAATTCGGGCGGTCTGGGCACAACAGGGACTGGCTTGGAGGCGTCAAAGGCTGCCCTGAACACCCAACTTCGTTGGTCTAGCACGCAAAGCTCGTCCTTGCTGTTCCTAAACTCCTTTTCAATTCCCACCACCAGCATACTCTCGCCAGTTTTGCGAATGATCTTTGGCTCGCAGCTTAACACCTTAGTCACCTCTGTGACAGTGTCGCCCACCCTCAACAGGGCCTGCCGGCTGCTATTGGGATCAGCTCCTGGCCAATGACACGACCCCCCGGCCCACATGCGTCGGGTAAATGGAGAGTCTGGGTTAAACGATGCATCTGTGCCGTCTTGTCCTAAGATTCCGGGCAATTGGGCAGGTGTAAAGTAGATAAGGTGGTATCCGGCAGGGATTGGCGTGCCAGGAAGAGGCTCTGTCTCCTCTAGAGTTTTGGATAGCAGGGCCGAGCGAGGCCATATGTGTGGTCGATCCAGTGTGAGGGAAAAGAGTCGCAGCTGATTGGCATCCAGGAGCTGTTTGCGGACGAAAGTCTGCCCCTTAGAGAACTTGTCTAGAAAAGCCTCTGCTACCGATTGAGCGTCGGCGGAGGACAGACCTTTGGGCGAGGATGAGAAACTCCGGCTGGTGGCTAGCCCAAGACTGGCGATGCTCCTAGAGTCTCGACAACGAGGCCACCTCTTGACCAGGGTAGTCATTGTGGCACGGTACTGAATAACTGGTGAAGTAGGCTTGGAACATGTATGGCGTAAGCCGAATCGATATTATCTCGACCTTGCAATATACATGCGCCCGCAGTGCAAGCCTTCTCACCGGAAAGGGGAGGTCGAGAGAGTATACGGATATATCTGGGTGGTGTCCACCGAGGACTACGTCTGCTCCGAGTTCCCCGCAAACAGCCGACCTCCGAGATCGGGGTCGTGTGTTCATACCCTCCCTTCCGAGAAAGCTCGTTCCGAGATGAGCCTCCGTGAAAAGACCTTGCCGCCAATACCCGGTCGCTGGACTACTTGCTATGCAATTCCAGCTAAAGGAGAAAACAGAGTCAAAGGCTCTTGGGCTAGTCTATTAGATATATGCCAAGTCGAACTGTTGCCCATGAGACGGCTGCCTATATATGTAGTTGTACTCCCCAGATGCAATGCGCAAATAACCCATCCGACGATTGTGCTTCAGAACACCACCAGTCATCGGCCTAGCTATCTCTTCTCCACAAGGAGGAAATGCATCGCCACATATGCAATAATGATAAAGGCACCGCCAAACACCGCCAGTCCAATCACGTCCGGCCACAAGGCCAGATTGTCAAATCCGAAAGCACTGAGAATGCTGGCTCCTGGAACCTCAATGTCAAGTCCGTACCGGTGATCTTTCAGGCGCAGTTTAGCAACCTCGTTGACAATCAATGCTTCGTAGCCATAGTGAAATATCGATAGCTATGCCCTCGGTTAGTACAAATGACATGCAGCCGACAGAGAAGAAGTTTTTCACCTTTTGCAACCAGTGGGCCGCCGTCTGCGTAGAGTCATGGTTGAGATTGAGCAAGAGACCTGCGAACAACAAGCTGAACAGCATCACCAAGCTACCAATCAGATTGGCGACCGCCCCGTCTCTGAATATAATTCCAATCGTCAAGCAAATGGCCGCCGCGGCAAGATTGAACAGCACCAATATCAAAATGAACGTGAAGAACGTGCCCCACTGTGGCAGCAGGCCTACCATTGGGTAGACGATCATCCCCATGATTATCGGCGGGAGCAGCCTCAGTGGGACGATGTCGAATACAACCTTGGCCGCAAAATATGTGACTGGCGCATAATAGCCATTTGCCCTTTCTCGGACAAAAATCAGCCTCTCGGAGCTGAAGGTATTCAAACTAGTGAGCGTGCTGAAGCCGAAGAGTGCGAGCAGGAAAAAGAATAGACCCAGTCTGTTCTGGAACCCGCCGATATCGTCTGTCACGCCATAAAAGAGCCAGCCTGATAGAACAGCTAGCAGAATGGCAACAGCATAATGTGTCAGCATAAGGATGGGATTGCGGTAGAGGTTTCGCCATGTCCGTTGTGAGAGAATCAGGAATTGTCTGGGAAGGCTGACGCGCCGATAGCCTTTAATTGAACCTGTAACAGCTTCGGTGGTACTGCCCTCCACGCCGTGACCGTTCGCTGAAGATGCCGCCTGGATGGAAGCAGCAATTTCGTCGTGGATGGTTTGAGCTACATCCGAGTTCTTGAAGCTCGAGACGAGCATGTCTAAGTCGGTGTTAGCATCTGGTGGCAAATCGTCCGGATCTTCCAACAGCGGTGGTGGATTCGATCCGTCCCGTCTGGCCAGCTGCAACCAGCTCCGTGCGCTCCCAGTGGCTTTGTTGAATAAGGTGTCCTCATCATCAGTCTTTGGCGTCGGCGGAGTATCATCTCCGCTCTTCCTGCGAGTAAATAGCTGGCGGTCCTGCTTTTGTTTCAATGAAAGTCGCCGCTTCGGTTTAGCGCGAAGTGATGGATCGCTGGGACTCTCTACGCTGACATTAGACGCACTGGCAATGGATTTGACCGCTCTTGTACTGCTTGATTCTGTCCGTAAACCGTCGCGCTCCGGGAACTCTCTTGGAACATCGTCGAATATAGGCGAACGTGGAAGGCTTGCATGCATGGTGAGATCCACCAAATAATCAGCAATGTTGAATCCGGGTGGACAGGAATATCCAATATGGTCAAAATATGCTTGACAACTTGAGAATGGACCAGAGTAGACAGTTTCGCCTTTGGCGAGAAGAATGAGTTGATCGAAAAGTGCGACAATGTTTGAGCGAGGCTGATGGATTGTGAAGATAACAGTGCGGTTGTATGTCTTGGCCAAGGTGACCAGACACTCAACCACATTGAAAGCGTTGAATGCGTCGAGCCCACTAGTCGGTTCATCCAGAAAGAGAATACTCGGGCTCGTCACAAGTTCACAAGCAATGCCAACCCGTCGTTTCTCACCACCTGAGATGCCTCGGCCGTTGCCTTCTTCCGACCCAATCATTTGGTCTTTGATGTGATGGATACCAAGCTGCTGCATCACTTCTATGACCCTTTGCTCTTTGACCGAGAGACCCATGTCAGCAGGGAGTCTCAAAAGAGCGCTTGTAAGGATGGTCTCATGAACTGTCAGGGTCGGCAGTAGAGTATCTTCTTGGTCGACGTAGCCAATGACGTTGCGATATTCTCCATCAAGGATGTTTTCACCATTCACATACATGTGCCCAGAGACGATTCCCCGTTTGTTCTTGCGGGCTAAGATGTCCAAAAACGTAGATTTGCCTGCTCCGGAGGCACCCATTATCGCTGTGATCTGCCCAGGATGAGCGATGCCTGATATGCCCGAGATGATCTCTTTGCCTTTGAGGTTATAAGAGACACTCTCAAATTGTAGGGCCATCGGGATATTGTTAATCAAGGCTTTAGCAGCGTCATCCTCTGCGCCCTCGCCCAGCCGGATGGCACCCCATTTCTTGTATGCGGCTCTCCGAGAGAGATACCATGCGATCAGGGAAATGGCAACAACCAAGAGAGCACATCCCGCAATGACTCCTGCAATGAGAGGCGTGTTGATCTCCTTGATGGGTCGGGTGTATCCAGGCACCTCGGTTTCGTACAGGCATTCCCCCGCGCGACATTGAAGAGATATGTATTCATCGCCGAAGATCATTGAGATTAAGTTGTTCATGGCTGGTTCTTCGAACCTGCTGCCATCCTTAGAACTTCCACCGTAGGTGTTCTGCGTGTAGAAAGACGCAGGGCCTTTGATCTCCTCGGCAAGAAATTCGTCGATGTTCACAGAGCCATCCTCACCACACAAAAATCGATCCTCTATGCAGGAGCATTTTATGTTTTCGCATTGGTATTTTGTTGAGTTGCGGACATTGGTGCTCTTTGCCTCCGACGTGCAGTTGTCCAAGGCGCAATAGAAAGATTCTTTTTGATCAACCCAGAACTGAAAATTGCAGGTTGCGTGCTCGGCGTTGCAGGAGAAGGTGACCTCTGGCAGTCTAGGGTCAATTTGATCCAAGATTGCTTTATTCGTAACGTTGCAGACCTGGTACATCTCATGTACGGCCAGGCCGTCCCGATAGCATCGCCCACCCTCGCCCAGGGGCATCATAGCATTACAAGCATTGTCAGAGGCGCAGACATTGCAGTTGATACCCTCCCATCCATCTTTGCACTCACACCGGTCGCCTTTCCGTGGAGATCTGTTTTTTCCATCTGCTAGAGATCCGCACAACGGCAGAGAGCAGTCGTCACCACCAAAGCCAGGAGGACAGACACATTTTCCGTTTGCGCTGCCGCAGTCCGCAAACTGTTGGCACTGGAACTCGTCATAGTGGCAATCGAAGCACCGAGGGCAAGGAGGGCAACCGTCGGTAAGCTCGTAGAAAGGGTCTCGCATTAGTGATGATGAGGTCTCGTTGAGATAAGCCGTCGCCGCCGCTAGCAATGCCGAGCCGACAATGAGAACGGCTGGGGGGAAGCCATGAAGGCGCATTGAGGGAGGCCGGTCTGGTTCTGTGCGTCCAGAGCCGTCAGTTGCTGTAGCTGGTGCCTACAAGTGGTAGGGTAGCTCGCCCACAAGCTATGATGGGAGGGCGAACAGGGGACAAGTCGAGGTAGACCTGAAGTGAAAGGACACAAATGTGTCGGCGATTGCACTTGAAGCAAGGCGGAACAGAAATCACACCATAGCAGACCAAACCTAGGAGAAGTATCGAAGTCAACAATAATGTCGTAGCAAAGAGATGCGCAAGCTGCAGGCGCAGGCACATGCGCAGGCGGGGGTTGGTTTATCCCGAGACCGGGCTGGATCAAGCTATGGCATAGACATCGCATCTGATACGGTCCAAATATCCGTACTCCATACTAATTACTACGTAGGTACCTACCTAGGAGCGGTTGCTTAGTACCACTCGGCACATGGCCCATCTATCCTACGTTGCAAGTTGAAGCTGATACGAGATACGAGCTGCCAGTTCCAGCGCACCTTCGCCTGTGGGGAAGTTCTTGTTGCCTCCGCACGATGGTGGGCTTTGATCCAGTATCAATGATTCTGGAAGGGAAAAGAATATTTGACCCGTCAACCCGACATTATAGGTCTGCAAAACTTCTATACATGTTGACACCGGCACTATTAACAAGAAGGACTTGGTATATGTGCCACAATGCCTAAATCAGCGCCGCTGGAGGTGATCGAGGTAAGGTCTACCGAGTTCAACAATTCTTAGGCTAATGGAATTCTGGACAGTGGTATGAGAAGCACTGCCCATCTGCCAAATATGACCTGGTAGCGTCAAGTGTCTCAGCCATCTCACTCGCCGACCTCCTCGATATTTCTGAGAGCAGGAAAGAATCGGAAGATAACGTTGGCCTGAACAGCATAAAACTCGACGAGAAGGAGCATTCTGCAGGCAGTGTCGAGTTCCGCAGAAATTTGGCTGCTTTGTACTCGGCTCTTTCTGGAGGGGTTTCACAGGATGACATTGTGATCACGAATGGCGGATCCGCTTCACATTATACGGTGTTCTATTCTTTGCTGGCGCCTGGAGACCACCTCATCTGCCAACACCCCGTGGATGAACTGCTCTACAAGATTCCCGCCTCTCAAGGCGTCGAGGTTACATTATGGGAAACCGAACCAGCAAAGAAGTGGCAGCTTGATATTGAGGAGTTGAAGCGACTAATCAAGGACAACACCAAGATGATTGTAATTCAAAGCCCATGTGACCCCACAGGGGCAATCGTCCCCAGACCAACGCTTGAAGCTCTTGTGCAGGTGGCGGAAGAGAAAGGTATCTTGCTCCTAGCCGATGAGACCTTCAGACCTCTCTTTCATTCCATTCTACCATCCAGCGAAGACTTCCCTCCGTCGACAATCAACATGGGCTATAGGAAAGCCGTAGTAATCGGCGCAGTGAGCAAGGCGTACAGTCTCGCAGCAATCCGGGCTGGATGGATCGCCTCCAAGGACAAAGCTATCATCGACGCTTGCAAGCAAACAAGGCGCTACACCTCAATGTCAGCATCAAAACTTGACGACGCCGTTGCGGTGGAGGCTGTAAGCGATAGATGCATCCATGCGCTACTAGGCAGAAATATCAGATTGACACAGACAAACCTAGAACTACTTCAAGAGTTCATCGACAGTCACAGCTGGGCCTGTTCCTGGGTCAGACCGCTCGCGGGAACAACAGCACTGCTCAAATTTCACAAAATGGGGAAACCTGTTGATGACGAAACCTTCTGTTCGAAACTCCTTGAGCAAGCGAGTCTTCTCATTTGTCCCGCGAGAAAATGTTTCGGCGAGAGCCGGAAACTTCGAGGATATGTGAGAGTCGCTTTCGGCGGATCCACACCTGAGCTGAAGGCTGCGCTTGAAGCCTGGAGCCAGTTCATGGAAGAGAGTTATGAATCAGTCCCAACGCTAGCGATCCAAAACTGAGTTGCTGCAGATGGCCCGAACATGTTGCGTGACTGGAGTCTGCGCGCGCCTGATGTGGCCGACCATCTGAGTCAGGCGTTCAAGTATTTAGAGAGAATAAAAGAATATGATCCTTCCAAGCTTTTGTGATCAGAGATGCCTTCATCGCGTCCGTCGATGTAACAAGGAGGTTGTGCCGAACGCAGATATCATTGTCTCAAATCCCATCAACCAACAGGCCACTTAAGCTCCGAGGAGAGAGCTTGCAGGTTTCCGGGCAGAGACGTATCATACGGTACACGCTAGGCTTTCATCATCTGATGCGGAGGTCAGCAGAATTCGCACTGGAGGTAAAGCATAGGACTCACTTGTTCAAAACTTGGAAGGATGAAGGAAGGAAAACAAAGTGGGAGCACCTGCAGAAATTTATATATGGATGGAAATCGGAGGTCCGCGTCAAACCCCCGATGCAGCTTGCGCTTCTCCAAAAAAAAAGCCCAGTTGCGCGGAGACGTCGCCTACTAGGTTTGAGCATCGTTGCCCATGTCAGTTCGCGCAGCTTCAATTCTGAGGGTTCGCTGAAAAGATGACTCTCCATGTGCCTGCTGCGCGAATACATCGTCTACGGGAAAGCTACATTGAGATTTCAAAATATGTCCGCTCCCAACTACCTATCCACCAGCCTGGACCAAGGAATGTCCCTGCGCGATCCTTTCTTTGCAAGCGATATGCAAGTACGAATCTACCGAAAGACATAAAGGAATCGAGCATAGATGCTACGGATTGGCGTAGAAATCACACAAAGGATCTTGAAGCTAACCGAGGCGCAATTTTGTCGAAGGAACAACATGAATGTCTGGAGCGGTTTGAGCGAAGCAGTAGGAGATCCCACATCCTCAAGCTTATAGCGTGACTGACTGACGATGTAGGTCTCACTCCTACCGTCTCAACCACGTGGGAAAGCCTTCTGAAGACGAAACTAGGTGCTGGCGCTTCCACGAATGGTTTTAGTGGAGAACGTATCGCAGTCTTGGGCTATATTACCTCACAACGATCTGCGAAACAGTGCGAGTTCTTTCAACTCGTCGATCCACGTTTAGAGCTTGCAATCCAAGTCGTCCTCCCTACCACAACCTCGAACACACCCAAGATCGTCTTGTCTGAGGACAGCCCCGAGTCTGCTTCTCAAAGGTCGAACAAATCCGCACCCGGCGATGCTTCAGACAAGAAGGTCAAGATTTCCAAAGGTCTCCAAGGCCACACTCCCGTTCAAGTAATCGGTTCCCTTGTCGGGCGAAGAGCGCCTCCCAAACAGGCCAACGGCCCTAACCGAGCAGCAGTGTCCCTGGAAGGACCTGAGGCACAAGAGAAGAGTGAACAATATACCGTTCAAAAGCTCGATCCTCTTGTTGGCTTGGTCGACCTGATTTCGCACGTGGAGATACGCGCAGATTCTATTACAGCGTTAAACGCCTTTCCCTCAGATACAATTGCAGCGTGTGATACGGTATTCCCACCAGAGATGCGCCACCTGCAATTTAGAACAGACCATGAACTCCGCCGCCGCATACGGTTACGGTCAGTGATAGCTGCAAACATACGTCAGCACATGCAGACCTTAGGCTTCGATGAGATTGAAACACCTTTACTGTTCAAGTCTACCCCGGAAGGGGCCCGAGAATTCATAGTGCCAACCAGGAAAAAAGGAATGGCATACGCGCTTCCACAAAGTCCGCAGCAATATAAACAGGTACTCATGGCATCTGGAATACCAAAGTACTTCCAATTTGCCAGATGTTTTCGGGATGAAGATCTCAGAGCAGATAGGCAACCAGAGTTCACTCAGGTAAGACTCGTTCTACAGAAATGCCCTCATGATTGGTCACTGATTCAATCGTCTCTAGCTCGATCTAGAAATGTCATTCGCTGGGGCCACACAGGTCATGAGGACTGTGGAAGATATCATCTTGAAGGCTGTGTGGCCAAGCGTACCAGATATCTCTACCTTACAGAAAGCCATATCAGAGGACAACGCTGTGATATCGACCAGTGGCCTGGAACAGGGCGATTTGGCCTTTCCACAACTGACATACAATGAGGTTATGGCTCGCTATGGCTCGGACAAGCCTGACACGCGGTTTGGCTCAGAGATTTGTCGAATTGACGATTGGCTGCCGCCCAATGTCAAGGGAATGCTTACCTCCCTAGATGATCCGATCGTGGAAATGATCAAGATTGACATGCGTGGATGTAGTCCGTCCGAGAGCGGTCAATTTATCACGTCTTTCCTGGACGCATCCTCCGCGTCAGTTTACGTGAACAACCCAGATGGGATACCTGGTGTGTCTGTCTATGATCAGGGTAAGCCGTTGAGCGGACTTGCTAGCTTTGGCCACGACGGGGCATCGAGGGTCGAAGAACACTTTCAACCCGAGCCGGGAGACATCTTCATTATGCAAGCTCGCGCCCGCAGACCATTTAGCGGTGGTTCAACAGTTCTAGGTAATCTACGTCGAGATATCTATCAAAGCGCAATCTCTCAAGGTCTGACACCTGCACCGACCGGATTTTCGGCTCTTTGGGTTACCGACTTTCCACTTTTTTCGCCCACAGAACAATCTGAGCCAGGACAGGGCGGACTGGCGGGAATATGCTCAACTCACCACCCTTTCACGGCTCCTAAGCCGGGTCAAGACTTGTCACTGTTACTGTCAGATCCATTGGCCGTTATTGGGGATCACTATGATCTAGTTATCAATGGGGTGGAAATCGGTGGTGGCTCCCGGCGTATCCACATTACGGAAATGCAAGAGCTCATCTTCAGAGATGTCCTAGCAATGAGGCCGGAGCGTCTGGAAGATTTCAGGCATCTCCTAAATGCCTTGAGGAGTGGATGTCCTCCCCACGCAGGTTTTGCGCTCGGCTTCGATCGATTGGTGGCGATCCTAACGGACAGAGCCAGTGTCCGGGATGTCATTGCCTTCCCAAAGCACACTGATGGCCAAGATCGTTTTGTCGGCTCGCCTTCTGAGCTGACAGAAGACCAACTTGCGACCTATCACCTTGCTGTTGTAGACAGCACTGTTGGCGACGTCCGTCCCCCCATCTCACTCAAGGCGTAGGATGGAGCAGATTCTGGAGCCTCGAGAATACTGGGCATAGTTGGACTCTTCATTCAAAATATATTTTTTGTGTAGGTCTAGGGCATAAAGGCGAAGTCCACAATTTCTCTTGCCTACACCGTACTCCTAATTCTTGGTCTGGGCCTGAGCGCTCATTCCTACGACAGTAAGCACGCAGTTGTTCGTCTCAACAACCAAAACTGCTCCGAGGCTGAATCCCCTGAATCTGCCGAATCTGAATCTGAATCGCTGGCCAGTGCCAAGACGAGCTGCGTCACGTGCTCCCGACTTCCTCCGTCCAGCACGTCCTAACTCCGTGTAATTTTGTCCCGGGTATGTTATGATCCTCTTTCTTGTTGTCATTGTTGTCCCGTTGTCCTTTACGCCACTCTGGCCTGACGGCTAAAACTCTCGAGTCTAATAATTGCAAGGAAGTGGTATTTGTTCCCAAACCAAGGACACTGCCAACGAGCGATTCTTTCTTCATCTTCGACCCCCTGACCACAACACTCCTACACCTAACCATGGACCAAATCCAGCAACTTGTCCTCAATCCACTCAAGCCGTACCTGGTACCCATCACCACAAACCTCCCCGACCAGGTCAACGATGTGATCATCGGCCTCCTAGGTGAGCGCTGCCACAGCGCGCTCCTGCTCGACGTCGACGTCATCTCTCACCCGGAATGCATGTCGCTGGCGATTTCCAAGGCATTGGGGATCGCCATCATCACTGCGGCATCCATTGTCAAGGTGCCTCAGATCATCAAACTGGTCAAGTCGCAGTCAGCAGAGGGCCTGTCCTTCACGAGCTATCTGCTGGAAACAGCCAGCTTCGTCATCAGCCTGGCATACAACGTCCGCAACGGGTTCCCGTTCAGCACGTACGGCGAGACAAGCCTGATCGCCATTCAAGACGTGGTTATCAGCGTCTTGATCCTGGTGTACTCGCACAAGACGGCGCAGGCGGGCGCGTTTGTCGCGGCAGTGGGCAGTGCCGTCTATGCGCTCATGATCTCGGATACACTTGTCAGCGCCAGCCAGATGACCAGCTTGCAGGCGGGCGCAGGAGCACTCAGCATCGCCAGCAAAATCCCCCAAATTCTCACCATCTATCGCCAGGGTGGAACGGGCCAACTGTCGGCGTTTGCCGTCTTCAATTACCTTGTTGGAAGCTTGAGCCGGATCTACACTACTCTGCAAGAGGTGGATGACAAGCTCATCTTGTACGGGTTCGTGGCTGGGTTCGTTCTCAATGCGGTCCTGGCTGCGCAGGTGGTCTACTACTGGAATAGCCCGACAACCGCGGGACATGGAAAGGAGTTGGATAACAAGAAGGGTCTCCAGGGCGTGGGCCAGAAGGGAAATGCTGCATTGGCCACGGAAGAGAGCAAGTTGAAAGCTGATTCTGCGACGACGACGGCAAGACCAGGCAGCAGTAGCGGCCGCAGAAGGGGTTGAGATATCACAATTGCTTATTTCACGCTCCGTCCAGGGGACAGTTCCGTTCAAGTGCGCCTGAAAAAGAAAAAGACTCTCTGGCCAATAATCGATTCTTTCCTTTCCAATATTCAGACTTACAAATCGTGGACCTTGCATTTCCCTGTTCTACGATATTCCCGTAGATGAGGCCCACGTGATGGCTGTTTGTACAGAACCCTCCATACATACGGCGCCCCATGGCGAGCTTCTAACTAGGTTTAAGGGCGCCAGCGTATCCAGACCTGTCTATCACACATCATTACGAGGGTGAGAACTGCAATCGGGCTGCCAAGGTGCCATGACAGAGGCAGAGACAAACCTACGTATGTACTGCGTACCTTGCAGACCATGCAGGAATGCATGCGACCTGACGCAGCTTCTCCAGGAACCAGGGCGAGGTGGCGTGCTTTCAAGCCCGATCAGTCGCAGGCTGGGGAGCGTTGGGGACACCAGTCGAGAGTTCTGCAAGGAGGACAAGAATAGAAAATGGGTTCGCACCGACGGGCGTCAGGAGCCCATCTTGCATAGGGCAACGGACCAGTTGGGCCTGCAGCGGGACAGGTCGACGAAGCCGGGTCAACAATGAAGGAAGATGGAAGTTCAGGCTCTTCGTGTCCCAATGGAGCGTGGGACGTCGGGGACCTTGTCATTTCCCTGCAGGTGGTCGTTCAGAGCAGCCTGGCCTTCAACTTCCAAAGATTGTGATTTTGTTGTGTTTCGGGAGAGACTCTTGAAGGTTGACAGTGCTCCTAGCAAGACAAGACGTTGAACTTTGGTCCCGCCAGCAGAGCGGCTCGGACAAGATTTCGGGGCTGAAACAGATCAGTGTCTGTATCAGGGTCGCAAATTTCTGGTCGTGGAAATTGATGCAGAGGAAAGATAAGAACCATTGGGTCCTATGTGTAAACAAAGAGTCCGGTACCATGATTGCGGCATGGGTCTTGGGTCTAGACAAGCTCTGCAGTGACGGCGTCGACGATAACTCATGGTCCCCAAGGGCGACGACAAGGGAGGAGGCGGAGGTAATCAAATTGTCGTCAATACCGGACGTGGACAGTGCCCAGATCCAAATTTCAAAGATCATCGCGTCGATCGATATAGCACCGGCTTCGAAGAAACAAGCTTACCCTACGGGCACGGGGCACAGGCACGGGCAGTGATGATCCCCCGAGATCTGCTTGTGGAATATCTCTTCTCTGCCGCCGCGCTGTTTCGTGATGTCCAATACAGCTGGACGAGTCCACTGTCCACTGTATCTTGACATGCCAGGAGTCGGCTTGCCTTGAGACGGAAAAGCAGGGTCCAAGTTCTCGAGCAGCAGAGGCAGGAAATTTGGTCATCGTAACGCGAGATCTAGCCTCGTCTGTCAGATGCATGGGGGAGATTTCGGTGGACCCGAGTGTCGAGATGGCCCAGACAATGCTGGCGATGGATCAACATGCTCACGGTCGAAAGGAACGGATGGACGGTTACCAAGAGAAACTGCATACCTGCATTGCATACTAGTATTTGAAAAGAGGCACGGGCTACCGCCGTTGGTAGGAGCAATCATTCAAGCCTGTCCGTGCAGTGTCCGCACCTCGAGACGCGAACCCTCCAGCCGTCGGAGAGTCGAGAGGGTTGATGACTTCCAGACGAGTCCAAGATCTCCGCGATAAATCTTGCTCACTGCGGACGACGGACGTCGACCTGGTTTGGCATGAAATCAGAAAGGCTGTCGATTGTCGATTGTGCATGTCCCACTGAGGTGCTGATCTCCTCCTGGCCTGATGGGTGGGCGACCAGCCTGCTTTTATGGAGACATCATGGCTCCTTACGCCTGCCCATTGGTAACATTGCTGCCCGAGCTGGGGTGAAGGTTGGGGATGCAAGACACCCGACTCTTGAACGCTGTCGGCCTGCCAGGTCGAGGCCTCACGTTCGAGTCGTCGATGTCATCGAGAGTAAGGATGAAAAAGCAGGGGGAAGGAAGCCCTCTAAGCCCAGCACTGCAATTCCCGGTTCCAGTAAAGGCGGGGACAAGCAAAAGCTGATGGCGTGCATGACGGATCGAAACATCCCTGCTCTGCTGACCGTATCGGGAACCCGCGGACGACTCTTCCACGCGTTCAGTTCAGCTGCAATCACTTTGGCATGGCAAAATTTGCCTGCAATCTCAAGCCGAGTCGCGTGTCAATAGTCAGATCAATTGTGCTGCGCGTCTCGTGTGTTTGCACATGTGGCTATTAATTGAAGTGGCTCTGATATCTCCGACCACTTCCACCCTTCTGGGGACTTCTCTTGCATAAGCTCTGAAAAATACTGTTGGTGCTGTAGGCCCGGGGTGGAACTGGCCCGGTCTTCGTCTTGGGCTGATACCATTCTGTCCGTTATTGTACGGGGCCCTGGGGCTCTTCTCGCATCAGCTGGTGTGTATCCGTACCCTGTACTATGTATGTACATTGTATGTCATTAACCGTTGACATGCTCGAGCCCTAGCAAACCGAAAATCCAGTTGGCCAGGATAGCTACCTAGTACTGTGAATGCATACTCTAATATCTATACATTTAGATTGTACAATATCTTTCATCAACACAGGTCCTGCAACAGCAAGTGTACGGCCTTCTCACAGAGCCGGACGAGTTTGCTGTCGGCGACCGGCTTGTCGATCTAGTTTCGTGTCTCAGCTTCATCTCCGTCGAACGCGTTGTTAGAAAATTTTCTTCACTTTGGACTGCCTGGTCGCGTGCGTGGATCGATGTGTTGTTTACCAACCCATCCAGAGCCATTTTTCGTCCCATCGTCTGCACACGACTTATACTGTTGTTACTTAATGGTGACTGCAGGTGATGCTCTCCGGTTCAATGGTTCCATCTGACCGGCGGCCGTTTAGTATCATGCGTAGTGATGTCAAAGCAGAGGCAGTGGATCTCTTCGGATCACCAAGAGTAACGAAGACATCGTATTATGGACGGCCAGGTTACACGGGACATGTACGGTAACCGTTGTGTGGATGGAGGTATGGAGATATGGAGTATCTGTAGTGTACAGCAGGCAGTGTACAGTCACTCAGTGTACAGCGTATTGAGCCACCGGAAACTCAATGGTGGGTGACCGGCTCTGTACCAGATTTGTTTTATCTTGTCGGATGTTGATCGAAGGCAAACGGAACACCTTGGCTGATAGAACTGATACATGTCACAAGATGGAGGGACCCCGGCTATTGGCTTTGCTATGAGAGGCTGCGGCCGACGTGCTGTCGTTATGTATGTAAAATAAGATGAGCACGCCAGAAGCAGCAGCACCCGCGTGCAGATTGACAGAGCTTGGTGCCTGGACTCTGCTCACTAGGTACGGAGTCTCCGGACGGAGTATGTACCCGTACTGGCTGGGCCTCCCCTCCCAGCAGATTCGCTTGTAGAGTTGGAGCCATCGCAAAGAGGCTGGAGATAGTACTGTCCCATTTAGCTTAGGGGACACCACTACCCTAGATCAGATAGGGCAGATCTCTGGATCTCATCATGGTGCAGCCGAACACTGGCCACTGGCAGGGGGGCATTTGCCACGGCCAACCCCTGCGGATGCTGTTACAGTTGCACCCTTCTCAAGAGCGCCCATTGTTGATGCAACACAGCAGAGGGGTCATGGAGCACGGCGTCAGCGTCTGTGGTCATCCGTCTTGCAGCATGGCGTTTGATAACGTATAGACGTAGCTATCCATTGCTTTGTGGAAGAGAGTCAGCGCCAGCCGAAAGGAGCGGGAGGGTCCCCAGCACCTTGAAGCCGACTCAGGGCCGTGCTGGCTAGACTGTGGACGGGTCGCCATACAGGAATAAACTCACGTCAAGTTGCAGGGGTAGAGCTTGTCAATGATGTTTCTGTCCTCGCAATGACATTCGCTCAAGCCTTCCAGCCAAGTTTGGCCCCGAGCAGCTGGCACGATGTGGGCTTGCATTAGGCCAGGTGAAAAACAGGAACCTGTTCAGCAACCGGACCAATCGACGCGACATGACGCGCTTCTGCTCAAACCACCAGCCGCGCGACCAGCGGCCAGTGCTGATGCGCTGTAACAGTTACAAGGGGAGGGCCGTTGGATAATTCCAGTATTATCATTACTGGCCTGGAGCCCTGGTGCCCTGGTGCCGTGGACCGGAAACCAGACTGCAATACAGTTCAGGTAGACGTTGTCTAGCAGCAGAAAGGGACCAAGCGAGATTGATCATCGACTTTGAACTGTCGTCTTTGACAGCTGTTTGAGGTATGACCGGGCGAACCTAAATGGTGTGTACAGTAGATGAATGAGGAAGGGATGATCACGGTACTACTGTTACTGATCCTTACACCGGACACTGACAGAGTACGGTAAGCACCATAATAATAGGAGGTGGTACATTAGGTTCGCTGATTAGGTGGCCTGCACGTCAAGCACCCCCCGTAGCTGCCCCGTAGCTCCCCCAGGAGACAGCCTTCTAGGCTGCGGTGGTGTGCCTGAAAACCACCGTGCGAAGAGCCTAAGGCCCTAGCCGGTGCCCAGCACCCGGTGCCTAGGGGACCGGGCGGCCAGTGAGACCCAGGGCTAAGGAGGCCTCGAGCAACCAATTGAGACCGGAGGTGTCTAACCCAGCAATACGAGACGGGAACAGGCTGCAGAATGGCCCCCGAGTTCGAGGCTTGATGCTGAGACGGTTTGATACACCTCGACCATCATTTTACGTGTGCCGTGTATAGCTCCGCCTGGTGCGTGGCGGGCGTGTTCTTGTCTTCCCACTTGGCTGCAGTGTTGGCTGGGGCTTGCTGGGGAGGGCGTCTGGCTCACAGGCTGGCTGTCGCTCTGCTGCACGTCGTCGTCGTCGCCGCCGTCTGTCCCCTGCCTGTCACCCCTGCAAGCGTCTGGGCTGGTCCTATGCCCAATCACCAGCGTGAAGAGCTGTCAACCTCTCGCACACTCCACTCTCCACTCGTCTCTCACTCCCGTTCATTCAATCATTCATCTCGACTTGCAGAGCCATCTCCTGTTCCTTTCTCCTCCTCCACTGTCTTTCTTCAATCCCATGAGGCCTTGACCTCGTCCTTTTATCCTCCCCCTCCCCCTTCTCTGTCGTAGGACAATCAGATACTTCACGATCAGCCTGAGTATCTTGCATGTCCTCGACTCTCCTCCTACCCCTTCCAGCTCTCACCTAATCCTCCTAAGCCTTGTCCGAGGTCCACCTGAGCCTGCCCCTGCTCGACAACCTGCACTCGTTTTGCAGAACGTTCTGGATAGCGTCCTGCCTTGGGTTATCGGAAGCAGAAAAGAGTCGTCGATCTTTCTCATACCAAGAAAAAGGTAAGATGAATCCCTACTCTGTGTATATCCGGGGAAGTGTGCCTGCACACATCCTCTACTCTTGCATGACAACGACATCTGGCCTTCAACGAACCAAAGCTTTGAGCTTGTCGATCTTCTGGACTTCACTTCGTCGCCGTGGTCTTCAACAATAGTCCACTTCACATCATCCTGGCCTCATGCCTCCTGCCTCCACGGTGTCTTTGGGACACCCGCAGTCATTCTGGACCCTTCGACCACGACCACGACCACCTCACCGAGACTTGAACTGTTGTAACATGAAACATGGGGGTTTAGGAAGTGAAGAGGAGGCTCAGATCATTCTCAGTGGTGCCATGGAATCCTGTTGAGGGAAGGGATAGTATTGCGGCGATGTCATGCTCTCCGGTGGAAAGAGGAGGAATCTACCGATCTACGGTCAGGACGATGACAATCCTCGGCACTTATGCAAGAAGAGAAGGGATGACACGGCCTCAGACAACGCGACATCAGAAGGAATGTGGAATTACTGGACCTCCTGGCTGACGGACGAACGAGGACATCTGCAGACAATCTTGGGCATGGATGGACCAGTCCTACCCCATACTCAGACCTTCGCACTATACCCTCTACTGCCTCTTGCTTACAATCACTTTCTGGTTGACTATGACTGACCGACACCTCTGACAGATTCACGTCTTTTGGCAAGCTCTAGCTAGCCTCGCCCCATCACCACAAGGTCAACGAAGTCTAGAATAGTCAACGTGCCTCTGAGATTCCAAGGTCAGAGCTTCTTGCTATCCCTGTGTTACAGCCTAGCTGACGTCGATGCAGATTCAGAGTGCAGAAGCTGGTGGCTTCTTGTGGTCTTCCTCTGGCCACATTCCAGACCCGGGCTCCAAGTTCAGGCAAGCGGAGGCGTTCATTCGACCTTTGCTGCATCTACGCACGAGCAGCCAATCTGATTGCCATTCCAATATTTTACCAGATGAAGCAGTCGTGGTAATCCCTAGTAACAAGGATTGTGCAATCGTCGTGCGATCTCCTCCCTTTCGGTAAGTTTGGCAGGTCCTCCTCCTATCATCTTGGGCTGACCATCCTGCGCACGCTCCAGTCACCCAGTCTAGAAGAAGACTCCTGACTTTCTGGTTCCTGGCCACCTCCAGTCTTGTGCAACGCTTGATTGCATCAATTACTTTCACTCCTTTTCAAGTTGAATCATTTTACGACTGTCACTCACTTTTATCCGTCGTTCTTCCCCTTACTGTCAACCGAACATCTTCTCTTCCACTCGAATCCAGCTTGCGTTTGAAACCCCTCTCAATATCCTACAACATGGCTGGCAACAGAATCCCCTCCTTCGGCTCCGACGACAGCGGCTACGATAGTGGTATCGTCGAGGTTTTCGACGAACCAGGCCCCGCCATCAAGACTGCCGATCATTCGAAGGAGATTGCAAGACATCGACAACACCTCATGGCTTCTGAGTTGTCGAGGAGAGATGCAGAGGAATATCAGCAGGACATGCTTGAGCACATGCTGAAGATGGACGTATGTGCCTAGCCTCCCACCGCACATGGAACTCGAATTGACACACGTTTGCAGATTGAAACCATGCCTGATGTCGATGCAATTGACATTCAAACAGAAATCCAGTGGTTCATGAGACCATATCTGCTCGATTTCCTAGTCGAAGCACACTCGGCCTTTCAACTCTTGCCCGAGACTTTATTCCTGACCATCAATCTTCTCGACCGTTACTGTTCCAAGAGAGTCGTCTACAAGCGCCATTATCAACTTGTTGGCTGCGCCGCCCTCCTCATCGCGGCAAAGTATGGTGACAAGAAAGAGAAGGTCCCGACAATCAAGGAGTTGAAGTCAATGTGTTGCTCACTTTACGACGATGACATGTTCCTGCAGATGGAGTGGCACGTTCTGTCTACCCTGGGCTGGACTGTTGGCCATCCCACTGTTGATTCCTTCATGCGCCTGGCTGTTAAGGACAACGTGTATGATCCCGAGACGGAGAGTTTGACCCTCTACATCCTCGAAATCGCCCTGTACCATCGGGACTTCGTGTCCAAGCAAGCATCCACTCTTGCCCTCTCGGCCCTTGCCCTTGCACGACATATACTCGGCCGACCACAGTCACGCGCAACCGAGTTCAGCTCCCGCTATTGCAGTACGACCGTCCTGGAATTGTTGCAGAAGGTCGGAGAACCCTCCAAAATTTTGTCCCGTAAATATGCATCGGTTCGGTACTCTGGAGTCTCTCGAGTTTTGAGCAACTATCTTGCTCAGAAGGCTGCCATGTCTGCCTCAGCTCACACACCGATCACACCGACGTACGAGCTCACTCCACCCTCCGCAGCGGCTAAGCCTGCAGGACCGGCATATTTCCGGACATATGCTACGCCCCAGAAGCCCCAATTCCCTTCGGTGGTCCAGCATGGTCTGTACACACCCCCGATCACCCCTGAAGGAGAGATGTTCGGAGTCACTCAAAAGACCTTCAACGCACCAAACCAATACGTCCCTCCCACGCCCACACCCAACACAGTGAGTCATCAATATTCCTCACAATACCCGGCTACGATCCAGCAATGGAGCGGTGAAACCTATTGAGGCGACTTGTTACCCAGGGAGTAGTCATGACTATTGCACGTCAAATGTTGATTGTCCCCTCAATACACGATACCTGGTCATCGTCTGTCACCACCGTGTTCTATCACATGGGTTGTGAATTCTTTTTTGCATTGCAAGCGTCCTGTTCAGCATGAAACTATTTGTCAAAACCATGGAAACGAGGGTATTCGCAGCGTTCCCTAATCCAGTCAGGAGGGTTGTATCAAATCCGGTCGGTCGGAATGCCGACGTTTCCGTGGATTCACTGTCGAATCCCACCAAAAAGATGTCTTCGGGTGGATATGGAAGTGATCAAACTGGTTCAGAAGGTATGGAGGAGTCAAACGAATTTGTGATCACTAAGCCATGGGGAATCTGGCCAAACAGGTAGAGCTTGTTCTTCGGAGCCTCCATAAAGAGAGGGCTCGGCTGGGGCTTTAGGGCCTTTTCGCAATGCTTATCGAGCAAGACCTTAGCTTATGTGCGGGCACGACTCGAGGCGTGTATGCGAGGTCTGCCTTAGATTTGCTTTCCTTTTGCGTCCTTGCAAGGGAAAACCAAGGGGCAAGATACCCATTCAATTAAATGTCTGTCAATCAATCAATGCAAGCCTAGCTCAGCTCCTGCGTAAATGTTTCTTTGATCTGCGCCCTGTCCCAGGTTCGACGGGCCAGAGGTGCCCTTTTGATTTAAAGCCAACCTTCAATAAATGTCATTAGTTGACTCGGAATAAGAATAAAAGGGTAACGTACATGTAGGTAGTACACAAGCCAAGAGGGAAAAGGTGTTTCACACTCGAACGACAACAGAACTGTTTTAATCAGCGACTGTGTGGTGACGAGATCTAGGCCCCTGGAGAACTCGGAGGTGGAATTTGATGACGAGGACGTTGAATATATATATCTATGATGAATGCAGAGGTGACATGGTAGTCAACTCTGTTAATTAGACTCAACCGTACTTCTACGTTAAAGCTTGCAGGGGCTTACTTTCTAAGTAAGACTATAGACCATTTATCTGCAGATATAGAAGTCTACTAGATGAAGAGCAGTACTCCGTACTTATCTCGAGTTCAGTTACAGGGGGGTTGGTCTCAGAGGAAGTGATAATAATAATTATTTTAGTAGGTTTCCATTCTCAAGTTTGAATCAAGTAATTAGAGTCTACCACCTTCTCTTCTCTAAGCTGTTCTTTGCAACTGACCCACGAACACCCCAAACTTTATCGTTATCTGCTTCTCTTGTAACTGACCCTTCCGGCCTTGCTCCTCAATCGGGCTTGCCGTGGCTTGCAGGCCAGGAAAGTCGACGCTGAAAACTGCGCGATTAGAACAGTCAGCCAACCAGGAGTTTGCTGGCCTAGGTGGTGGCCCGTAGACCCTGGCTGGTGATCCCAATCGGCCCTTTCTAGCGGATGCCCTGGTCCGAGCATCGTATCGTAGTTTGGCCGAAAACTTGGGCGAGACTCGAGGGTTCCCTGTTCTCTCAGCTCTCTGCCGCGACCTAAGGGGCCAAGTTAGGCTGATCGAGAGCTGAGAACATTCGATGCCATCTGGCTTGTAAAGTAAGAGACAAGTACGGACGGAAAAGACCATGAAGTGTATTACCTTACTCCGTACTCTGTACGGATACTCCATCCTCCATCTGGGGTCGAGGACGACCAGCAGCTAGAGTAGGACAGCCGAATCGAGGAAAGTGCGGGGAGCATGGGAAATGTACGGAGGAGTATGCCTATTGCCCGTTCCCTATTGGGCGATGCCCGGTGCCACCTGCCACTGCACGTACCCACCTTTTCCCCAGCTACGTCATTTGGCTCGTCGCCAAAATAACCCAGGCTTTCTTGGCCCTTTCACCTCCAGGCTAAGGTCCCTTCATCAGCTCCTGCGCCCAAATCCCTGGCCCAGCGCCCGTCCTGTTCAGGACCACGGGCGGGGTCGATGTTGAGATCAGCCAGGGTCAGCCGATCGATGTGCCGGAGAACGCGTTCACAGAACCTACCTGCCTACCTACCTGGCGTTTGCGAATCGACTCTCGCCATGGATACCCCAAGTTGCCTCCCTACTAGTAGGCAAGCTGCCTTTTGCAGTGGTTTCGATGACTCGCTCCAGCAGAAGGCTAGGCTTAAGGCCCCTCAAACATTCAGCTGGGTGACTTCCTGGCTCGAACCTTCATAAATATCTCCCTTTCCTGTTCTGCTCCATATCCTCCTCGATATTTTGGTCTTCCCAGAATCTCACTTTCCAGCTTACAAAATGGTCGGAACGGCAGATCCATATTATAACCGCAAGCCCATCCCTGGTGAGTCTGACATACGAGGTTCAGATGTCAAGTCTGCAAGTGCTGATTATCTTCCAACTAGATGACCTGATCAAAGACGTCGGTCTCACTGGTCTCGCGCCGCAAGACGAGTACTGGAATCGTGAACGAAAATACAGTCTTAATGGAGCAGATGTGAGGCGCTTCAGCAGCAGCCAAAAGGGTGGTCTGGAACCACTTCACGATCCGTACTATAGTCGGAAGCGGCTGTCAAGTGGGTTTATCCGTTGCAGACATCGCCCCATACACTAACTGTCTTCTCTGCCAGAGGCTGAGATTGAGGGTGTCGGACAGACCGGTCTAACACAAGATGAGGAGTACCAGAACCGACAACGGAAGTACAGCGTCAACGGCGTGGATGTCAGAAAGTTCAGCACAAGCAGGAAGGGAGGCTTGGAGCCTCAAGACGACCCATACTATTCACGGAAACGGGTGTCAAGTAAATATTGCCTCTTCGCATGGTTTGGGGACTGAGCTGAGCAACGGTTGCAGAAGCCGAGATTACTGGGGTCGGCGAGACTGGCATGACCCCTGCCGAGCAGTTCGAGGTTCGCGAACGGAAGCAATCGCTCTTCCAGCTCTCAGGTGATCCTTTCGACCTAGTTGCCGGCCGCCACCGACGATCGGTGTCTGGAGTTGCAAGCGGAGCGTCCGACGCAGCCACTCGACGTCGCAGCTCGGCTGTAGCCCCGGACGTCGTGGCAGCTATGGCCTCACACAGCGGCTATCACGGTGATAAGCTCGCTCCGATCGAAAGCAAACCCGAGGTGCCACCTGAGAGCTTTGGCAGCACCGGCCTCAGCGACAATGCTACCAGTAGCCACTCGACCCTTGATCAAGACTCTGGAGCTCCTCGCAGTGGCACTGGAGGAGGACATACCAAATACTATGACGCCGCCACAACAGGGCACAATCATCGAGTCCATAATGACGAATCAGAGAGCGTTGCACCTGATGAGGTGAGGTGAGGTGAGGTGAGCCTTGTGTGAGCCCTTGAAGCGGGCGGACAGGGGCAAGAGAGATGAACTGTTTCCTCTCAGCTCGCAGCTGCGCGGGCCACGGATGGTCGCCATACGGTTGATACCCTTGTCATGTGGCGATAGAGATAGTGGAAACAAACGATACGTGATACATAGGGGTCATTTCATTGTAGTTCTAACTCAAATGTCATGTCAGGTTCGTCCATCTGTGCCCACCACGGATGTTTCTACCTTCTATCTGCTGTCACAAGAAAGACAAAAGACCTCGCCTCGACTCTGTCATGAGGCTGCAGGACTCTGGCCCTCACGGAAGCGGGATTCTGGGATTTCCGACTCAGTAGATCGCCCTCCAACATCTACAGCCTTGGTTGTACACCATTCTGACAACCGCAGAGCAGCCCGAAAGCAGGTAGATTGCAATCCGCTCGATAACCCACTTGATCGGGCCGCAGCATAAACTGACAAGATCACACATGCACCTCCGAAGCAATTGTTTGCGCTTAGGCCGCCACACGTATGTCAACTCTCTCTCAAGGCACGTTGGGCACTCGACCGGGTGGGGAAGTTGAGCGTTACTGGCTTCGAGATGCATGTTGCGGCATACATCACAGTACAGACAGCTGCTATCCTCGGCCGGAGAGGTGCACCACGTCTGGACGAGGTGCTTGTATCTATCCTTCTTCCTCATCTGATCCCACTCATGTTTCGGAAGGTTGACCTTGACGCTCCACTTGGGGTTTTTTTTGTATGTCAGCCTTCTGCGGAAGAAGGCTTCCTCGCGCGGCATGATCTTGTGGCATTTCCAACAATACCGCAGCTTGTCCTTTGGGATCCAACCGTGTGCGAGACGGAGAATGAGACTGAATGATTCGGGGGGCAGCCATCCGAAGCGCTGATCGGAAAAGAGGGACCAGGTTGCTGGGCTGAGGCGAGGGGCAGACACGATTGCTAGGGCGAGACGCTTGCATGTCAAGGCGAGACACACACGATCAACAGGATGGAGCTTCTTCGCGATCTCATGGATTATCTCGGTAGGTAGATCCACCAAGCTGACTGGTTTTGGAAGAGGGATGATAGCAGTCTTTATATCAGTGGGTTCACCACCGTCGAGACAAGCATCATTGGCCTTGTCGTCGTCCAAAGGAGTGGGGTTCAAGTTCACCTGCCGGGCGATCCAGCGTCAGGAAAATATCTGTTATCGCGATATCTGCGCCGGTAACTATCTTACTAACCTGCGGTGGTATTCTCAACAAAATCAGACGGTTCTTCTCATCACGACGCCAGCCTGGGCTTCTTCCTAGAAGCGTGGCCCTGTATGGCGGCATTGTCTATCGCCGGTCGGATCGGCTTAGCTTGAGAGGACTCGAGTAGGATGAGGTATAGGCATAGAGAGATATGTAGGGAGCGAGCTGGCGCTTGACAACCTTTCGCTTCGACGAGGCTCAGCGCGGAGAGCCGAAATGTGACCTAATCTAGTGACATGGCGCGCAGGGTGTGGTTCGGGTTGAAGCCTTGGAATCAGGTTTGACCTACCAGGCTGAGGCTTGCTGGTGCCTGGCATGGGGCGCATATGCAGTGGGCTTCGGGCAATCGCAGCAGGGAGAGAGGATCCAACAGAAGGATTGGACAGCGTAGCCAATGACAATGACGCCTTGCCTTGTATGTTGAAGATGGTCCGTAGGGATTTGAGGCTTGACTGGGCTAGTCCAGGTTTGCCCCCAAGTCAATCCAAGGCAGAAAGATAGGACAACAAAGCAGAGTGCAAAACTGGTGCTTTTGCCATGGAACCCGAAGACACATGTGGTCCAAGATCAGATGGGGGAAGCCTGGGCTTGGAGCGAAACGACCCCCGAAAGGTCAAAGTACTGCATGAGTGCTCCCAACACATCATGTGCTTGTACTTGGGGGCTGGGGGCCATGAAACTGCGCCCAACCTCAACTTTTTGGCTTGCAACGGGCGCAGCTGCAGCTGCGTGTTGTATGGAAGCGCTTCTGTGCTTCGGTGTCTGGTAATGACGGAAGGAGGGGCAACTACCTCTAGTACTATTACAGCTAGCGGCAACGTTGGCCTGCGACATCACTGTTTCAGCGTTTACGGAGTACACATCCTACCTTCAGGTACCTACCGTACCCTCCCAGTTAGACACTGGGTTTCAAACAATAATGAGAGGTTCATCTGAGAGGGCAATTATTGGAAGTTGAAAGCTCCGGAGACGCGGCCCCGTGAGACGTCCTATCTCCTGGCTCCGTGAGAGATCAATCGGGTAAGCACCATTTTCTTTTTGTTCTTGGCCAGTCTCATAGACTGCGTTCTGCAACACTGTCTCCAGTACATGGATGCTCTAGCTTTTGTCTAGGCAGAGTGGTCTGCTTGATGAATGCACTCGTCTCGATACCTTCAGCTTGAAGTGGCTTCCTCTCCTCTCCAAAGACCTAGAAGCAACTAAAGGGATCCCTACAAGAACTTCGCGGAATAAAGTTACCTGGTCTATTCTGCAGTCTAAATAGCCAACCACCTCCCGATCCGATCTCCGCGAGTCCTTTGTGCGATTGTGACGTCCGATCCGACACCGAAGCGTTCCTTGACAAACTCATTGTCAAGAAATGCAGTATGTCTGAGGCTTTGGAGGCTAGGCCGATCTCTATTGATGGGCCCTCCCCAAGACTTTGCGCAGATAGCCGCCCGTCCTAACGTACGGGGACTTACACTGGAAGAATATTGTGAATCTAATAAGGGCGGAAGAGACTGTCCTCATAGATTGCAGAACGCCGGTTGGTACCCGAGCTACTAGGAATCCGCGGTTATCGCCTTTACTCTGTGGTTCGAAAATGACTGGTGTTGTTGGGTCCATCAAGCATCAGTACATGAAGACACTCCTTCCAAATCTCGACTCTGAGGATAGCGACATGATGAATTGGATGCAACATTATTATCAATCCTTTACTTTTGAGATGCGCCCACCTCACCCACTGTCTCCTCCTGCTTCACGACCCTATCAATATCTCTTATTGGAGGGGTGTTATAAAAACCCCTCCTAGAGTGTCAAAGTTCAGAAGGGCAACGTGGGAGACATTGCACAACGAAGGCACATTAATGGCGGGAGTAGAAGGCATCGACTCATGCCTCAGGTTGAACCAATCCCGCTCTGGCTTTATCTACTCTGAACATCATGGCATTGTACTCTAGATCCTGCACTGTGGAAATCGAGTAGACGGGACTTCCCCAACAGTCGAATTTGCAGAGCCAAGTATCACACGCTGGGGCGTGTATTCCTCCCAATCCAATTCTTGTTCCTGTCGTCGACCACATTCAGGTCAGTGATTATGGCAGAAGTAGACAGATGCTGACCGCCTGGGGAGAGCCAGATCTCTCCAGCCACGTGTCTATGTCTCGCGTTGAAAGAACGCTGTTTCTGAGGATGAGGATGATGTGTACGGTCTTGCGATTCTCATGCAGCTTTCTGCAGCTCTAATAGGTTGTACGGTTCCTCGTGGTAAGATGGGGTGGAAGGACCAGTCCGACTAGCCAATCGATGGATGGGGCGTCGGTCTTCAATCTCGGGGTCTGTGCCGGTGCTGGTGGGTTTGGCGCTTGTGGTTGCTGATGACCAGCGACGTTTGCTTGCGCGGCTTGCCTTGAGACAGTTACTGACTCTGTAGACGTCAAGTCGAAAGAAAAGCGCCGCCGACGGCAAGACGCCTCATAGCAGCCTAGTCAACACCTCACATTGTAAACATTCTGGCATACGGTGTACGGATACAGTAATTCTTACTTGTACCAGCTTACGTATGCCTTTGCCGTTTGGAGTGAAAATTGTCGAGGACCCGTAACCCGGAGATGCCGAGCTTGAAGGCTGGCTGACCGTTGGAACGAACTGTGGGCCAACTGCGTTGACGGCCGTTGTGTTGCAGACACCTGGGATCACTAATACCAGAAAAACCATCCTTAGCGATGCTCGGTTCGCTACCAGAATTTGCGAGATGGACCTGGACAAGGCCCAGCTGCGCCACAGACCAAAGAAATCCGCACCCGGTTGAGAGACAGACCTGTCAGTAAGCGTGGTGGAAATGAGAATGCTTCCGCTTTCGGAATTAGCGCAGCAACTAGGTGCAAGGTGACATTTCCATTGGTCAGCCCCTTAGTTAGGAGACGGCTTGGGGCCTTTTGAGGATTAGCGCAGGATCCTGCCGCTTAAGCCTTAACCTAATTGTAACATTAAAGACGACAGTAATAACAATATATCCGTATATCGGTGCCTCCTTTCCCCTGGCCCCTTGCAGCATCTCTCTCGCCGCGTGTCTCTAGCCCACGTGAACAGCTCGCTGTTAAGGCTTCTCGCTTAGCTTCAGCCTTTGGTGGGGTACGCTACGATTTACTATTGCTTGCTCGATTTTCCTGGTTCCCCATTGCGGCGTCGATGGCCTCGACCATCTGATCGATTTTCGACGGGTTTGACTGACGGCGGGAGGCAGGTGTCAGTTTTTGCCAGTCTAGCCAGACTTGTGTCTGGCTGCACACTGGCTTTACACGGTATTGGTCCCAATCGCCAGTGTTGACGCTGCCTGAGCCAGCTCATCTCCCTACACGAAATTTATGAGTCCCTCGACCGAAAGGCGCGCGTTTGATGCCGGGACTATGAGCGCGCCGTTCTTGGGACCCTCTAGATGAGAGAGAATCTCCCACATGGGCATGGTGGCAACGCCCTATCTGAGTCGGATATAGTCAACATGTTCTGCTCTGTCTTGGTCCCGTTCCTTTCTGTCTCGTGCTTGTCGTCGCCGTCGTCGCTCTTTACTTCGCTCGCCCCAGTCACTCGTTCAACATGCCGTCCTCATCACTCTTTCTGAGGTCGAGCGCCACACTCGTTTCTGCCCTGTCTTTGTTTTCTGCATCTGTTTCTGCGGCTTCTAATACCTACTATGCTTTGGACACCGAATATTCCGGCACATCGTTCTTCGACGGATTCAACTTCTACAGCGTGGGTGCAAGGTGGCGCTCTCAAAGGCTGGATTGATGGCTGACATGACTTGTAGGGAGCCGACTATAGCCATGGTTTCGTCACGTACGTCCATCACCTACCTCATTTGATACCTACTACCCCCGCCATGGCAGGTCTAACTCTTACATAGTTATGTGGGTGAATCGACTGCGGTAAACTCGGGTCTTGTTACCTTCGATGGTGGCTCTGTTCAAATGAGAGTCGATTCGACCAACTTGTATAACGGCGATGCAAACTACTGGCTGATCAACGGTGTCGGTCGACCAAGTGTGAGGATTGAGAGCGCGGCCAAATGGACCCACGGTCTCTTCATAGCCGACATCAAGCACATGCCCAGCACGCTCACAACTCAAGGCTGTGGTACTTGGCCTGCTTTTTGGACTCTCGGTGATGGAACTTGGCCATATCATGGCGAGATCGATATATTAGAGGGCGCGAACAACCAAGCCAAAGATCTCCCCGCTGCGCACACGGGAAACACCTGCGTAGTCTCCCAGAGCTCATTCCAGATGACAGGTTCTTCCAACGGCAACAATTGCCAATACGACAGCGCCACCGGAAACAACGGCGCAGGTTGTTCAGCGTTTGATCCGCGAACTCAAAGCTATGGTTCACCATTCAATGCCATCGGCGGTGGTGTGTATGCTATGGAATGGACATCGGACGCGATCAAGGTGTGGTTCTTCCCTCGAGGATCCATCCCGTCAGATATCCAGTCAGGAACCCCTGATACCTCTCTGTGGGGTTTGCCGTCGTCGATTTTCAACGGCCCTGGATGCGACATCGATGCCAACTTTGCCAACCACCAAATTGTCTTCGACACTACCTTCTGCGGTGACTTTGGTGATGCTACATGGAGCTCCGGTGGATGTGCCGCCATTACAGGCCAAACTAAGTGCTCTAACTTTGTTGCCAACAACCCCGCCGAGTTCGCAGAAGCATACTGGGATATCAACTATGTCAGAGTCTACCAATCCAAACCTGTTGTTGCAACCACCACCACAACGAGCACGACCACGACCACCACAGCTTTGACCACTACAACGACCAGCACAGCCTTGACCACCACAACTTCGACATCCAGCGCCTCGACCGCGATCACGACCACAACCAGTGCGGCGGGCTCAACAACAACGTCGTCGGCTGACACAGTTGGTCCAATTGGAGGTTCTACGACCACGACCGCGTCAACTTCAGTGGCTTCGACGACAGCTGCGGCCGTGACTTCCAGCACTTACGTGAGCACATTGCCCATTACGACAACCACTTCGTTCCAGAGCATTGCACCCTTCCTGAACACGACGACCACGACGACGACCTCCGAGTTCACCGTCGGCCCAATCGGCGGGCAGACCACAACTACCTCCAGTCCGACCATCGGGCCCATCGGGCCCATCGGTGGGGAGACGACAACTGCCTCAAACACGTGGGAAGACTGGACATCGGGTGCCCTCACCACCACCGAACCTAGCACAACTACAATTCCCACATCTGTCTGGGAAGACTGGCCGACGACAACAACGGTGCCTATTGAGCCCGACACAACGACCAGCTCTGCTTCATGGGATGACTGGGCCGTCGTGACCATCACTCTGACCGGTAAGTTTGAGTCCTCAAGTCTGTGCCGCACTGCTGTTATCCAAAACCCCATGCCAGCTTCTTATCAATTTGTTTATTTATTGGGGGAGAGGGGAGCAATTTCATTAAAACATACTGACAAACCACGTTTTTCCCCCTCAGAAACCTGGACCGAGCCCTGTTCTACAGGCTACACGACCAAGACAACCACGTTGGTGACCACACATTGCGGCTGCACGGAGACGCCCGTACCCACGATTCCCGTGACCGTGACCACCATCTACCCGTCGCCCGGCTGGCCCGTCACCACACGCGTCGTGGTCACCGTGCCTGTGGTCACCGTGCCTGTGGCTCCCGCCACCGAAACCAGCCACGGTCATGGTCACGGCCAAGGTCAGGCCTCCTCCTCCCCATCGGCGCCCGTCAAACCTGCTACCACCATCTCAGCCTCCTCAAGCGCTGCCGTGGCTTCATGGCCGTGGGCGAGCCCTGCCGCCCCGAGTGCAAGTGCAAGTGTAACTGTCGAGACCACCCTCACCGTCGTGCCCGTTCAATCTTCCGCCCCCGTCGTGCCGGTGACGAAAGGCAACACAACCACGACCACGAGCGCCTGGGTCGCCAGCTACACTGGCGCCGCGGGCCGCATGGGCTTCAGCATGTCGGCGCTTGTCGGCGCCGGTGCTCTGGTCCTTGGCGTAGTGGCTATGTAAGGAGGTCAGGGAGATATCGACGACTAGATAGACTGTCTATGTGTGCATTTTTGACTTTAGCGGGCAGCATGGGGAGAGAAGGCAGGCCCGTTCAGATGTCTTGGAGAGTACTACTGATCATGTCACATGTCAGCTGTAACGGGTGATGTGATGTGATACATCTGATAGCCTTGCAACAGTATTTATGTCTAGTATCTTGCTGTACCTAGCTAGGTATGTTGCAGATATACTCTGTACATGGCACTGATATCTTCTTAATTACATGATTCAAGTGTGAGCTTGGAGGCTATTTCTATTTATATACCCCTTTTGCAATCTAATACGTAGTTAGACTATTCTTACTCCCATCTCGCTTACTGTAGGTGGTGGATGGGGATGGAGTGACTACTAGTGACTATGTTTTGGAACGCCATGGATTAATCATCAAATATCAAATGATGCCAAAGGGTCGAGACTCCGGACTTCTTCCGTCTGACTACTAATGTAGATTTTTGTAGGCTGTATCCCTGTTTTTCTTTTTTACCTTCTCCTGCACGTTCTCGCGCTACCTGAAAAACAAGATATGGCCAAGGACAACATCTAGGAGAAATCATGGTTGCTCGAGGGAACGCACTGTGCACTGTTTTCTGCCCATCACGACCGTGGCAACTAGGCACCAAGTGATCAGATCAAAGTGGCCGGAAGACCAAGCCAAAATATGTCTATCTACCTGCCGTTCCACACCTGGCTTCCGGCGAAACCTTGGACGATATCGCCATCGCCATCCCAACAAGGAGCGCTCGGTCATGGACCCCGGAGGACAAAAAGCGACAACACCGAAACCGTCGTTACTTCGTGACCCTATACCCTCCAAATATCGCACCAACCAAATCAACAGGTCTCAGCTTTTCGTATACTATGTAAAATGTAAAGAAATTGCGACATTACTTGTTCTTGCGGCTGTCCCACCCATTCAGTGACCGTCGGACTCCCAATGTCTTCTGTCTTGCTCCCATGTTCGACGCGCGGGAAACGTACCCCGCTGACCCTATAGAGGAGATGCTCGTCTTGTGCATCGTTTCAGCTGGGCGTGAGAGGATGTAGTTCGTCAGAGGCGCCGCCCTGGTCGTAAAGTCCGACGGATTGGACGCCGCTTCACCACCATCTTGTCTTAGTACCCCGTTCTCCTCGTCTCCGACGTCGGGAGGGGGAGGCGAGGAACTGTACAAATTCACATAGCGAGCTTTGGATCTCGACTGTGAGCTCGCTTCTTTCAAAGCTTTTGGTCCCTGATAGATTATTCCATTTCGAAAGTTCAGTCTGTGCGAGGAGAGTTCGGAAGGGATTGTACTCCCCCCGGTCTCCCGGCGGACGGGCGGAATCATTGCTGAAAGGGTGGGCCCAGACAGCGGCTGCCGCATTTGAGTTGGTCTCATAACTTGGGGCAGAGCCAACTCGGCAGGCAATGTATGTTGGGAATTAGGTTTTGAGAAGAACGATGCAATATTTCCCTGTGCCGATGTTGACTTTGAAAGTTTGGGCTTCTTCTGCGGAGGCAACGTGTCGGATGAAGATGTAGCCGCATCGGCATTGCTTGCTTGAAGCTGGTAACTGGCAGTGGTGAAGCCCAAAGACATGCTCGAGGTTGAGAATGCGGCAGTGTTGTTCATGGTAGTGACTAGTTCATGGGCTCGGCTTTGTTCGGTTAGCGAATGACTTTCTGAGCATGCTGGATAATTCGAAGACCATTGGTTTTGACCAGCAGCCAGGACCTCTCCCAATGGCCTTCCAAAATCTGGCAACATTTGACCATTTGTAGGCAGCATCGCGAGAGGTCGGCGACTGCCATCACTGGGCCACAGATCGTCGATTTGGCTATCACCACCGGTGATGCCCTCCAAGCTTTTGACAAGATCCTCCTGTGATGGCAGTGGGCGTCGAAGAATGCTGGCGATATCGGCGATCGTCTTATCGTTGAATAAAGGGCCGACTTGTGCAAGATGGCGGTGAACCTTGGGGGGCAGAAATTGGGTCAGACTCGATTCCAGCTGGTCTCGAGACTGAGTCAATGGAAAAGTCAGTGTCAGCAGGGCCTGAGCCCGTGTCATTGCAACGTAGAGTAAACGTCGCTCCTCATCCGTGTCGTCCGCCCTTGAATGAGGGATGGAGCCCTCATAGACAGCGGGTATGAAGACGACGGGCCATTCGAGCCCTTTGGAAGAATGGATGGTGGAGATGGTGACCCTAGGTTTGTCGTTTCCATCCTCTGAGTTGTTTACGTTAGTGGATAGAACGATATTGGCTAGAAATTGGGCAAGGACTTCGTGAGCACCGTCCGAGGGTTGTTGTTCAATGCCATCAATTTGGGCAAGCTGGTCCTCATTTGAAGGCTGCAACAGAACCTCCGAGGCATGGGTGACAAGTTCTTTGACGTTCTCGAGTCGATCCTCATGATCATCCTTATACTTCTTCTTCAGATAGTTCTCGAAGTCTAGAGATTTGACGACCAAATCAATCAACTTGCTGGGTGCCGCAGCAGGCATCATAGAGTCCATCTTCTGCCTGGCGGTCTTTATGAGGGTGACTAGGCGTCTAAGCTCTTGCTCGGAAGGTTTGGAGAGCTTCTTCTCCGGTGTCAGATCTCCACAAACGATCTTTTGGACCACTGTCCATAGAGAGAGGTTTCGTTCTTCACCAAGCTTGATCAACTCCGCAATTGACGCTTCTCCCACCTTACGAGATGGCACGTTGATGATGGCGAGGAATGCTTGGTTGTTGTCTGGGTGGCTGATTGTGCGAAGATAGTCAACGATGATTCGAATCTCGATGCGGTCAAAGAAACGTTGACCACCAACCATGCGGTATGGAATGCCAGAGCTCGCTAGGGCCTTTTCGATCAACAATGACAGAAATGCTGATCGCAGAAGGATAGCAAAATCCGAATGGAGAAGAAGGCCGCCGGCCATCACCGTCATTCTCTTAATCTCACTGGCAATCCATAAAGCTTCCTCATTGGGATTGGGTAACCGTCGAAGAACAGGCTTGGTGCCATGGCAGTGGGTAGCCTTCAGCCTCTTTGGGGGCCGGTTTGTGTCCTGTTCAATGACGTCCTGAGCAAGTCGCAATACTGATGATGCAGAACGATAGTTTTCTTCCAGATTGATGACCACAGTCTCAGGATAGAACGCTTTCATTCGTCGCAGATTTTCAATCTCCGCAGAGCGGAACCCGTAGATGCTTTGATCTGGATCTCCAACAATTGTTATCCTTCTTGAAGCTGACGCCAGGAGTTTCATCAGCTCGAATTGCACAACGTTGGTGTCTTGAAATTCATCAATCAATAATGCTTCGACATTGGACACACAACCCGGATATGCTCGAAGGAGGTCGACACAGCGCAGGAGGAGGTCGTCGTAGTCCAAGAGTTTGGACGTCGCTAGGGCGGTCTCATATTCGTGGAATACAGCGATAAACTCCTGCTTTTCCACATGTTTCTGTGATGTCTTCGGCAGATCTTCCAGAGTCTTCCCCCTTGCTTTATGACTTGAAATCTTGGATCGTGCAGCCTTCGGCTCGATTGATAGTTTCAGCCGTTTGATGATGCGTTTGATGATATTGAGGCTGTCGGAGGAGTCTGCGATGCCGAAAGCTTTTGGGATGCCGATGAGGTGACCGTATGCGACCAGGTAACGTCGACATATGGAGTGGAATGTCCCAAGAACCAACTTAGCCTCCAGTTCGCAACCGACCAGTCCCCTCAATCTCTCGCGCATTTCCCGGCTGGCTTTGATGGTGAATGTACAACAAATGACATTTTGAGGATTGAGCCCATGGTGGGCAATCTGGTAGGCAACTCGGCAGGTTAATGTCTTGGTCTTCCCGGACCCTGGTGGCGCAAGCACTTGTAGCACCGGTGCTGGAGAAGTAACGGCAGCCCTCTGAGCTGCATTGAGCCCATCCAGAAGCTGCGCCTCCATGGCAGCTGGAGGTTTCAACACAGACACTTGAAGTGGAAGACGCGCCGGAGGAGTAACAGACGCGTCCGGCGTGTGGAGATGCGACGCGCGGGGAACGCCAGACCACGTGACTTAGCTGCGGCTCTCAGCCTTGTCCCGCTGAAGAGATCTACTCGCCTCACGCCCAGTTACTCCGGCCTAAACCTTGCAACTATGTGCAATTGGAACACTTGTCCGATGTGTGCAACCACCACCGGATAGAGTTTCTCTCAGTCTCAGTCTCGGAGCTTTGCAACCACCTTTGACTCGCAAACAGGGGTCAGTAAGCCTTGACTCATGACATGTGTTTCTGAGGTACTAGAGACACATGGTCTAGAATGGGGACCGGTGTAAACGGCAAGCTCTGAATGAGACGCTGTGGATCCCTATCGTGGCTGATCTGCAGCATTTCGGGTGGGTGAACCATCGAATTCTGCCACACCCTCTCCGGCGCCTGCGCAATGCATGGTAGAACGGCGGTGCAATGAATGGTAACGGTCAGTTGATCCTCATCAATAGCTGGTTCAGGTGGGTCAATCCAGATGAATAGCGATTCTGCCGGACACATGGTCTCTTGGGTTCAGGAGGACCTGCTTTCAGACAACAGCTACTTGTATGCCCTCTGTCTCCTCCCCTCTCCTAGATTCCTCGTCTCTCAGATACACCACACATACCCTACTGCTGAAAGACAGATACAAGACACAAGATCCTTTCAAGCACACCCAACCACCACCAACACTCTTCGCAAAGCCCTCCAGTCTTCCACCACTAACAGCCACTCAACTTGACCCAACGCCCTCACAATACTCCTCACAACACAACGATACTCCTCACAACACAACGATACTCCTCACAACACAACTAACACCGAGCCGAACGAACCATCAACCACAAACATGTCTTCCGGAATGCAAAAACTTGTCTACAAGTCTCCCGCCCTTGCCATGATGGCACGCAAAGAAGCCTCCCTAAACAAAGCCTCCTCCTCATCATCATCACCATCATCTTCATCATCACCATCATCAACATCACCACCATCATCTTCATCATTATCGCCATCATCATCACCACCATCACCTTCATCATCATCATCATCATCATCACCACCATCAACATCATCATCACCTTCTTCATCATCGCCAATGATCAGCAACCCGCCGAAGCGAATTGTTATCAGGCGCCCATCACCGGGACTAGACTTGATGTTCCACAAGTGCCTATCAGGCCGGCCAGCGCCCCCGCGCATGTTCGCCAAACCCGTCCCACTGAAGCCATACGGCTTTGAAAAGGGCTTTGAGATGGTGCGGCCTTCACCCGAGATGAAGCCGTACAGAATGAGAGAGAGACGCCTGGTAGGAGGAAGGGCGAAGGCCGCCAAGGTCCCAAAGTTCCTCGTCGCCCCGATCCCGAAGCTGGAGTCATCCATCAAAAAGATGGAAATACTGGAAGAATTGATCAAGGACAGCGCGGAGAGGAAGAGGCTCGAAAAGATGCAGTTGGATAGGCAGACCGAGTCAGGGTCGGAGTCAGAGTCATCGTCTCAATCTCAATCTTATTCAACGCAAACACAAACGCATCGAGTTGAGCACGAAATGTGATGCACTGAGAAAGGAAGAATTTGGACAGTGGAAACGGAAAAAAGGAGTCAGTCTATTAATATGCCAACGTTAGAGATAGATACAATCTCACTATTGAAACCAATGTCTGATCCATGCTTCATCCCTATGTGTTATCTTCGTCGTAAATTGACGAATCGGACTTGTCCAGCGTGAGTCGAGCCGCAGTGAATGAAAGTAGGATCGTGATTGACTGGGCACAAAGGTAGTCGAGGAGAAGAATCGATGTTTGTTGCCCGACTCCCGCTATTCAATGTTTCGCCGGCATTCTGCTATTCACTGTCAATACACTGCCTGGCCGGAGTGAAGACAAACCACTGCCTCATGCGATTGTGCCCAGTGAATGCTGCGGCGATTGTTATTTGGCTCATAAAATCTCTTTCGATTCTCGATCTCACTCTTCGCGTCTTTCCACCATAACCGTCAACATCAAGCACAAACTTCCGTCCCAACAACTCTCTAACTCATCTTCATCACGCCAAAGTCTCTCTTCAACTCATCAACCCATCGACAGACGCGTCTCTCCTCATCAAAATCCTCATCAAACACACTTCCAGCCACAGGCCTGCATGAGACACGTCTCCAATCATCCAGCCATCCAACCACCCTGCTCCTGGCGAGTCCCGCTACCAGGAATATCTTCAATAGTCCATCCCTTCCACAACAGACATACATCATCAGTCACCACAATCATACCTCTGCCTAGTCACACTGCCCCAGGTACCCCCCTCTGATACTTCCTCTTCATCATGTCTGGAGAATCTGGAAAGTCTTTCGTCACCCTCAAGAGGGAGGCGTATGAGGACGCCGAGGTAGAATTTGCTGAACATGGCAAACCCCTCCCCAAAGGCTACGTGCCTCCGATGGATTTGTGGCAGATCCCTCAGTTCCGGGACGCCGAAGAGACCAAAGCCATGGAGGCCAACCCCACTCCCGTCTATTCGCAGCTCAAACAGCGTCGCAAGGCCAGGGCCGTCCTCGAGCAAGAAGCTGCCGAGCGCTACCACCGCGAGGAGCAAGAAAAGAAAGACAAGGACGAGACGGCCTGGCTGGTCAAAATGGCCAAACGCAAAGCCGACCGTGAGCGGGAGGCCAAGGAGCGCGAAGAGCACCAGAGACTGCAACGAGAAAATGCCACCAAGGTTCGCACCAACGACAAACGAAAGCGAGACAGCGGCGATGCCGACCCCAGGGCAACTCAGCGCCAGCAGGTCAGCGTCAGTACCAAGCGACAACCAGTGAGCGATGCTGCCAGTAATGACTTACCCTCCGGCTTTCTCACTGACCATGACTAGAACTCCGTCGTCAACGGCGGCGCTCGCGTTTCGCACGGCACAGCGCGTTGGAGGCCAATGGTGGTCGATTCGGACGATGAGGCCGAGCTCCTCCCGAAGGCAGAGCTCCTCCCGAAGGCAAAGAGAGTTCGATATTCAAAAGAGAACGAACCGCCTGTTGTCCGTGCTGACACGCCGTCGCCGAAACGAAAGCGAGTGAGCATTTGTCCCTGAAATGAAGCTTTATATCATAGTTTTAATCATAAAAATAGGACGCGCGCCACTTGGAGATTTCGGACGAGGCTCTGGCAGCGAAGAGGCGCCGGTTCGAGAGTGTCCGCCCAGAATCCAACAAGGAGAACCTGGGCCAGAAAAAACTCGTCCCCCGGGCGGCCAAGAGCGGCAGCCTTATGCAAGTCAAATCCGAGCCGCCAGCGGCGCTTGGTGCAAAGACAAAGACGTCAGCTACAGCCAGCATCTCAAAGACGACAAAGAAGCCACCGAAGCAAGTACAGGTAGCGAAGGATGAACCTGCCAAAGCACCAGAGAAGAAGAGGATGCACCCAATACCTTCCCATCGGCCAATTCGCTCGCGTGAGGATCCGTTTCGCTCTTCCTCATCTGGCGATGCCAGTCGAGGTCAAGTCAGTCGGCTCACTAAGCGACTGGTGCGCGCTTCAAGTGCAACTGCTGGCCCAGCCTACAAGTCTGTCAGAACGGCCAAAGAATTGTGGGAATCCAATGTCTTCGCTCGAAGATGGTGAGGCGGCAGATACGCCGCACAGAGTGAGACGTACAGTCTATCGCGTTGGCTAGTCTTCCTGTTTTCCCTTAGTCATTCTGAAGACGATGTCAGTTCATCTCACTACTCGAGAAATTGTTATCTCGATCTTCGTTTTGCCCCTCTCACAGCGGCGGCTTTTGTTGTATGCTCAGCGCTCTCTGGCACACCACGGACCACCCGAGTCTGATATTTCTGCCATCTGTTGATACTGGAGACTTTAAGCAGTGACTGGACACGGAGGAGGGATGGGCTTGGAACATGGTATGCGACTGGTCTTTGCAAAGGATCTGAAACGAGTTGGAGGTTTTCGAATTGGAGGGTCAGTCAAAGAGCGGAGGATCTGGAGGAACCGAGGAAGGAGTGCGCAGCTGAGAGGCAGACTTTAGCCTGGAATAAACCGTTCGAGGGTGACAAGTACAAGAATCACTGACAAACACGTGGAGGACGGGAACCAACGGGGGAGACAGAGTAAGGGAGTTATGGGAAGGTCGGAAGGAGGAATTGGAGGTAGCTGAGGGCTCGCGGACAAAGGCCAGAGGATGGACCAGTATCGACAGGACGGTGTCTTTGGGGCTCAGCGTGCTTTTCTAAATGGCGTGTATCAGAAAGAAACACCGTAATCCTCATTCTTTATTGTCTCTCGGGTTTGCAGCTGTAATTAGGTGAACTTGACAGAAAGCCACAGGTGATGGAGCTCTCTGTACGGAGTAGGTGTACGGAGTACAGAATAAGAAAAAAGGGGCCTGAGGGGGCTTCCTGTGTAGTACGGAGTAGATTCTCAGTCGACGTCACTCCGCATTTGTTCAAGGGTCTCCAACCAGCCACCTTGCGTTGTGGTGTAATAGTACATACTTCCGTACATTTCGTTTTATCGTTTTCACCTGGAAACCCCGTCCTTCTGCTTCTACCCACGCACCTGCATCGACAATGAAGTTCCTCCCGTCGCTCCTCGCAGCCGCCCTCTCGCTCGCCCACCTCTCGTCAGCCGCAGGTCTCGATATCGAGTATCAAACGCCCGAGATCGAATGTACTCGCAAGACGATAAAGGGCGATCAGATTGATGTGCACTACCGTGGGTCTCTACTCAGCACAGGCAAGGAATTCGACTCCAGTTACTCGCGGGGGAAGCCTTTGGGTTTCCCACTGGGCGCAGGACGGGTCATCAAGGGGTGAGTGCAAGAGGATTCCATTTTCAGTACTTTCCGAACATGGGAGGCTATAGTGTTATGCTATGAGGCCAGTTGCGGGAACTCCACACTGACATATGCTGCACGTTGGTAGATGGGACGAAGGCCTCCTGGACATGTGCATTGGTGAGAAGCGGAAGTTGACGATCCCGCCGGAATTGGGTTACGGGGACAGGGATGTTGGGCCCATCCCGGGCAACAGCGTGCTGGTCTTTGAGACGGAATTGGTGGGAATCAAGGGCGTGAAGAAGGACGAATTGTGAAATGAAAGAAAGAAGCGACTCATGACATCTGTGACGAGTAGCAACTCTAAAAAGATATCTGTTACAAGTTGATCATGGTTACGGGCTCGAATATACGGATATGTCAAGCAAATGGGCGCGGCAAAACGGGGAGCGGAACAACAAAATCTTGTTTACCACACAAGACAGCTGTTGAAACGTTTCGACTCGTATCAAACCTCTAGGTCCGGCATCATTTGTTGGAAATGGTATCATATTCTAGCATCCACTGACATCCTAAACTAGCAAGTCAGTCCATATCGTCTAGGCCGCCACTTCTGTTGTCCGTTTCTTCATCATCACCCACCAGAATCCCGACAAGACATTCGCTGAGCATGGCATCCCAGTTGACCCATGGATGCACTTCCATGAACAACTTGACTGAATCTTTGCCTGCACCTCTCATGATCTCGCCCTTTCCACCCGGATGGAATGGTACATAGGGTGTGATATTATACACTTTTCCATTGTAGACCGTCCATGCATCTTTTCCTTTTCTCCCATTCTGCTGTTTCAACCGCGTAGGCGTCACTCGGATCAGGTTCTCCGGTGCGTCTTTGCCTCTGAGTCGGCTGTCAGGGTTGGAGGTAAGTGCGGCCCAGTCGAGCGGCGAATGGCCTGGTTCGAGGATCACCTTTCGTGAAACTTGTTTGCCCGGAGGCATAATCGAAGAGGTGGGCGCCAGAGATGCGTTGGGAAGGGCTTTCGTAGGAGGCATGCGTAGAGACGCTGCTGCGGATGGCGGTGGGCGCATCAATCCATTCCCAGGCCGAGGTGGAGCTGCAAACCTCGCAGGCTTCAAGCGAGGGGGGCTTGAGGGCCCGGTGGGTGTTTTCGATGGCGGCGCAGTTGGCTCTGCGATATGTGGCACCTTAGATGTCGTTGGCGCTGTTTCCTGCATCGCTTGTACGTCTAAGCTGGCTTGATCTGCCGCGTCAGGAATATTGGCGTCAACCTGGGCGCTCTTGGTTGATATAGACACTTTCTCGGAATAATTCTGGTCGGCGGCCCTGGGCGCAGAGTCGCGAACTCTATTCGCCTCCACTCTGACTTGAGGAGCGAGCGTGGTCTTGAAATTTGAGGGTGTGTCTAAGTCCGTGTTCGCATTCTGTTGCATAACAAACCTATACAGAACATATCCCGCAATCAGGGTACAGCATCCAGCGACAAGCCAACCCATTTTCTATTGTAGCTGTCGAACAGAGCGAAGGTATATTGCAAGGCATTCATCGTGCCGGGGAATAGGGTGAGGTATTCAGGGAGAGCGGTCCATTCTGCGAAAACCGAAATTCAAGTCGACCGTTTTGCAAGAAGAGCGCTTGAGGAAGACAGATAATAGCGCCTAAAATGACACCAGTACTAGGCGGGGCAAATAATATCAGCTGGGACGCAGATGGGGAAGTACATAGGTAGGCGGTGACCATTTCAAAAGACCGGCTGACTTTTAGTAGGTAGATTTATGTACCTACCTAGATAGATAGGTACCTCTCCTTGTCGGCACAGAGGTCTTTGATATTTCCTGTGTCCATTCTCGAGAGCTTACACATAGATGTACTGTTCACAGTTGGCGAAGCCATGTGTGAGCATCCGGGGGGAGATTAGTCGGATTTGCCGTGTCACCTGAGCATAGGAAGTGGGATTTTGATGAGTCCCCAGCCTAGTGATGGTGGGAGGACAGAATTTGTATCCTATCGTCTTGGGTACAGACAAGCGGACGCGAGTTTATCGTACCTCTAGGTTGGTAAAGCAATTTCGTCGTAGTACTGTCGTATTTCCATGCCGAATCCCCGGCGTGGTCTACTAATTAGTATTTCAAGATAAAAGGCAGCGCTGCCGTTGGAGAACCTAGGTACGTAATCATGACTACCCACGAGGCACCTACGAGGGAGTGGTGGGAGCTATTCGAAAGGTAACGTCACTGGGCTGCTGGTGATGCCACCCCATGCTGCATAGGTAGGCTCTCTTCGTAACCTGTGCGCCTCCTAAGCCTACCTAGAGTACCTACTACTACCTATTACTACTGCAGTACGGACTACCTACCTTAGGTACCTAGTAGGTACCTAGTAGCTATAGCACCCGAGGACAGACGCAGTCTCGTACGGAGCAATACTGCCAGTGTAGCAGTGCCACTTCCGGACTACTACGTAGTTACACCCTGCCCGCCTGTCTGTCTCGCCCGTCTGCCCACTCGACAACTGCTGTTGCCCTTGCCCTGCATGGCCGGCCTTCACCAACTCACAGCTTGGGCATCTATTGCATCCCAACAACTTTGAAAGCCATCTGCAAACCTGCGAACCACTGACTCCTCTGCCCTGCTTTCTTGCATTCCATTCCCGGCTTTAGTAAACTCTGAACCGTGCCACCCGCCGGTCAGAGTCTCGCCTCACTGTGCCTACCCTCACACTCCGTCTAGTTCTCGCTCCTACTGGATGCTACACCCCTCCCGATCCCCGTCAAGGTCCGAGTCCCTCACCTCCATTAGCCCCAGCAGGCCAAAAAGAATTGGATCCATGATCCATCGTCTGTCACAAAGCTCGCATGACCATTTCGGAGCCAGCCCAACCTTACTTCCACTACACTCTTCCGACGACCACCTTCATGCTTTCTTCCTCTCGCCCTCCTACCATCCCCTTTGTCACTCCTGGCGAGATCGACTCACCCAGCTGCCTTTACAGACTTAACAGTGTCTGCCGTTGCTGACTGCGGGCTGACTGCCTGCATAGCATACCCTCGTTGAACCACCCCACTATAGGCAGTTATCAGGCTATCTTTCAAGGTTACCATCAACCTCCACGCTGCATTTCTTTCTCTGCACATTTCAAGACTTTCCCGACAAAGGCAAAGGCCGCCTTGGAAGCCAAGATCAAGGCCAAGCTAGAGGCAGAATCCCGCAGCATAGTTTCGCAGAGGCTTGCAGGTGAACTCGCTATCAACATCCTCTCCATGTCGTCTCCACCGGTATCCGAAGGTTATCCCACCAACAGATCTCACGGCCGTTCCGAATCAGATGATCTGAGCGAAGATCATAAATACAAACGTCGAAGACTGGAAGAACAACCAAGTCCTGTTCGGAATATGACTGACCCTTCTCGCCCTCCCAGCTTTCCTGCACCGCCTCCAACTTTACATTACACTCCATTCTATAGTCATGCCACCGACAATTTCCCCTTCTTGCCGGCGCCTTTACCCATGAATTCGGGTGTCTTCTGGGAGGAAGATGCAGCACTGGAATATCTCGCCTCCGGTAATGGCTTTGCTCAAGACTTGCGAGGCCTCGTCCCAACTCTGGCACTTCCTTACAGTTTTCCGACCGCTCCTTCTGCGAGTCAGCCGCATTCACGGCCTTCTGAGGTGACTAGCCATCCGGTTTATCAGCATCCTCGTCTACCTCCGGCGCTTCCTTCGCATCATCGGGGCTTACCGGATGATCTCTTCCAGCGCTGTCCCGCCGGTATTTCCGACGAGCGCTTACGGGAAGTCGCAGGACGTGTCTCCGAGTCTACTAGGTTCTTGGTGGATAGTCAATTTGGGAGCAGTGCTTCTCTCAGTCACCAAGAAGACGGGCACCCTCATCCCCCAAGCCTGAGCACGAATGAGTTTCCACCTAGTCGACGGTCTCCGCCCACAGCATCTATTCCTGTGAAGCCGGCCATCGTTCTCACCCTCAGTCGGGCCACGTCAGAAAGCATTGGAGCCCTAGAAGAGCACAAGCGAGAATGTCCTGCATGTCAGCTGGAATTCGAAAGCGACAATTTCATGGCGGTGATAACCTGCTGCGACACGGCGATGCACGCTTCTTGTCTGTCAGCATGGGTCAACTCTCAGACCTATGCCAAGAGCAAGACATGCATGAAATGCCGTCGGCTCATTGATGCAAGACGTCCTTTGAATAACGTGGTGCCACCTGTCAACGAGAAAACTTGGGATGAAGGGGGAAGTTTCGACGCACCGGAGCACTTGAAGGGTGATGCCAAGATCGAACTCGACGTCAGCCCCAGACCTTCCCGACCCACATTCCGACGCTACAGAGGGTCCGGGAGCTATACGACGACGTATTCGCGGGGCTCCACGATTATGCTGCCTGCGACGGTGAGTTCTGAGACACACCGTGCCATAACTCGCGCGCGACAAGATCAGATTTCGGAGATCGATGACATGAAGAGGCGACTTCGTGCGGCATGCAGCGAGCAAACTCGAGCACACGACGAGAATCTCCACGCGCTCGGGAGGCTTTTGGAAGCACAAAAAGCTGCCAGCCGCGGCAACCAGGTGGATCTCGTTTCACTAGATCTAGTCCGCAATGAGAAGCAGCGGGCAAAGAACAAGGCGGCTGAGAAATTCCAAAGGCTGAAAGTCGAAATGAGCACGATTCAAAGGGCGCACGCCGAACAGATGAACGCTCTAGTTGAAGAGGCTTTCAGGGAGCAGCATCGTACCAGAGTTGCAGAAGGCGAACCTGGTCGAAGCTTGCATCCTTCGACCGAGGGCATTGGAGCCCAATCTACAATGTTCAAGTCTCCATGAGTAGATTTAGGTTTGCCTTGGCACGCTGATTCAGGTAGGTGTGGTGCAAGCAGGTACTGAAACAGAAATCAGAAGTCGACTGGCGCATTGTTTGTGTCCCTGAGAGTCGGTCGAAGTTGGTGCAAGAAGATGCAGACACGCCATTGGAAAGCGAGGTTTGCTTTTTCCATGGAGAAGTGAGGGTATGTTGAGCTGAAGAAGGAAGTGGGAAGGGGATGAAGTGGTTTATGGGGACCAACGAAGCATGGCGCTGATTTCTCCTTCGATCAGGAGCATAATGCAGATGGGCCAGCACAGGTGAGAAACGGATTGCCTTGATTATGAAGCAAATCATACCGACATCAGATATGGAATGGGGGCCTGGAGTTTGAGACTGGCATATTGTATACTTCTTTTCTTCCCTTAACGCTTGGCGGGATTTGCATATGGCGTTGCATGGTCAATCTGGAATTCTGAATTCGAGTTACTCATTATCCAACACATAGTGTCCAAACGGTCTATCTACTCTATAATTTTCGGCAAACACTGCTATTCGGGCAGCCCTGCATGTCTTTTACCGGGGAGTAACACTAGATCGTGGTGCCTGCCATGAGAGCCGAATTGACGACTCCACCAGTGGCCTTGAGAGGCGGCTATTTGTAGTTCATATTTATCATTCTTTCACAGCGGATAGAACACTGAAGTGTGCCGCCACAGAACCTCATTTCAGAGATATTGAACTAACAATTGTCCAACAAGCCAGAGCTGTGATGCGTCAAGTCCGGCCATGACCAGAGATAAGATCTCGTTATCCTCCGCGTCCACGAACCCTTTCCCCGTGCGTGCATGGCGCACTTGTTCCCAGCTCTGCCTCAAAAGTGCTGTAGTCATCATTTAACATTGGTAGACCGTCCCTAGATCTAGGTACCGTGTAGATTTTCTCGTCTGGCTCATCAAATCCATACAAACGTCCAGGTATACCTGACTGTCGCACGATTGTTCCAGGTTCGAGGTCTGGTTCTCGTACTGGGGTTGCCCCGGCTCTCTGGAGGCATTTGCGAAGCGGAGATCAATAGTGGGTGTAGATATGAATGTCTGAGATCGCCCTTGGCCTGGAGAGATGGTCGAACCGTCATCCCTCCGGCCAAAGAAGGCGTCGATTGTCCTCTGGTTCCGTTGCACAGTCCGTGGAAGGTCGACCACGCCCGGCCCGTCATCAACCATATCGGCGTCTTCGTCGGCGTAGTCGTAGTCACCGTGCTCAACAAGCAATATCGTCTCCTCCGGGGTCGGCATCGCCTCGTCCAAATGCAGCCTCTGCGCGGTGTATAATTTCTTCAACGTGTTCTCGTGGATCGCCTCCTCGTCCGGCCTGCCATCACGGTGTCTCTTGCGTGTTCGGCAATTGAGGTAGGGCACACTGTCGACTCTCCAGAAATTGTAAGGATGATGAGGGTGCGCGTCCTCGGCGGTGGACCGCGTCGTGCTTGCAGATGATGGGGACGAGAGGCCTGTCAAGGAGGGTGTCGCCGGGCCAATTAAGTACGGTTCAAGGTGAGACGTTGTGTCGAAGTCTTCGAGGGCAGACGCTTTACGTTTAAGGCCCATGTTTATTGTCCTGGTAAGGGTTTGGTTGAAAGTGGTGTTGAGGGTAAGAGGAGAGAGGTATGGTGAATTGACGCGCGTGATGTGCAACGAAAGCCACTTTACGCGTCGCGTGGTCGCGATCGAGGTACTAGGCTAGAGGTGGCTGGGGACAGTTTTGACAACAGATTGATATCAGTCGGATGGTGGAAGATATGCCATCTTACGGTATACAGTTGATAATGTATGGGCATCAGTGGCTTGGTCGAATACCAAAGACAGAGGGCACGGTGTTTGTTATGCAGTGCAGTAAGCCAAATGATTTGGGTGAAGGCTGAAGCAATGACGAGGGGTACATACTCCGTCGGCTGTGGGGGTATCAGACTTCCCCCACCACTGCTACAGTACCAGTCTCGCTCAGTTGCAGTTCGCCTTCCATCGACCCAGAACGGTCTTGAGGTTCTGCTGGCCTGAATCTTGCGGTTGGTCGACAGGATATCAATCTTCCCATTCGGCCGCTTCCTTGACCACGATGGCAGTCAGAGAAGCCTCGCATGCGGGTTCATGGTACTCGGATAACGGCGGGCAGTTATCAGCGCAACTGGACGTCTGGTTGTCTAAAGTGCCCGAGAAGAATATCCTGCCTGGAGTGGAAAGGCTACCATTACCGGGGGCGAGAGTGGTTATATCTCCTCATGCTGGATACGCATATTCTGGCCCTTGCGCAGCATGGGCGTATAAGTGCCTGGATCTGTCCAGAGCTAAGCGCATCTTCATCCTACACCCATCTCACCACCACCACCTGAGCACAGCGGCGCTCCCAGTGGTGGACGCATACGAGACTCCTCTGTCCGAGACCCCTCTACCTCTCGACCGTGAAACCATTAAACAGCTCTCCAGCCTGTCTACCACCGCTCAAGGTCGAACGATCAAATTCACCACCATGTCTCAATCGATCGACGAAGCCGAGCATAGTGCCGAGATGCAATTGCCATATATCCATCGCCTACTGCAGAAACTATACCCCGACCAGCCCGAATCCTCATATCCTCCACTCGTGCCGATCATGGTCGGCGGGACGAATCCGGCGACCGAAGAAGCTCTAGGAAAGATGCTGGCACCATACATTGCAGACGAGCAAAATGCATTCGTCATATCGTCCGACTTTTGTCACTGGGGAAGCAGATTTGGGTACACTTATTACCTTCGGGACGCACCCAGTCCGGCGGTGTCACCGCTGATGCTTCCGAACGGTGTTGGTGGAGAGCACACCACGGCGCGAGAGTCGACGAATGAAGATGTCCATAAGACACCCACGCTGAGTCAAGGGGAGGAGCTTAGATCAAATAGTAAACTCCCGAAAGGCGGGCCTCAGATATATGAGAGCATAGCACATGCGGACCGAGCTTGTATGTGCGCGATTGCCACTGGGAGGCATTCGGAGCTGCTTCGTGTGCTGCGAGAAACAGGGAATACCGTGTGTGGCAGACATCCCATTGGAGTATTCATGGCTGGCGTGGAGGAAGTTGAACGACGGGAAAAGGAGAAGGAGAAGGACCCGGACAATGCCCGAAGGAGTTTCAGGTTCATGAGGTACGAGAGAAGCAGTGATGCTGTGAGCGTCAGGGACAGCAGCGTCAGCTATGTGAGTGCATTCGCGGTACTCTGAGCTCTGAGGCCTTCAGGGCAGCTAGTGCAGATGAAAAGAGGGCGACAGGTACCCATGTCCGTGAACAGAAGAGATGGAGGTGCCTGACCTCTGACCTGACACTGAGGCAATCACATGTTTAGAGATATCAACCGCAGGAGGGGCTTAGGCTGTGTTGTGGGTGTCAGAGTCATCGGCATCTGCATCAGCATCAGAGTCGGCAGCGGCAGCGGCGGCAGCATCGGCAGCAGCAAAACAGCATTCCCACAGGACTTGAGGGCGTTAAAGCAAGCAAGCATGAATGAGCCATTGATTGGGGAAGGATGAGAGAAGAGAAGACTTAATCAAGCCTGACGATCTTCAATTCAATTAGACCATACGAGTACGTATAGAACCCAGCACCAGCTGGTCTACCAGAACGGGACGGGAACCAACCAGCCGGTGGCGACGGAATTCTCAGCCACCGCATCCGTACCGAAAGTCTAGGTACCTACAGAATGTAACATGCACCTAACATGTATGTACTCTGTACTCTGGACTTACTACCTACCACATAGGTAGGTACCTAACATGTACTCTGTACTCCGTACTCTATACACCGTACAACTGGAACTATGCCTCCCATCCAAGCAGAATTGAAGTGGATGATGGATGAAAGTACTCGTACGGATACTCAGTTACGAAAACCGACCCAATTAATTCCTAGTCCTAGTACTTTAATCAGTCGATCATCGCATCGATCCTCACATCGATCCTCGCATTGATCATCAAATCATCCCCAGGTTTTCCGGGCCTAATACGGAGCATGGAGTACGGAGTTAAGGTAGGTAGTCTCCGTAGTAGTACGGATACTCCGGACTATTAGTGTATCAGAAACCGCTACTAGTGGGAGCCTGGGACACTTGGACTATCTGATCGCCCGGGCGTTCGACGTTCGACGACGTCATCACCCAATGGCAACGGCATCGGCAACGGCACATGGCACCAGATGGCATCAGATGGTGTACTAGAGCACAGAATACAGAGTCTAGAGCAGAGTACAGAGCAGAGTACAGAGTACAGAGTACAGAGTACAGAGTACAGAGTACAGAGTACAGAGTACAGAGTACAGAGTACAGAGTACAGAGTACAGAGTACAGAGTATAGTATAGAGTACAGTGTTCGATATTATGTCTGGCCCTATACTAGGAAATTCAAGACGCTCCATTTTGACTCTCAGCTATAAACACCACGCGACGCACGATTTGTGGGGGGTATCCGTTGGTAAAGTAGGGGACGTAGCATAGCATGTCCATGCCCCAAAAAATACAGTCATCACCAAAAACGCTTTCAGTATTCACACTTTCTGGTGTCCGATAAGAGTCCAGCCTCGCGTTCAACAATCCATTACGGCCGGTGTCATCGCATTCTGGTATCACAAACCCCACATAGACACCATCCCGCAGCTGCAGGTGTAGGAATATTTGGACCGGCCAACATTCACCAACGCTATCAAAGGTGGTATAGCACGGCGCGGGTCGGCTATGCGGTGTGTTCGGTCTTGTTGATGCCGCGGGCAGCCCTGCCCTTCTCCGACCAGGGGAAGTGGGCGACAGGGATGATGAAGAAGCTGTTGGAGGTGTCGGCGAGACCGGCGAGGGCGTTGTACCAAGCCAAAAAGGCGGCGAGGATGCCAAATGAACCTCCGGCGCGCAGGCAACTGGTCCTGGGCGCGCCGTTCTCCGGCTGCAGGTAGGCGATGCCCAACAAGAGGAAGGTCAGGTCGAGCGTGAAGAAAAGCAGGAAGAATGCGACGGTGGATTTCAGCGTGCAGAAGAGAAGGATCGTGGTGAAGATGAACCAGCCCTGGCGATGCAAGATTAGCACACGCACACACACACATACACGCACACCGCCGATGGCCTAGCTTCACGGTAGACATACCATTAAGTAGAAGCCTAGACAGTCAAGGAACGCCTTGCCGCCGGCTGTAGCTTCAATGGTGCTCTCAATTTCGAAGCCACCAGGGGTTAGGATGATGGCGAAGGAAATCCAAAAGCCGCCGTACGAAGACAGAGCGGTGGCACCGAAAGTGTTACCTACGGCCATTTCCCTGTTGTGAACAAACACATGTTAGCCTGGCTGACAAACAGACAAACATAACAGCCCTCGAAAACACCGGACAGTCAGAAAGAGTTCCAGACGTACCACATGCCAGCCAGAAGCTGCACCAGACCACCATATCCAAAAGCCAGCGAAATGATGATGTTGGGCACCGCCACGCCTCGAGTTCCCAAGTTGATCAAGCTGAGCACGAACGTGGTCAAGGCGAACGCGGCCAGACCGAGAGGAGCCGGATTGGCGAATTTGCGTCCTTCGACCGGCCGGTAGAGACCAGGTTGGAACTCACCACCGAATGCTAGCAGGGAGAAACGTGTCAATGACTGCAGTGGCCCTGGCGTGTCCTCCTCAAATGAGCCATATCTTACCTGGAAGGGTGGCTTCGCCATTGGCGGTGCGCACGTGCGCCAAAGGACCATAGCCAAAACGAGCAGCTTGCTGAGCCCGCGACTTTTCCTCGTGGCTCATGCCTCGAGTAACCTTTTCAAAGTCCTGAGTGGCTGGGTCAGAATTGGCACCATTGAGCGTGGCCGGATTTGCGTCGTTGTGGAAGGCGTTGTGTTCTGTGTTGGTCGCCATGGCGGATGAATGTGTGATGATCTTGATCAAGGGGTGGGAATGCTAAGGTATTGAATTACTCTCGTTTTCGCAGAGGCAACCGGACACGAACAGCGGCGGGACCGGAGAGGTGGGAGAGACTGAGGACAGCAGGAATTGATCGCGCTTAACTAGTTGGGAGGGGGATGGGATTGTTTATGTACATTGAGCACAGTCTGTAGTATGCGCGGGCCACGACCAGGCAGGGGTTCATGGAGCATTCTGGGGAACTCGAAGGGGATGCTCTAGCAAGTGCCGGGACTCGGCGGGGACTTGGGGCGAACGGACGCTGGACAGACTGGAAGAGGACTGGAGCATCTGGAGACAAGATCATCCAGGGTCAAGAGCTAGAGGGTGGATGGCATTCGACCGAACCAAGGGGAGCGGGCGGAGGGTTGGATGGAGGGGAGGGAGCACCAGGAGCAGGTGGGCAGATGACATGGTTGAGCTTGGACGGTTGGGCTTGTATTGGTATGGTAGCTCACACATAGGCGAGGAGGAGGCATGATTCATTCAACCATGGAGCAGGGCCGACAGGGACGGTAGGATAGCGGGCGGGCGACAGGCGATGGGCCTCGACTAGGAAGCTGGAACCAGGGAGCCAGACTGCGGTCGGTGGTGAAGTGTGTCCAGGACGGGTGGACGTGTGGAAGAAATCGAAAGCTATGACGGGGAGAGAGGCAGAGGTGAGAGGTGACCGCTTTCGGATTGGCCGGGTGGTGGATCTGCCCACTGCATCAGGCGAGGACCAGCAGGACCAGCAGGACCAGGATGGAATGGGATGACATATGGCATACTCCGTAGAAGCGATGGTGATGACCAGTCGAGAAAGTGGCCTGAACAAATACGGCGGGCGAGCGGAGTTGGAGCTGAAGCGGTACGGATACGGATATAGATTTTAGATTCTAGATTCTATAATAATTCGAGAGCACTGTCACGCCACTCCCACTCCTACTCTGACTCCCACTCCGGGGCATTAATGTCCATTGTCCAGTGCAGGAACAAGAACACAATCGACAGTACGGAGTACTCTGTACAAGTCCCGATTTGTCTTGCGCAGGCATAGGCGCAGGCGCAGGCAGACCAAAGCAACAATATAGCAGTGGCAATAGAGTATGTGCAAGACCCTGAAGCCTAAGCCCCGGCGCGTGACCGGCACGACCACGTCCACGGTCTCCATCCGGACTCGTACCAAATAATAAATCAATCAATCAATAATAATAAATGTTGCTTTGCTTTGTCGCCGTCATCGATCATCGATTCATCAGCAGCGGCCGGAGTTTTTCCCTATTTCGATGCACTAGCACGGCCATCATTCTTGCTACTAGAACTAGTACCAATTATCCATGACACCAGACTTTCTTCACTTTCTTCATGATTGGGATTGTTTGTTGTTATTGTCATTATATTATTGTCATCAAGGTAGCATCTACTCCGTACCCACGTCCCACCGCCATCTTGCATACTCTGATACTCTGTACGTACAGAGTACTACTCCGCTGTTGCCAAAAGAATCGGGCTAAGGCCCCTCCCCTTCCGCCCGACCAGGCGTTGATCCAGATCTGGATTCAGCCGGGCAGACCTACAGTAGTAGTGGTAGATATTAACTCTGCCGCCGGCTCTCAAACATCATGGAGCTGTGGCTAAGACAACAACGGCATGCCTTTCCTGGACCTTCCGCTCCTCCGAAAGTGCCTTAGGGCCTCCTGCTCTTACTCTCGTATCCTTAGAAAGGAGCCGGTTCTCGCCCGCATATTCCAAATGGTGACAGGTCAGGCCACTCTTGAAATCCCCGGGCTCCTAAGACCACCATGTTGAACCCCCGGCCTGGCGCTCATCTCACACCCGTGGCCACGTTTATGCACGGCACGCTGGGATCTGTTGCCTCTAATGTGAGGTACGGATACATGACTTCGGCCCCTCCCCTGTCGCGCGCGACCTCACCTTCCTTTTCGCCTATTTTCGCGCCTTTGAGAGCCTGTCACAAGGGCCGCACAGCAGCCTTGCGAGCATCTCACCTCAGGTCAACTCTCATGATCCTCGATAAAGACTCGGACCGTTTTGTCCTTTGCTCCTTTGCTCCTTGCTGCCTCGGCTCGCCTAGAACCCGGAGATCGCTCCATCGACACTGCCACGTGTAATCACAGTCTGGTCCAAGTTCACGAACGAAGACTTTCTGTGCTGGTGCTTAGGTAGGTAGGTATACATTGGAACATGTGCTGGCAGAACTTCTCCTCCTAATCCCTACCGACTGAGTTGTAGTTGTCTGGTATGATATTATGCTTCTTTATGTAATCTTGACTCTATGACTGCGGGATTGTCCAATTGTTCAATTGTCCTGCACGCTGACACCTGCGCCAGCTAACTCTCGTGCGACATCTCACTTCACCCCGATGTCTCTAGTTGCCATGGCATTGATGCATACATACTCATTCTTCCAGGTCGATATGATCACCTCTCAAAGGTCCCGGGATACGACGACGAAGCTCAACCTACCTGATCTTGATGTGAAAATTTGAGTCTGGGAGAGGTATCCTCCAGCATTGTAATCAGGGTAGATTGAAAAAGATGGTGGACCCTGTAAGGCGCCATCCATGTTTCCTTGGGAAGGAAACTCCTGGCTCACCTGGCTGTACCAAACAAAAAAAAAAGGCAGGCAGCCTTTCTTGACGCACAGGTACCCCATAGAGCATATTGAAAAACATAATCAGTACGAGTATTTTCACATTGTCTGTCGTAAATATAGTCCTGCTTCCCCACAAGGCAAGAAGAAACAGGGTGGAGTAGACATGGCCCTGCTAAAAGCCAGATTTCACTCTTCCACTTTGCGATATTGGAGCTTTTGGAAGGCTCCTGGATCCACGTCTTGATCATGGAGTAAAGGATCGAGATGCTTCCAGTCGTGGGGGGGGTAAAACATATGGATTGCAACCGACGACTGATATCACAGTCTGGCCGGTTGGCGTGGGCTACAAAAAAGCAAGACTTGCTTGATGGAGTAGCTGGCTGTAGGCCGTTAGCAACTGGTGCCGATGTCTGAGATGATGCTGAAATGACATACGAATCGAACCCAGAACCTTTTCCAATCGTTGAAACGACTGATGCTAAGGAACTGCGTTGAATTAGTCGCTGGTCGGAGGTGCAAGCCGGTGTGAGTAAGTCTTACACGTCATACCACTAGACCTGGTAGGAATCAGCGACCTGAGGAGTGGTTGTAGGAAGAACATAAATGCATACCACAACCCCGAATGAGCCTGGAAATCTTGAAGCCTGTGTGGGCTGATTTGATCCCGACATTTTGGGATTTAATTAGTTAATTAGGTAGAGAAAAGTTGAACCTGAAATTCAAACTCGAACAGGTCCAGCGCGCCAAGCCAGCTCAGACCACAACGGGACTAGCGCGGCTGAGGGCAGGTGCGGCACGGCACTTCCAACCTCCGACCTCCGACCGGCCAACCTCCATTTCTCAGCATCGTTCTTCGCTCTTCGCTCTTCGTTTCTCGTTTCTTCTTGTTTCTTCACACTTCATGAAAACAGATCTGTACGCATAATCAACCGCCAGCCCTCGGCAGGATGCTTCACCCGTATCCTGTCCCCATAGGCTGGTCAGGTCATATTGGCGAACTAGACCAATCCTTGTGAGGCACTTTAAGGCTTTCCTTTCGGGTGGTGGGTGCGCCTCTTCGGAGCTGTGCCCACTGTGGATGGAAAGTCACCTGCGTGCCGAACATCGCATCCCCTTCCCCTTTTTCTAGGTTGCTGTTACTGCAACGTCTTGGAATCCTGCACTGGCAGACTACAGACTACGGAGTATGTGTGCGTGAGAGCGCAGGCAGCACTACGCACAACCACCTATGGTCAGAGTCATGTTAGATTCCCTGGGCACCTTGAAGCCGAGGCCAGCATGCCGCGCATCTTCTCGACCGAAAGACGTCACGTTCCTTTCTCAGTCTCAGTATGAGCAGTCATCCTGGGAATCGACGGCGTCCTGGCAAACAACATACACATAAGCACCACGACACACCACCGTACCTGTAGTTATGACGAGAACACATGTGCTTTCCACGCGTCCTATAGCGCCTTGGGATTTATATCACATGCGACCTCGGGTTACAGCCTCTTGGACGATCTATTAAGCCTAATCGAGGCTGGCACCTGGAGACTGGAGCCTCGAAATGCAGAGAGAGTAACCCACCGTGGGGAGGCGAGGCTCTGGGCTCAGACCACTCACTACTGCTGCAACGCACGTACCGCGTGGTTTGCGACAAACAGCAGATCCAGATCCCCCAGATCCAGTTCAAGTTCATTCGTTCGCGCGCTTTGGCCAGATTAATTACTTATCCCGGGTTTCAGGATTAGCCGGGCCCTGGGAGGGTGTTCCATATTCCATGCCAGTGTCCCCGTGTCCACGTGTCAATCCGACTTTTGTCTAGAGTCACTGTATAGCAATACTGACAAGATTCACATGTGCTCGTCGGGGACTGATTCCAAGGGTGTGCCGAGAAATCCCTCGACCCCGTTGACAGGACAGAGCTATATTCCGAACCCGAACCACCATAGATCGAATCTTTGACACCCATTCCCGTCTCAATCTCATCGTCATTTCTTTCATATTATTATATCCAACTATTAACCATGTACTACAGCAGCGGCAACTACGAGGCTTTTGCTCGACCGCGCAAACCGGCCCGGGTGGACGACAAGACAGCCTGGTTCGTCGGGTCGGGCCTGGCGGCGTTGGCCGGGGCGGCGTTTCTGGTGCGAGACGCGCAGATGGCGGGCGACAAGATCACCATCCTCGAGGAGCTCGACCTGCCGGGCGGCGCGCTCGACGGGCTCGAGGTGCCGGAGAAAGGGTTTGTGATCCGCGGGGGCCGCGAGATGGAGGACCACTTCGAGTGTCTGTGGGATCTGTTTCGGTCGATCCCGTCGCTCGAGGTGCCCGGGGCCTCGGTGCTGGACGAGTTCTACTGGCTCAACAAGGACGACCCCAACTTCTCGCTGCAGCGCGCCACCGTCAAACAGGGCCAGGACGCCCATACCGACGGCAAGTTCGGGCTGACGGGGCCGGCGCAGAAAGACATCGTCCGCATCTTCCTCGCCACGCGCGAAGAGATGGAGGGCAAGCGCATCAACGAGGTGGTCGGCCAGGACTTCCTGCAAAGCAACTTCTGGATGTACTGGCGCACCATGTTCGCGTTCCAGGAGTGGCATTCGGCGCTGGAGATGAAGCTCTACTTGCATCGCTTCATCCACCACATTGGCGGCCTGCCCGACTTCTCGGCCCTCAAGTTTACCAAATACAACCAGTATGAGTCGCTTGTGCTGCCGCTGTACAAGTGGCTGCTCGACCAGGGCGTCAAGTTCCAGTACAAGACCGAGGTGGTGGACGTGGACTTTTCCATCGCCGATGGCCACAAGCAAGCCACCCACATCCACTGGGTGCGCGACGGCCAGCAAGGGGGCGTCGACCTGGGCCGGGACGACCTGCTGTTCATGACCATCGGCTCGTTGACGGAGAACTCGGACCTGGGCGACCACCACACGCCGGCGAAGCTGAAAGACGGGCCGGCCCCGGCGTGGGATCTGTGGCGGCGGATCGCGGCCAAGGACCCGGCGTTCGGCAGGCCCGACGTGTTCGGCGCGCACATCGCAGAGTCCAAGTGGCAGTCGGCGACGGTGACGACGCTGGACGGGCGCATTCCCGCCTACCTGCAGAAGATCAGCCAGCGAGACCCGTTCAGCGGCAAGGTGGTGACGGGCGGCATCGTGACCGCCCGGGACTCGAGCTGGCTGCTCAGCTGGACCGTCAACCGCCAACCGCACTTCAAGAAGCAGCCGCGCGACCAGATCGTGGTGTGGGTGTACTCGCTCCTGGTCGACGTGCCGGGCGACTATGTCAAGAAAGCCATGCAGGACTGCACGGGCGAGGAAATCACCCAGGAGTGGCTGTACCACCTCGGCGTGCCGAGCGACCACATCGCCGAGTTGGCCGCCACCGGCGCGCGCTGCGTGCCCGTCATGATGCCGTACGTGACGAGCTTCTTCATGCCGCGCCACGCAGCCGACCGCCCGGCCGTGGTGCCCGACGGCGCCGTCAACTTCGCCTTCATCGGCCAGTTCGCCGAAACTAAGTCGGGCCGCGACACCATCTTCACCACCGAGTATTCCGTGCGCACCCCGATGGAGGCCGTCTACCAGCTGCTGGCCGTCGACCGCGGCGTCCCCGAAGTCTTTGCCTCGACCTACGACCTCCGCAAGCTCCTCGCCGCCACGGGCCGCCTTCGCGACGGCCGAGAACTCGACGCCGCCCTGCCTGACTTCCTCCGCCGCTGGATCCTGCACAAACTCGACCACAACGAAGTTGGGGAGTTGCTGCATCAGTATCATCTGATCTAGCCTCCAGAGTACCATCTGATCTAGCCTCCAGAGTACCATCTCTAGCCTCCCACAGGGCCACAGGGCCAAACTTGACCCCGGCCTTTTTCTTCTCCTTCGCTTTTCTTCTAGGAAAACAACTGCCGGTCCCCCCACCCCTATGCGCTTTGGTTTCTTTCAAGTAGAAGTAGGCGGCTGAGCCAACCTACTTACTGTATAGGTATATACAAACAAGACGTTTTGTGAGTGACCAAAAACAAAAAAAGTACTCTTTCCTATTCCTATTACGTACGTAGCAACATCTCTTCTTCCCTGTTGAGTCCCGGTCGAGGACTGTAACAGTTTCATTTTACATACTATTTGAGGTGGAGTAGGAGTAGGAGATGCAGAAGTTCTTTGCCTCGCGCCTAGGTTTAATTGCAGTCCCGTTCCGTTAGTGAGATTGGCCTACTATTCAAAGTGTCTAGGTCTAGATGTACTCTTCCTATTATATATATCTCTTCTTCTCTGTTAATCCCCGGTCGAGGACCTTGCCTCGAGGCTAGGGAGGGTAGGGTTTAATTGCAGTCCCGTTAGTGATTGGCCTAATCAACGTGTCTAGGTCTAGATGCACTCTATGCTTAGTAGTTCCATGCCGACGCCCACGACCAAGACCTTGTAGCTTTGTTTGGTACATGTGTGATCGTCAGTGCGTCCTTCTGAACGAGCCACTCTGGCCAAGGCAGGAGAATCAGCAGCGTCTTTGGAGTCGTAGAGACCTGTTCCTGTTCCTGTTCCTGGGAGGGGGCAAGATTCGGGACTCCCTCCATCTGCGTCATGCAGACCGATCTCCGACTCCGAGATGGGAGTAGGACCAGAAGCAGGGCTAGGAGTAGTGTAGTCCTCGTTCTCGATGATCTCGAGTCCACTTACATCCGCAACACCCGTCCACTCACTCGCGGCTCGCTGGACCTGTATAGCCTTTAGGACTGGGTCGTCATCATTCGTGTCGCTGATCCCGTTGTTAGGGGTGCCAGTTGCAGTGCGTGGGACCGGCGCGGCAGCCAAAAAGTCATTTGAATCAAGGTCGATATGGACCATCCATACTTTCACGCGCTGGTCGTTCCCTGCTGTGATTACAGCGAGCGACAGCCTCGTCGGTGTTCTTGTCAGGTCTGTGATCTTCAGGGCCGTCACGGCAGCGGCGTGGGCTTGTGGGATGAGGATGGTCCGGAAGCGATGCGGGGAGGGGTTGTCAAGGGGCAATTGGTTAGAGATAGGCGTTGCACCCCGGTACTCACTGGGGTTGTGGAAGTTGTCTTGTTGAGAGGAAGATGGTGCCGTTGACTTGCTGGTGGGAACAGAAGAAGGAATGGAGCTGGAGGATGAGGCTGAGGCTGATGAGACGAGTGTGAGACCAAAGCCATTGTCGTCGCCTCCAGTCGCGACAAGGTATGTTTCCGGGCCCAGACGCATCACGTCCATCGCGAGGATGCTGCTCTGATGCGTTCGGTTCACTTGTATTGCTAAGGGCGCGGTCCTATCTCCCCTTGGCCTGTCCGTACCAAGGACTGCTGCCGTAGAGTTGAGGTTCAGGTACCCGTTCGTGCCAGCAGACAAGACATATACTTGAGTATCGGCACTTTTCACGGGCAGAAAGGTCGGGCGCAGGAAGAATGCTTGCATCACACAGAAGGAGCCATAGACGATCTCGCGCAGCGCTTCGTATGTTCCTTGATCCCGTGCCGACGAAGGTGTGTATCGTACAATCTTCGCTTTGCCATTGGAGTAGGCGAGGGCCAAGGTGTACGATTCACTGAGAGTATCTTCTATGATTCTCTCACCGCTAGTATCGGCTTGGTGTGATCCATTTGTGCGGACCGTGGACAGACTTTGGATCAGATCAAAGCTCATGATCCTAGCATCCGAATCTTCCTCCCGTGTGGGCATCATATCCCACAACACGGTCCCGATACCAACGCCGGGCACGCCAGAGCTGAGTTTCCATGCGTAGAATTCTTCGCTTCCGGCACTGCTGAAGAGAAACTCACCCGAAGAGGAGAATAGGAGGTGTTGCAGGCCGGTGGTATGCCGCTTGAGTGTCGCAACCCTGTGAAAGGTGGTGTTGACTTTGTGGCCATCGGTTCCGGGATCTCTAGGTTTGCCTCTTGATTTAACGGAGGGCCCAAGCGCGAACAGTTGGATGGTTGTGTCTTCGGCTCCTGTGGCGATGAGAGTCTCGTTGTAGATGCACTTTGGATATCGTGCTACTGCTTTGATCTCGCGCCCGTGCCCGCCGTTCTGGATCGCGGTGTGGGTAGGACCCTGAGCGAGGTGCCAGTTTACTCTGCCGGCTTTAGTCCAAACGAAAGTCCTTGCTCCGACGTTAGCTTTTCCCGAATCCAGGGCCTCATTGGTGGGAATGATGGACTCCTTATACGACCAAGAACGATGGGCGCCACCACACTCAATGGACAGCAACAGAGATTGCTGTGTCTCGTTCCAGACGACGAAAGAGGTCGAGCGAAAGCCGTAGAGTATCAGGTCCGGGGAGTCCAGCAAAAGAGATGATCCCTGAGAACTGAAATATGCACCTTCAATGTTGGGACCGAATGGTGGTGAAGATAGGTGGACGGTGCATAATCCGAGCTCCGTTTTTAGAGAAGGCTCTGGCATAGTAAGACGATGTATAGCATATGTCCCATCACGCCCTGTGGTCAGGACGTGTACTGTCCGGGTCTTGTCGAGATCATCTTGAAGCCTCAAATCCCAGTTCAGAATGGTTATTGAGGTCACGCTGTCAGAACCGTGAAGATGGCGAAGGCAGAATGGCTCTCCAGAAGTTTCCGTTGTAGGGGCCACCGATCTATAGACCGCCAGTGCACCAGCGCGGGATCCCAGATAGAGGACTTCTCTGGCGGGATCATAACGACAGGCTGTGACCGCGAAAGTACTGGGCAGTAAGATGATGGTCTCCTTGACACTAAACACCAGATTGTCTAGTGTTAGCCAAAGGACGATTGCTCGTTTGTCTGTGAGCACCGCCACCAAACAGATAGTAGTGGATGATAGACCGGCAACGCCCTGAGACGCAACCTGCATCCAGGATATGCCGATTTCCACAGAAAGTGGGATGGATATGGGAGTGCTCCAGTCCGCGAGTAAGGCCGAAAGTCCCCCCCTCTGTTGTGCTAGGAAGGTGACTCCCTGCTCGTCAGCATAGCAAGCCACAGGGGCACCTCTTCCGGGACTCTTGTGGACTTGGTCGACCTCAACCGGCCCCGTAGTGGTCCTCAAGCGATATAGCTCACCAGACTCAGTTGTTGCGAGGCATTCATTCTGATTCAATATGAGGTAATGCTTCAATGCTTGAGAAGATCCAGTGATCTCATTGAAAGATTTTGAAACTGTGAGGGAGGAGGTGGTGGTGCAGAGCCCACCGGTCTCTAGACGTCTCAATATAACCTGCCCGTCAGCGCCGCCGGTGCAGACTGTCAAGTATTCTCCGAGTCCGAGCTGCGACATGGACCATATATTTTTGCCGCTATGATGTCGATCCTGGTATATCGGCTTGAGGAGGCCAGCCATCTCTGTATCGGTAACGAAACCCGGAGGAGATTCGTAAGACCAGAGTTGCAATGTAGCATCCTCGCCCCTTGAAGCTAGGAGCACCCGAGATCCACCTCTAGTCGCTCGGTGCGAGATGAATTCAACGCCCCATATGCGTGATTGATGGGCCCAGACAGATGCTAACTGAGGCTCTCCCGCCTGTGCGGCATTTCCAAAGCCCGTTTCCGTCAAAGGGATGTTGGAAGATGTGGCATGGGCTGGCTCGTCACAGTCACTGATGTCCCAGAGCCTGATTGTGCGGTCATCGCTGCAGCTCGCCAGCAGACGTCCATTGCGTCCGGCTAGGTCGACAGGCTCAGAGATAGCCACGCCGAATATGGAGCCTCTGTGTCCATGGAATATGTGTTTCGTCAAGGTTGACCATTCATTGTCTTTGCTTCCCTTAAAGCAAATCCAAACCAAGATCTCCCCGAAGACGGTACCGGAGGCTACTATGATGAGGTCTGAGCTAGCAACGCATAAGTCTCCCGAATATAGGAAGGATTCCGGCCCCTTTATGACGGCCACTAAATTTGGGCATTGTTTGTCCGAGTGAGATTCTCCTGGAGCAGTTACTTCGAGAAGCACGTCATGCGCGGTCAACAGGAAGATGCTCGAGCTGAGCAGTGCGACGTCCAGAATCCAGTCTGGTAAAGTGAATGCGCCCAGCACGCAGAAATCCAGTTTGACCTCTCCGGCATTGTCGCCATCAGCCACGATAGTCAATCTGCCAGACTTCAACAACGGTCCGCCCCAGAGAACGAGGCTGATACATTGCGTTCGCTGTTGGGGGTCGGGGTCCGTGGCGACCTGAATGCCATGAACGGGCTGAGCCTCGAAGACCCGTGTAGCCAGAAGTCGGTGTCCATGTTGGTTATAGACATGTAAGTGGGGACCCTGCCCTGCTAATACTAGCAGTCCTCCGTAGATTTGAACGGATCGGAGCGCAGTAACGGGCAGACAAGTGCCTTCAGACTGAGAAAGAAGAGTTCAGCAGGTCCACGATCCAATGCGTGAGGGTTGCACCTACATTGACGACACATGTCGCTAGAGGGCCGACCATAAGTCCAGGGGTTCAATGAAGTGAGATCATGAGCGAGAACGGCGATGTGTCAAGGGAAGAAAATCTCCCTTCCCAGACTGGGAGTACTTGAAGTACATGCAATACAGACCTTGACATTGCACGGATTGAAGGTCTGACGCCAGATTTGTAGGTCTGGCATGTCGTCATTATAAACTATATAAAGTACGTTTATGCTAATGGAGCGGTCTCTTTTGCTGGTCACAGCAGCATCTCCCTTTTGTCAGACGGATTATATATTCTTGTCAGACACGTCAGCCTGCTTCCTGACCTTAATGGCGGCGGGTGCCAAGCCTTTGTAGAGCGGAAGCAGCCACTTCACCTTCGGGAAGCCTCCCTTTCCGCCTGTTCACTGCCACCTTCCACTGCGTCTGCATTCCAAGTCGGCTCTCTGCAGCGACCAACTCTCGCGGCTCGCAGTCGCAGTCGCGGATTGCCTCGGTCTGTTCATTTCATGTTGACCCAGTCCCTAGACGGAGTCAAACAACGGCCCGAAGCCGCGTCACGCGTCGAGTGCTCGTGCTCGTACCACAAGGCTACTCTACAATAATGACCCAAGATGAGCGGTCCAGGTCCCAATCGATACTTCACTCTCAACCCCAGCGCATATGGACAACCGCCCCCTCCCTCACATGAAAATCAGCATCAGCATCCTCGCCTGTCTGGAATGGGGCGACACTCATATGCACAATTACGTCGCTCTTTGCATCCTGCTACCTCAACTCCGCGCGAAGTCATTGTCCTGAGTGATTCCGAGGACGAAACTCCTGTGAGGCGCAGGGAGTTGGGACCATTGCCCTCATCTATTGATCTAACACAAGACTCAACACCATCCAGTTCGAGAAGAGGGACCCCTACCACTCCACCTCCGCAGCCGTCATTTAGACCACACTTCTCGCAGCTGTTTCCCCTTGACGGGGCATACAGCTCACAAAGAGAGTCCGTACGGTCTGGGACTGCTGGCATTACATATTCCGTTCGCACACAACATCCGACGGCTACGACCAGGCATCAACCTCCGACGCGGAGTGATGATGACTCTCCTTTACGCCGGAAGTCTCAAGGCGCAATGACAAACAATCACCAATCACCGCCGCAAAGCCGACCAAGAATTGTTCTTCCATCGCTCACAGAGCCGCCCATACTCTCGCCCCTGACTAGCCCCAAGCCTGGACCTATTGCAGGAGTGCACAACGAGGCGGGACACCTCGACCCTCCTCAACCACCACAGACCTTCAGTACCACAGGAGGTGTCAAGTCTCGAGTTTGTGCTGCTTGCCGTCGTGTCAATCTATTGTGCGATGGTGCCCTGCCCTGTGGACAATGCAGACAGCGAGGGGACCGTGGATGCTCATATCCAATATCGACATCTTCATCTCCACGGGCTCCAGCCAACCCACAACAGCCTCTGCGGTCCCCAATGCCAATTAAGGTCTTCAGACCCCTTGAGCGTGTCTCACCTGTCCGACCTTTCCAGCCTGTCCAGCCTGTCCAGCCTGTCCAACCAACAGAATCTGCTCAACCCGTGCGGACTGCTCAACTCATACGGCCTGCTCCACCCATGCAGCCTGTCCAGTCTGTCCCATCAGCAGAATCTGCCCAACCCGTGCGGCGTGCTCAACTCATACGGCCTGCTCTACCCATGCAGCCTGTCCAGCCTGTCCAACCAACAGAATCTGCTCAATCCGTGTGGCCTAGTCAACTCATACGGCCTGCTTCATCCGTGCAGCCTGCCCAGCTTGTCCAACCATGGGAGTCTGCTCAACCCGTGCAGCCTGTTCAGCCTGTTCAGCCTGTCCAACCAGCAGGATCTGCTCAACCTGTGCAGCCTGTTCAGCCTGTTCAACCAACAGAACCTGCTCAAGCCGTGCAGCCTGCCCAGCCTGCTGAACCTATTTCACCCGTCCAACCCGTCCAACCAACGCAACCAACGCAACCGACTCGACCCGTGCAGCCTGCCCGGCCCGGAGGAGGGGATGCACAAACCACAGAGCGGCGGTCTATGGTGGTAAAGTTAAAGCTGCGATCAGATAAAAGGCCAAACAAAGGCTCCATTGTAGATATCGCAAGCTCAGAGCATGAATCGATCACAAGTGTCAACAAGCCAAACGGCTTTCTAGACCGCAATGGAGTGGCATCAAGCCCTCCAGGCTCTGGCGGACGACCAGCGGCTAGGGTTGTTTCGCGTCTTGAAAATAGTCATGGGGTTACGGGCGAGTCTTCCCGGCGAGTTGATGATGTCCTGATCCAGCAGAACACCTCCGACAGTGAAACACATGCTAGCGAGCATGAGCATCATGCCGATGACGAAGATGAAGCATCTGCATTACTCAGTATCCCACGTTTTCAACGGAGAATCGAAGCAAATGTCCAAGAAATGGAATCCCTGATGGAAGAAGTACATAAGCAGCTGCAAGCATGGCAAGAGATGTCTGTTCAAGCCAACCTCAGACGGGCGACAGCCGAGATGAGGACTTACCCGAGACCCAGACTTGACTCGTCGGCCGGAGACCCCTTCCGAGCTATCACTGAGCAGCGGAGGTCTGGCCTCGGTGCAGAACCCAGGCCGCAAGATAAATCACAAAACAAGAAGTTGGCGGTCATCCGGACCCCTGAACACGCCTTCTGGACTGGAGCGACCTTGCTGCCAAAATACAAGTCCATCGGGCGTGTCTCAAGAAGTTTTCTTGCACCGAATTATCGCACCGCTAAATATCGACCTTATGACGCCGAAGACGAGATCCAGGACCCAGATGCGACTGAGAAGTATGCTGAACTTGAGCAAAGGTTCAACAACAACTATCCCGGCTTGAAATCTCAGCGACAGTGTCAAGAACTAGTCTGGCTTTGGCAACCCTGGGCAGAAGAACTTTTTGTATGCCTGGGGATCAGCAAAAGTGACGTGTTGTACTTCTTCACGCAGGATCATTTCGACCCGGACCGTGAGCTTACATACGCGTGGTCCGCGGAGTCATCAAAAGCATGGAGAGAGGAACAAATGAGACGATGCAGGACATGTGAGCTTGCAGATCCCGAGAGCAGATGGTCCCATTTCAGCGAAACGTTTAACAGTCTTCCCAAGCCCAGCAATCGGAGCCTCGCCCTTGCCGGACTGGTCGCTCATGCTTTTCACCAGCGGACTAGAGTGAGTTTGTGGCACGTCGCCATCGGTGGCCTTCTACAACCACGATATGAGGATCCTCAGACCCTGACGAGGAGAGCTCCTAACTTTTGCGTGCTCTGTTTCCGCCATCATTGCCCTGACCATGGTTCTTATGAGGAGCCAAACAACGAGGACGTCGGTGCAAAAGATGCTGAAGAGCTCAAAGCTTATATCAACGACGAGGAACAGAATCACAACCTCCGGAAGTTCATGTCACTACCAGTTCGTAACCGACATGATAGTCCTAAGCATATGTGCGGAGTCTTTTGTGTCGAGCCATCTCAAAAGCTGTCTCAATTGATCGGTCGGCGAATCGACGGGACTATTACAGGCCATAGTCGAAAAGTGAGTCCGGCTAAACAAGTTTTGGCGGACGACGAATTCTGTAGCTCCTCCTGTTTCTGGGACGTTACTACCCGGCGCGACATCCAGATATCAGACGTCAAGTTTGAGCCTTTTATGTCGCAGTCACAGAAATTGTTGGTCGACAAGCTCATCCGGTTCTATCTGAACAACAAACGAGGTCCATGTCTCATATCTCGCATCATCAAAGATGTGAGCTGCCTCATGGTATTTCATTACACAATTTACTGCATAGCCCATATACCCCATTCTGTCGCAGATTCTGGGGCGACGTCTGACAGTAGCACGGCTGAGCGACACCTCCATCACGCGCGCAAGAAGAAGAAACCGCTGCCAATCATTGATGTGTCGAGGAGTGCCGAGTTGGACCAGCGGCCGCCTTTTATGCCGTGCTCGCACGATGGCCCTTGTCACAGCAATCCGGCCTGCACTTGCTCCCGGAGTAAGGTACACTGTGAAAGATTTTGTGGATGTGACAAATCTTGCAAGAGACGCTTTCGCGGTTGTAGTTGCACCACACGAGGGAGTAAGATCTGCTTCAAAGACCCCCGGTGCGAGTGTTGGAAGCTTAACCGCGAATGCGATCCATCCTTGTGTGGCAAGTGTGGTGTTGTTGAAGTCCTGGACTCAGCGAACAAGTACAAAGACGACGTTCGGCGAGGACGATGCCGGAACAATCGGATACAGCTGGGTCTTCCGGCACCCACCACCAAAGCGCCCAGCCAGGTGCAAGGCTATGGGCTCTACAGCAGAGCGGACATTGCCAGTGGCGAATTCATCGGTGAATACACCGGGGAGATTGTCAGCATCTCGGAGGGAGATCGACGAGGAGCCATGTACCACGTCTTGAATCAGGAATATCTATTTGTCATCAACAGGGGCCAGGAGATCGATGCGTCCAACAACGGCAACAAAATGAGATTCATGAACAACTCGCAACTGGAGGAGAACATCAACGTTGAGCCCAAGAAACTCTTGTGCAGCGGCGTGGTTCGAGTTGGCCTGTTCGCGAAGCGCTTTGTCAAAGCAGGCGAGGAACTGCTGTATAACTATAATTACCCGGAATCGGTGGTGAAGAATTTTTGGGAACCAGGCGAGCGACCGTCTTCTGGGCGGAGATTGATTCCAACGGGCTCCGAACGCATTGCGCGAACCACCGGGGCGAACAAGCTGGCAGATGAGAACGTCAACGAGATGCGTGAGGAGAGCAGCCAGTCTCCCTTGCCTCGTCACACGAAGCGGAAGAGGGCTTTCGAGGAGAGTCTCCTTGCCAGTCACCGGTTCGACGCTCTCAGCAACAATGACGACGAATCCGAGAATTCCACACTCGACATCCAGACAGCGCCTGAGGTTGATGATAGTGAAGATCCAGATTATGAGAGTAACAGCCTCGCATATGATGAAGGCGACATGGAGGACGACGCGGACCAGGAATCAGATCTCGAGGCCGTGGAGACCCAGCCGAGGCAGACAAGGCGTTCATCCAATCGTCGTCCACTGCCAGGTGGTGAAGGCTTGGGGCGCCATATTTCTACGAGCAAAAGCATGGGTGGAAGTAGATCGCGCGGGCGTAGTGCGCAGCGCATTGGCAGAAACCAGAGCCGAAGTCACAGCGGGACGAGTTCCAGCGCAACAATGAACAGCCGGCGGAGACGCAAGATTGGGCCTCACGACAAGCGGCTCGGAGGGCAGGCCCAACAACAGGCATGGCGCACCAGAAGACTGAGAGAGTCTCTGGGGTTGTCCATGTCACCTAGTACGGGTTCCGCATGATCGCGAACGGTGATGGCCTTCAGCTTCCACGATCTCTTTCTGACGTGCATTGCATGGTGGAGTTTGGAGTTGGCCAGGGGAACCAGGGGAACTGGGGGTGCCATTTGACGAATGACGAGAGAAGTTAGGGTGGTGCGCAGATTTCGCGCAGCTCCCTTGATCATCACATGCCGAACCCTGCCCTGCTGTGGGAGAAGATATGGTTCTGTGATGCGGAGCATGGGGCTGTGCATACCTGGCCTTGTCAAACAAAGCTACTTGGATTATTGCTGCTCTATTGATTCGTTCCGATAATATGGAGCTGGGATCTTTCCCCGGTGGTGGTAGCCAGGCACTTGCTTTCATTCTTTTGTGGCAATAAATGTACAGCGATGACGTGAGCGGCTTGTTGCTTTGGCGACGCGATCAAAGGTTCAGCCCACTGCGGCACCTTGGACCTTGGGCCTTGGGCCCCAACCGCCCACCACTCATTCGCGCCTAAGCCTCTCCGTCGTGCCTCTAGAGCCAAAAAAGAGCCCCTGTAGCTGCAGCTGATATGTGTGGTCTGTAGATCCCAAATCTCAACGAGGTCGATCGATGTACCTGCGCTGCTCGTGGACTTTTCCGTGTCCATACCGAGTGTGCCTTTGGAACTTTGATTCCGGAGGACTGGAGAGAGAAAGGATGGAAGGACGAGAGACGCCGACGGTTTGCAGGTGGAGCGGAGTGGCCGGTCCGATGTCATAGATGCGGTACTAGTAGTCTTTGACAGTTTTGCCAGAGTGGCTTGCAGCCGGCTGGGTCAATTGAACATGGCATGATGGGCCCAACAGTTGTGTGGATTCCGAGCCGGGAGCAGGGAGCAGCGAGTGGACTGGGGGAGAAGAGAAACAGATCGGAGGCTGGGATGCGGACGCTGGCAAGGGGCGTAGTAGTGGTGGTAGTAAGCTGCTAGTTATCATCATACTACTCTGTACCCTCTGGAACCGCATCCATCCGGGACGTCATCGCAACACCGTCACCATTCATCTCATTCCATTCTTTAGTCCCCTGACCTCTACCCGGACACCTTCTTCAAAACTTCCCTAAGATTGCATCTTCTGAGAATTGTGAAAGTCCCTCTACAATCCTCCAACATCGCATCTACCGTTCGTTAACACCATCACTTTGCGCACGCTGTCGTATCGCATCTACCCTTGCGCTGTGCCAACTTCAATCCGCCTGATTACAAGCCCCTCCTCTGACCTCCCTCCGCTTACCACCACCACCACCACCTCTCAGGATGCATCGCACATATTCGATGCGCCAGTCGCGCGCCCCTACAGCTTCTCAGATTGAAAATCCGCCTCCGCCACCTTCGTCCACTAAGAGCGGCCGTCTGTTCGGTCGATCTCCTTTCGGTAGGATTGACGGCTGCCTGTTACACAAACTGCGCTGACCGTGAGCCTAGGACATGCGTTGAGGAAGTCGACTGCCGGAGCCTTCGGGCCAGAGCTCTCAAAGAAGCTTTCACAGCTAGTGAAGATGGAGAAGAATGTTATGCGCAGCATGGAGGTAGTGGCACGAGAAAGAATGGAAGTGGCCGTAAGTGGTCTCGTCCTGGCAGACATCTCAACTTTGACCCCACAACCTTGGCTAACTGTTGGATATAGCAACAAATCTCCCTGTGGGGTGAAAGCTGCGACGAGGATGTCAGCGACGTGACTGACAAACTCGGAGTACTCATCTACGAGATTGGTGAATTGGAAGATCAATTTGTCGACCGATATGACCAATATCGAGTGACGATCAAGTCTATCCGTAACATCGAAGCCTCTGTTCAGCCGTCTCGTGATCGCAAACAGAAGATTACCGATCAGATTGCCCAGCTCAAATACAAGGAGCCTAACAGCCCTCGGATTGTGGTCCTTGAGCAGGAACTGGTTCGTGCCGAGGCCGAGTCCCTAGTGGCTGAGGCCCAGTTATCCAACATCACTCGGGAGAAACTCAAGGCTGCGTTCAATTACCAATTCGACGCCGTGCGCGAACACTGCGAGAAAGTGGCCATCATTGCTGGATATGGCAAGCATCTGCTTGAACTGGTTGATGATACCCCCGTCACTCCTGGCGAGACCCGACAAGCCTATGATGGATATGAAGCTTCCAAGGCCATTATCCAAGACTGCGAAGACGCCCTCACCAATTGGGTGTCGTCCAAGGCGCAAGTCCATTCTAGCCTGTCCACCCGCGCGCGCACCCTGAGCCAGAGACGAAAGGCCAACGCTGCCAAGCGAGAGGGCGTCGACCTGAGTGGCCAAGACCAGCCGCTGAAGAGCGACCGAGACAGTTGGGTCCCTGCGGACCAACATGGCGAATATGAACAAGAGGATGAAGAGGAGGAAGAAGAAGAGGATGACGTTCCTGCTGAAACAAACGGTGAGTCCCACAGAACGGACCTGTGATACCCCGGGGTGGTCGTCAGTTCTTGAAGGGAAAAGGCTAATGGTGCGATACAGGACAACATGCGGTGCCAGCTTAGACGAGCGATCAGAAGACAGTAGAACGGGAGTTGTCGAGATGTGAGCGGTGCTCCTGGACGTTGCTATCCAGACAAATACCCCCAACGGACATTGGATGGCGCTTAACGGGAATGTACTCTTATGCATGGAGTCTGATCAACGGTCGAAACGGCACGAATTGCATCGATCGGGGTGCCCAGACGCGGAGTGATTGAGAATTTCTTAAGAACGGGATCAAGGGCAGCTTTTTTGTTGTTGTGGCTTCGGCCGTGCGCCGTATTTTGCGTATCGAGTTCACGTAATGCACCTCGTCGACTTTGTTGACCGGTCAAGAACAAGAGCAAGAATAATACTGTAAGAGAACATTGTGGAAAGAAAAGAGTTGTTTCCTTAGAGACGGACAAAGGTCAACAGGCCATAATTAGACAAACGGAAGCAGAGTTGATGGCGCAATGGCTACGTCTCGGCCTTCGTAAGCTCTTATGACAATACGTATGTGTTGACGTGTACTCGGTACATTGAATATTGAAAGCGGATGACCGTCTACCAGTCTCCTCGCACGGTACTACCTAAGCAAGCCCATCGCTTCACGTATACAATGTGTCTTGAAGCGGCGCTATGTGCTCTAGGACAGAGTCTATTAATAGACATAGCCATCGTCGAGCATCAGAGAGGCACTGCGGACTGCGGATTACTACACGGAAATCTTGCCCACCAGCATCTTCGGAGTACTATGCGGATACTTGGTTGTAAAAACGAATATCATTATCAGCTTCTGTGTGAAGAGATCAAATAATAGCGATTGATCCTTGCTCTCCTGCCCTTGCCTGTCGAGACTGTCGTGTCAAAAACATATCTATCCGTACCTTGGTCCATCGTCAACCAGAATGGATCGATCACCGGGATGAGGCTATGTTTGGGGCCTGAACAGCGCATTCACGATTTCGATTTCTACTGTACTCTACTACGCACCTAAGTAACGCGGCCACGCCAGTCCTTACCATCAGGTCCACCAGTGAACCGACCCCATTGATCAGGCCCCCAAGCCCCGATCGCTGCTATAGCTAGCGGTGTGCCGCAGGCCGGTAGACTGCGAATATGTGAGGGCTGAGCCTCTTGCGGATGGAGATAGGTAATAGTATTCGTATACACAGCCTGAGCCCTGCGCCACCGCTCCTGACCACAACTCCCTCGATGCTGATGCTGGGCTGACTTCTCAACCCATATAGTAATAAAGCAGCCGCACTCCCAGCAGCTTCTTGCTTACGGCTTACCTCTCTACCCTCGCTCTTTTCTCTGAATCCAGCAACCCGCCCCAGCCCCAGACCATCTTGGGCAAAGCAGATCAGCTCCACCACCATCTCTAACCCACTAGACCCTGCGCGCCGCAGCTAAAAGCTGCCCCCAAGTGCTGACTGACAACCCTGGCCTGTCCAGCTCACTCTCACGAGAATCAAATTGAACATATTCTGTCCCCTTCCGCCATGTTATTGCCAGTGTCTTCTTGGTAATACTGTTCGACTCGGCTTCACGGTCTCTTTCTCATCTACTACTCGTACCGTGGTTATCCTTCTCAACGTCATCGGCTCGCGATTGATCCCCGCACTCGCTGTCAAAAGGGTCCCCTATCCGATCGACAAGCACCGCTGAGACTCGGCGGGATCGAACCACAACACCAACTCGTTCTCCCCCCTCTACAGTTATACCAATATGGTCAATGCCGGGCGAATATGCTGTATAGCAGCACCTTTCCTCCTCTCGATCGGCGTCCTAGTATGTGTGGTCCTTCTCTTCGTGGCCGGGGCGTCTAGCGGCGATAAAGGACTCAATGATCTATATTTCCTAAAGGTACAATACAACCATTCCTCCTTCTCTTCATCCAGATGCGCTAACAAGACTCTGTGCGCAGATCGACTTGACAAACCTCACCCTGGGCTCCTCAGCCAACCTCCTCAGCGATATAGATGGAGCTAACACCACAATTCTTGGGGGTGCCCTCCAGGCGGCCAAACAATCCCTGGGCATGAAAGATTACTACACAATATACTTGCGAAGTTACTGCAGCTGGAATGGCAATGACGTTTATGCGAATTGCACCGACCCAAAGGCATACTTCTGGTTCAACCCCATTGAGATCTGGGGCTTGAACAGCACCGGGGTCGCAGTCGACGACTACCTCCCCAAGTCCTTCCGCGACGGTCTGGACACCTATCATGCCGCCAGCAAGGCCGTCTTCATTCTATATGCCGGCGCCCTGGCCGCGTCCTGCGTTACTATCGTCGTGGGCCTCTCTGCCGTGTTCTCACGCTGGGGATCCTTCTTCACTGCTTTCTTTGCCGCTGCCATGGCTCTCTTCGTCATAGGCGGCTCCACCACGGCCACCGCAGTCTACATCGTGCTTAAAACAGCGCTCAACCATACGCTGAAGAAGGACTACGGCGTCAAATCTACTATAGGCACCAAATCCCTGGCAGTCACTTGGATTGGGGCCGCCTTCGCCGTGGCCGCGGGCTTCTTCTGGCTTTTGTCCGTCTGCTGCTGTAGTGGCCGAAGCCCCTACAACCCTGGCAGCAAAGAGGCCAGGCGTACTCGTGCCGAAAAGACCCCGTATACGTACGAGAGAGTCGGGAGTCCGTATCTCGGTCCCAGCGATAACCAAGCCGTTCCGTTGACCCATCTCGGTCCTGGGCGGCATGGCGGTGGTTACGCTCCCCCTCATCCACAAGGTAGTGCTTATGAGCCGTTCAGACCGCAGGGTGTGTAAACGAAAAGAATGTTCATGTGCGCATTGTGCCTTTTTGGAGGTTTAACTCGGCGTTCCTGCTGCTAGCGATTCCCGGATTGAGCGATGGACATAGTGCTTTCGATGGCGGGAAGGAAATCAGCCAGCAGGCTCGATTCTGGCCCGGTTCAGGATGTCAGACCTCCAGATGAATTCCTGAGGCTGTTCGGAAAAGCAAGTATCAGCAGCAGGTTAAAACAGGATGAATTACTAGCGTCGATGGGCTTTGATGTGTCTTGAGACTTTTCAGACTAGCCGAGCTGCGTGTAAGACTGCCAGGTTGAAGCGAGTCCTGCCTATATGTTCACAATATCAGAAAGGCGACGCGAGAGTAAGAGCAGACGCCCGGCTTTCAAAGTTTACGATCTTTAGGATCTGCCTCATTCATTCGGTGACTGGTCTCCAGCCTCCACGAGGCCTATACCCAACCATCCCCTCGTCCTTAGCCACGTCCGCTGCTGTGCGCCCCGTAAGAATACTCGTCTCAAAGTCCCGGCCCAGAACGTGGAATAGCTCAAATCCGCCCAATGCTTCTCCTGTCTGAGGCTGCGCTTCGAGTTCTGTCTCAGAAACATCTTTCCTCGAATTTGAAGCCGAACCGCTCGTACTTTCAGGCCAGAGTTTTGTTCTCCCAGCCATACCAATCGGTACGCGTTCCCAGATGCGTCGTCCATAGGCTGTTTCATTGGTGGGCCGAAAGCCGTTGGCCGCTCGGTCGAGGGACAGGAACCATCTGCGCTGGTGGATGCTGTTGATACTGTTCACGGCGCCAGGGTAGGCGTTGTTAAGGTGGGTGAGCGCCTCCTCGTTGATGAAGTCGGCTTTGGGCTTTACAACGCTCTTGTTACTGTTGTGGTTATGCTTCAGAGCGCGGTTGGGGCCGAGAGTTTCGGCATCAATCTGAATAGAAGCCTTCGTCAACTTTGATGCTTGAGCTCCACCGCTTGACGTTCCCCGAGTGAGTATGGGAGGGGAGGCCGTGCGATGTAGCGACGGGACAGTGCTGTTGGTGCGCGGAGGTCGTTTGGTATGCCTCGTCTCATCATCCCCGGAATCAAGATTTGGATGGTCTGGGGATGACGGCCGGCTTGAGTCGGACGTTTCAACTTGAGCTCGAGCACGTCGTCGTCGGGGTGCGAACGAAGATAAATTCGTCCGCCGACGCTTGAAAGCGGGCGGTTCGGGTTGATTTACTCTGTCGTTTTCAGAATGCAGGCGGAGACTGATGGTATAGTTCTTTGGTAGACGTGTGCCGTGGAGGCGCAGTTTGATCTTGCGGGTTTGAAAAGCGCGATGGAGTTTCAAGGGTTGGGACTCTTCGCCCACCCTAGACAGGTCGACGACGTCCGAGTCTGAATCCTCCGATGTGTCGGTGTCGTTGTTGGCCCTGGCGGTTGTCTTGTATGGCAAGACGGTGTATTCACCTGTGTCCCAGATGAGCATGGTCCCGGTCTCGTGAGACGCTGTTTCAATCAAATGGTTCCACAGGTTGTGAACCCGTGTCTCAGTGGCGTTCCGGTTTAGTCTCTTACTGTTGGGGTCTCCAGGCAGACCGTACATAATAGCGAAACTGATTGAGCTTGTGGCATTGCATTGTAGCCGAAGATCGTAGTGGGTCCCTGCAACGGGATGGTCATGTTGGTGTATTACGAAGTGATGGCCTCTGTCATTCAAGTTCCTTCGATACAGCTCAAGCCACTGGTCATGGGGAAGGCGAGCCTGGCCATGGACTTCGGGGCGCCTCGCCGCAAGAAGTTTGGACGAGAAGAAAGAGACATGGTCGTCGATCTGGATTTCGCCTGCTTCGACTGCTGCAGTTGCTGATTTCTTGGTAGCAGCAGAGATAGGCGTACAGCCAGAATTAGATAGTCGTCTGGTGTTTCTATCTTCTCTACGACACCGATTGGTGGGTGGTGGAGAGACGGATCGGTTAAGGGACGCTGGCCTTGATAATTCCCACGATTGATTCTCGGCCTTGACAATTGGGTCGTCGATGTTGTGTCTCTTCATCAACACTACCAACGCGAGCAGGAGGAGGGCATCGGGGATAGGCCAGTCGGTTTGAAGCATGCACTGTGATGACAGACACGAGAGTGAGTAGTAGGCCCCTAGTAGGTAGGTAACCTATACGGAGTACTAGTCGCACGCAAAGGAAAGACGCAGCTAAGTTCAGATTGGAGGAAGAGGGGCTGATGTCACGAATAACTTGTTAGTCAGCCTGCGCCCTGCTTTGTTTTCGTTCCGCAGTCTCGAACTCTTTCTGAAATGCTTACCCAAGGATTGGATAATGCTACACACGGAATCCTGACCACACTCGAGGTGCTCATCAATTCCTGACCAACCTCGTATAATGTCGCTCGAGGTGCTTCTGGAGTCCTCTGTCGTGCTCTAGCGCTCCTTAAGGTCCAAGTATATATCTCTGCTTCTTTCTCCGTGTTCTCAAACTTGCTCCATCCAAAATCCACAACACTCTTGACAACAGTAACAGCTCTACTTGCAGCCTTAGCAGCTATTCACTTCCTCAGCAGCAGCAATACCTCCCGCTCTCATATGAAAGCCTCCAAAGTTCTCCAAATGACAATGTCCAATCTGTCCCACGCAAAAATTGTTCCTCGTCCCTCCAAGACCAGGGGAGCAGCTAATCATGGCTGGCTCGACACCAAACACACCTTCTCCTTCGGTGGCTGGTATGATCCGGAATACTCACAATTTGGATCCCTCCGAGTATTAAACGAAGATCGCGTCATGCCAGGCGAAGGGTTCCCAACCCACTTCCACAACAATGCCGAAATCTTTTCTTACATCCTGTCGGGCGAACTAACTCACCGCGACTCCATGCAAAAGAAGGGGGCAGAAAGCGAGGACAAGAACAAATTTTACCGGCTACACCGCAACGACGTCCAATTCACAACGGGCGGAAAAGGAATCTCTCACAGCGAGTACAACGAACACGAGAGGGACTGGGTTCATTTTCTTCAGATTTGGGTCCTTCCCTGGAAGAGGAACTTGCCCCCCATTTACCACACCAGCACATTTCCCGATCAAGACAAGCGCAAAGACTTTGTCAACATCATTACACCATTAAAGGCAGGTCCCAAAGCTACCTTGGAGGATGAGAAGGCTGCTGTACCAGCCAAGGATGGAACCATCCCAATTCATGCAGATGTTGTATTTAGTGCAGGCATCATTCCTCCGGGTAGTGCATTTCAATACCAGGTGGGCGCCGGCGATGCTGTGACATCCAGGTCAGATCGGAAGGTGTACATCCACCTACCGGAAACCAAGGGTGGAAAGGCCAAGATTCGGTTGGACGGACGAGAAGATGCCGTCTTAGAGGAGGGTGACGGCGCATATGTGAGTCATGTCAACGCTAACGACATGCTCAAGGTTGAAAGCGTGGGAGAGGATGAGGCCGAGGTGGTGGTCATTGACTCGGAGTGATTGATTGTTTGTTCCGTTTACACTTATTTTCTGCCTCAGGATCTAGGAGAAGTGGCTGGACAGCGAAGCGATGGAGTTTGTATACCTAGGTAGACAGCATATGTATATAAGCGCACACTGTAGATATCCGGATGGATGGAATCAATGTTCAAGGACCAACAAACAACATGCTTTCTTGATGTTCAATTCTATCTTTCCATCATAGGTACGTCAATGCTGCGTCCCGATTCGTCATCTGGCGTGTGTTGCTTGAGTCACATCTGTTGACCGCCATGAGGCTTAGGAGGCCTGACTGGGAGCTGGTTGGGCAGTGGAGGGAGCACCAAGTCACTAATGCACTACTGCCCCGTACTATCATCTAATGTTAGGTCCCTTGTCACAATTCTCGCCCTCTCATGTACACTCACTGTTCTAGCCTCTCCGACCAGTTGCTATATTGGTCGTGCAGGGTCCATTGAAATATTCGAGGAACGACATACCTCCTCTTCAATAGTACCTGATCGTTCATGAGCAACCTCCAGCCTCTCACCTATTACTCCAACACACTCATAGCAACTACTATCCTCGCCACCGGCAACAGGCAGTTCCACCGGGACCACTCAGCTCCACCGACATCCTACACCGTCCTAGCGTCAAAGGTCCGCCACTTTGATAAAAGATGTATCCTGAGTTTTGACCTCTCTCCTTCTTCCAACGTCGTTTGTTCTTCTGCGTCCGGGGTTGATGGCAGGGTGTTCTGAGCATATTTTATTATCCGGGTGAAAAGATGGAGTCATACACTGCCACCCACCATACGACCACTTCCGTGGCGATATCAATAGCATGTTCGGTGATTGTCGCAGCCTTTTCGATACCTGCTCTGTCGCAGTACATCTCGCGGCTTCGGGCAGGGAAGGGCCAGTACCAGAGCATATCGGACCACTATGAGGACGAAGATGGCGCGGCCACCGCAGAGTCTGAAGAGGCATATTCCGATTTTGTTCCACGTCTGTTGCTAATTCTAATTTCTACTGTCGCTTCACTTGACGCTTTGGCTACTGCTGTCTTGACCACCACTCGCCCTCGTCTGTTGCTCACATTCGAACAGTGGCTTCAGTTTGCGACTTGGGTAAGTATTGCTATTCCTAACCTCTTTTCCTTTGCTGACAGTGTCCAGTTGCTCGTGCTATTCCAAGCAATCGCCATCTTCGTCACGCCATCTTCCGTGCAGCGCTACAACCTAGGGATTCTGTCGGGTGCATCGGCCTTGTTCATCGTGGTGGCGGTGGCCGTGGAGAACATATCGCTGTGGCAGTCGGGACTCAATCCTCTGCCACGAAATGCCCATCTAACCCTCTCAATCGTCCAACTCACTTGTGGTTTTCTACTCGTCTTTGTTAGCCTCTCAATTCCCCGTCGGCCTGATGTCTATTGGAATGGAAGACCCGTCGATCGGGAGAATACTGTTTCCGTCCTCGGGAAATTTACTTTTTCGTGGCCTACCCCGATCCTCGCCTTTGCGGCCAAGAACAAAGGTCTTGACTACGACGACCTGCCTGAGATAAGCCATGAAGTGCGCTCCCGAGGGTTGAGACAGCGTTTTCAGACCGTGGGAAGAAAGGACAAGCTATGGAAAGCCCTATTCTGGTCCCACAAATGGGGCTTTATCCAACAGTGGACTTTTCAAGCTCTCTGCTCCGTCATCAACTTCCTCCCGCAAGTTGCTCTGTACTTGATCTTGCTCACGCTGGAAGCTCGGGACCAAGGAGAAACCGTAACTCTCAGATCGTGGCTACTGGTCATCGGTCTCGGCGCATCTATCACGTTATCATCATGGCTCGAGGCTTGGATGTTCTTTGTGATCTTCATGAAAGTCGGCATCCCCATCTATGAACAGTTGTCGGCGGTTGTCTTTAGCAAGGCAATCAAACGAAAAGACGTCAAAGGTACGGGCAAAAAGGACGACGAGGCGGTTGTCGACGGGGCGGCCGTGGTGAACGAAAATATCGCTCAAAAGGCGGACGACCAGATGCCTCTAGGTGATGAGGACGAGGATTTCCAAAAGTCCAGACAGAGCACGATCAACTTGATCGGCGTCGATGCGAAGAGAATCGCAGATTTTGCCACCTTCAACTACATCTTCCTAGGTTCTGTGGTGAAACTGGCCTTCGCCTTTGGATTTCTATTGAAGTTAATTGGTCCGATTCCGCTTCTTGCAGGACTGGCCGCTCCAGTTCTGATTATGCCAATCAATATCATCGCTGCTCGTCGTTATGCAACTGCCCAGGATGACCTCATGAAGCACCGAGATCAGAAGATGGCGGTAGTGACAGAAGCGCTTCAAGGAATTCGGCAAATCAAGTTTACTGCTCTTGAAAGAAACTGGTACGAAAAGATACTCGAAAGCAGAAGAAGAGAGTTGAAGACGCAGTGGGAGGTGTTCATTTACGACACTACCCTGATCAGCATCTGGATTTTTGGACCTGTGATGCTCTCGGCTATCTCGCTGACAACTTACGCTTTGATCAACAAGGAGTTAACGGCGTCCGTCGCCTTTACAACGATTTCAATCTACGAGGCAATCGAGATGACTCTGGCGATCATTCCGGAGATGTTGACGGACCTTCTAGACGCCATTGTGTCCGCGAAACGAGTCCAAGACTATCTTGATGCACCTGAACGTACAGAGAGCACCAAACCTGGCGAAACAGTCGCATTTAGGAATGCTACAATTGCGTGGCCCTCCGACGACCCGGAGCACGAAGCGGACCAATTCACTCTACGTGATCTGAACCTTGAGTTTCCAAAAAATGAATTGAGTGTTATATCTGGCCGAACGGGATCTGGCAAGAGTTTGCTCCTTTCCTCCATTATCGGTGAGGCCGACGTCCTCCACGGTGAAATCTTGGTCCCAAAGGCACCAGCCGCATCTGAACGGCACGATGCTTTTGCAAACAAGAGTAACTGGATCATCCCATCTTCAATTGCCTACGTGGCTCAGATTCCCTGGATCGAAAATGCCACCATTCGAGACAATATTTTGTTTGGTCTGCCACTCGATGTTGATCGATATCGGAAAGTTATGCGTGTATGTGCTCTCACGAAAGATATGGAGATGCTCCAAGACGGCGAGCTCACCGATATTGGCGCCAATGGCATCAATCTGAGCGGTGGCCAAAAATGGCGGGTGTCGTTTGCACGGGCATTATATTCCAGAGCTGGAATCTTGATCCTTGACGATATATTCTCCGCAGTCGACGCCCATGTTGGGCGACACCTATTCGAGGAGGCATTAACAGGAGACCTCGGGCAAGGCCGGACGAGGATTCTGGTCACCCATCATGTCGCTCTGTGTCTTCCGAAAACAAGCTATAGCGTTCTGTTGTCGAACGGCCGTGTTGAAGAAGCGGGCAAAACCGAAGAATTGAGCCACACTGGGAAGTTAGAATCTATACTTGCGCAAGACGTGGTAGAACAAGAGAAAGAGGACGACGAAGCCGAGAGAGACCAAGCCCTGGCCATCGACGATGGCGGAGGCCTCCAAAGACTGCTCAGCAGTCAGTCACAACGGTCGCGGAGGAAGTCAGTCCTCAGCGACGCCAGTGACGAAATCACACGCCGGCCATCTCGAGTTGGATTCAATGATTCCGAGCAGCTCAATGCTCCCAAAAAGTTTTCCGAAGAAGAAAAGCGAGAGACGGGCGCCATCAGATACCAGATCTATGCAGCTTATATCCGGGCGTGTGGCGGCTTCACCTACTGGTTCTTCATCTTGGTCATCTTCGGCTCCTGGGTGGCTGTCTATCTGGCCCGCTCATACTGGATCAGCATTTGGACACGGTCATATCGGACGGAATCATTGTTTCACAGTCGACTAATGCAACAATCCATCGGTGCCTGGCGCTACGTTCATTCCCACTTGGAAGCCACAGAGATCGACCCCGATCTGCTTTATTATCTAGGCGTGTATCTCGGAATCTCCCTCTTAGCCTGGGCAGTCGGGACGGTCCGGTACTTTTTTGTCTATCTTGCCTCGATACGGGCTTCAAAGGTGCTCTTTGAGAAGCTCGCGTTCGCGGTCCTTCGTGCGCCGCTGCGGTGGTTGGACACAGTCCCCCTCGGCCGAATACTTAACCGCTTCACCTCGGACTTCAATATGCTCGACTCGCGCATCTCAAATGACCTGGGCTTCATGTTACACAACATGATGCACGTCCTGTCCGTTGTGATCGCTGGTGTCTTCGTCTCCCCTTATATGATTGTTTTCGCCATCGCCCTACTTGTCGTCTCGATGTACTTCGCTATTCGGTACCTGTCAGGGGCTAGAGAAGTGAAGCGACTGGAAAGCAATGCTAAATCACCCGTGTTCGAGCAATTTGGCTCCGTCCTCGTGGGCATTGGCACAATCCGCGCCTTTGACAAGGCCGACGCATACCTGGACAGGATGTTCAAACGCATTGACAAACACTGTCAGGCATACTGGCACCTCTGGCTATTCAACCGCTGGATGGGTTGGCGCTTGAACATGGTAGGCGCCCTGTTTGCAGCAATCACTGCGGCATTGATCGTGAGTATCACTTCCATTGATTCCTCTCTCGCCGGGTTCGCATTGAGCTTTGCTCTCGGGTTGTCAGAAGGCGTCATCTGGGCTCTCCGGCAATACGCGAACGTCGAACTCGACATGAATGCCACAGAGCGAATTGTCGAGTACAGCAACATCACGATCGAGAACCAGGGTGGACTCGACGTCCCTGCAGCCTGGCCCACAGAAGGCAACCTCGACGTTCATGACCTGGTCGTGACCTACGCTCCCGGTTTGCCGCCTGTGCTGAAAGGAGTGACCTTCAGTGTGTCACGCAACCAGCGTGTCGGCGTCGTCGGCCGTACTGGCGCAGGCAAATCGTCACTGACGCTCGCGTTATTCCGCTTTCTCGAAGCCCAGTCGGGCAGCATCGTCATCGACGGCATTGACATTTCGACAATCAAGCTCTTCGACCTGCGTTCACGCCTGGCCATCATCCCGCAAGACCCTGTTTTGTTCTCGGGGACTGTACGCAGCAATCTCGACGCCTTCAACGAGCACTCGGACACGGAGCTGCGGGAGGCCCTGGCGAGAGTCCACTTGATCTCGTCATCAACCACCAACACGTCGTCGGTTGCGCCAAGCGGCAGTGCCACGCCAGTTCCTGGGTCCATGTCCAACAACGAAGTAGAAGGTGGCCATTTGAACCAAAACGAAAACAAGAACATATTCCAGTCCTTGTCATCGAAAATCTCCGAAGGTGGCTTGAATTTATCGCAGGGTCAGCGCCAGCTGCTTTGTCTGGCACGCGCCATCGTGTCGCGCCCGAAAATCATGGTCCTCGACGAAGCCACCAGCGCCGTCGACATGGAGACGGACACGCTCATCCAGCGTAGCATCCGCGAGGAATTCACCGACAGCACACTGCTTGTCATCGCACACCGGCTTAGCACGATTGCGGATTTCGACCTCATCTTAGTCTTGGGCGAGGGCAAGGTTGTCGAGTTCGATACGCCTGCCAATTTGATGCTCAAGCAAGGTGGCGTCTTCAGAGACATGGTCGAGACCTCCGGGGAGAGGGCGGAGCTCGAGAAAATCATCAACCATGGCAGTGCTGAGAGTGTAGCGGCATGAGGTTTGAGACCAGTGCCGCAGTGCCGCCGCGGCTTGCATCGAAATTGTGGCTGCATTTACATTTGTGTTGCATTTTGGACTACGTCCTAGCTACCTAGAAAAATAGGGGTGTTGTGTGTGTTGTGGGTTGCGATCCAGGAGGAAATGCGTAGCATATCTTCAGCGTCGTCATCTGGGGTTCTTTAGGCCCAAGACTCTGTAGTGTCTTGTAGTAGTGTAAGAAGTACTTAGAGAACCCGACTCCTCATGGAAAGAAACACCGGGATGCTTGGACTTCAGAAATCCAATCATGTAGACGATGTACAGTACCTCTCAGTTCATGGTGTTACAGGACTTAATTGGCGCACGGGAAAGCGGAGCGATGTCGAAGATCCGTCATTCCTTTCAACTTTTGTCCTGTCTGCACTGAAGGTAAGCGACTGACCTCCATACCTGTTTCAAGACCTGTTGACGATCTCGATTTCCGGGTTAGAACTTGCTGACAATCGTAGTCGCCGCCGCGCTAGGGTACGAGGGCAGGACAACAAAGGCCATTCAACTCCTGTCGGAATTTGAGACATCTCAGGTGTCCTCTACTCGGCGATTCCCTCCGAGGGCTAGACATTTGTCAGATTCCTTCCGCATGATTGATTCAGGCGCACATCGCCTGAAACAGAAGCTGTAGAGAGTCGGACATTGTCGATTCGTGGTCCTCATTCGATGCAGCGAGGGAACCCATCCGATACCAACGGAGGCTCTGCTTCGTATAGACCTCCGGCTGTCCTATGCCTGGGTTGTACAGTACACTGCAGACAGGCACCTGTCTCGTCCCCAAAGGTGAGTAATGACTGCGGTCCAACGCACTGCAGCTGATTACTGGCTACCACGCCATAGGAGAATGTTCATTGTCATAGCTCAGTCTTGCTGATTACAGCGGCATCTCGTTTGATGTTCTTGTTCGCTGACGACCCGAAAAAGCCTTCCAGCTCCAGGTATTCGGCAGCAAAGACGGTTGTGAGAAGTGCCCAGTCTTGGACTGTGGGGATGTCCAAATGCTCCCCGTCATCGTTCATTGTGTGCCAAACAGATGGGAATCGAGCAGGAATGAGGTGCAGCACGTGAACGCCTCGAGCAATGAATGGAAGATGGTCGTCTTGCATAACATAGCTGCTGAACACGTCGCTCTCCTTCTTGTCCTTATCCGGCAACCAGGTGTGAGAAGGATTGCTTTTGAACAGTCCCAGCTTTCTAAGTCGTCCTTCAGCTTCGGCCATCTTCACATATGACCAGTGTGAACTGTGTTGCCAGGAAGGGATGGGCAAGTCTTCCGACGTGCCCAGCAGGTCAAGTAGCACAAATAGTTCGATTGAATCCAACCTGTTCTTGTAGATGCTCGTTGCTGGGTTGATAGTATGCTCCCATTCTTCCGCGAGCGACCTTGCCCCGTAGATACTGTCGGTGGCCGTCCAACTATGGAAAGCCTCCTCGCCGTCCAAAAATAAGACCTGGATGCCCTTGTACTCGTCAAAGTCCAGCTCAATGTCCCCTTGGGCCTGAACAGTCTCCCATTTCTTGGTCAGCGCTGCATCAATAGCCTTCATGGCATGCATGATCATCGCGCAGGGCGCGGCAGAGTCGGTTGCCCCAATGAATCCATCAGGCTTATATTTCGAATCGTAGTGGGCCACGAGGGTCAGTCGACCAACGTTTCCTGCTTGGATCCATGGCGGATCACGAGTAGCGACCAGATTTACAAACGGTACTTCGGTGTTTCCATGGGTGGGTGTCTTGGACGTCGAGTTCTGGAAAGTCAACGACCATGAGGGTAGGGAGCGGTGGAAGAAGTCGACAAAGTGCTGCCGAACGATCTGGGATCCAGGAGTGCCCGGAACTCGAGGGATCAGTATTGGAGCCAGGAGGGCTCCCGTGTGGATGTCGAAATCGGCAGGCTCGGGCTGAGGAAGCAGGTATAGGAGGGTGTCGTCGGACAGAGGTGTGTATGCGAAGACGTGGAGGGACAGGAATACGAGGCCTGCCACCAGCCCGTTGAAGAGCCAGCGACACATCCTGCGGGCGGCGTCAGAGAAGATATGGTTCTAATTCATGAGGGCGACTGGGACCTGGGACTTGGTCAGATCCGAAGACTGTCAGCCTGGATAGCGACAAAAGCCGTATCTAGCCATCTTGTTGTCGAGTTCCGACGTCGCTCGGCGCAGTTTCCCTGCATCTCGGATCGCGGAGACCGCGTCTCAGCTCTCCGATGCTAGTAACTACGTACTAGTCGTATACCGAGTATTATTTTTCTTCGTGTCGACCAGCGTCACGCTGCATTGACTGCCGACTGCGCGCTCGAGTCTCACCACGCAAATGGGTGGCATTCCGGCAATACTGATTGCTGAAGTGCGCACTGCTTTCCAGTCCTGTGCCAGGCAATATGCCTCTACCAGAAAGACGCAGTTCACTACCCTGCGGCCGCTGTTGAAGCGCCCCCAGCATGCCAGGAGGACCGACAACCTGCCCATCCAAGTTGTCCACAGTCAATTACAAGCTCAAAAGAAGGCACAGAGCCCGCCAACTCTCCCGTCCGGTCCCCAAGCTGGCAAAGAACTGGTACCGGTTGAGAAGGAGGAAAGAGCAATTGACAATGGGCGCAAAGTAGAAGTGCCGTTGAAGGTCATACCAAAGGCTGAGATTGCACCGAACCTGACTCTCTCGCCCAAAGAGCGGCTTCATATCGAGCAGTTGACACGGAGACTGCCTCCTCGCCCAGAACCTAAAGGTACACCAGCTGCGGCGATCATTGCGCAGTTGCACGAACGACGATGCTGACCATTACAGTCTACAAAACGAGGCTTCGAATATACAATGCCGGCAATGGCAGGATCTATATGCTGACCTTCCTTCGATTTACCACAATCATTGCGCTCTGTTTCGTCACTGTCATTGTCGTCCCGGCTCATTGGATGAATGGAAGCTCTCTTTGGCTGGTGACTGGCTGTAAGTCTTTTCGATCTGCCTTCGACTGCCTGCTGACGCTGGGGTTGCAGTATGGCTGGCGGCCTTCATCCCTTTTGCTTTTATGAACTGGACTTTGAGACCAATGGTCACCGAGGTGTTCCTCAGGCTTCCTCCTTCTGTTCAACACTCGCCCAAGCTTGCCATGGACTATGCCAAAAGTTTACCGGCCGATGCCGTGCTAGATCTGAGATTCATGCGGGCATCGACCCTGACAGACCTTGTATCCTTGAAAATTGCCAACACCAGGCCTGTCAAGAGCGGCTTCCGCCCTGTAAGCTTCGAATGGTTCGGTCCTTTAGTCGAGCGTGGCGGCTTTCTGAGACGAAACCCGACTCAGTTCTATGTTCGTCCTGAATCTGCCACAGGCAAGGCTGCGCGAGACGTAACTCCTGGGATCTGGAGCAAGGTGTATCAGCGACTCACGGGAGTGGACAGCAGTGCTGTGTCCAAATGGCGGCGATGAGCTGGACTATTTTTACTTTGTAGTAATTCACTTGGACCTCAATTCGACCTTGAATGCAAGTGGCAGATTCTAACACAAGCCTTGTCGTCAACAAACATCACTCGTGTCCGCCAAGGTCACTCTGTGTTAATTGCCTTCCTGCCAACTACAAATTCGGCGACTCACCTCACCTTGTTACCTCACCTTGTTACCTCACCTTGTTACCTCAGTCATCCTCTCTCGCTGGCACAACCATTCCTTCCTCTCGATCTACCCTTGATATCACCACTAGCCTGCACCAGTACCAGAGATCCACTTTCCAACAATGGCTGAAGCGAGCTCTTCTAAAGGCTTGGGGAACCTGACTGCTCGTGAGCAGGAAGTCATCATCGCCGCCCTGCAGAATCTCAAAGGTGGAGGGGATTTACAGGTAAGTCTAGCTCCAAGCACTTCCGTAATTCGGCTTTCCCATCGGGACCGGCCGACGCCACACACCTTCATACGGCTGAAGTCGCTCTGTCTTCCTCACTAAGATGCCTTCAGGTTGACTATAATGGTCTAGCAGAAACCCTCGGTCTTAAGGATCATAAATCGGCCAACGCAGTCTGGCTGGCCGCAAAGAAGAAACTTCTCGGTAATAGCAAGGCTACTGCTACTGAGGGTCAACCTACTACGCCAAAACCCAAGACTCCTCGGAAGCCAAAGGATCCTAATGCGACACCAAAGCCTCGCAAGAAGACCACGGTCAAGACACCAACTACCGTTGCTGATGATGATGCGGATGAGCACAACGGTGAAGCTGGGGATGATGCTTCTGCTTTGAATGTCTCTGGTGATGGCGGAGACGGTGAATCTGGCGTTAGCAATCAAGGTGAGACTACCAACAGGCTATCTGCTCTCACACCGTGGTCTCTTACTACGAATGTCTGTTGGCTGATTTACTGATCATGCCACCTGCAGAAGCTCCAACCACTCCAAAGGCAACCAGTTCATCTGCTGCTACTTCGACCGGAAAGAAGAGAGGTCGAAAGTCCAAGGCTGAAAAGGAAGCCGAGGCTGCCGCCAATGGTGACAATGCTGGTGGCGATGACGGCGAGGAGAAACCTGTCAAGAGAGCCCGCAAGACACCAGTGAAGAAGACAGCGGCTGCCAATGATGATGGCAATGCGGAAGCGGAGCCAGCAACTCCGACCAAGCCTAAGCGAGCTGCAAAGCCACGCAAGTCATCCACCACGGTAACCCAAGCAAACATCACTTCTCCTGCTGCAGACGAAGTCGTCGACGAGGCCGAGAAAGCCACAAAGGAGACGGCGGAGGCGGAGGCTACCGAGGCCAACGCCCTTACCGGCAAGAAACTGGTGACTTCTGCCGTTGATTCTCAGGACCAGTATGTTCCCTGCCGCACGCAAAGCGTTGATGTTCCCCGGAATCTAGTGCTAATGTTGACATAGGACCCCTGGTACAGCAGCGGCTGCTACAACTGCAGAAGCTGGCATTGCTGAAGATGACGAGTCGCAGACCATTACTGTGGCCTCCTAGACCAGACACTGCTCCTTGGTCCCTTGGCCCTTCCGACCAAGCAGCACAGCACATGGCAGCGCAATTGTCTTTGAGGATGGGGAATGTGTCTCGCAAAGCGGGGGAAAGGTTGACCGTACACTCTGAGTACTCGGTCGCAAATACGGATCGAATCGAGCTGTGGTTCAGACATCGACATTGGGTGGGAATAGGACAAGAAGGTTGAATGCAGAAGAGAATGGTGTGCATCAAATTGTGCCGTTGATATCCCAAAGCTAGTGACTCTCACTACTAGTTAGTAGTCAGTGGGCTTGACCCTGCCGACTTGGGCCGACCGTGCTGAATCCATACATTAAATGAGCCATGGTGGGATTTCGGAATCCGTCCTGGCAGAACAGATCACGATGAAAGAGACATAGCATATCTCGTCTCACACTCGTCTCACACTTGGTCCTCTCCTCCCCGTCCGGCCAGCGCATGCCTAAGGCCTTCATAGTATTGCCTCTGTGCTTCATAGTATTGCCTCTGTGACACACACTGCCAAACCATCAACCATCAACCATCCACCATCCCATCTATTCAACCTGGCCCTCCTGTCCTCATACTTACAAGTTACAGCTGTTCTTCCCTTCCACTTGAGGTCTCTGTCTGCACGCTCTCTCTTCTGCACACGCTCTTTTTCTTCTCTTCTGTTCACCGACACTATTTTACAATCCAGTCGGGTCAATCAGGTAGATCTGGGGATGAAGATTCGAGCAGAGCAATCGAGCAATCGAGCAATGGAGAAGAGAGAAGAGAGGAGAGTCGACGTGATTTACCGCCGTAACATCCCATCTAGATCTACGCCTCACACCTCACACCTCCCGAAGACCTCTTCACTGCAAATATGACACTGAACGATCAGTTCGTCCAGGTGCTGGGACTGGGACTGGCGCTGGCAATGGTGCCTTGTAGTGTACGGGGACGTGAGACCAGAGCAGACCAGACCAGATCAGACCAATCCAAGGTGCAGACCAGTCCAAGGTGCAGTCCAGTCCAAGGAGAAGTCTGTACACATTACATGTATGAAGGGGGTCTAGTCCAGTCCAGTCCAACGTGCAGTATATACACATGAAGGAGACTGCAGGTCAATTGAGGGAAAGAAAATGGCTCCAGACAAAACATCCAGATATCCGTAATTACAAGGTGAGTACTCCATACTGCTCCAAAGTACTCCATACTGCTTCATTAAGACCATACTCGACCGCACACATGCAAAGATTTACAAGCATTGGCTCCATACACATACTATCGACTCGGCGCCATGTTCATAGTAATTACTCCGTACAAAAACACAAATCCCAAAGAAATCCGCAGAGCTCACCGTCGTCAAGAACGATCAAGAGCCCAGGCAGGAAAGGGCTGAGTGGCTCTAGCATACTCGTACCCGAACACCAAACAGCATCTCATGAACCGTGACTCTGGCGCCAGTGTTTTCAGTTCCCATCCAGCAGCAAAAATCCACACAGAGCTTCTTCGCCATGTCCACCCAATCCGGCATAATAACAACGCTCAACTTGAGGCGAACGGCCATTCACAACGCTTCAATATACTTGACCAAAGTGTCAATGCTGCGCTCAGTGACCTCAGCGCTCTTCTCTTCGTTGAGAATCCACGCCACGTCACTGAGGATGCCGAGAGGTACATTCTGGTCCTTTGATCGTTGCTCGCCTGCAGAACCGTCTCCACCACCACTGCGTTCGTCGCCCGTGTCGGCCTTGAGTCTTTTGGCCATGAGGCTCGTATACTCCCACTCGCGAGCGGCCTCTTCGGCGCGGTCGACGACGCCGGCTGGAATGCCACACATGCTGGCGCAGTGCATGCCGAAACTACCCTCGGCGACGCCTGGCTCTAGCTTGTACAGGAACGTGACTCGCCGCTGTTCGTCATCCACCAGAATTTTCATCCGCTGCGCCTGGATCTCTGGGTGACCCCGAAACTCGGCAGAGAGCGAGTGGTAATGTGTGGCAAAGAAGCCGAGACAGCCCACGTGCGACGCAAGATGCTGAAGCACCGCCTGAGCAACCGCGACGCCGTCATGGGACGATGTGCCGCGACCCAATTCATCGAGAATGACCAAACTGCGTGGTGTCGCCTCCGACAAAATCTTCTTGGTCTCGGCCAGTTCGACGAAGAAGGTCGACTGTGCCGCGAAGATGTGGTCCTGTGCCCCCAGGCGCGACATGATCCGATCAAAGGGCGTCAGGCGGGCAGATCGGCAAGGCAGATGGCATCCGATTTGCGCCATGATCACGGCGATACAGCTCATTCGTAGAACGGTTGACTTGCCCGCTGCGTTGGCCCCCGTGAGCAGGCTGAGGTTGGCGCTCGCGCCTCCCAGGACGACGTCGTTGGGAATGAAATCATCCACTTTGGTCAGGAGGCATGGGTGACGGAGCTCAACAAGCTCGAGCGTTGATCGGCCACCAGTCAGGTCGTCAACAAATTCCGGACGGCAACTAGGGTAGCCGAGACTGCTGCTCGCCTTGGCCAGGGAGATCAGGCAGTCGAGCTGCGCGATGATCCGGATGGAAGCGAGCCAGATCTCGTAGTTTTCGTCGAACCGGGCAAAGAAGCGGCTCGCGACTTCTTTGGCGATCTGAGAGTGCGTTTCTTGTGCCTCCTGGAGTCTGCGGACCAGCGATCTCAATTCCGGGAAGTAGTACCTTTTGACTTGCTTGGTGGCAGACATCTGGTCCCAGCTCTTGGGAATGCCCTTGACCTTCACGGGGACTTCTAGCTGCATGATTTCCTTCCCGTTGTCACGGTAGCAGATGCCACTGGATCCCAACTCCTTGCGCCACTTGCGGAGAAGTAAGCTAAACTCACCCTGGATGGCTTCGATCGAGTCTTGAGAGTTGTCAAAGTCGTCTTCGATGCCCCGTTCGGGGACTAGAACGCCCGTTTCTTTTGCCTTGTTGCGGTCAAAGGCGTCGCCCCAGTATTTTAGATGTCGTTGAAGGTCCGGCATGGCGGCGATGAGTTGACCGATGACACCCTCACTGTCTGGTGCTTTGCCCGCCCCATCACCGAGAAGGGACATGGTGTGGTCAATCTGTTCGAAGCCCTCGAGCACCTTCACGAAATCCTGGACCTTGCATGTGCCAGCGTGCACGCGCGATATCAGTCGTTCGAGATCCGGCAACTTGGTCATTTGCGACGTGAACCGATCCCGAACCTTTGTGTCAGCGTTGAGAGAGTCGACAGCATCAAGACGAGCATTGATTTTCTTGGTATCCATCAAGGGATGACAGACCCATTGCTTGAACATGCGCTTGCCGAAAGGCGTGATGCATCGATTGAGGAGTTGGAAAAGAGTGCCCTCGATTCCTCCATCGTACGAGTTCGCAAAAACTTCCAGATTGATCAAGGTTTGACCGTCCAGTACAAGGCTGGTGGCCTTTCTGATTGGGTCGTACCACGTAAAGTTGCCTAGAGTGACCAAGTCTCGTTCGATGTTGAGCGTCCTCAGGTATTGAATCAGAGCTCCGAGAGCAGACATGAGGAGATCTTTGTCTCTGGCTTGTTGAAGGACCTCTGGCCAGTCCATGGGGAAGTAATCACTCGCGTCAATCTCCTTTGCGGTGATGTGGCCTTCCCAGAACTCTTTACCCGGCTTCAAGTAGTTCCAGATGGTCGTCGGGCCGGTGTTGTTCTTAAGGATTCGCAATGTTTTCATGGATACTCCGCCCTTCTCCAGAAGAATCTCCTGTGGTCGCGTCTGTGCGATGAAGGTCTCGAATTTCGTCAAGTCGACATCGTCGACGAACTGTGAAATGTGGAATTGCCCGGTGGCTGTGTCGACAAACGCAACACCGAATGCCGGCAGATCGTCGATTTCGGACTCCTTGATAGCGACGCAGTACGTGGACATGTCATCCTGGAGCATTGTCCCATCGACAAGAGTGCCCGCGGTGAGAACACATGCCAGCTCTCTCCTGATCACCTTGTCCTCTTTACCCTTCTTGGCGCCGGCCCCGGAGGACTGCTCATCCCGCTCACGCATGTTCTTACCCAAGGCCGTCTCCTGCTGATCGACACGGGCAACCTTGAAGCCCTTTGCGACAAATTGATTTGCCCACAATGCCAGGCTTGACTCTGGGACGCCCACCATCCGCATGTTGACACGGTCAGTCAATTTCAGATCAAACAACTGATGACCAATGGTGGCGTCATTCTCGTAGAGCTCGTAGAACTTGCCCTTTTTGAAGAACACAATCGTGTCCCAGAACTTCTGTTTGATCTCCCAGTATTGCTTCTCAAACGGAGAGAACTTGGCCCACGCCATTGGGGGTATGTATAGTGTTCGAGGATCATAATCTGGATGGCCTGGAGGGTTCCGATCAAGGTCTCTGATATCTTCGAGCCATGCGTGTCGTTGCTCCGGCTCTGTCATGTGTGCCTTTAGCTTCTTTCCTCCCTCGCCGCCGGGCTTTTTCGAGGGGAGATTAGAGGATCGGGGTTGCAGGGGCTGAGGGTTCGCAGGATCATATGTCCACTGTTGAGCCGTTGAGCCCTCAGGCAGAGCCATGTCCATGTCAATGTCGGCATTGATGGTGGAAGGAGTGACGTGAGAGGAAGCCTTGCGAGAAACAGGCTTAGACGGGCGTTTGCGCTTCGCAGCTCGTGGTACATCATCTTCTGAGTCGTCGGCAACAATGAAGTCATCCAAGTCTGTAAAGTTAGCTAGACACATTCTACTATGTACAAGGGAGTACCTACCATCGTCGTCTTGTTCTGCCTGGTTCTCCTGCTCGTAAAGATCCTCATCGGCACTATCCGAAAGTCGTCTTCGCTTTGTGGGCCTTGAGCGGACTGCAGGCGTAGGTTTGAAGACATCGTCGTCGTCGGTACCTTCGCTGTCTGACTCGATGTAGTTGATGGTCTTCTTCTTCGCCTAAGCCAATCTGTCAGCAATCTAGTGGAAACCGTTCGAATTGGGTATTACCCGTCGGGACGGCGTTCCACGGGCACTCAGCTCTTCTACCCCATTAGTCTGCCCCTCGTCAGTTGAGACTGGCGATGGGAGACCTTTGGAAGCAGGCGAACTTGCCTTGCACTGGTCGTCCTCGTTCTCTGGGTCGAGGGCATCGCTGCTGGGAGCGGGAGTCAAGGAAGAGCCGGAGGTCGTCCCAGCGGCCTTTGTTCGAGCTCTTGCTGGAGCGGGCGCCGATATTGTTGGTTTTGCAGGCAGCGGAGCAGGAGAGCCAGTAGATGGCGTTCTCTGAAAGAATCCAAGGAGGGTTCTCTGGCCGCCCGAGGAAGAGGTCTTCTTCAACGTAGGTGTAGAGGCAACGGGAGTAGAGGTCTTTTTCGGCATGGCGATGAAATGCAAGCCCTGCAGTGGCAAGGCTGACAGTGATCTCTCGTTCCGTCGCGTGTACGGAGAGAGGAGAGAGCAAAGAGCAGAGAAAATGAGTTGTGCAGAGAACGGAGGAAGGAAGGCATCTAACAATGAACCCAAGTCCCAGTGATAAGTGATGGCACGGAGTACGCTCGACTCGCGTGGGGAGACTAGCGCGTCGGGACGCGTAGAGTACTCCGTAGTACTAACCACCTCCGGAGCTGTCTGACCCCGTTCCTGTCAAGCCTTGTCCCTTCACCCTTGAATGGACTGTCCCACAAACCTTTTCGCGTGTGAACTTGATATCGATTCTATTTCATGGAGTGTAGTACAGTAGCCGTACAAAGTACTCCTACATAGCATGGTAACAGACTACAATGTTGATACAATCAGACCCCAGACCCCAGACCTCAGACCTGTCATGTCGCCGTCTGCTCGGCGGCTTCGCTGGTTTGTTCTGCGGCTCGAGCTTCTTTCAGCGCCTCCCAGGCTTGACAAGTCAAACCTGAGGCTTCGTAATCTTCGTCGGGGATAATGTCGACGATCTTCAGCCGCCATTTCCCCACACGTAGGACGAGGACTTTTTCGTCGAGGATGAACTTCGAGAGTTCTTCCCACGCCGCCGTCTTAGCAGGTGTGAAGCTGAGCGCGTCATCCATCCCACCCCTCGCATCAGCATTGGCTCCGATATACGCTCCTCCAGCATTGATGAGTCGTTGTCCTTCAGTTCGAGATCCCACCAGCCCAACCGCCCAGAGAACATGGCTGAGAGGCTTCCCAATCACCAGGCTCCTGGGCAACTTGACGTGGACCGCGGCATTGTCCTCCCGGCGCAGCGGCTGCGCGTATTTGTTCAAGGACGGGTTGATGAAACTCGGCTGCCCCGGATGGCCAAGCTGAGCTGATCTTGCTTCGGCCATACTTGCGGCAACATCACCCAGGGTGAGCTTTTTGTTGAACAACTGTCGGTGTTCGGCTTCGGCATTGGCAGCAGCCTCATGCCCATAGATGAGTTCGACAAACTCTTTGGCCAGCTTATGCTGGGCGACACGCTTAGACTGGTCCTTTTCGTGTTCCTGTACCAGTGCGCGGATCTCGGCCAAAGGCAAAAATGTGAATAACTTCAAGTACTTTTCGACGTCGGTGTCGGCGGTGCGCAGGAAGAACTGCCCAACATGTTAGTCGTCGGCTTGGCCGGAAGCGAGTTCGCTTACCTGATAAAGGTCAAAAATACTGGTCAGCTCTGGATCCAGCCAGACCGCATTTCCAGCACTCTTCCCAAACTTTTCACCAGAAGCCGTAGTTAACAGCGGAACAGTGAAACCCATCGGGTCCGAAGTGACTTTGATTCCATTCTCTTCGTCGACCAGCTGGACCTGCCGCAGCGACTGTTGATACTCGTGAGACTCCTTGGCCATCTGCTTGACCGCTTCGGCCCCAGCAAGGATGTTGCCAAATTGGTCTGCTCCGCCGATCTGTATTTGGACGCCCCGTTGAAACAGGTGCCACCAATCCCACGCCTGGACAAGAGGGTAACTGAATTCGGCGAAAGACATTCCGTCGCCCTTCTCCATTCTGTTCTTGACCCTATGCTCTGCGTCAGTATTTCGTCGTCCCAGGGTGAACGTCAGTGTCAGGGTCAGCCTACGTGTCTCTGCCCAGCATTGGGCCTATGCGAACCTGTCGGCCTAGAACCGATAGAAAATCTCTTGCAGAAGTCTTGGTCCACCAGGCGACGTTGTTGTCCAAAGACCGGTGCCAGGCCCATTCCTTCACGTAGCCCCGTCGACCGGCATAATTCTCAATCGAAGCACCGAGTCTTTTGAGCTGGGCGTGCATCGATGCCATATTCGCTTTTCGAGTGGACGGGGCTTGCAGCTCGCGGCCGGTCAATCGCCCTGTAGGATCGCCGATACTGGCCGTGAAGCCTCCCAACTTGGTCCCGTCAGCGACTGCTGGAGTTGCGCTTGGGGGTTCGGGGACGGGGCTTACCACAAAGTGCGTAGAATAGCCATGGACATAGAACCAGGCCAACACCATGAATGGTATCATATGGCCGACATGCATAGATGGCGCGGTGGGGTCTATACCAGCATACACACCGACCCGACGATGAGTCAGTAAGTGTTCCAGATCCTGCCTCGAGCTGCGAAAGGTTAGAGGTCGACTCTTGAGGATTGTGGTCGCCAACGCCATACCCGACGGTTTGATTGATGTAACCCCTTTCCTCGAGCACCTCCAGCATAGGCTTTATCTTTCCTGCCTCGATATGTTCAGCCCTCGTCCGCCATTCTCTCTCCGCCTCTTGGATCTTTCGAACATGGCCTTTGGAGATCCGTCTTTTCTGAGCCGGGGAAAACAGCGGGGACGAGGCCGGGCGGGCGCGCAGATGCTGGCGACAGCTCTGGCATATGTAAAGAGAACGTTGGGCGGTACGCAAGGGGGACAAGGCCGGCATAGGGACCTGGGTCGCAATCAATGCGCGCGTGCTGGGGGTTCGTGTTGGGAGTTTGAATGGTATGGTTTGGGTTGGTGTTTGGTTTGGCCTGCGCAAAAAAGTTCGAGCGCATGACGGATGTTCGGCGCAGCGAAGCCCGACCGCCGAGCAGCCGGATGAGATATCGATCTACAGTATCCGTACTCCAAACGCAGTATCCGTACGCAGTTACTCACCCGGACCAAGATCGAAATGATTGCGACGTCTGATTACATTGGCGACAATGGCAGCTGCTGTGTCTACACCTGCACGACCAACCCAAGAAGAGGGAAGCTGGGTGACGACGACACAAGGTGTATTACAGTACATGGGCACCCAGATCTTGCCCGTCCCGTTTTAGAGATTAATCGACCATTTGCCCTCCTATGTTTACCCCCGAGCCGATCTCCAGACTCGAGCGTATCCTTGTAATAATGCAGGAGTAGAATCAGACTATATACTGCCCTGCTGCCACCAAGCCTCTTCGAACGACAAGTCTGGAAGACCCACGTTCCAATCCTGACCCAACTCATCGCCAAATAAGAACTGGTCCCAATTCAGATCGGTGTCGCCCGTAGAGAACTGGAAGGTGGCATCATCAACCACATCCCATTCTGGCGCCGACATTTGCGAGAATGTCCGTAGACTTGTTGTGGTTGCGCCGTCGATTGAATCCTCAGTCGAGGCCAGTAGCGGCATCGGCGGTCGAGTCGAACCCAGTTCCTGATCATCAGGGGCATCTGTGCTCTGGTGCAACCACTGCGGTGGATTCATATGGAGATGAATTGCGCCAAAATATGGCAGGTTTATTGTTCTCGTCCTGGACGTGGGAACTCCAGATTTCTCGTCAAGGAATGAGCCTAGTGCTTCAAGGACCTTCGCGCCCTGTTCGCTGATGCTACCGCCCTGCTGCTGTGCTCGGTAACGGAATAAGTCATCGATTTCCTTGAGGAGTACGAGGTCATCCTCTGGATCAGCCGTTGCAGTAGTCGAGGGTAGGGACTGAGGCCAATAGGTCCGACGCAGAAGGATGCCGACCACCAGAATGCAAGCGCTGAACACGCCTTGAAAGTCCTCGCAGGGACAGATGAACACTGCCATCGACGGCTCCGAACGCAGCAGGCTGAAAACCCGGAGCATATTACGACAGCCCTGGAGACAAAGATACCGGTTCGGTTCGTAGGGATCCAGATATGGAACAGTCGGATCGCTGTCGCCCTCAATGTCGAGAATCGCGACAGGAGGCGGGGTCAGCATGATTGGCATATGGAGGAACGACTGGACCTGCCAGAACCACATTTGTGCATGTATATGCTCGTAGGCAACAAATGGATCGGAATACTGTAGATGTGAGTTGACATCCCACCAGCCCGGTGGCATCGCGGCCGCAGCCTCGTCCAGCGCACTCTGGATTCTCATTGTAGTTTGGAGCCTGGCCTCTATCGGCTCAGACCTTGCGTTGCAATCATTGACCTGGCCTGACGCAACGGCTGCAACACGGCGTAGTGCGCGCATCTTGATATCGATGGGTGCTGGGGCCCCGGGGTCCTGGCCGGACGCAGACACCTGGCCTCTCAGCACTGCAAGGGCGAGTCGGTCTGAGAACCTCTTGTCCTCAACGTGCGGTAAGCCCAGCACCATGCTGAGGAGATGGTCGAGTTCGAGGATCGAGCCAACAAAGCGCTGACTGTAGAATAGATTAATCTCCTCCTCACTTGGCCTGGGGGTGTCTGGATCTGCGCCAGATGGGTGCCTCACGTCCGTAAAGCCGGTCTCTTTTGCGGTTTCGACGGCTGTGCGAATAGTCAGCCACGATTTACGTAGCTGGTGCGTTTCGGCGTACATTTTGGCTCGCATCATGAGCAGCAGCAAGATGCTGGGGTCACGTTTACAAGTTGGGTCCGAGGCAGGAGAGAGTACGATGGTATCGATGGCCATGATGATAAGTCCGGCTAAGTTGGCGGGTGAGGTAGACAGATGGAGGTCGAAATCATCCACGCCGGGTCGGAGCTGCTGCAACGACATGGCAATGCAGAGGAGGCCGGTGGCATAGGGGACAGTACTGGCTTGGGAGAGCTTCATTTGCACAAACTCCTGGAGCGAAACTGGCCTACTCCATGTACGTGAAGTCAATCCAGAACTTCTGGATGTGTCTGATGACCCTGGCCATCCTGGTTTCGAGAGTCTTGTCGGCGATGCTGGCTCAAAGAAGGCCTCGTGCAGAGCAAATGCTTGGTCACGCCAGGCCACCCACCAATATGCGGAGATTTCGAGGATCTTGACAAGATTCGGCTCCGAAGAGATGGTGGAGCGGAGTTTGTCGACATCGCTGGAGGTGTCTTGATCCGAGAAGTTTAGTGCTTGGATCTTTTGCGTGAGTATCGACGAAGTAGAGGGAGTCTGCGTGAGCTAGAGAGCGACAGCCAGAGAATCAGTATGACGACCTTATGAATTGGGAGCACAGTAGAGACGCTCGGAATGAGCTAGTGCCCGGCAGGAGACATACCACTTCGTTGTTGAATAGTTGCGACAGAAGTGGGCTCAGTTCTTTCTCTTCAACTAAGTCGATGGCTGGAAGTGCGCTCCCATTTCTGCCTGACCTCTGCAGCTTGGACACTGGGTTCTCCTGTGAGCATTCGCGGGAACAAGCTGGCCCAGATGTATGGGTCTCGTTCGGCGTGTCTGCGGACGGGAACGACTGGCTGTCGCGGGATCCAGGTGTTTCATCCTGTCTCGGAGGGCGCGAGTCGATCGTGGCTGAGTGCGATTGCGATTGCGACTGCCTTTCCCGCGCAAGCCTCTCAACTACCGAAACTATTCTGTCCACGCGAATCCTCACGCGCCGTCGGTCTCGGTTGTCATTGTGAGGATTAACATCAGCGACCTCGCTTCGGCGCTTATAGATGCGTTTCTTGGGCCGCGAAACTCCATTTAAGTCCGAACCCCCGGGGGTTGATTCAACCTCGCCCTGGCCCTCGCACGTACGGTTGTGCTTGAGACATTCTATACACCTCGTGTCGGTGTTCGTACTTCCTGATGAAGTGAGTTCACCGGTCGGTTCACCAGGGTTAGTTGCATTGGACGTTGGGGAGCGTGGATCGGCGGATGGAGGGGACGAGCTTGGATAGTTGCACTTTATCTTGCGGCGACGACCTATGACTTGTAAGTAAGAGCTCGCGGGCATCTTCACCCTATGCACTTGTAACGATTGGCTCGACCGATTGAGTCAAACACACTTCATGAACGATCTCTGGCCTGCGATGTGAAACAGGACAAGTTATACCGGCAGAAAATAGAGAGGAGTTTGAAATTTCCACTATCATGTAGAAGGGCATTGCAGGACCTGTGATGTTACTTACACTCTTGACATGACTTGGTGCCCTTACGCATCGGCCTCAAAGGAGATGGTCCACTGTGTGGCTGCACTCCAGGCATGGTCGACGATTCCATGACTATGCCACAACTGGGTTGGTAAGAAGGGTGGGAGCAGGGAGTGTCAAGAGAAGGGGGTCTAGAGAGACACGGTGAGAGGCACGGTGAGAGATGATAGAAGGAATATTCCCGTCTCACCGCGGCGGATCTGGATCTAGATCTCGAAAGCGAAGAGCCAAATTCGGAATCAAAATGCCTGGACACTTGAAGTTGGAAACATCCTGTCAGTCTGTTTGTCATCAGAGCCTTGCGAGGCCGCTTACCTAAGCGAGATCTCTGTGACACGCCACACCAATAATGGCACCCTGGTGGCACCTGGTGGCACCGACACAGCCAAAACAGAACTGAGCCTGGCAGAATAGGGTCCCGGGCCATAGGCCGGCCGTTACGGTCTGTATTCATCATCGTCATCGTCACCGTCACCGTCACCTCCCGTTTGAGATGTTGCACGAACCCGGCGATTCCTGCTACTTGACCTCCGCCTACTCACACTCCTCTTGCGTCTCTCGTCTCTCCACTTGCCTCTATGTTCTCCTCTTCTTTTGGCTTCCAACTGCTTGACAGTGTCTACATCCACCTCCGGATGCATCCGTCTGACGTGATCGTAAAGGCTTCTCCCTTGAGGAAAGGGTTCCTTGCCTCTCGGACAGCCAGGGACCGGACAGACGATGGGACCGCTGGGCCCAAGAGACATGCCAAAGTCAGTGTCGACATCACTCACATCGGCGCTGGCACTGGCACTGGCACGCCCTCTCCCGGGCGGCCTTTCAACTTCAAGGCCGTTCCGGTGCACGCTATCCAGATGTCTCTGGAGATGATACTGCTTGCGAAAGGGGACTGTGTGCCTGGGACATGATTCATGTGGACAACCTCGCCCGTTCGTGCTGGCGTTGTATTGCACAGTGATGCCTGAGCAATCGTTTCCGGTCACCTGGCAATTCTTGCATGATCGGGTGCCTCCAGGCTGCGGCTGCAGCTCCGCGGGCTGGCACATCGATTTCTGCTGTCGACACACTTTGCACGGCGCCGATGTACGGACTGCCAATATTTCAACCTGATCTGAAGCTTCCGGGGAAGTGGTTGAGCTGTCGCTGTCCAAGGCCAGATGCTCGGTGAACCACGACTGAGTGCCTGCTCTGCCATCACCCTCATGGAATGTTCGGAAAAGCATGTTTTCATCAAAAAGGCGCGCACATCGTTCGCCGGCTCGTTCCACAACAGCTGGATCCCACCCTGTCAAAGCCGCTATACCAACGACGTCGCTCCAGTCTCGCAGTCCCAACCGTCCAGCACGATCGGTCCTTCGGCCGGAAATGGCAGAAGCGCTTGAAATATCACTGTTCACAGATGACGAGCGGCGCCTCTTGCGTGAGGCGGGGCGTGATTTACCCTGTCCTTCGACCTCGGTACTTGTTCTGTCTTCAGGTGTCTGAGAGAAGACTTTGCCCCGTGGTGTCCCATGCGGCTTCGTAGCGTAGGCGTATCTTGCATTTTGTAGGCCGAATAGTAGATGGTCAAGCCGGGACAAGATATGTCTGGCACTTGGGAGGAAGACCTGGCGTGCCGTATCATCGTCTGCAAGAGGCACAGGGCGTCGATCGATTTCGTCGTCCTGACGGTTCCCCTCTCGGGGCGCCTGTGCACTCGTTTTTCTTTCCGACTCATCTGAGTCCGAGGCAGCCCGAGATGAGAACAGTGGGACGCCAGTTTCTTCGTGTTCCTGCTCAGATTCACTCTCTGTCTCTGACTCTTCGGCATCTGATGCAGGATCAACCTCGAGGTCGGCGTCTTTTTTGTCAGCTTCCATATCCCGTTCTTGAAGAACACCGGATTCTTTGTCATCCCATTGCCTCTCGTTCCATCTTTCTCGAGCAAGTTTCGTCGCCGTCGCAATGAGCCATCCCTCCAAGTTCGCGCTCGGACGGGCCTCGTCTTCGGCACGCAATGCCCCGTCGACTTTTACACGGGGAAGCAATTCCTCCCTTGGGACTTGATCTGGCGGCATGGGCCAAGCTGTCCATGATCGGGGAAGCCTGGAATGCTCTCCAGTCCCCTCGTGATCCACTGCAACCTCGCCGTCTGTAGTCGAAGCCACAGATGTCGCTCTCGCCTTGCCCTTTCTGCCTTTCTTAAGCCTCCTTCCCCGGGCAGATTCGTCGGCTTTCCTCTTCAGATGAAATGCATTGAACAAGTGAAGAGTCAAGTTCTGGCTGCGGACTCGGTCCAAGCCCATGGCCACGGTTCTCTCCTCCTCGGTCCAGGATTTCCATGTCGATGCAGGTCCAAAATACCGGTTGGGGCGGGTAAAGTAGCTTTGTGCATCGGCCCCCTGTGCGAACACGTTGTTTGTTAAAGATGGGACGATTGCTGGCGTGGAAGCGAGTGGAAGTAGCTTGCTAACGTGCTGAGGGCCAGGGATACTTGGCCGTGGCGGTGACGATGGAATTAGATGATCGGTTGATGAGATTTTCTCATCTGGCTCTTCGACATAGCTTGAGTCTGAGTCCATGTTGGCGATATATATTGGCCGAGTCCAGGCCCATCCCTGCCAACGTTGAATACATGTATACTACGGAGTAGTGTTGGGTCTCTTGACAGCTTTGGGCGTGGGGTCGAGTTGGACAAAAATCTGCCCAATTTGGAGAGTGATAAACAGGCGGAACCGCTGTTGTATCCGCCTCTCACATACACGCACACCTACAATAATACGGCAGATGCTTGGATTTGTCCTTGCAGAATTTTATCTATCGGTGATTCCAGATCAAGTACGGACTATACATCAAGTTGACATTGTTTTGTCTTTCACTCAACGCCATGCCGGGTATCTTTATGAAACATCCAAGAGCCTCTTTCTTCTTCCTCTACTCCCGCAGGAACATTTTGAAGATCGGACTATCCGTGCACTCCTTGAAGGGATAACCTATGTCCTTGAGGAAACCCTCCAATTGATCCCTCTCCGACTCCGGGCATTGAATGCCCGCAAGGATCTTGCCCATATCCCCGCCGTAGTTGCGATAGTGGAACAGTGTGATGTTCTGGCCAGGACGAAGAGTCCGGAGAAACTTGAACAATGCACCTGGCCGCTCAGGAAACTCAAACATGTACAGCCTCTCATCTTTCAGCCCCGATCGCCCGCCAACAAGGTATCGAATGTGGGTTTTGGAGAGTTCATCGTCCGAGAGATCTGTCGCCGTCATGCCTTCAGCGGAGAGTCGGGAAAAGAGCGAGTCGAGTTCCTTGGCTCTCGAATGCGCCGATGAGACAGAGATGCCCATCAAGACATGGGCCTGGTCAGTGGTTGAATACCTGTAGCCAAACTCCGTGACTGCTTGAGGGAGAACCGCTTCAACCAACTGAGCGAACGAGCCTGGGCGTTCGGGTATTGTCACTGTCAGCAGAGCTTCTTTCTGCTCACCGAGAGCAGCGCGTTCAGCGACGAATCGTAATCGGTCAAAATTCATGTTGGCACCGCTGGCAATAGCGACCAGTTCTCGGTTAGGGTCGGCTGAGGGGTTCGTCGCAACCCATTTCTTCAGTCCTGCCAGCGACATAGCCCCGGCGGGCTCCAGTACGGATCGCGTGTCCTCAAAGACGTCTTTGATGGCGGCGCATATCTCATCAGTACTGACTTCGATCACTTCATCCACCACCTCTTGACAGATTCGGAACGTCTCCTCTCCCATGGTCTTGACCGCGGCGCCGTCGGCGAATAGTCCGACCTCCCGCAGCAATACTCTCTCGCCTACCTTCCGCGATTGTACCAAGGCATTGGCGTCCGACGCCTCAACACCGATGATCTTGACATGCGGTGCTATTCTTTTGACGTAAACGCCAATCCCAGCAATCAAGCCACCGCCCCCAACAGAGCAGAATATAGCCTTCAGCTTTTGTAGGGAGGCTTGCCTCAGCAACTCCAAACCAATAGTGCCTTGTCCTGCAATGACATAGGGGTCGTCGAATGGCGGGATATTTGTCAATCCGTACTGTTTCTCCAAGGTACGACAGTGTTCCTTGGCCGAATCAAAGTCCGCCCCGTGCAAAACCACGCTACCGCCCATTCGATTGACGTTCAAATGTTTGATTGCTGGCGTCCCCTGCGGCATGACAATTGTCGCGGGTATCTTCAGGTGCCTGGCCGAGTAAGCCACACCTTGAGCATGGTTACCGGCAGAACAAGCAATCACCCCCTTCCAGCGTGACTCAGGCGGCAGATGTGCCATCTTATTGTATGCGCCACGCAGTTTAAACGAGAACACGGGTAGTAAATCTTCTCGCTTGAGCAGCACCTTGCACTCGAGGCGGTTGGAGAGGTTGACGGCGTGCGAAAGGGGACTTTCGGAAACGACATCGTAGACTCGGGATGTCAGGATAAGTCGCAGATAGTCTGGGTAGCCGGTTGGGAGAAGATAATCTCGAGGCACGTCGTAGGAGGGAATGTCTACTCGTTCCGAAGGTGGTGTGGGCGTGGCGGTGTATTCAGTCAACGCCAGTCCAGACCGCCTGGGAGTGGTGGCCCCATTGATATGAGGGCTATCAAGCTCCATGATGGACGGTGGGCCGGTCGAGGACATGAGTCGAACTATAAGCAGGAGAGCTGATTGATTAAAGCTTCAAAGTAAACCAGCTTTGGGAGGGAAAGGCGCAGGTCAATGAGCTTGAAGCTGCGTCTTGAATATAAAAAATCTCGGGGACTGATGACTCCCCGCACGGTGATCAGATAGGCAGGGCAGATAGGTAACTAAACTATTGCCTGGGTACGTACCTACATACACCACCTTATCTAGCACCACAAGGATCCCATCACAGCCATTCAGAAGTTGTTAGTGGTACATCGTCATCACATGCCTGCTTAGCCGTGTGCCTCTAGACAAGTACGCTCTGGACGGACGCGTATGCCATATGGTAATCCTCGACGGGCATCATCGAGTGCATTTGAAGGGGGCGCAATCAATATTGCAGACTGCGCTCCACCGTCTTCGACTACGTATTAATAACCTCCTCACAAGTAGAGACACCCTCTGCAAATCACAGCCCTGCGAGCACCATCCACGAGCTACGAGCCGCGAACCACTCCATACGCGAGCAAAAGCGGGATCTCTATCCATTGCTTGCCCTGCAGGCATATCGACGTCACGACTTGGTTGTTTTCAAATTGCACAACTGCATCTCTCATCGCTAGTGCTCTCATCTTTAACGCCTGGTGGTATCAGGGCCGAGTTGTCGACTACCTGATCTATTAGTTTGCTTGCGCCTGCAAGATTTTGTCTGTTCTCGCCTCAAAGATCAAACCTGAACCGCGGAGACAATCGCCCATAATCCACTCCACTTCATACACCTGCCTGCCTGCCTGCCTACCTACCTACCTACGTACGGATCAATCCATTATTCCATCTGTCGTCACAGATCAACAAATAACATTGATAGTCAACAAGAAAATGTCGAATTCTAGTCCTGCTTCTTCCGGCCCAGATGGCCCATCTCCCCTCTCAGGCAGCCCCGTCCCATCAAGTTTCGACAGCGACCCCGAATTCTTCGAAGAATCCCGGACCCAGAAACTATGGCGCAAGCTCCGACAAGAACCGCTGATTCCGCTCGGGTGCGCCGCCACCTGCTATGCGCTTTGGATGGCATCCAAATCAATGCGGGCCGGGGACCACCACCAGACAAACCGGATGTTCCGGGCTCGCATCTACGCACAGGGGTTTACACTGCTAGCCCTGGTCGCCGGCAGCATCTTCTACAAGGACGAGCGAATCAAGCGAAAAGCCTTTGAGACAGCGGTCGAGGAGAAGAAGACCGCCGAGAAGCGCGAGCGCTGGCTGAAGGAGCTCGAGGCCCGCGACCGCGAGGATCAGGAGTGGAGAGCAAACATTGAGAAATCCACAAAGCTTGTCGACTATACTGTCGACCATGCTGTGGACAAGGTCCGGAACACTGCCTCTGAATTGGAGAATGTCGGGAAAGAGGTTGTGCAAGCCGAGGATAATCAGTCTACGAAGAAGAAGTCGAGTTGGCAATTCTGGAATAAGAGCGTCAGAGAAGAAGTCACTGCAAAGGGTTGGGGCCCGGGCACCTGGGCGAGAAGAACAAGCGATGCTTGGAGGAGGTTCTGATATACGGTGGCCCTTGTAAGGGGCAAAAGGATTGCATGTTCCCAAAGAAGGGAATCGAACGACAAGCACAGCATCACAACTGAGGTGTCCCTTGGTCAGAAACCTGCCCTGTCACGAGGCTACTCTAGTCTATCTCACAGACCCAAAAGTCTTCGCTTCAACTGTTTTACCCTTTGGTTGTCCTGTTCGGAGAGTTCGGGGGTTCATTTCCATGAATTGTGACAATAGGTCCACGGTCGCTTGGGGATCGCCCAAGAAGACATGAAATCCTAGCACTGTGTGTAAGGGAGTCTGGACCTGTGGGTGATATCTTGCTATACACGAGGAGCCCGTCCGCGCTATAACACGAACAGTACGGAGTACTCGGCCCTTTCTCCCATCTCCCATGCACCTATGTGCCATTGTATGTTGACGAATGACTCAATCGGAGTCCGCGGATCCTCCTCTCATTACAACGCTGTCCAAGCCTTCAAGTTCTTCCTGCTCGCTGTCCAGCCTGTATTGGCAGTTCATGTGATAATAGTGCCTGATACACCATGACCCGCCTGAAGTTGTTCCTCCCTTAGCCATGACTCCTCACCACATCGCCATCAACCCCCATTATCTGCTCTGCCTGAACTCGCCTTCACTCTAGAATCCTCTTGATTAGGTCAACCCTAGGTATTCATTTCGTTTTTCGGCTCATAAAACCCGAATCGAACCAATCGCAAGTCTGCTAGCAATGAGTAAGTCACAACTTGTGCAATTTAACCACATGGCTTGGGTGTAATCTACAAACAAATCCAAAGCGACATGTAGCACGGTAGGCAATCGGCAGTTCTGATGGAATTGCAAACACGAGACATTAGATCATCTCATTATCATTTGACCACCCATACCATTATGAAGGAAGCCACTCGTCACACTCGTCACTGCGGCCCACCCGCCCGTGCAGCCAGCTCGTCGATATACCTCTGCATGCCGTCGAACTCGGCCTTGCCCGTGCTGATCAGGTAGCGGATCTGGCCGACGTCGCTGACATGGCGGTTCCGCTCGAACTCGCCGCGCGCGTAGGCCAGCGTTTCGCCCCGGAGGTCTTTGGGGATGCGGTACGCGCTGCGCAGGATCGTGCGCCACAGAGTCAGCACGCGCTGGCGCTGGATGAATTGCTCGAGAGATAATGGGGGCGCCGCGGCCTTGCGCGACACAGCTGGTTTGCGAGTTCGGGACGCCGCAACGGTGGCGGTGGTGGTGGTAGTGTTGGTGCTGGTCGTAGAGAGAAGTCGGCTTGATGGACGCATGGGAGAAAATCAGTCCTAGCTTCGAGAGGTCGAGGTACTAGTCGTTGCAGACGCGGGTTGGGTCGATGGATATAATGCTACTAAGGTAGTTGGTTGAGTTGGAGTTGGTTGAATTTTTCATACAGGACTGGCTGAGATGGCACTGGTAGTTGCTGCGGGTAGAAAGTCATTGACATCGGCCGTCTGTCTCTGTCCAAAGTGTCGAAGTTGCAGTAGAAGTAGAACGAGGCTCTTACTATCAGTAAAAAGTATCGACACCTCGAAGTACGGAGACGGTGTTTTGTACGGAGGACGGATATTAGTATGCGAATTGCGGCGTGTTTTCGATCCGCCAATCAGAACCGCTGTTCCATAGCCTTATGCTGACGTCAAATGTCTCCTGAGCTCCGTACATACTACCTATTAATCATTTCGGGATAGATTCGATATTTAAGTAGCTGGGCTCATCTCAGCAGTGAGCCAGCTTCTCTCATGCATTGAGGCTGACTGCTGACTGCTGACTGCTGACTGCTGAACGATTCTAAAATACTCCCCAGTTAAACGAACAAGTAGATTGATCTTGAAATATACAGCCGTAAGGAAGTAAACTTGTGACAAGGCTGAAGTATCTGAAGTATCTGCAGCCGATGTGACGTTGGCTGGTCATTGGTTGGTAGACTGTCAACGACAGGGTCGGACATTGAATGGTGTATTGACCATGCCATAGGTATGGCTGGAGTCACATCCTAGGAGTAAGTGGCGCGAGACAAGGTTCGTTGTTACGGCTGTTTGCGTATGAAGGGTTTGGTCTGGCCCTGTGCACATTGCAGCCTCCCTGCTAGTGTACACTTTTCGTACCACCGCGCTCAGGCTCGTTCCTCAAAGGCCTAAACAGACGGTAGGCTTTGTCTCAACCAGATGAAGTTTATGAGCAACTCTGTATAAGCATTATGTGTTAAGAAGAAGTACGTGCGTTGATTGTGGCACCCAACTTACGCTTGAAGTCATTGACTTGCTCCAGACCAACACTGAAGCCAAATCTGACCAATTCTACCATCAAGTATTGCTTTTCTGGATGGAACTGTGCAGCGGCCGCCCCTGTGAGCAAACTGTTCACGCACGAATCAGTGAATTTCGCTCGGGAGAGAACTGAAGAGGGAGACACACATCCAGAGATAGATGTAGGGGATTCCACGCCAAACAGACAAAGGAGTCTCATTCATCAATTGGCCCAGATGTCTGGCGTCATCTTGGTTTGTAGAACTTTCGAAGGGAATTCCGAGTCTGGTTGCACGAAAGTGGATCGTTGCCGCCAGGTTAGTCGCTTGACGAACAGGGGTTGGAAATAAGACTGTCGATCCGGAAGCAGACTGCTGGTTGAACAAGGTGATGGGCGGAGCCATGATGGAAGTAGGCAACCTGGCACGATGGAGAATGTCGTTCGTGGAGTGAGACATACTTGGCGTTGATAGTCGAGTCTGGGTTGCTTGGAAAGCTTCATCGAGAAGATTGATGAAGGAAGCTGGAACACTGCGGTAAATGGACTGGACGCCCTGAAAGCTTTCGATGAGCTTCAGCGGTGAGCTTCGAAAGAATCCAACGCCTGGGTCGGCCGGTGATGGACCTAGAAAAGGCGCATCCATCTTCACAAATCCAGGTCGACGATTCGGTGTAGTGGCTGCCAGTATGAGATCACATCTGAGTTTGAGTCAGGAAATAGTTGGAGCAGGATATGCATGCGAATGCGGTCTACGTACGCATGTAGGGCAGGAAGTAGGGCATCAGCGTGTCCGTATCCTTGCTTGCTTTGTAGAGCCACAAGCCTTGCCAAACCGTCGTAGTGAATAGGGACCGCATTACCACCCCTGACCATCTAATTGCAGCCCGAATCAGTGAACGAACCCGAATGCATGACCTTTCTAGCCATAGTCTGCCGCAGCAGTGACCCTGGAGCAGACTCACTTCAAAGGAAAGTACCAACATTACAGCTCCGACCAACGAAAGGGAAGGATTTCGTGCAGCTTCAGGTATGGAACCTTGCAAGAGGCTGAGCGCCTTGGCTTTGGCATTGACACAGATCGGGATATCCTCTTCAAGGAACTTGATTGCGGTGGTGTGACCCAGATGAACAAGATGTGTGGTGAAGAGAATCAGTTCGTTCGATGCATTTGCCTCGAAACAAACCTTTAACCTGGAGGTGCCGGGCAGACGATGGTAGTCGCTGGACTGTAGAAGGCTCAATGGTTCAGACAGAAACCTGACGTCTGTGATTGTGGGACTCAGTTGACAAGTCCTGATTGCCATCCACAGATCGACTCACATGATTCCACAACGTATAGCAGCTTGTGAAATTCATCAGGCTGTGTGGACTGCGTGTTCGCTCCACCAGTTTGCCATCCATGCAACGAGATGGGAAGGGTTGGCACCATTGCGCTGAGACAATTTTGGTTCTGGTACGAAGACTGGCCGAGCGATCGAGATCCCAAACCAGCGGATTCGGTTTGCCCCTTGGGCGGAGACTTGCTTGATGATGGCCATGAAACATACAACAAAGGATCAGGAGAAACAACCGTAATTGACGAATTCTGCACTCCCTCCCTGCCATGTTCAATGTCGCTGGCAGCACGACTCGTTGGGACTTGTCCTTGTTCTTCTGACGAACTCGGTGAGGACTTTCGACATAAGGGTTGACCGGTTGAAACAGCTCGAGTCTCTTCGAATTCTGTCGCACATTGAGAAAAGGACACAGCTTGGATTTGGGATGATTTTCGGACTGACTTCTCCTGTCCTCGAGTCTTTGCTTCCTCCGTAAATTCTTCATGACCTGCGATCGTACTTGGGATTTGGTGTTCCTGTCTTTACCGACACAGAGCCCTTCCGAACTGGACAAGTTTATGAATGTAAGTCTGTTCGACATGCTTGCAAAAATCATCAACTCTGCCAGCAGTGTGGCGTTCAAGGTGACTGATGTCCTTTCACATGGAGCTCACAATCGCCGCAGGGGATTCTGCGTCTTCATATACTCGTAAGTCGTGGTACCTGGCGTACTTTTGACATCGGCCTGGCAGTCTGAGCTGAAACCTCCCGCGCTGACTACTTTGATACCTGATAAGGCAGACATGCTGAAAATTCTTGGCTGTTTGCATGTGAGCGAATCTGAGATGCCGGTGCATAGTGTGAGTAAGCAAACTCAGCTCACGGTCGGGGGGCTGAGCAGGCTCGGCCATGCCCGACCACCAATGTAGTAAGTACTAGCCGGAGAAGAGTGTTCTTGACCGCCAGGAGTTGTTTCGCCCCCCCTGGCATGACAATTAGGTCAAAGAGAAGTTTGTCCAGCAGACGAAAGGGAGCAAGATACCTGTCCGGACGACAGTTACAAGACTGGCCGAGGTTGTATGCAGAGGCGAAAGGTACAGGATGACCCTGGCTGCTGCTTAATCAACGAATCCTCACATTGAAGCATCACTGTGTGAGGAGACCAGCCGAAAGAAAGACAGGGAATCGAATCCTCCGTCCTAGACTCCATATAGGAGGTGGCTAGATGTCTCACCGGCCATGTAGGGTGTCCTCGATACCAAGAAAGCTGTCCACGCGCAATTGGTGGTTTAGGTACACATGCCAGTGCCCGTGCCAGTGCACCATGTATAGGTACTCGGTACGGTACAGAGTAATATGTATTTAGTAGAACAGTGCCACAGCTCTGCCGCCCCCGTACGTGCCTCTAAGCCCGTGCCCGCAAAGGCCCGAGCGGAAAAACGCGTCGCTCCCGAAATCTGGGGTAGAAGATGAGGGCGGATGGGCCACAGAGGGAGGATCCGGAGACCGTACGATAAGGAAGAGGACTGCGGTGCACCACCGGCACACCACGGCGGGCTGCTCGATATCGGAGACCTGCTTTTGGCCTTTTAGACGAGGAAGTGCGTCGAACTTGAAGCGAGCCATTCCAAACAGGCAGCTCACACACAACGAAGAAGCAATCACAGATCGCAGGTCAAGTGACGTGATTGAGACTGCGCAGCTGAGGATATTTACCTGGCACTGTATCGGGCTGATTGGAGCGGGCACATGAATGAGTCTCAACCCTTTAACCCGCCTGAATCGCCTCTCATGATCCTTTGGCCACCTCTCACCCCTGCTGTTATTGTTACTACTACTGTTACTGCCACTGCCACTACGACCGCTACCGATCCTATTCCCTCTCTTACCTGCCGTTCCCTTCTGATGAAATAACAATGTCCAACGACGACGATTACCCTACACGCCCCCATCGAGACCGAGACCAAGACCATTCTCGCTACGGTCGCAGCACCGGCCTGCGATTCCCGGATGAAGACAACTACGCGTCCGACTCTCGAAGACCCGCGGCTCCTACTCCCCGACATTCCCGCTACGACGTTTCTCCTCCACGGGCCTATGGCTCCGACGAATCCCGCCTTAAGAAGGACCTCGACCCTCGAGATGCCGAGCCCAAGACCGCTTCTCGAGACCCGAAAGATGATCCTCCTCGCTACCGAGAATATCCCACCAGTGCCAGGGACAACGATGTGAAGCCGAAGAAGTCCAACACCGCTGCTCCGAGGAGGAGAAGTTTCGACGATGACGCCGCTGACATCAACCCTACAACCCATCGGCACGGACGAGACGGCGGTGGCGCGGCCTACGGTCGTTCCAAAGGCTACCGCGAGGACCTACCCGACCCGGAGCCCATCATGAGTGATCGCTACGACCCTAAAAGGACCCAAGGCAGCGGGCGCAGACCCCCCGTGGACGACGATGGTGAATTCGAGCCAGAGCCACCGCGTCGAGCCAAAACATATCGAGAGCCAGACCACCACCGTCGCCGAGGGGACGATGTCTATGACGATGAACCAAGGGCGTCTCGTCGCTACCGCAGCCCAGAAGATAGACATTCTGACCGCGACCGAGGCTACAGGTCAGACGGCCGAGATGCCAGGCCTAGCAGCAGGAGGGATGGTGACCGCTACGCCGACCGCAGATATCGCAGCAGTGGTGCAGATGGCTACGCCTCGGATAGAGGGCACAAGCGGTCTGACCGTGATCGGGACCGAGACAGGGACGGTGATCGCGACAGGAGAGATCGTGACCGAGACCGAGACCGAGACAGACACCGTGACCGCAGCCACGAGCGCAGAAAGAAAAAGGGCTTCTCTCTTGACGACATCGGCAAAGTTTACGAACAAAGTCAGAAGCATTACAAGACCGTCGCCCCGCTCGTGAGCAGTCTGGCCAAAATGTATCTGGACAACAAGAAATGAATCGACCTGAGTCTCCATCATGGCCTGTAGTGCCGGCGGCTGCCTGGGTCGGGATATGGACTGGAACTTAATGCACTGAATTGGTTTGGCATGGAAGCACCGCAGGTCGGGAGTGATCACATCATCCAGCGAACTTGGACATGGACATGAGAAACGTGAAGGGGGATCTCGGGACCCGAGGGCGGCGGAATATCTCATTTGTACTTGAATACCCAACACTCAATACTCAACACTTATTCTCAATCTCAAGGATGAATCATCACTGAGCCTCATATCTCCCTCACATCTTCCAACACGACCTTCGTTGTCGCGATCCACTTGCCATTCTTGACTTTAGATAGCCCAAGCGTGGGTGTCGGTTCCCCGTCAACCAGACCACTCCTATTTCTAGATATAGGATGTAGTAAATTACAAAGACATTAGGACATCTACTCTAGGGGGACAGTAGAGGATATCTTGTACCTTTCAAAAACATGTATACAGTAGCTGGAAATTTACTCTAACCACTATCGAAGTGCCCAGGTAGTTGTCGAATAAACCGCCACGGGTTCTGGCACCCACCCTTGACCTTTCTCTGTTCTGTGTGACCATCTGCAAGTCAGAGACAGAGGCATTTCAGATCCAGGCCCCTATGGCTAACACAGCAATCAGTCGCCGGTCCTAAGCTGCCACAGTCTCGAATCCGGTGAAGTGTGGCAGCACAGCACGAATCTCCTTGACATAGGCAGGGATTCCGCCGGCATAGTTAACCTGCTCAAACGCTTTGCCTGGAACACTGCCACCCATATACGTCGACCTCGTGGTAGGCAGCAAAGTGATGTCGCTGAGCTCGTTGATATGTTGCTTCCACTTTTCGCTTGCCTCTTTGGTAGCGTTGATGTACTTGAGACCTTTCCGGTCCACAAGTTTGATGGCGTCGCGAATCCAACGGCCTTGGACCTCCACGCTGGATGGGCCATTGGACAGCAGCGTCGGCCCGTGTGGACCGTACAAGTGGAACATGTTGGGGTAGCCCGAGATGGTGGTTCCGAGATACGTGTACGCAGCTGCTTTCCACTCATCCTGTAACGTCGTTCCGTTGATCGATTTGAGCCCCATGTTAGTCATGCCGCCAGTGGTGATGTCGAAGCCTGTCGCCAGGGCGATGATGTCCAGGTCGTGATGCCTACCGTCAGTCGTCCTGATACCCGTTTCCGTAAATTCGGCGATGGCATTTCCAGACTTTGGGCCGATGTCCACGATGGTCACGTTGTCCCGATCGAGGACCTCGTAGAAGTTCTGCTCCAGACAGGGACGCTTCACGCCAAAGGGGTGTGGTGGCTCCGCAGGGCATAGGATCTCCCGTTTTTCAGGGTTCTTGATCCGGGTCATCTGCTTCTTGCGCCAGAAGTCGTAGACGTATCGGTTCGCTGCCAAGTCGAAAAGGTAGTCTTTGTGTGCCCCGAGCCAAAGCCCAAAGCCGGCTTTAGTCCAGAGCCTCTCGTAAAGCGCCTCCCTTTCCTCCGGCGAATCCTCCAAAGTATTGCGCTCCTCAAAATCGTATGTGAACCCCGCGAAATTCTTCTCGCGCAGGCGTAGGAGCTCCTCGTAGGCCGGGTAGAGCGCCTCTTGTTCTTCTTTGCTCAAGTCACGTTTACCCATAGGTAGAGCCAGATTCGGAGTACGTTGGAAGACCGTCAAATTTTCGACTTGCGGCCCCCATTCTTGTATGATCTGCACACCAGAGGCGCCGGTGCCAATAACTGCCACTTTCTTACCACGCGCATCGACTCCCTCAGTCGGCCAGAAGGACGAATGATGCATGATGCCCTTGAACTTTTCCATACCTGGATACTCTGGTATATACCTTTTGGCAGCGAAGCCGGCAGCAATAATGAGGAACTTACACTTGGCCATGCGGCCGTCCGCCGTTTTGAGTGTCCATTTACCAGAATTCGTATCAAACTCTGCACCTGTGACAACAGTGCCAAAAGCACAGTCTTTGCTCAGGTTGCACACCTTATCCACGTGGTCAAAGTAGGCTTGGAGTTCATGGTAGTCTGGATAGTTCGTCGTCCATGTCCAGGTTTTGTAAACTTCGGGGATCGCCAGCTGGTAGATGGGCACTTCAGAATCGACCCTGGCGCCTGGTAACATCAGCTGGAGTCCGTGTCTATTTTGCCACGTTTTCTGCGTACCAGGGTATACATTCCACCGCCACGTGCCGCCGAAGCTGTTCCCGGCTTCGTAGAGAACAGTCTTGAAGCCAGCTTTGCGCATTTCATAGAGCAAATATGTACCACCAAACCCAGCCCCAACGATTATCACATCGACATCGAGGTTGTCCGCATAGGGCCCATCGGTCCGAGATCGTTGGGCATATTCATAAAGATCCCGGTGCAGGATGCGCTCGGGTTTCTCCTGATTCTCGGAGGGGTCCCCCATGATTGTCAGATGGGTGTTTGGATGAGCCAAAGTGCCAGAGCAACAATTCAATCAACTTCAGACAAAGTCCAGGATGCAGAGGCTCAGGGTTCCGGCATACTTATACCCAACCCCCTCCCTCCCCGGGCTAATGGAGCGACTGGTGGAATGGACGTCATGGTGAACACTCCGTCGCTTCTTGAAAGTAGTGATGACACAGGTGATCATTCATAACAACTCCTCAATCCATCTGAGCGGAACCAAGTGAATAGTCGAACGTGATTTGACGCTCGTCGGCCAAGAATGTCTCCCCGCTTCCCCCCTGAGGACGTTAACACGCTCCACGCTGCATTCTGGGGTAAATGAAGTCTGGGGGTCAGCAGGATGTAGGCTATCTGTGATGGTGATTGGATTCTGAATATCAAAGAAGGTGCGGTGCCGCTGTACCGGTTGAGCGAGCCGCCGGTTCTGACCTCGGTTAAACTCCACAGTCGAAATCTGCCGAGGGCTTGTTATAAACTCATCTGAAGTTTTGGGCGTGATCGAAGGTAAGGTAGGGCGGCTGGCTCTGGAGGGCTGCTAGGAAACAAGAGAATGTATTGCTCCAATTCACTCTCAGCATCGTGGCCTTTGCATCTGAATCGAAACGGCAGTACCATCACTCCTGCCAGCTTAGGAATCAACCATGCCCTTGAGCTTACCATGAGATATGCAAACTAGGGGAACACCTTCTGCATGTACAAACAGCTAGGGATGGCAGGGTTGCATGTCCTCCAAGCGAGTAGAGGAGGGGTAGTAGAGCGACGACAAACCTAGGTCACCGTAGTTGACCTTGTACTCCATAGTCGTGAGGGGGGAGTCGACGCGTCAGGATCCTACCGCTCGAACAGGAACACCGCCTTGGAGGTGAGGCGTCTATCGAATGCTCTTCTCTTGTCTGTGGCCCACTTTCATAAGACTACTCGTCTTCTAGGGGGGCGCTTTGAGCAGGCATCATCCTGGGTAGAGGCAAATTCATGGCATGTAGGGTCCCCCGCCGATGAGAGTAATCAATGAATGGCGAGTGTATAGCTGTTGCCGAAAGGACAGTAGGATTACGAAGCCGGAGTGCGAGGCGTCTGAGCTGGATCCCGGGTCAGATCATGCACTCGACAAGCTGACCAAGCGGAAGGAGCAGTATTGGTGGCATTAGGGCTCGGAGGGAGCCTGAGAATGTGATGAGAAGGGGGAATCTGGGAATGAGCTGAGATTGTCAGATGCGCAGCGCGCAGGTGCAGCGTAGGTACTCGTACTCTGTACTCCGTGGAGGCAACGTCATTACATCCAAGCTGCGGCTGCGCCTTCAACAATAATCTGTCTGTCAGTATCGCCCATCAACACCATACGGATACTAGATCCTCACTGGCCATCGCCAACATCAAAGACCCAAACCCCCGCCAGGCGCTTTGCGCAGCCTTCCCAATACACCATCTGCCATCTGCCATCTGCTTACCATCCGGTAGACTGGTCCCATTCTTCTCCCTCGCTGTGCGGTCTCAGCTGTCTAGACAATGATCGCGGAGGCCCATCCCCAACCATAATGACGCGCCGCAAGCGCACACCTTCACCCTCTCCCTCCTCTCCACCGAAACGCGTGGCATTTGAGATCCCTAGCTCACTTCAGCAGTTCTCTAACATTTCGCGCTCGCTTGCAGTCAGCAGGGACTCGTCCGGGCCTGCACCATCTGGACAGTCCATCACAAACTCCCACCCCCAGCCTCGTCCGGGTTCTCGGTCCTCCTCGCACTCTGCCGTGTCGTTGTCTACTGGGCCCAACATTGTGGAAAATGCAGCATCCCAATTCCCGTCGCAAAAACAGTTCTCTACAGAGGGACAGGCATGGCATCAGCCCATGCCATGGAACAACATCCATGTGGCAGCATCAGAGCAGGTGGACGAGCGCGGGAAACGCTCGACTCCTGCGGGTGGCCCTCCACCATTTACTGCCTCGCAAACCAGACCGGCTGCTGCACCTTCTTCTACAAGCCCCCAAGAGCGACGGCAAAATTTTCCAATAGGCCCCCCTGATACAGCGAAAGAACCCATTCTCAAACCCGGTGAAACGCCTACTTTGACGACTCATCCAACCCTTATAGCATCACTTATTGCAAAAAAGAGAGCTGAAAACGAGGCGAAAGGGATGCGACAAAGATGGGCGAGGAGGCAGGCGGAGTATCGAATGTCAAGATCTCCAGCAAGCCAATTGGGGACCGAAATGAACACAGAAGCTGGTCCCAATGAAGGCCAAAAGCCTCACCCTCGAGCTCTCTCTAACCCTAAGCCTGCCATGCACGTGCCACCTCCCAGAGAAGCATATGCTGCCATGCTTTCTAGGCTCGAGATTCGGACACCGACGGCAGAAGCTGTATCTACACCTGCTACGGATCCATCCACTAAGAGCACAGAGACGCCAAAAGCACTACCAGTAGGCGAGGATGATTCTTTATTTGGATCTCCTTTCTCTTCCCCTATGACGGAATTTCTGGAAAGAGCAACGGATGATGCGGGCTTGAAGGATGGAATTGAACCAAGTACCGGTGTACCTACGAGATTGTCTGCCACTCAAACTTCTGTCCCGCGAAATTCGGATGCAGCGAGACCCGGTGTATCACAGACCAGCGAGACAAACAAGCCACCCAAAGTTGTTACAGTTCCTCCGCTCTTCTCGGATCACCGACATGCCACTCCACTAACAGCACAAAACCAAACATACCTTGGCGGCCTAGGAGCGAATGCCACCATGCCTCAAAACCAACCCGCTAGTATGCACAGACAGTATCAAACGAACTCGTCGATCCACCCCCAGTCTTCTGCGCCTCGACAAGCGTCCTTCGTGTCTACGCTTCCCGCGGCATCCCATCCGCCTTCGATGCCACATCGGCATCCATACTTTCAGCAAACTCCTTCTCCTAGCGGATACTATAAGGTTGATTTTCGAACTTCTCACGCTGCAAGTTCAGGCTTGGGCCCAATGCATACAAGCTTTACTCCCTTGCTCTACCCCAAATCTCCTGCGCAAGGAGATACGGAAGATCCAAATCCAAATTATCAAATGGTGATCTTGCCAATGTATTCGATGGCACAACAACTACAGGGCCAGGCCACCGAGTACGGCACTGCTGCTGGCCTCGCTGCGACCCCACAGCAGGCGAAGCTGCAGTCATCCGGTCCAAACTCCAATACTGCTGCGGACATGGTTGCGGGGATCAGCACAAGATTCAAAACCACAACTAAGGATGATTTCGTTATGCTGAGGCGATGACAATGGCTGGACCATGTCGCGGACACAACATTAACTGATGGGACGTGAGGAAGAATTTCCTGAACGGAAAGGACCTCTGAGGAGCCGAACCAGTGAAATCGGAGTTCGGAATCAATGTGAATGACTTGGGATGACCATACAGTGATAATATACGGGATTACGACGGATCTTCGAATCGAATTCAAAAGCCTCGAATCGACTGGCTTCATTTCATCTTGTATATCGGGCTGGTTGCGAAGATTGTCCCCATTGAACTGAAATAGAGAACTTGTAAAGCTTTGTGAATCTCTGGTGTGCGGCGTACTGTGCAGGATCTTGAGATACTTTCTTCTGTTAGATGCGTTGAGTAGAAGCCTCGATCGCCGAGATACAAGCGGGCTTCCGGGCGTTGATTGAGCATCTGTTTAGTCACGGGAAAAGTATCTTCTCTTGTGGTGTCAAGAGAACCCCATCGGCCGCTTCGCCAATCCCTCCACCAAGTCGGCCACGAGATGACGCTTGCGTTTCCTCCTGTTTTCAGCATCGTCGGCCGCCTCGCCAGGGCGTAGTATTGCAGATCCGTCTCCGTCTCCTCTAGGCGTTGCGGCATGACCCTTGTCATCATCGTCTTCCTCGACAGCATTTCGGGGCTGTGGCACCCAAGCGCAAATCTTCCCGTCTCCGTGCGCGGTGTACATTTCTATCCCATGGCCAAGAAGGGCATTGGTGCGCCAGACCATGGCATTGATGCGGCCGCCGCTCGTCAACCTCGCCACGCCACCGCCAGTGCTGGTCCCGCTGGCCTTGCCGCGTTTTTTGGCCGCCTGCACTTCTGCAACCTTAATGCCTTCGGTGCGCAAGATTCTGATCAAGTGGCCCTCACGCAGATGGTGCTGGAAAATGCCGCCGCGGCCCTCGTCATTTGGCCAGAACAGCGACTCTTGACCAGGGGCATGGGTTCCGAGCGGCGAAATCAGCGGTGTGAGTTCGCCCTGTCTCTCATTCCGGATGCGTGGGCCAAAGTGAACGAGTTCATTGCGGCCCGTAGCCGTGTCCCAGACCCGGATGCGCTGGTCATGGCCCGCAGTAACCAGGCGATCGCCATGAGGCGTCCATTGCACGCTTGTCACGGCGCCGTTGTGCGCTACGGCATTGAAGTCGAGCAGCTCGGAGCGCGCGCCTAGCCCCGTTGAGGGCTGGTCACCCACGACCCCAACAGCGTCGTCTAGGTCTAGCGAGGCGAAGGCCGCGTTCGCCCGGCGGATGTCATAGAACAGCACGCGGCCATCGGCAGAGCCGGAGGCCAGAATGTATGACGTCTTCGGCGACCACGACAGCGTGTACACCGCGCCATTGGGTCCGGAGAGGGAATGCGTAGACAGACCAGAGCGAAGGTCAAGAAGACGCACGGACGGGTGTGCGGTCCCAACGGCTATCAATGGGGATGAGTCAGGAACCAGGGAGACGGAATGGGTGTAAGGTAGAAAGTCGAGATCGAAGGTGTGGACTGGTACCAGCGAAGTAGGTGCGATCGATGTGACCTTGAGAGACTTATCGTAGCTGGTGGTCAGCAGCGTCGACGGAACCGGGTCGAATGGATAGATGGAGACCGACGTCAGAGCGTGGCTATGCGACAACGGCGAGCTACGTGTTAGTGCTGCTGCTGGATGATATTCCCAAGACGAAGATGTGCCTGTTGCTGAGCCGTAGGGATCGTGGTGCTCCTCGAGATCCCAGAGCCGCACAGTGGAGTCTGCACCTCCAGAAAACAGATATCGACCTTCGTTGCGGTCGATGGCAAGACAGTTGACGCCTGCCTGGTGTGCGACCGCGGCAGACCGAGCCTGGTGATCACTGACATCGTTACTTGCGGCAGAATCCGACCTACTGTAGACGAAAGTGATGTCTTTCTGATGAGCAAGGCTGTTGATAAGGCTTTCGTCATGACTTTGGCGGAATGTTGCGGATGGCACCGTGCCTAGGCACTGACCCAGGCGGAGATGATTCATACATCAGTATTGGCGTAGTGGTCGCTCGACAGAGCACCGTGAGGAATATGAGCTGAGCGCACAGAGGGTGAGTTGCGAGGGAAGAAGGTTGGTGATCGCGGGGACGGGCGAGTTGATGGGTGCGCAGCTAATGCATCTGGGGATATAATGCTTTACAGGAGAGAAACTGCATGAATTGCTCCGCCGCACAGGCGATCTCCAAAGACGCATTTTTGCCGTCCATTCCCCAGAGCTGCTTTACATTTCTACCATTCCATCACTTGTCCTCCTCAAGGCAAGAAATGGTGCTAGAATTGCACATATGGGGCCCAGCATTTGACTTGCCCTCGATTGACGCTCAATGTCTGGCCGCTGTCTGCTACTTGCGAACATGCCTCCCCTCTGACGGCTGGTCACTGATTCCCTCGAGCGACCCGACCCGTACTCCTCTCGGCGAACTCCCTGCCCTGCGCGATGGGGGCACCTGGGTAGCTGGGTTCAACAATATAGTCGCATACTTGCGAGATATTTCGAATGGAGAGTGGGACCTCGACAAAGACCTCGACGAGAACCAACGAGCCGACCGAGCCGCCCTATCGTCCTTTCTCGACTCTCGTGGACAACCTCTTCTCGACTTGAGTCTGTATGTGAGCAGCGATAATTACCTGAATAGCACCAGGCAAGCTCTTGGCGCTATCTTATCGTGGCCCAGCAGCTGGACTATACCTCACCAACTACGCGCTAAAGCGAAGAAGCGGTCAGAACACTTGGGTCTGGGTAGCCTCGACGTGGACACTGCACAAGAGGACAAAGGCGAGGACGCAGTTTTGACCGCACACATTCCGAAGTCTCTCAGGAAACCCAAGCAAACCGTCAGCGGCTTGCTCGGGCGAAATGTGCAGAAAAACAAATTCCGATTGGATGGCATAACCTCTGATTTCTTCGAACCGTTGCTAGAGGCGCTGGAAGATGAGGACTGCTTCTTTGGAGAAGAGGATAGCAGTGCCGATTGTTTGGCAATCGCATATCTTGCTCTCATGCAAAATCCCGAATTGCCACAAGGGTGGCTAAAGGACACCTTGCGAAACAAGTACCCGAAAATGAACCACTGGAACCGGACACGTGTCGAGGAAGCGTTTGGACCATCCGTGGATGTTGACATGGTGCTGGGCAGGAAGGACGGTCTTACTTCAGAGAAACTGGTCCTACCATGGCGCATCCCTGAGAAAAGAACTTTGCCGCAAACCCTGCAGGCGGTCCTGGAGAGCTGCATCGAGCCTCTCCCTGTGTTAGGATCTTGGTATGCAATCTCTGATGTCGGCAGGGAGCAGTCTGGAAACATTGACCGATACCATACGAAACAAGTGAGACTAGCCCGCCTCCATCGACGACGAGAAATTTATTTTCAGGTTTTGGCATCCACCTGTGCTGTCACTGGTCTTGCGGGCTGGATGCTGTATAAGGGGATGCTAAAATTCCCGCATCGAGTGCTCGGAGCGCCTAAGTCACGCAGCTTCGGCCAAGCAGGGGCTCTCTTTGGGCTGATGTGAGTGAGTCAGAAAGGCAGCGAATTTCTGTGGCCCTGGGAGCCGATGAGTCTGACAACGACTACGACAAACCAGGATGTCAATCCTGGCCAGTTAAATGGCAAAATTTGCAAATGCGTCACGACAGGGATAGACTGTCCTTCTGGGGCCGGATCTACAAGGCGCTGAATTGAGGACCTTAACAATGCCAAGGAGACTACGGAGTACAGCCTTGCCAATTACTACTCCGAACAGCGGCTTGAGGCACCCGGTCGATCACCACAGGCTGCTTCTATACTTGTCAGCTCGTGACTGGTGCTCATCACGTTGCTACCAGTAGTTTAAATTAGATTTGATGGTACCATTAAGGATGCCACGGATGATGGTCGCCACGCTTTTGAAGCATGTACAGGTATTTTCTACTACGGGACTAATGTGGTATGTCATCATGTGTAAGCATAGGTACCTATCTGTAGGTAGGTATGGACTACTCTGTACAAAGTATGATACCTTAACGTACGGTTACTATGTATGTACCTTTTAGGTACCTAAGGTAAAGGTAGAGTACCTAGTAGCCTTCAAGACGCTGGATAATTCTCGGACGCGTTAGGTAATCAAGTAGCTATGGGGAATGACGTGGAACCCATCCAGTCAAAGGCTTTGCGTACCTGGACCCGCACCCCCCTGCCGCTACCCACCAATAGAAGGTTGATGATTTGCACCGTAGTGTCGAGCCTTGTCCATCGAGTTGTCTCTTATTGGCCGCTAGGACTCGATTGACTCCCAGCAGCTTAAGGTCCTCAATTTATTCTGATGTCCGAGTTCCCGAAGACGACGATGGAACAGGGCTGCAACACCAGCGAGTTCTTAGTCGCAACTACTGACACGACTGCCGCCTTTCTGTCCGCTCCTCCTCCAGGAGCCCTCTCGCGGGCGGAGAGTTCTTGGAAGGTGACAAGCACCGTCTTTTTTTGTATACCATTCTTCTCTTCCACTCCCACTCACAGGATAGCTCGACTTAAAAACTGCGATCCCAAACCGCTCTGGCGAGCTGGAAGCCAGTTTGAACTGCACTGGTAAGATCCTCGGTCCCAACTTTTTCTCAGCACGGCTTTCTAACATAATGCCAGGCTCGTGCCTCTACCGATCTGTAATGTATACGACGTCCGTCCAAACTAAGAGCCACGAACGAACGTCTCCGGTCTGCCGGTAACCGTGACCCCTCCGGCCGAGTCACACGATGGCCAGCATCGAGTCATTCGCCCGTCTCGTCCTTCGGGAAGAAGATAGCGAAGCTACTTCAGTGTGTGATACTGGCAATGCATACGATGGTCGCTTAGGCCTGCGGGTAGCTGCGCTTTTCATAATATGGGTTACATCTTCTATTGGCGGAGCTTTCCCCATATTCGCCCATCGAAACCGCGGACTGAAGGTACCAGATTGGGTCTTCTTTGTCTGCAAATACTTTGGATCCGGCGTCATTGTCGGAACCGCGTTCATACACTTGCTGGGGCCTGCCGAAGAAGCATTAAAAAATCCATGCCTGACGGGGCCCATCACCGATTACTCTTGGGTGGAGGGGATCATTCTCATGACCATCTTTATCCTGTTCTTCATCGAGTTGATGGTGATGCGGTATGGAGATTTCGGTGCAGGACACAGTCACGGTCACGAGGGAGAGGGAGAGGGACATAGCCATACACACGATCCGGAGCATGACCAACCCGTGAACACCGAGCTGAACAACACCATGGACCTGGCGCCTTATAAAGACAACGCGTCATCCACGACCCAGCCAGAAAGCATCAGACACGCTCCATCTCACAGTATCCAGCTTCCGGGAGAAGATCACCTAGGGCACTCTCAAGAACACAACGAAATTGAAGAAGCAGCCGACGCTTTCAGTTTTGAGGACTACAAGGCTCAGATGACGGCGATTTTCATCCTAGAGTTCGGCATCATATTCCACAGCATTTTCATTGGTCTCACTCTGGCGGTTGCCGGAGACGAGTTCGACACACTCTTCGTTGTCTTAATCTTCCATCAGACTTTCGAGGGTCTCGGTCTGGGCTCCCGACTGGCAGTGGTCCCATGGCCCCAGAGCCGGAGATGGACCCCTTATGTCCTAGCTTTGGCCTATGGGATCAGCACACCTGTCGCAATTGCCATTGGATTGGGTGTGCGAAGGTCTTATCCTCCCGGATCCAAGACCACTCTCATCGTCAATGGCGTTTTCGATTCCATTTCAGCGGGCATTCTGGTCTACACGGGGTTGGTGGAGTTGATGGCGCATGAGTTTATGTTCAGCAGGTCAATGCAGAAGGCGAGAATCCAGACTCTCCTCGCGGCATTCGGGACAATGTGCTTAGGTTCGGGGTTGATGGCTTTGCTCGGAAAATGGGCTTAGTGGGCTAAGCGGTGGATGGAATCACTTTGTCGATACATTGAGCGAATGGAATATTCGAGATCGTCGACGGACTGTGCATTACCGAACGGATGACAGGACACTTAGAACATTCGCCGCTGCCCACGGACGAGGAGACTCGCCCTCCCTCCTGCTTTGACGTTTGATGCCCTTGTGATTACCAGTCACAAGAACGAAGAGTACGTACATATATATTAGATATACATGGTTTAACGAGACACCCTCACACAAGATGTCTTGGATGTGGTCGAGACCAGTCTGCGATAGACGTGGCCCAGGTACACTAGGTAGTAGTCGCGAATAGTCGAGCTAGTTCGAGGCCCACCAATCAGCTTTCCGACGCCGCTGCTTCGCGGTCCAGGATCCCAAAGAGACGAGTATTGTCTATCGCGCACAGCCGCGCTTGTTGGTATTTACAGCCCTGTCGGGCGGCGGCGGTAGCGGTAGAGGTAGAGGTAGCGGTGGAGGCAGTGTTAGAGGTAGAGGTAGCGGTAATGGTAGACTTGGAGGCAGTGAAAAGAGAGGAGGGGGGTTTCGAAGCCCATTTCAAGCCGGAAACTGCTGGGGGGTGTTTTGCTGCTATATGCGTGACGTGAGGGTTGAAATTGGTGGTATGATGAGGGTTCCGATTTGGATTTGGATTCGGATCAAGATTGTGATTGTGGTTGTGATTGTGTTTGCGATTGTGGTTATGGTTGCGATTGCTCGTGTCCACCCCTTCGGTGTCGACTGGCCACGGCTCAACGACACCCACACACCCTAGTTCCGGCAGGATGTCGGCTTCAATGGCCTCGATGGCCCTGAGATCTGCGTCGGTAGCGCCGAGGCCGCGCATGCTGGCGATGATCAAGGCCGCTTGTGCGCACGACGTGCTGTTGGGGTGGTTTAGGTCGAGCGTGAGGGGAGGGAAGAGGTCAGTTCCGGGGTCGGCGTTAGGGTGATTGTGGTCGTGGGTGTTGTCGTTGTCGTCGTCCTCATGGCGGTAATGGTAATGGCCATGGTCGTCACGGTCATGGTGGTGGGAAGTGCAGGGGCCGTCGGAGCAATCAACCCCCTCCTCCTCGTCGGTTTCCATCTCGTCAGTTTCAGCTTCAGCTCCGGCGTCAGCGCCAGCACCAATGGACGATGGCAGACCAGGATGCGAGTACATCGGTGACGGTATCGACGTCGATGATGGTCCATGCTGGTTTTGAGTCGGTGATGGTCCATGCTGGTCTTGAGTCGGCGACGGAGACGGGTACCCCTTCCGCGAGACTTGCAGCGCAGGCTTCCTCGGCCGTGGCACACCGTCTGTGGATGGGTATGGTGTTGGTGTTGGCGTTGACGTTGACATTGCGGCCAGTAGCCCTTCCAGCGCGGCACACCTCTCCCTGAGGGCGCGCACCTCGTCTCTCAACGCGTGGTTCTGCTCGGCTACCAGCCGCGCCGCGGTTTGAACCTGCTCTGTGGCTCGGACGCCGTGGGCCTCGTAGTCGCGAAGCCGCCGCTCGAGTTCGCCGACGTAGGTTTTTCGACGCGCACGAGCGGCGCGCTGGTTCAGTGTGTTGCGGCTGGGCGCCGCCGAGGGAGCCATGGAGACCAAATGGGTCATGTCAAGTGTGCGCTGAAGCGAAGCGCATAAAAAAGTACGGAGTACTCGGCAGGCGATGGTGATGCCGACGGTTGTGGCTGACTGATGGCTGAGGCTGCTGATGGCGGAGCAGTGAGAGGAGCGCAACTTGGAGAGAAGAGGAAGTTTTATTTGACGCGCGTGATTGGCTATACAGTGTGTCACTTGGCGCATCTCATTGGTCGGTACTCGAGGCTGACATGTGATTTGATATTGCTTGCCTCGCGATGAGGATGACGATGGAGACGAGGCCGCTGGGTCAGCTTGTATATGATATTAAGATATGTATATATATCTAGCAATACTATAAGAAAAACCTACGCCATCTCCATCACCAACAGCAGCCCGTGTCTCTACCGCCACCATCACCACCACTGACTACAACCACCACCACTCCATCACCGATAGCAGCCCGTGTCTCTACCACCACCACCACCACCACCATGGATGCATCGGCAATCTATCAGGCAGTGGATGCGACGTATTCGTCCATCGCATCCCAAGCCCAAGCCCGATCAAACCAACCACCAACCGCTCAACCCCAGTATGTCCAGATTGCCCGTTCGTTTGGCTACTCCGCCAACGACCTTGCACTGCTTCCGACCGGAGCCAATTTCGGTCTCTCATGCGGCAACCCGCTGGCGACGGCGCACCTCCAGCCCTCGGAGACGATGGTCGACCTCGGCTCTGGCGGCGGGCTCGACTGTCTAATCGCCGCCAGGCAGATGCTCCAAGCCGACGCGGCGCCCACGGGAAAAGTGGTGGGCGTCGACCGGAGCGAGAGCATGATCGGGCTGGCTCGGCAGAACCTCCAGCGGGCAGATCTACCCGCCGGTCTTGTCGAATTCATCCACGCTCCCATCAGCGAGATCCCGCTCGAAACCGCCAGCGTCGATGTGGTGGTCAGCAACTGCGTCATCAATCTGGTGCCGGACCAGGACAAGCCTCGCGTCTTTCGCGAGATCTATCGCCTGCTGAAGCCTGGAGGAAGGGTGGCGATCAGCGACCTGCTCGCGAAGAAGCCCATGCCCGACCATATCCGCCAGGACGCCGCGTTGCTGGTGGGCTGCGTCGCCGGGGCCAGTCTCGTGCAGGACTATCGACGGTGGATAGCGGATGCCGGGTTCCACGACGACGGGATGGCGGTCGTCGACACCGGGAAAGACTTGAATGTTTACCATGGCCAAGATGGCCCAAGTCCAAGTCCATGTTGTAAGTCTGGAGTCGCCGAAGAAGGCACCGGGCGTGGCGGTTCTTCGGTCGATTTCAATGCCTGGGTTGCTTCGTACCAGATCTACGCTGTCAAATGAGACGTTGCAAGGGTCGGATGCTGAGTAGGAGACGGTCTCCACAGGGGCTGAGAGTTGACAGTCAGTATTTTTTGGGGACGGGTTACACTGTATAGATACAGAGTCAATCATTACTCGAAAGGCTCGAGTCGATCTTGGAATGATATCGCCCAGATCGAGCAGAGCATCCCGCCGCTTTAACACACTGGAACCAGAAACATCTGTCCCTCGGGAGTGCACTTGGACACTAGACAGTAGACAGTAGACATGGTGATTAGTGAACATGAACACTGCCTAGTCCTAGCCAGCCCAGAGCTCTCTTGACAAGGTATTGAGTACAGAGTACAGTGTACTGTAGCACAGCCATAGTCGTCCTCAAACCGTCTCAGCAAGACAGCCGGTCTGGTAGATATTGCCGGAAATGCCCCTTTACGACGTCGAGTATGTCACGCCGCTCAGCCCGGACCAACAGGCTGCGCTGGCCGGCGCCTTGACCGACCTGCACTGCACGCGCTTCCGCACGCCCAGGTTCTTCCTGAACGTGCGCTACGCCGACGTGCGCCACCAAGTCGTCTTCCGCGCCGGCCGCAGAGTCCACTACAACCGGATCATCCTGCGCACGCGGGCCAGCGACAGCGACAGGCGGCCCAAGCATGTCTACGACGAGCACTGCCGCGACATCATCGACGTCTGGGCATCTCTGGTCGGCACCGGCCCTGAGCGTGGCCTCCGCACCGTCTGGGTCTTGGGCGCGCTGACCACCGCGGTGGAATGTGGCATTGCGAGACCGAATGTAAGTCAGCCCAAGAAGGGCAAAATCACCCTCGCATCGCATCGCATCCCATTGCATTGCATTAGCTGGTCTCTGCGAGATTGATAATGATTGATGATTCGCAGGTCGGGGATGAGGAACAATGGCTCGAGGCAAACATGGACCACTTCCGAAAACTGGCGGCGTCAGGAGATGCGGATTTTGTAGAATTGGTTCGAGAAATCGACGGCGACGCAGAAAAGATCCAAGGGTCTCAACTAGCATTGTCACGCTGAGTGTCGCAGGGCAGGCCAGGACAAGACACATCTGCCCCTGAGTAGAAAACTTGATTCCCGTTCTCTCGTTCTCTCTCGTTCTCTCTCGCTCTCTCCCTCTCTTCCCTCTCCCCCTATCAAACAGCTAAATAGAGGCCCAGGCAGAGGTGCAGTTGCGCACTCGCTTTTTTTCTCAGTTCCCAGGCATTGGCCCCTCTTCTTTTTTCTTTTTCACACTCTCACTCCCATGCCATTTACCCAAGTCCCCTTTCCGCTCGCCACCACCCGTCAGATCAATAGAATCCATCGTTCTTTACTTATGATAAGAAAAAGAAGAACTGAAGAGAGTCTCGGCCAGCCAAGCTCCGCTTTCATCGTTGCTATTTCATCACCCCCGGGCACCACACCTCACGGCGACCAAAGTCTGTCGAGACAGACTGGTCTCGACCTCCTCCAAATTGTTGCTTCGGTATTCGTCATTCTGTATTTCTTCACGTCGTAGCCTCATGCCGTCGTACAAACATGAAAGCATCCCGTCAACGCGGATGCGTGTGGGTGTGCGTGCGCAGCAGTCAGTCACAACAGCTGTAAACAAATGTACGCCTGGTTTATCAATAGCCCCTTCCATGCATCCCACCGGGAATTGCACCCTGTGGAGACATGATCCCGGCCATAGGCAGTCCCTGACCTGGCTGTTGTTGTTGCGTTGCCGCCGTGGGGCTGAAAGGGCCCATCTGAGGCCGATGGAACATGTTGATCAGCCGACGGCCCACGTTAGGTTCAATCTCTGTCCCATCCCGGGCAATCTTGACCTCCCGGTTGGAGTTCCATGAATTCCTCAAGCCTCTAGTCCGGTAGAAAGGCAGGTGATCCGTCGACATCCACTTGATCTTGAACGGCTTGCCGAAAGTTTGTGGTGTGGCTGGGCTGGTAGACTCGTAGCCTTCTCCCGACACGTTGCCGCCATCCTCGTCCGCATGTTGTTCCTCTTTTTCTTTGTCCTTGTCTTTGTTTTCCACGTCCGCCTCCCAGAAGATGGTGCCACGAGCAGAGTCGTCGATGATGCGTCCTCTGGGGGCAGTGCTTGTCTCTGGAGTCACTATCGTCAAGGGCAGATCCGAAGGGCTGGGCACAGGAGCTTCCACCCGCGGTTTATAATCAAGTTGAGCGGCGAGTTCGGCGTCAATCGCCGACTCCATCCTGGCATAGCCAAAATACTCGCCAGATTTGTTTGCCGAAAATATCAGGTACACGTTCTCAGCTGTCTGCTCATCGGTCAGAGAGAGTGGCACAAACACCGGGGGGAAGATTGAAAACTCACTTGGTACGCAGAATTGAGTGCCGCTTCGTTGTGAGCCTGAGTGGCCCAGATGCCACTGGTGACGCTGTGTTCCAGATCCTCGACAGTCAGACTTTTCACCACAAAGAACTTGTCCTTGACCTTTTCCAAGGATTTTGGCTCGGCGGTGACTGCGTCTGTGCCATCGACGGCCACCGCCTGTTCTTCTGGAACCTCATCGGGCTGTTTTGCTCCTTGTGTAGCATCGGCGACCGCTTCCACGACTGGCTGCGGTGCGTTCGCTGTGGACGAGCTCCCACGACGCAATCTGCAGACCAGCCTGACCCCGTGAAAACGAGAGTCGTGGAAGCGTGTCATGGCAGCCGCACAACTGGCCTCGGTCTTGTAATTGACAAAAGCGCAGTTGCTTTTGGAGATCAAAAACACGCTCTCAATGTCGTCTGTCGCCTCCTTTGAAAAGTGATCCTTCAGTTCAATTATGTTGGTTGACGGGGGAAGATTGCCCACCCAGAGGGCGTGGCCGGACTGTCGCGGCTTTCTTGGAGGACCTCTGAGGACGGATGCTTGTAGGGACGAGTTCGAGCTGGTTCTCCTCACGGCTGCTCTACTTAGTTCGGTCCAGGCTACAACGTCAGGAGATCTCGTACCTTGAGGACCCGGCTGCTGATAAACATGTTGCCCTTGTTGTGGTCCTGGATGCGCCAGAATACCATCCACGCGCAATTGTGGCAAGGGATACCCGGCTGCCATTCGGGGAGGGTAAGTACCAGTGTAGGACGTCCCGGTATGTGACTGACCAAATTGCGGCTGGTGCTGCTGTCGATGCTGGGTTGTGGCACCGGGATTGTGAAGCATAGGCTGTTGTAACATGTACGTTTGATTTTGGAACGCCTGCGGGCCTCCAGGGCCCGCCTGGCCGCCTATGAACTGTGGAAATGCTCCCTGTGGCTGTCGTGCCCGAGGGCCTTGTGCGTATTGCGGCGGGTACTGTTGAGCAAAAGCTTGAGCATAATTACTGGCAGTCTGACCGGCAAACTGCGCGCCTTGGGGATATTGATACATCATGGACTGATTAGCTAGGCCAGGGGTGGGAAACTGTTGAGGGAACGATGGTGGTGGGAATTGGCGCATTTGATATTCTGGCAACGCGGCGGCCATGTTCAACATGTCGAGCGGTCCTGCAGTAGGAAAATTTCCCATGCTGATGTGCTGTCGAGGGTAGGGTTCGAACTCCATATTGGGCGTCGAATGCTGTCGAGATGGTTCTGTCACAGTCAGATTTGGTTCTGTTTCCGGGGCCCGGACCGAGGACACACCTCTCAAGCTCTCCTCATCCTCGTGCGATGTAGGATGTGGTAGTAACGGTGGCTCATCACCCATACCTAAACCTTCTATTATAACAGGAAGCGTATAATAGTGCTGCACCCAGATGACAGCCATCAGTCAGCCCATGTTGCGCGAGAACAAGACAAAAAGTCCAGACAGAATCAATACCTCAAATAGATACAGCTCAGCTCAGCAGAGAGGACGATCGTGTTCCAACCGAGAAGAGGCTGAGCATGCGGATCACCCCTATCCGAGTGAGCTTGTTGACTCTGGGGAGGATGTCGAGGGGAGTCGTATCGGTCGAACTCTTCTGATCGAGATGGGAAATGAAACAACCAGGTCGGCGCCAAATTTGGAAATGAACGTGGATGGCCAGGGTCCTTCTGTGTTTCACAGGGCTTGATGAGGAAGGGCCTTCTCTGTGACAGTGTCGAAGGCGAGGTTGAAGAACGATTGGTTTAAAGTCGGTGTGCAAAAGGAACAAGACTTAATAACGGTCTTCGCATCCAACCGTGTCTCAGAGCCGGCATGACCGGGGTGGGAATCAACGACTGGCGGCGATAGCGACGCACATTATACTAGAGGCTGTGGGACACAGCAAGTAAAATTCGACAACTGCGCCAGGGTCCGCTGGAAGCCAGTGGCCAAAATAATAGAGCACGTATGATTGGGACTAGCCGGCACAGGTCCCTTGCCGCGGGTCGAGATGGTCAGGATCGAGGAAGAAGACCAAACGGCTCGGGGAAGCGAAGGTACTCAGGGTAGCAGAGGACAAAGCCGGAAGGTTGACGGTCTAACAAGATATCGGTACCACATCTCAATAGTAGCGTGCCAGGAGCCGGGTTTTTCCAAGCCCAACAGGCCATGGCGGCGCCTCAGGTGGCTCGTGGGAAAACGGTGCCGGTCAGCAGCGCCATTGGACGGACCTTTGATGCGATGTTCAGGGCCGGAATTGGATAAGCGTGGAGATCAGGGAGACGGCGGCCACCGGGGCATCAAACTAATAGGTCGGATGAAGAGGTAATCTGGACCCGGTGTTCTGTTTCTCGCGAACCCAAATGTGGCATTGTGGCTGAGAGGGATCTGTCCGATGGCTGACCAAATGACCGGGCTTTCACAGGACGAGACCTTTCATACAGGCACGAGAAAGGCAACAGTTGTTGCTCATCACCGTCGAACTCTGTGGAAATTTGGCCGGTGGGTCCCTCAAAAAGGAGTGGCTACGTGCACACTCCTCTTCGGAAAGTTGGGGACGGGTCGAGCTCGAACACAGGCTCCCTCCCGGCTTCGAGAAGGTAGTGTCTCTGGGGACGGCTCACGTCCAACGGGTGTGGACTTCCTCGAACGAGGGTGAAGAGAGGAACATCCGTCGCGGATTGTCCGCCAGTGGATCCGCTGCGCCACGACTTCAGTGTGGCGACATTATTCGGCCAGGGTCGTCCCATCTTCATGCGTCGTCTAATAAGTTGCTTTTCGGGGCTGCGCTGCCAATTCGCCCAGCTGGTAGCAGGCTTGACCATGGCTTAGTGTGGTTAAGGGGACAATGCAGTCCTGCCGCAACTTCTCCACTCCTGCCGCAACGAGATATCATGTTGAAGTCAGGCTTGCGTAACTTGGGCACAGGGCTGGCCAACTGTCAGGTCCACATTGAGACGACCTTGCAAGTAAAGAGAGCCCGAGTAAAGCATAGGACCCATTCATCTGCCAATCTATGTCCTCGAAATCGAGGCATCCAACGGCGGGCTCCTGCGGGACGACGATATGCTCGGCTGTCCTCCGTAAGTGGTGGACGAGGGAGGCAAAATGAAGTCTGAGGTTCTGGACTCTGCTGATCTTTATACTGCCATGGTTAGGCTGAGGCGTTTGTGGCCACTGGCCAGGGATGCCCAAGCCACAGGCCCCACGTCGCCCAAGGTTCAGCTCTTCACAGGTTGGCTTCTGCGGCGTTCTGGATCACTCAAGAGTCCGTCGGCTACGACAGTCAACATATGTGTCGTCATCCGGCTCTACCACTCCGAAGCAATGTCAAGGTTGTGCATTCGTGTCGCTTGTCGGCACAGCCCTGCTGAAGACACCAAACTAAGCCTGGGATTCGCTACCGTCGCGATCATCCAGTTGCCGAACGCTAGTGCCTGTCCCAAATACGAGCTGCTCAGCCCGTAAGATACTCCGGAGCGACAGGCAACGACGTCGACAATTCTAGTTGTCGATCATTGTGAAACATAGACGTTCCAACCCTGGATGTCTGCAGTGGTACTATGTAGCAGGATATATACGGAGGACTCGCCTCACAATGAGGCGACTTGATTGGCATGAACATTGCCGTTTGTGCTTTTGATCTATCCCATCGAGGCAGGGGGGTTCCTGAGACACTGTGTCAGAAGTCGCCCAACAATGTCAAAAGAACAATATCAAAAGAACCGTGGCGACAGGATGGGCGGGTGTCCAAGACCGCAGAACCTGTAAACTAGGACGGGGTGGATGCCATATGTTGTGGTAAACTATGCAAGCGACGCACTCGCGTTCGACAGACAATCGACGGTCAAGCTGTACGGAGTACTCTGTATCTTCGGCAAGCCAGGTAGGTGGCAAAACCTGTGTAGACACATATCAGTCAGCCAATAGCAGAATACATCAGATCCAAGAGACTGAGAGGGACCGAGATAGGATGAGATAGAACCCAATCCAGAAAGTGGCTTGACCTCGACTGTGGCTGAGCAGTCCTGGAATCTCCAGAAAATTCTTTGCTATCGTGGGGCCGGGGGCTCGATGGCAGATTGTGAGGGCACAAAGATGCAAATTCTGCGAATCTCCATCACCAGGGGAAATCCCTGATCGGGCTTAGCGCGGTAGCCCGGAAAAACATTTCCCCAGGTCCGCCTTGCGTCATAGGGCTTGGCGCCCCGCCGGTCCTTGTTCCAACCTCACCTCATCTGATATGCTTGAGCCACGGTCGTCTTTTGCACATCTTTGCCTCATCCTTTGCTCATCTTGTCGTTGCCTCCTCGTCGATCTTGTCGTCGGTCCAAACACGTCCCGGCGATCCCTGCAAGTGTGTCTCTAAAGATGCAGATGCCACCTAGGTGCCACCCAAAATTAGAACCGTTACCTCATTGCGCTCAAGCCACCCAGTCCACCCAACTGCACAGCCGAGCGAATGTACTGTAGATCTCGACACGCTGAGACAGGTTGTCCTATCTCGGGACTGGAAGGCCCCAGTTGGCTTCCGGTTGGGGTTGCCGACCTTGACGAGGTATGCATCAAGTTTGTGCAGCTGCCACCTCATGGCTTTCAAGCCCAATGGACCTCACAAAACTGCGCTAATGGTTCTAGGCGTAGCCACACTCTCCCAACGGTCCTTTTCACGCTTGGAGAATTTTTCTTGGGTGGCTCTGTCTGTTCCCGTGATCCCTAATGTCAACCTCAAGTCAATCCGATCTCACTAGCCAGGGCGCAGGGCTGCATGCAGCACTCGATCCGAAGCCGCTTAACCGGGGCGACCGAACAAGCCACCTTACGAGAGCTCTTAGAGACGTGATCATCCCGCACTTTGTCAGCCCGCATTATTCCTCTCGTAAACAAGCGTACATTTGGACGGTCCCTCCGAGATGCCATGGAGTCTGAACAGAGGAAGCTCGCCACAGAAGTCTCCCGGGTCCTACATTCCGAGGAGGATCAGGCCATCCTGGAACAAGACCCAGCGCGGGTCGGAGCGACACATGTCAGACGTTTCCTGTGTTGACATATGTCTCATTCGCCCTTCGTCTACACATGGGTTGATCCGACGCCTGGAACAGGCGATGGTGGCAATACTGGTGAACGCTGTGATTGCTCACGAAATACTCTTTGCGAGCTATACGCTGCATCCCTAAGCTAGCCCGCCTCGCTGGGTACGTGGTCCAGGAGCCGCCCGCCAGGTATTCTCTCTGATCGGGCGCTTGAGACAAAGCACATATCCCACTCTATGCGTGAGAAGCATACGCTAACATGCTCCTGTAAACGCTCCTGACCAGCCTGGTCTACTCACGATCCAGTAATATGCTCGAACGATACCGCCAGTTTCTCGAGTCTGGCGAGTCCGAGAAATAAGAGTCCACCGGCGTCAAGTCGTTATGCGGCCATTCTCCAAGCGAACACATTCTGGATACGCCGTACTGAGGCTCTTGCTATCTGATTCAACAACGGTCTCGCCTTGTCTTGTCGTGGGTCTCTGATCTAGTTTCAATCAGCACATCTCTCGCATGCACGACGTGAGCTTAGGCAGGGGTGTCCATAGCCTCAGAGACATGCTCTGCAATCTGATTGATCTGAACCTGAGTCCTGCTGTCACATCTCAATGCACTAACATGAGCAAGGACATGTCGAGGGCTCCACCGCAGAGTGTTCACATCTAATCGCCTCTTTCTCTAATCATCCCACTTCCAAATTCATCGGCTGCTCTTCAACAGGCCAATCATAGGTCCAAGTCTTCATCTGATACGGGATACTCCCCATGCTACCTCTTGCAGGACTATGCAGGTCCATGCAGGTCCACACGGTAGGTTGTCCAAATGGAAGCTTGCATCTTGAATTGGACCTGAGAAAGGGGCGAACCGGCGTCTTATCGTTCTGCACTCACATGGACGCCGACTGTGGTGTGGGCGCTTCTGCACGCGAGCCCCATGTTCATCTATCACAGGACCCCAAGCACTCCTTGGCCCTACTCCACTTCCCAGAATTCTTTGTACCATCTGTCGTCTCCCACTGGTTTCTCTATTAGCACCATTCCCATCAGCTTCGGTTCTCCCTGGCGTTGGACGGCATTTCAAGTCGGCCTGTCGCCAGCCGCTGAATTGCAATGCTCCATTCTGCCAGTGTTCTTCCCGCCGAACGATTGAAGGCTTACATGCGATCTGTATTGCGACATTATTTGCGAGTTCTACATGGGTCACTAAGTCGTCGTCATGAGCAAGCCAAATCATCAAAGCACACGTGTCCTACATGGGAGACCTCTATTGTCCAAGCTATTCCTTTCCTTTCCACCGCCCCGCCGCCGCCTCAGTACTAGCACTGATGCCCTTATCGCCGTTTGTAGCAGGGTGTATCACAGACACTACACAATCGCCCTGATGCTTCCCTTTGTCTTGCCGTGACGTACGTGTCACGAGGTGGTCACACGACCCAGCGCCCTGTCTGACGGTCGGCACGCGTTGAAGATCCCACAAAAATGCAGAGCCGCGCCAAGTTGGGGAAGCAGATGAAAACCAAGCCATACCGAGGCGCAAGAGGGATGAGTTTGAGAACCCCCAAAGCAAACCAGCGGCTAGAGCGCAGAGGGCAGATGTGCGCGAGTGTCGCTGGAAACTGAAGAAAGCTCAGGATACACAAGTAGCGCAGCAAGCTGTTGCCAATGGTTTTGCAGGAAGGGGAGAAGACGAAAATGGCACAAGAGCAAATGCAGGCGGAAGATGAACGTGGTCAGCCTTTACTTTCATCTCGGTTTCTTCCTATTCTTGGCCTGCTCGAAGCTCTCATTATTGGGATACTGGCGTCCACACCCTGCTCAGGGGCCGTGCTCATATACTGTCTATACCATCCTACCATCCCCAACGTGTCAATCTACGGGAGGCAGGACACGACAGATAAGAGTATCTTTATTACGGTGGTGCACTTATACGTGGGAACATGGCACGTAGCCTCTTCAGAATAACAGTGTGGTATTAGTTTCGTGTCATTACTTGACTGCCGGTGCTGGACAATGGACAACTCAATGCGGAGTAGAAATAACACGCAGCGCGCTCATGCTCCTTTATCCAAGCGTCTCCAACCACCAGGCTGGTCTGGCTTCCTTCCAAATGCCCTTCACTTTCCAATCGAGACTGTCGTTCCACACTCGTGCACAGGCGGGATAGCCTCCCTCGCCTTTCATTTTCCAAGTGCCATATCTTGTACACCAGGACCGACATCGCATTCGTCATCATCATAAGCCTTCATCACTTGCTAGGTATACAAGCCTGAAACCTGAAGCATCAGTCACTGCTCAGGGAATTACATAGTATGGGTGCTGCAATGTCGACTTGAACCATATTTTTATAACGGCACTATCGTTCACCGAGTCCTGTGACTTTCCCGGCAAATCTTGCACCGGCACTACCTCTTTTCTGCAATTTTGTGGTACTGTCAAATGAGGAGAACGGTGGCGCTCTGGACATGGCGGGAAGAGGACCTAACGTGTCACCTTGACGGGATTGACTGTTGATAGCTCGAGAGGTTCGTTGCTCTATGTAGAGCTGTGCAGCTGGCGACAAAGGTATGGCTGGCGGCTCCGTGGGGATTTCTGCCCCGTTCTGAACCAACAGCTCGGCCATTGGGAACGCTTTTAGTGCTGGCGCGGGTGTGGCCGAGTGAGAAGACGTTGGCCGAGCAGGGTCAGCGGCTGCGAGAGCGAGAAACACCGCATGGGTATTTCTTGACCGGTCATGAGCGTTGACATTCGCCCGCTGAGCGAGGCCTACCAAGACCCCCTGAATATCGTGTTTCTTAATCGATGTCAATAAGGTGTCATCCGCAGTCCCGTGCTGGGACACAGGCGCAACGAAAGCCCTCTCCACGTATTTGGCCGTGATGAATTTAAGCCGCTGATCCCTCGTGGCGTTAGGACCAGGCTTGATGGATTGATCCAACAAGGATTCCCAGACCATGTTGCTGATTCGATTGCCGAGCAGCATCAAGAGCTCGACAATATCGATCGTGAAAGAAGTAACATCCAGAGTTAGTGACCGAATTTTGGATACATGGGTTCCCAGAGAACGATGAATGCCTCCACATTCGATACACAAGATGATGCCCAGGTTCAGAGAAACCCAATCGACCTTGGAAGTAGAACCGCAATCGGCACATTGCTGATTCCCATGATCATTGTTCCGGAGCTGGTCCAGCAGCTTGGAGGGAGTTTCTTCGTAACTGCTGCTGCTCGTCCGGATATAGGTGGGCCTGGAACCGACCGTTGTCCGCCTTGATACGCCGATGACATCGGTCCGCTGGGAGTAACCGTGTGGGCCGGACTGTGATGAACTCTTCCCAGTCAACATGGCTCCATATTCGCGTCCATTCGTTTCTTTCTGAGGCTGTTGAGCGGTGTGAGGCCCAGTCTCAAACGCACTTTGAAGAGCGTTGTTGATGGAAGTGATCCAGTTGTTCATCTCATCCTCGGTTGTGGCCTGGTAGACGCGCTTGTACTGGGGAGTTATGACCTCGAAACAAAATCTTCGTTCTGCGTCTCTTGCCACTCGCACCGAAGCCATTCGTAGATCAATAGGATCCCGATGTAGGTCCAATTTATCTTTCCAATTGCTGTATTCTGAAAGTTTGCCTTGGTCAAGCACAATCCAAAACCTGCAGTCTTCGGTCAGCAGCTACAAAGTTATGAAAGCGGAATTGCGTACTTGTGCCAGGCCTGCTTGTTGATACCCTTCGGGTCTAAGTGCGAACCCGGCCTGCTCAATGCCCATAATAATCCTTCTTTGCGGTGTGGCCCGACAGCTGATTTGTCAGCGATCGATACGGAGCTCTCGTCAAGGTCACGAATGCCCTTGAATTTGTTCGGGGTTGGCACTATTGAAGAAGCGCCGGGTGACGTCGACAGATTGGTGATCGGAACGCCTTGCAAGGCTGAGTTACTGGTTGGGGATAGTGTCTTGACCGCAGGGCGGCCAAATTGAGAGCCAGTACTGTCCGTCCTGCTCAGGTCAGTGTCCGAAGTATACCCTGTGTGGCCGTTCTGGACTGGTAAGTGGCTGGAAGCGCTTATCGAAGGCTGCAGAGGCTCGGGCTCTGCCGGGATCGGGCCGTTCATTTCGAGATTTCTGCGCTTTTCTTCCCGCTCAGTCCTTTGCAGATTGTACTCTTTGTCCGTCTCAGAGACTTCTCTCACCAGGGCATCCAAGCGTGGCGTTAGGCTTTCCACCCTTTTCGCGGCGGCGAGGAATGATTTCGCCTGCCCGTCCGCATACTTGGTGAGCTGTGAGAGAAGTTCTTGTTCCTTGCGCCCGCCATGGAGGTCTTGCATGAATGTGGAGTAATCGAATCTCTTGAGTTCAAAGTTCCGCTTCTTCGTTTGATACTTTGAATCACTTTCCGCCCGTTTCTTGTCCTTCAGTGAATCTTGCCTTTGGCCGAGGTAACGACTCACGTAGGCGTAGTAGTCCCGGCTCTCGTCCTCAAAGTCCTTTTTCTTCGCCTCGGCTTGTTTTATGTCGAAGTTGTACAGTTTGGAGATGGGATCGATGATCTGTTTCTGTAAAAGTATACTGTTCTCTTTCTCATACTTCAAGATCCGTTGCGCAATATTCGTGAAATAGTGGTCGAGGGCGGGCTTGAAAGCTGTGGCGTTTGAGGCAGATGCTTCTTGAAGCGCGCTCAAGAAGGCCGACATGGCTTGGTTGCACTCGGCCTGTGCCTGCTGGGCAGCTTCTGCTTTCTTCAATACCTTCTTGATCTGGACTCGCATAGTACCGGTTTTCTGTTCCAATGATTTCATTGTGGCCCTGAATAGCGGACCGTCTTCAACCGCAGTCACGTCTCCTCCGGGTCGTTGACATTGGACATCGATCACAGAGGCTGCAGGTGCTATAGTCGAGGCACTAGAATTGAAGTCCGCAGATTGGACATTGGGGGAGGGCGGATTTGCATGATCGGACGGACCCTCCGAGTCACTCACTGCAGACTGGTAAGACTGAGAAGATGGCAACCGCAGCTTTTGGGGGGGGACCATCAGTTCAACGTTTGGAGACGCAAGTGGTGTCAAATCCGGCAGTGTAGCGTTGTTGACCCAGAAGGAAAAGGACGCCAGAGTGTTTAATCTGTGCGCTCTGGAGTCATACTCAAGGAAACTGCAAGAGTTGCGCCAGCCCCCGCCCCTGTCCTCGTAAGGCTTTGGAGGTTTCCAACGCCAGTTCCATTCGTAGGTGATGGAGGGATTTCCGTTTGTCCCGAAGTCGCCAATAAACTGTACATTTGAATTTTTGTGTAAATTAGGGTCTGCGTGGAATTCCCGTGTGATGAGCGTATCCAACTCTTTGCCGTTGGGGGCATATGCAAAAGTCAAGCCATTAACGGTGGTGTCGACAGCGGCAGTCGCAGTTGAGGGTGCGACAGGCAAGGGGGTAAGGTTCTGACGACTGACGAAGGTGAAGCGAAGGTCCAACTCATCCTCAAGATCCAGTCGTGGGAGAAACGCAAGGGCGGAGGAGTCAGGGTCCTAGTCAAGTAGTCAGTGAGGGCTCAGCTGCGGGTGTGAGATCTCGCACTTGAATGTAAGAGATTGGCCGATAGTCTGTCGCGTCTGGTTTCCCAACGAGACGTGATGCAGGGTATGCAGTTGGCGCGACACTGAGGAGGACTCTTCCGTGAGCGTTGCTGACGACAATGGAACTAATGAAGACTGGCTAGGTCAGCGATTGTTTGGGGACTGTCGAACAAACACATACACCTCGTTTGATCCTTCAAGTACAGAAGGGCACCATCGTCAAGCCTGCTACTGATATTGCCCATGACGGTAAGCCCGGGACCCAGGCCTGAAGATCCACATGCGCCAGGTTGGGCTTTATATTATTCAAGGCGCCTTCGTATGTAGAGCGAGAGGGGCGCCGGGCGAGGGGAGTGTTGATATTTTGGAGGGTGATGCAGGTATGGTTGATATTGAGAGTATGATGATTAACCTGACGGGTTATGTATGGTGTATGGAGAAGAATGGCTTGACTCGGACTCGGAGGGGTTGAGAGGACGTTGTTGTAGTTGGCATGTAGCAGGAACCATTCATTATGAGATGGTTCTGCTGCGCCTTCGACGTGAAACCGCGGCGGCTGTGGTCCGCCACTGGGCTTAAGGCGCAGTCTCCAGCGCGCTGACCCGATCCGGCACATGGTGACGCCGCCCTACTGCGCAGGCTGCGACAAACTTGCAGATTCACAGGACTGGACGCAATACGGATACAGCAACAGACCCTGCGAGTCGCTCAATCAGAGCCTACTTTGACGAGAGGATGGCGTGCAAAGCAATTCTGAAGCGAGGCTGAGGCTGAGGCTGAGTGAGGTTGGTTTAGGACAGAGGCAACAGTGGTAGATCACGATCATCATTCACGAGCAGGTTGGAGGCAAATGCGGCCGCTGTCTTTGTTAAATGCATGATGATATAATGCTACAATGTCTTTCCTCATGCTGTAAAGGGCTGGAGTATTCACTTCAGTCATATTCGCGAAGAAGCCTCTTCACATCTCCGCCATGTGCTCACGTAGATCTGGATTCCGTTCTGCTAAACCTCAGGAAGAAGGATGCGCGTCGCAAAGATTCCTCGAGCGAGCCGGAGCCAGGATATTGATAGCTATGGAGGCCTAAGGATAGTCTGCCTGAGTTGAATTGCTAGGCTGCCGTCTCGTCGTGGCTTGCATTGTTGAAACACAAAGTGCAAGCTGGAGGGCAACAAGCAACAAGTGCCCAGCCGCCAAGTCCCGCCATTTTAAGCTTAACGGGAAGAACGCCTGATACAACGCCACATTGACAGATTGTACCTGGGTATACGGAGTATACGTCGACTACTTCTCTTATATAAGGTACCTCGGGATTTTATTGATTATATAGTCTGTTAAGACATCGCTGGCCAGCTTGTGGTTCTTTCAAAGCATCATCGTCTCAAGATGAGTGTCTAGATCCCTTTCCGAACAGAAACCGCTGGCGTTGCGGTGGGTATATCGGGCCGAGGACCTGAGATCCCTGCAGCTTCCATGCGATCAGAGCTGCCATGCGAGGAGAGCTATAGGCGACCCGGCAGTCTCTCGTCATTATTGTTTTCAATAGTTCCTGTGGTTCCTATCTCCGTCCTGTGGGTGCGCGGGCCCCGATAACGACATATATCCATAGCAATGCCGCAAGTTCAAGACTACATGCTAGCTGCCCTATTCTGTTAGCCAACTCTCCCTAGCTTAGCCGAAGCTTCCTAGGTGCTCTGTAACTTGCTACCCTACCATCAGCAGACAGGCTATGCATCCAAAATGCAACCTCAACACCTCCATTCTGGCAAAGATTGACAGCTCATGAGCAAGGTAAGCTTGCAAGCTCCCAGGCAGACCAATGAGAGATGTGTGGTATGACGAGAGCTCAACCCCGCCTCACCGAGTCACCCCAGCTGGTTGGGTTGTACCTGACGCAGTCGGCCGTGTGCCACGTTCAGCGCAGCAGAGCTCCAGGTAGCTCCAGGTACAGAGTATAAACAAGCTGCGGCCTCTCGCTGATCTCCTGGGCCCTCTCAAGTTGGTAGAGTCAACCCGTGGACGCCAATATGAAGCTTCCCATAGTCATCGCTGCTTGTCTGACCGTCCTTCCGGGCTTTGTAACAGCGCAGGTCGGTTCTTTGGATGAGAACGGCCGACCCACAAACTATACAGCTTACTACTTTGATCAACTTATCGATCACTTTCAAAATAGCTCTCGCTATGCACCAAACACCAATGCCACCTTTACCCAGAGATACTATTTCGATAACACCTACTACAAGCCCGGTGGTCCTGTGTTTCTCTATATTGGTGGCGAGACATCTGGACCGTCGCGCTTCTCGAACCTTCAGACTGGCATCATTCAAATTCTCGCAAATGCAACTGGCGGTCTAGGCGTCGTAAGTCATCCCATTCTTCAAGGAAGCGTGCAGTAGCCCGTTGCCCACCGACTCTCCTCCCCTGTCAAGGGTAACAATTCCTCCACATTAGCACAGCTCCGTGGCATTCCCTATGCCGCAAGACCACATGCTCTCCAGATATTGACTTACAGTCCCTACTAGATTCTCGAAAACAGATACTATGGCGAAAGCTATCCCTTTGACAATTCTACCACCGACAACCTTCGATTCTTGACCACTGAACAGACGATAGCAGACAACGCCTACTTCGCTCAGCATGCCACTTTCCCCAACGTCACCGGTGGTGACAATCTCACCGCCCCGGGAACTCCTTGGATCTTGTATGGCGGCAGCCTGGCAGGTGCCCAGACTGCCTTTTCACTTGTGGAGTATTCGGGGCTGCTCTGGGGTGGCATTGCTGCTTCAGGTGTTGTACATGCCGTTCACGGCTATCCTGAATGGTACAATCCGATACAAAAGAATGGGCCTCCGGAGGCTATCTCGCGAATCAACAAGATCGTCGACAAGATTGACTATCTCATCAAGAAGAACGAGACAAAGGCCATTCAACAGCTGAAAGAGATCTTTGGACTCGGTAGTTTGGGTGATCTCCGAGACTTCGCACAGACGGTTGGCACAGATCAATCCCCCTTTGAAACATGAGCATGTCTGATCAATTACAACGTACAGATTGCATTCCCGCTTGGTGGCCCCATGAACTACCCGACCTACACCTGGCAAGAACTGAACTGGTATCCAGGCTATGATCATCCAGACTTGTTTTGGTTTGCCAACAACATCACGGACACGAACGCGCCGGCAAACATCACTGCAGTTGATACGCAGCTGGCTAACTACACCAACGGATCGCCGTGGACAGGGCTCGGGGCGTGGGCCAATTATGTCAAAGAAGTGATTGTCTCGACGTGTCCTAGCGAAGACTTGATTGGCACTACCTCATGCTTCTCTACTCAAAATCGTAAAGTGAAACTTTCAGTCCGCGTTGGAGGCGATCTAATGGATATATTCTAGAAACATTCTATGCCGAGACCGACAACTCGGCCTTCCGGTCGTATCTCTACAGCACCTGCACCGAACAAGGCGCTTATCAAGTGCCACAACCCTACGGGACTCCTTCCCTCCTGTCGCGGGTTATCGATCTTAACTATACCCAGCAGTGGTGCACTTGGGCCTTCCCCCCCGGTCCCCTCTCACCACAAGCAGTGCCCTCTCCGCATGGACCAAATCTAACATGGTACAACAAATATGGCGACTTCAAGATTTCGGCGCCACGACTGTCGTTTATCGACGGCGGGAGCGACGTCTGGCGGGACGTGACCTACCACGGGCGCAACGCCAGCACCCGGTACGGCGAGAACCAGTTCCTCATTACTGGTGCAGGACACCATTGGGACAGTTACGGAATCCTGAACATCAGTGCCGAGCCTGACTTTATCAAGGCGGCGCACGAATGGGAATTGCGGCAGGTGCAGACTTGGCTGAAGGAATGGGATACGAAGCACGGTGGAAAGAGAAAGAGGGATGAATTGTAGACGGGACGAGTTGACGCTGATATCCATGATCATGGCGATACTACCTAGCCGATGGAGCCGCTGCAAGAATGGGCAATATCAAATAATGTGTAGGCAGCTCGCCCTTTGAGGGTGAGTGGAAACAAGGCTCGGGCTGCAAGGATCATCTGTCTGCTCATCCGTAGAAAATGCTGCGCAGTGCATCATCCAGTATTTCTGCCAAGCCAAATTTTCTATTGCAGCCCAGAGCCGCATTCGAAGCACGGGTTTCTCTGCCCTGGCGATTGAAGTTTTCGCATCTACTATATCGTGCACCCTGGACAGGGAGGATGAGTGGGCGGCATAGAGTGCGAATTTTCCGGGCGTCCAGATTGTGAACGGCATCCAGAAGCCATGGCTACCAAGGGAGCGCGAGATGCGCAGAAAAGCAAAGATGGCCCTAACCCAGGCACTCCAAGCCAAACGTGAGTTCTCTCCACGGTCTGATTCCCAGATTTCTGTCCCGCTGATAATAATTCAGTCTGTATATCAAGAATCTGAACGAAAAGATCAACAAGAACGAGCTCAAACGCGCGTTGTACATGCTCTTCTCCACCTATGGCCCTGTCTTAGACATAGTCACCACCCGAGTCGGGGCCAAAGGCCAGAACATGCGTGGCCAGGCACATATTGTCTTCCGCGACATCCAGACGAGCACTCAAGCTCTGCGAGCTCTACAAGGGTGCGATCTTTGCGGCAAAGAAATGGTATGGCTATCAATTATACATACATGTGGATCGAGTGTTGACATTGACCGCCAGGTAATTGTCTACGGCAAGGGCCAGTCGCAAATCATTCCGAAACTTCGAGGCACCTTTGAACCCCCTACTTCCTCGGCCTCCATCCCGGAGACCACCCAACTACAGAAATCGATCTTCAATGCCCCCCCCTCGGCAAATCCAAGTAATAACGTTGAAAATGGAGCGACTTCCAACGCAGTGCCGCACGGAACGAAGAGGCCCCGAGAGGAAGAGGAGGAGGAAGAGAATGAAGTGTCGATGGATGAGGACGAGGACGATGCTCCGATGGAGGAGGATGACGACGATGACTGAGGCCTGCGCTCTGAATCAACGCTCAGGCCCATGCAATGCCAGCCATAGCTGAAGGTGGGAACATCGCGCCCGCCAACGAACCCCTTGGGTTTGCTCTATTGTATTCGGACTGGGTATCACCGCCTACAGCATCCAGCCGTTGCCGGCGAATATCCTCGACGCTGCGAGAATCTTGGGAGCTTTTACAAGCTCTCCATTACAAGCTCTCCGTTTCGAAAATTTTACTGGGAACATGGAGGCCAACGGAGGTTCCGACCAAACCCAGCCAAAGGATGAGATACCCTTCCGGAGTCAATGCATGGTCAGAGCGGAGCACCGAAAGAGCCTCCTGGGTATTGCACGGATGGATGAAGAAAGTCGGCCGATCTGAGATTGGATGATGCTGGAACAACAAGGATTCCCGGTCAGCAATCCGAGAATCGTTCACCATGGACTGACTAACCGCCGTACTGATCCCTCCCATAACACCAACACTTTGCAGTGGTGCGTGGAGTGTGTGTGGCACCAATTGGCTGTACACCTGTTCAAGACTGAAGGCTTTTTCGTCCGCGTTAGGTTGGCGCGAGAACCAAAGGACGGGAACACAGTATGTTGGAGATAAGGTTACGGAAAAGTCGATGGAAAAGGAATCGAAGCCGTGTCTGTTGGGAACAAGCTGAAAGTTGTCAATGCCTAAGATTTGACCTTCGAATCATGAATAATCATACGGTTTCAGGACATGCATCCTCGACGTTGTCCATGTTCTCTTCACTGCGTGCTTCATCTGGATTTTCATTGCGGCCATCCTGACCAGAATCCATGGCCCTTCGCCTCTGTTTGATGAAGAGATCTTCTCCAGACCATCTTACACTCAACCAGTCCGTGCCGTCCAGCCGATCCAATGCCCGAGATTCCAAAGCCTGGCATGCTTCCGCAAATTCAGCCTCGCTTATGCTCGGAAATGCTTGAAGAGCCGCCATTGCAGATCATGTAGTTGGCGTCTTGCCATCGTCGAACAGAACGGGAGATGACGCGGCTTCTAATCGCGCGGCGGCCGCAAAGAGTCTTCGAAGTTTGAGATGCACCGTGGCACTGTCAGTGCCAACTCAAGTTGTCAACTGAAGCCGAGCGACCTCGCCAAGCCCAATCGTTGCACTGCATGAATTGCACGCGGGGAAGGCGTCTTTAGGCCAAGTGCTCCGTCGTAGTACATAGTAGGTAGTACCAGCCTTGCGAACGTAAAGGACTAGTCTTGCTGTTTCTCACAGAGAACCAAACTCAAACTCAAACACGACCGCCCGACTCGAGTCTGGTGTTGCTAGTCATACACTTATACTGCCCGAGCATCCGTACACTGGCTTCGATGGCTGCACCACCACCACCATCACCACCACCAGCACTGCGCGAGGCGCCTCGAGACGTACGCCGTCCTCCGTCCTCCGTAGCAGCGCGAGCTCTTCATCTCCCCTTGCATTGCTATTTCTGTTTCTGTGTATCCGTACTTGTTGTGCCTAGCTAGTACTCGCTGTTCCACCCACTCACTCACTGTTCCACTGGCTCACTCGCTCGCTCACTCACGCATTCATGTCCGTACAGCTGTCAGAAATCGCAAAGCAAGAAGAAGCCCTGATCCTGCCCCGCTTCACGGCCGACGATGCCCTCGAGATCGGCCTGGCCATCCGCAACCGGCTGCGCGCTCTAACGCACCTTTCGGCGGTGGTCAACATCACGCTGGCCAACAGCAACAACCTCCTGTTCCACGCGGTGTCGCGGCCGGGCGTGCAGCCGGACAATGACGTGTGGGTGGCGCGCAAGAGGAAGACGGTGCAGCGGTGGGGGGTGAGCACCTGGTTCATGCACAACAAGATGCACGGCGACGAGGAGGCCTTCAAGAAGAAGTACATGCTCGGCGAGACAGCGGGCGACTATTCCATCCATGGCGGCGGCATGCCTGTGCGAGTGCGCGGCGTCGAGGGCGTCGTCGCCGTCATCGTCGTCAGCGGGCTCAAGCAGAACGAGGACCATCAGGTCGTTGTTGATGCCCTAGAAGAGTTTCTCGACGCTACGGACCGAGAGCCTCGGTCGCCCTCGTATGAATTATAGCATACGTGTACTTGAGCCGTACACATGGCCGCGGTCCAGAAAGCAAGCCTGGAGGGATGGCGGGAGATGAAAATATCTAGAAGGTACAGCGGCAGGTAAAATATCTGGGTGGCACAGCGTTGCACTACAGCATACCCATTTGCAGATAGTGTAGGTCATGACTTGGCCCCGTGTTTCTAGGTGGCATCTACCACTACTCCAGTCTTGTCCAACATTATACAACACTGGGACGTTTACAAACCACTAGGTGCCTACCTAGGTAGGTGAGATCTACCCTCGTTATTCTTGTGAGACAGACCCTGTGTGGCGTGGAATGGACCGCCCGAGTCCAAATCTAGGCATGCTCAATGTTCCACGTTTGCCATGTCATTCGTATCAGTCTACCTTATTTGTTCCTATTTGTTCTGTTCGTATGCATCATACCATGTCTTGTCGCTTCCCGGCTTCGACGTGGTGCCGGAGACCTGCGCATAGAGGGCGCAAGTCGACAAGGCTGGACTTGGGACGCCATTGACTCGACATCGGTCTGAGACCATTGCTCATTGCTGGATTGAATCTTGGGTGGCCATTGCAATCTGGGCCTGGTGTCTGGACGCACTCTCTCCTCGGCCAAATGCTCCATAAACAACTCAGTCAGCAGCAGTCGGCCAAATGCTCCACAGCCAAATCACTCTGCAGCAGTCGACCGACGCGGGCTACGACTCCGCAGTCTCTCGACGGCAGAGTCAATTTCGAGAGCGGTGTTGGCGAACCTCTCTTTCCCCCCTGCTACTACCGCCTCACTCTTGTCATCTGCCTCCAAGGTGCTGGAGCCAGAGGTGTCGGAGTCAGCGAGACTGCGCATCTCCAGCACGTCCTCCTCGTCGGGCTCACGTTGTCTATGGTGATGGCCGTGGCCGTGGCCGTGACCATTAGGCAAGTCATGCAGCTTTGCCTCAGGCTCATGCTGATACAGCTTCATGTTAACGAACATGGCGTACAAGCCGAAATCGTAGGCCAAGCGACACACGCCAGCCACTACGAACGCTATCCAGAACTGGTTGTTTGCCGCGAGGAGGCCGGTCACGGAGGGCCCGGCCATGGCAGCCATGGTCCTCAGCATGCTAGTGATGCCCATGACGGCGGTGCGCTCGTTAGGCTTGACCACGGCGGCGATGAAGGCCGAGCGCGGCGCTTGGTCCATGTTGTTCAGACCGGCACGCACAAACAGCAGCGCGGCCGTCATCCAGAGCCACGGAGGGAAGGGGAAGAACACCACGGCGGCGGACGACGGCACGTGCGTGAACACCATGGTGTTGATCAACCCGATTTTGCGCGCCAGCGGGCCGGCAAAGACCGCCGCGACGGCGCCCAGCAGGTAGCTCACCGACGACACGTCGCCCAGCGTCGATTTGCTCGGCTGGAACTTGTTGTCCATGTAGTAGTTGGTCAGCGAGTACGGCACCATGCCGTCCGCCAACGAGTCGACCGCCAACAGAAACCAGAGCTTGTACATGATCGAGCGCGTGGGCGCCGAGATCTCGGCAAACCGCGTCGTGAACCAGGACTTGGCCTTTGCGATCCAGCCGCTCCAAGATGGGTCCGGGGTTGCATCGCCGTCAGCGTCGCCGTCCTGTCCATCGTGGTGCTGCAGCTGGGGCTGGGGCTCGCCGCCCGGCAGTTCCACGTTACTGTCGCCCTGCTCGTGCTCGTCCTGTGGGACCTGCGAGTACGTTTCGGCCGGGGTGTGCAGCTCGCAAGCCTCGGTCAGCGGGAGTACGAGGAGCGCATTGACGAGCCCCATGGCCGTGTAGACCCAGAATAGGGCGTGGTACGCGTCGACGGGGGTCCAGCCTTCTCGGGCCTGGAGATAGTGCACGATCCTGCCGGAGGCCTCACTGCCAATGCTGGAGCCCAGGGTCGACGTCGTGACGTACCAGGCCAGCACATCGGCTCTGGTAGACGGCGTGGTGAGTTGCGACAGAACGGACCTAGAAGTCACATACAACACCACCGACGATGGTCAGTCAAATGTCTAACATCCAACGCTGCAACTGGTAATCGCTTTTTTATTTTTGGACACGACCACAGTCTTGGGGGCCCAGGTTGGTGTGGTGTGGGAGACGGAGGGAGGAGGGGCGGGCAAGGACTCACTCTTCTATGCTTCGGAAGGGCCCAAAGTCTCCTCCGGTGACACTGATGACGCCCAGGACGGCGGCGAGAAGCAGGATCCAGAAGTTCTCGAAGACGGCGAAGATGGCGCCGCTCAAGACCATCAGGAACGACCCGCCCAACAGCACCTTTCGCCGCCCGACCCGGTCGGCAATCAGGGTGAGAAAGGTGCCCAGGAAGACATCGCCCAGCAGCGTCAGCGTCATGAACAGCCCGATCTGATGGTCCGAGTAGTTGAGTGCCGAGAAGAAGATGGCTGCGATCACCGAACCAACCCCAACCAATTAGCTCCTCGATTCAATTCAACTCAATTCAGTTCAGTTCAGTTCAGTTCAATTCAATTCAATTCCCGGGCAGTGGTCGTAGTGTGTATATGTCCATCCTACTTGTCAAAAGTGGGGGGAGCAGATGTACTGTAATAGTATATACAGGATATAGCGGTCCGGCCCAAACAAAGATTGGCGGAACATCAGGGAGGTAGATACATGGTCATACGTAATATAGACAAATGTACCGATAGAACAGTCACTGGTAGTATGTGTGATGGACGTACCCAGTATCAGCGTATTCGTGCCATAGGCAAACATGCGGCAGGTCCGTGCCAGCACAATGAGGTATGCATTCCGGCCGGTCTCGTGGATTGAGACAATGCCGAATTCATGATAGAACCATTTCAATGGCCGGACTATGGCAGACATGGCCTGTAGACCGGGAGGTTGGCACCTAGCCGTGAGAGAGTATTACTACTACTATAGCAGTAGTAATAAACTTGCTCAGCAGCACTGTACGGAGTACCTTGGCAGACTCTCGGCCAGAGAGAGCTTGTGGTGTGAGTCGTGACCACTTTGGGCTGCCAAAAGAGATAAAGTGAAAGAGATTGCCGATCGCTCAGCAAGGAAGGGCGTGCATGAATTGGACGGTTGATAAAGGCCTAGCCCGATATCGGGCGCCAGTATGTAGCGAAAAGTAAATATACTGTATCTTATACCACCCCCAGCAGAGCACGCAATCAGGCCCTCTTACGACGAATGAACTGCAGTCCCATCCGCATCCTGTGCAAGAGTCAATAAGTAACGGCCGATAATCAACAATCAATAATGGCGAGATGGTGTTCAGCCCAGACCCAGATTCCTGGTCGCCTATATCTTACTTGCAGTCTGCTGATCAACTGGGCAAGCAGGGATTCCCCCCTGACAGATATATCTCTCGATTTCTAGAAGCTGAATAGTACTGCAAGTGTCGCAACTGGGCCTTGGACTGCAAGAAAGGCCGAACAATGAGGCTCAATGTGAGCTCGAGATCAGTCCAAAGCCTGTGATGAGATTCATATGTACTCGACGCCTTCTGCGGGCTCTGGATTTGGTTACATGTATTGAATCAATCGCTAACCAACCAGCCTGTCGATCGGAGTACAGGAAGCGAATGATCCGGGCTCACTCATATGCTTAAGTTGCCTCGAACCGGAGATGCGAACACTTCATGGCGGTTCTCGGACATCCAACCGCGGACACAGCAAGCTTTGACTGGGAATGTGAACAACAACGCAGCTAATCCGCTGCCGACGCCGCCTCTCCCCGTCACGTTGGTTGGCTTGAGTGCTGGCTGGACATGACTGTACGATCGGACGTGTTGAGCCTGACAGAAAGCGATCTAAGAGTCGGTCTTAACCTGGCAACGGCGTCAAGACAGATGTGGACAGATGTGCATGCACGTCGACCTGGAACTCTCTTTGACTCCCTAAGCGGAGGATTCAATTCAATATCACCGCGGGAAAGAAATATGCGCTCGATTCCATCGGTGGCTCAGCATATGCTTGAAGCGCAAGGACCATGAACCATGGACCTGGGCGACTGGAGTAACAGTTCTGACTCACCGAAACAAGTCGTCCGATAGACCTCACCTAGACAAGCCCTAACATAATTAGGCAGTAATAGGCTCTGCACTTGAAGGAGAGACAAAAGATGGTATGCGTTGGCAGGATGACATTGATACCCTTCCCCTTAACACTGTTTCCATTAGAATTAGACACGGGCTGCTACTAAATGCTGGAATGATCCGCCGTACAGACCGCCCCAATCTGATTGGCCAAGCACATCCAAGGCTTCACCTCTTTGACGCGGCTTCTCGATCGTGTCCTGAGCTCAACTTGAGCGCCAGCCCATTTCTCGCTCTCAGTTGCTCTTGATTCTTGATCCTGTTACCAGAACCAGGACGAACACTTTTCAAGATGAATCACTATCCTCAAGCCTGGGGCCGGGTGAGCAGATCCGCCGCATTGCATGCATGGAATGACCACTAACCCTCTGACCTCGATACAGCCCAGAGACGACGTCTACGGCCCGTACGACAACTCGTATTTCCAGGCATCTGCGCCGCAAACGCATACACAGTCGCCAGCCGTTACAGGGACATCAGTGCTCGGAGTCAAGTTCAAGGACGGCGTGGTCATTGCCGCGGACAATCTAGGTCTGTACCGGTCATGCTTGCTCACCCTGCTCTTCATTGACACCCCCTAACCAGCTTCATACGGGTCTCTGGCTCGGTTCACCGATGTCAAGCGTCTGCGGACGTTTCCTCCCAACACCGTGATTGGATTCGGCGGCGATGTCTCAGACATGCAATACCTCGACCGGTTACTACAGTCGCTCGACATTCGAGAAAACTACCTCTCCTCCTACGGACATGTCCTCAATGCGAAGAACCTACACACGTATCTATCGAAGGTGCTATACAAGAGAAGAAGCGACTTCAATCCCTTGTGGAACATGTTGTTGGTGGCTGGTCTGGATGACGACGACAAACCATTCCTAGCAAGCGCCGACCTACTCGGAACCACCTTCTCAAGCCCTACGCTGGCCACCGGTTTCGGTGCGCACCTAGCACAGCCTCTATTGCGAAAGCTGATGCCACACGATGAGGACAGCGTGAAGGACGTGACCAAGGAGATGGCCGTCGAGGCTATCAAGGCGTGCATGAAAGTGCTCTTTTATCGAGATGCTCGGAGTTTGGACAAGTACAGCATCGCTGTGGTGACGAAAGACGGGGTAGAGCTCAAGGAAGATCAGAAACTGGAGGACCAAAGCTGGGCGTTTGCTGATCAGATTCGAGGGTACGGGACACAGGTGAATTAGGCGGTAAATGGCATGGCATGGCATGTTTTCAATGCACATGGAGTTAGGAAACCAGGCTCGCTCTATGGGCATTTGTGGGCAATGGCAATGAGATTGAGCAAAAACACAGTCATCCCTCCTGTTAAGGCGTCTTGCTGTAGCATACCATCATACTGCATTCAGTAACTGGCCTTCCCTTGCCGTGGTGGGTGAGGCGGCCATAATTGGCCAGCCTCATGTGAGTCAGTGCCAGTGGATTGACCATGACGTGCCGCCTATGAGACTCGTGGAGTCCAGAATCCAGACCTTAGAAAAAGCCACCACAACGACTCAAATCCACTGCAGAGTGTTCCCTCCGCATATCACTACTTATACCATCGTTTCTCTTTTTCGACGGCCTCGTGCCTGTCCCTAATTTAAATCTCTTCGGAGGGGCTGTTCGTTGAAGCCACTTTCTTTCTCCTACTACCTTGCGTCCAGTCTTACCGCTTTATTCGCCTCTCTGACTGACAGCCTTATCGCTTTATTCGCCTCTGTGACTGACAATCCTGACAATCACTGTCATACTGCAGCGTAATGGAGGCAATCCCAGTCCAACAATCCTCAAATACGGGCAACAGAGGCCAAAGACATCGACGGAGAGGGCCACCGAGACGTGGACAACCCCCTCCCCCAGCAGGTCCAGCAACTCCAACGAGGACTGCGGCCGGAAGGGCCTTTGGCGGACAACTCACACGACTACATGGAGAGGCGCCGGCTTTTGTGCCGGCATCAGTATCTGCAGGAGCCTTGTCGACTACGAGTTCGCAGGCAACAAACACGAAACCTCATTCTCCTCACACCTCGAAGAAAGGCCTGAGCCGCCCAACACCACAAACCCAAGGCAGAAAAGCGCCAGTAGCTCGCTCGACGGCCCCGGATATAGCCACGCGAATACACGAAGACATCCTACACAACCTCTACGAGTGTGCCATCTGCACCAATGAGATCGGTCGCCATTCCAAAGTCTGGTCATGTCGGACTTGCTGGACAGTCTTCCACATTGGCTGCATCAAGAGGTGGTCGAAGAACGAAGGCTCAGCCGTACACCGGCCAGTGGCGCAAGAGAATCAAGAGACACCGGCAGAGAAACAATGGAGATGTCCCGGCTGCAATCTGCCGAAAGACACCTCGCCCACAGCTTACACATGTTGGTGCGAGAAGGAGCTGGACCCAAAACCGATCACGGGTCTTCCTCCGCATTCCTGTGGGCAAAGCTGCGGGAGAGAGAGGACTTTTCCGAAGACATGCCCACACCCTTGTGATCTACTGTGTCATGCCGGGCCATGTCCCCCGTGTTCTGCTATGGGTCCAAAGCAGCCCTGCTTTTGCGGGAAAGAAGAGGCTACGAGACGATGCGTGGAAACAAATTATGAAGCGGGCTGGAGCTGTGGTTCGATCTGTGGAGACCTCATGCCTTGCGGTGAACATACTTGTTCCAGACCGTGTCACGAGGGCCTCTGCGGAGCCTGTACGGCCGAGATTGACGCCCGTTGCTATTGTGGCAAGGTGGAGAAGAAGATCCAATGTCACGAACGAGGGGAAGAGAAGCAAAGTGCGGACTGGACTGGAAGCTTTGATTGTGGTCAGCCTTGTGGGAGACTCATGGATTGCGGCATCCATCAGTGTGAAAAGTCGTGTCATCCTCAAGAGTCGGCTGCGCCACATTGCCCGCGATCCGTGGATGTTGTCACCCACTGTCCTTGCGGAAAGAGTGCGTTGGCCGAGCTCAACATCGCACCGCGGACATGCTGTACTGATCCAGTGCCAAGCTGCCAAAAGGACTGCGGTCGCTTGTTGCCGTGCGGCCATCATTGCACGCAGACCTGTCATACAGGGGAATGCAAGCCGTGTGAGGTGAAGATCTCGACTCCATGTCGGTGCGGTCGAAACTTGTTTGACGTGATCTGTCACGAGGCGACGCAAGACCCTCCTCAGTGTACCCGTCTGTGCCGGGCCACATTGAACTGTGGCCGGCACGAGTGTGGTGACAGGTGTTGCACTGGGGAGCGAAAAGCATCTGAGCGGCAAGCTACTAAGCGAAAGCTGAAGCCGCTGGGCGCCATCCCAAGGTCATTTGATGACAATATCGAGGCCGAACACATCTGCACTCGAGTGTGCGGCCGCCGACTCAAATGCGGGAACCACGATTGTACAGATCTGTGTCATCGTGGACCATGTGGCAGCTGTAAAGAGGCCATATTCGATGATATCTCGTGCAGTTGTGGGCGGACTATGCTTCAAGCACCTCTTCCGTGTGGCACACGACCGCCTCCATGCAACTTCCCCTGTACCCGGACGAAGGACTGCGGTCACCCACCAGTGGTGCACAACTGCCATTCAGAGGAGGAAAATTGCCCCAACTGTCCGTTCTTGACCGAGAAAGACTGTCTCTGCGGGAAGAAAACGCTGAAAAATCAATACTGCTGGCGAGCCGAGGTCCTCTGCGGTCTCGTGTGCGGCAAGGTGCTGAAATGTGGCTCCCACACCTGCCGCAAGACATGTCACAAGCCGGGGCAATGTGAAGACGCCCATCGACACTGCCAGCAGGAATGTGGAAAGGCAAAGAAGGCGTGTGGCCACCCCTGCGAACAGCCTTGCCATGCGCCTGCAGCCTGCAAAGAGGACAAGCCATGTCCCTTCAAAGTCATGATCACCTGTGATTGTCAGCGAAAGAAGGAAGAAGTGAGATGCAATGCTCGGGCTCACATGCCTGAGTCGTCGGGTCGACAAACATGCCTCAAGTGTGACGAAGAATGTGCTCGGCTCGAGCGAAATCGGAGTCTGGCGCTTGCCCTCCACATCGCGGACGACCATATCGACGACCACGTGCCTTATTCGACCACGACGTTGAAGATGTATCTGGACGATATGGCCTGGGCCCACAAGCAGGAAGAGATCCTGAGACTATTCGCGGCCGACGATGCCCGGAAAAGATACGCTTTCCAGCCGATGAAGAGTCAACAACGAGCCTTTATTCACAGCATCGCCGAGGACTTTGGGTTCGACGGAGAAAGTCTAGACCCGGAGCCATACCGGCACGTGGTCTTGTTCAAGACCCCCAAATTCGTGGCGGCGCCCATGAAGACTTTGGCCCAAGCCGTGAGGGTTAAACGGGGGCAGTTGAATGTTTCTGCTGCCGCGTTAGCTCCGCGTCCAGAGCACAAAGCAGATGAGGTCAAGCATGACTACAACGGGTTGCTCCTGCTCAAGCCCAAGTTTGCTTTGACCGAAGACGAGGTACGGCCGGTGCTGAAGAAGTCGGCCGCGACCACGGATTTTGACATCATCTTTCTACCGAACGACGAAGGCGTTGCTCTGATTCCTTCCAGGTCATGGGACACGCCGGAACAAATGGACACTTTGCTGACGAGTCTGCGACCTATCGTTGCTAACGAAGTGATCAAGCATAAGCTGGCAAGCTCGGTGGTGCTCGGTCGGCTCGACAGGTCTGGGTCAGAGGTGAAAGTGGTTCAGCAGCAAGGCAAAGCGAGCACGACCGTGAGTAACGGGTGGTCGCAAGTGGCAGCGAAGAAAGCCCCGGCCGCTCAGGCCGCTCAAACCAAGCCGGTCGGGCAGAGACCCATGTACACGGTGTTGGGCAGTCGATTAGCCGAAGCCAAAAGAAAGAAGGAAAACGAGGAGAGATTGCGCAGGAAGGCTCAGCAGCAAGACGTGGTGGACGATTGGGAGCAGGAGGTTGAGCGGGAGGAAGACAATGAGGCTGGTGCTGGTCGGAGGGCGAGTGAGGCAAGCCAGGGGAGTAAGGGCAGTGAAGGCATGGAGAGGGAGACAAGCAAGGTGGAGTAGGAAGCGTGACCTAAGGACCAGGCAGGAGTGTAACGGCTCAAGAGGCTACTTTCCAGTTCAGCTTGCTTGGAGCTGCAGGGTCCATTCAGTTTTGCTGGGGCTCTTTTTTCTTTTGCCCAGTCTGGGTGGTCCCTGCACAGCCTCACGAAATGACAGGCGTGTCCTCTGCACTGTACAGATGGTGTACAGTGTATTCGTACCTACGGATACCGAGTATACAGACGACTATGGAGTACGGAGTACTACTGCAGTGTCTCCTTCTGACGGGTGTCTAGGTGGGTGTCTCTGCCAATTGAATGGCCAGCTCGGAACAGTTGCCAGCTGAACTTTCGGAGCAGCCGATTTCGGTTAATCCGGCTTGGCTGACATCATCTCATACGATTGGCTGTGGCTCGAAGGTGTAGCACTGGCACAGGAGCAGCGTCACTCGCAGGACAGCCACAAGACGTGTAGGGGAACACAGCACTCCGATGGTGATGCGCATTGGGTTTGGGAGCTCAAAGTGGCTGTTGGCGGTCACTGGGCAGCTTGCAGCTTGCAGCTTGTAGCCTGTAGCTTGCTTCACCGCCACACTGGCGGCATGGTGGCCCAGGTCTAAGACCCCTCCTCCCTCACTGGCACCTACTCTGTACTCTGTATCCGTACAAGCATCTGATGTGAATCCTTAAGGCACTTTCCTCGCGCCTCACTACTATAAAGTCTTTGTATCGTTTTCATCTCCGTCTAAGTGTCGATTTCTTCTCACTTCCATTATCAACCATCCGCCATCCACAATCAACAGATCGTTCCATTACTGACCCATCATACCATCCTTCTACTGTCCTGCACACTCGCCATTGCCATTCCCTTACTCATCCTTCCCCACACAATCATGGATCAACTCAAAGGTGCGCTGAACAGCTTCACTGGAGGCAACCGAGAACAAGATGCACAGCAGGGTGGCCAGCAGGGTGGTCAACAAGGATTCCAACAGGGTGGTCAACAGGGAGGTCAACAAGGATTCCAACAGGGTGGTCAACAGGGAAGCTCCAGTGCAGGTGGCTTTCTTGGAGGCTTCGGTGACAAACTCAACTCGGTGGCCGGTGGCGGCAAAGAGAGTGAGAAGAATGAAGACTATCTCGACAAGGGTAAAACTTCCTCATCCCCAGCACCCTCCTGCCATGGACTAGGACATGCTAATCACAGTCGTGGTGCAGGTGTCGATTTTGTCCAGGAGAAGTTTCTAGGACAAGGTCCCCAAGACAATGAGAGCGCCATTGAGCAAGCCAAGGACGAACAGATCAGTGATTTCATTCGCAACCAATGTCAGTACTGCCAACCTGCACCATCACCTTATCTTTCCTCTTCCCTCTTTTCTCTTCTTCGTGCGGCAACTGACTTGATGTTGGGTTGTAGACAAGAGTGCCACCGGCAAAGACTTTCCGATCAAGGACAAAGAAACCAACTTCTAGTGAATTGGCAGAAGTGATTGCTAGGAGTGCTACAAGAGGCATCTGCACCTCATGGGATGAGCTGTTGGGACACGTCGACGACATGGTGGCACTACACCCCTAGGGGTCTTATCCACCGAGTAGAAGAACAGAGCATACCTTTGACCTTTGGATTCTCGGCATAGCCAGCTCCAAGCCGGGGATTCTGTCCTGCAACGAGTTAGCAATATCATCCATACATCAGCTAGACACGGTCAAGTTTTGTCTTTTCTTTAGTCAGTCAGTTCCATTCGGTATCAAGATGCTCAGCACTCGACCCAACAGACAGTTAACAGATTCGTCGTGATGGAGGACGGTCGATACTTATTGATCATACAGTCTTTGATCCCCTTCCTTTCCCTTCCTCCCCGCACTATTTTATTCACCACTAATACTGACTCCAGGTTCGGGGAATTTCCACACTCCAAACTCCAACTCTCGAGCCGAAGCCTTAGCCTCAGCTTCTTATGACAGAATGAGCGTCGGCGGTGATTGACTGTTCCAAACTCCTGAGTTTCTCCTTGCCTTGGTACCACCGCCGGTGAGGTTTGGCCAGGTGCGTCAGCCGAGACCAGCACCAGACTGTCTCTCAGCACCGGAGATTGTCTCTCGTCTCTCGAGAGCATTACCAGGAACCATGGCAGCCGTCAAACCAAGCATCACCCTCTACGTCGACATTATCAGCCCGTTCGCCTATTTGGCGTATTATATGCTTAGGGTGAGTCTGTCCTTTTTTCTCTCTCTTTGCTTTTTTCTTTCTCCTGGCTTCTGTAGTTGTTCTTCTGGTTCTGGTTTCGTTCTGGTACCTTCATTCTGCAAGTTAGCTATCACATGGTATGATATTACCCTCGCGCAAAAACATCCTCAGCAGCTTCCCAGCCAACACTGGCCCTCGCCAAAATGAGGCCTGGCTTTGAGGAGAGGATTGCTGCACAATCTGTCCCCTCCCTTTTGACATTTTATTCCCTATCTCATGAACTTGGACTGTTGACCATGTTGATGATGTGATGATGTGATGGTGTGATGGTGTGATGGTGTGAGCATCAATCATGGCTCATTCAGCCTTGTCCTGTCGATCTCCAATCCGACTTCTGGCCTGTCCCCGGGCTGTCCTCAGAGAGCTGGAGCATCCCATCAGAAATACCTTCTCACCCAACACCTACGGCACTAGCATATCTATTCTCTGTGCTCGACTATCAACACCAATGTCTTTATCCTCTCCGATCAAGCACCGCTGCCATTACCACTACACTACCACTACCACTACCACTACCACTACCACTACCACTACCACTACCACTACCACTACCACTACCACTACCACTACCACTACCACTACCA